ACTTTTGAAGAGATCTATTACATCGTGGTCACTGTGTTGAAGTCAATTTCGAAGGCTGATTTGGAGTTCAAAAGTCGCGCAAGGATTCGGAGGTCGGCCCTCGATCGCGCAAACTCGGCTCCTTTACTTTTCGCGGGTCGATCGGATAGTGATCCTCGACACACGATGGAGGACTTTCTTAATGGATTTTTTCAATCTTGATGGAAGAATCCATGCGGTGCTTTGCGGTGTCAAAGCATACTTTCAGTCATGATCGTCGGTGAGGGATGCGGGTCGCAGAAGTTCGACTTTGCGTGAAAGTCGAGGAAGCCCTCGCTGTCGAATCACGGCATACCTCTGCAAGTAGCTGTTCTTCACACATATTTACTTGCTACAGTCGTAAAAAGTCTATAGGACACAGGCTACGGATCCGATTGCAAAGTTGAAGCCCACTCTAAACGGACCGCGGCATGTCACTGCAGCTCCGTCACCATGGGCGACGCATACGCATGAGCGACAAATACGATCGATCCAGTGAGTCGCTTGAATACTCCGACACAGTTTTGCTTGCGTTCAGCAGATGGCAGTCCAGCGCTCATGTCGGATTTGATACAAGAACATTCCATTAAGGTCGTTTGCGGCAGAACCGTGTCGGAGGCCGCAGGAAAACCCGGCAAGAATGCGTCAAGAAGATCCAAAGACTCTCAGACACGCACATATGAGCTCAAAGACCACCTGGCATTGCATCAAAGAGCACATCCTCAATTATTCGTACCCCAGAAATGCAGGGAAAGAAGTGAAAGGAGCAAACGTCGCTCGAGCAGTTGACCAAAGAGTCAAGGTGGTCCTGCGTTCTCAATGTCAAGGGAGCGGGCAGGCGCTAGGTCGCCCAGAAGAGTTCGCATGGTTGACGAAGCCTCCTCGCACAAGTGATCGGCGATTGTCGAGTCTTGGTGGCGGAAGCAGCAGCGGCAAAGACGAGAGCTTGCATGCTCCTCGACAAGGGATCTGTCCCACCGAGTTGAGTTTTGAGGTCGGGGGCGATTGAGGAGATCGAACTCGAGCAAAGCAGGTCTCGCCGAAAAAGTCTGGATCCTCAATTGGAAAGAGTCGACGATCATTCATCCATGAGAGCGAGAAACGGTTTCGAGCGAGTTGGAGTCTGAAGAGTCGAGCTAGGCGCAGGCTGGAATCTGAGAGCGAAAGAAAAGTCAAACATAAGCAAGAGTGCACCTACTTGCAAAACAAGGTGTGGAGGAAGGGAGGGCTCTTAAGTTGATGGCATGCACTGACCTTTCGGACGTGTGCTCGCTTTGTGACTGCCAAACGAGTTCGTTTACACCCAGCGAGGTGAATGCATGAAGAAGCGAAGCGAGGGGAGATGGAACACCGTGCGTCGCTGATCGCGGTCCATGACCGCATGACCAGGGCTGCTAAAGCGGGTACGAACGTGCATGTCGCAGAGGTGGGATGGTGATCGCACGAATAGAGCTAGTCGAGCAAGTCGCCGAGTTGGATTGAGAATCCAAAGGACCGTCACGGTCCGAGGCCGAATTCGAGCGCCGAGTGGTCCGGAGATGCCCGAGTCCTGGCTGTCTGATTCCAACGTGCGCAACCTAAGACGGTGTTCGAGTAAGATGTGAACGGATGAGGAGGTGTTCGGTGTGAAATCTTGAGAGCTTTGCCAGCAAGTCGATTGGTCGGTGCGATCAACGAAGTAGCGTGTCAGCGTGCAAGTCCGGTCAACTTGAACGGCAAGGAGAGCGGGAATGTGGGATGTTGAGGTGCCATGGGGTGAAACGTAGACGATCTGGGATGCCTTGACAAGCTGGATGACGAAGGCGGGCGATTGAGCAATTCGTTCGCGGCGGCTCGAAAGCCGCTGGGCGAGCAAGGATCCCCGGCGAATCTCCGTGGCGAGAAGGCCGAAACTGGTCTGCGTGCTGGAGACTTGTCGCAAGAGAAACCGAGGAATGGTAATGAATGAATTCGGATGTGGGCCGTGCGAGCGTGTGAGCGAATCGGGGCGAAGCTCCATTCGAGGAAGCGCTCCCATTCCGGGTTGTTCGTAACCAACAATCTACACTGCGCAGTGACACGGCATATCTTCGTCTCATCAGCAAGGGGTGCAAGTCGCAAGCGAGAGCTCAGATCGAAACAGCTCACTGTGGGCGGTCTGAGCGAGTCGTCCGAGGTCGAGCAGTTCCGGTCGCGATGGCTCAAGTGAGCAATTGACATAGCCCGGACGCAAATGTAGGTACCTTCGAGCTCGTTATCGACTCGTTGAAAGCCGATTGGCGATGTTGATGGTGCTGCAGTTGCTGAATAGGTTCCGCGCTTGCCTCAGCCGGCTCGGGTTGACACTTCAAGTGCCGGGTCGAGTAAAGTCGAGCCGCATGTACCGGCCAAGTGACGTTTCAACGTGACGGCAAGATGTTGCGTCGTCGTGTGTTTGTGCACTGAGAGTAAAAGACGAATGTGTCGAGTGGTGCGAGGGATTGGCGGATATCGAGTCTTGGGTGGCGGAGGCAGCGGCGGCAAAGTTGAGAGCTTGCACGCTCCTCGAATCTCTCGCACCGAGTTGAATTTTGAGGTCAGGGCCGATTGAGGGGAGATCAAAGTCGAGCAGAGCAAGTCCCGCCGAAGAAGTCTGGATCCTCAATTGGAAGAGTCGACGATCATTCGTCCATGAGAGCGAGAAACGGTTTGTAGCGAGTCGGAGTATAAAGAGTCGAGTTAAGCGCAGGCCGGATTCTGAGACCTGGTGGAGCGAAAGAAGAGTGACACATAAGCAAGAGTGCACATACGGGCAACACGCGGTGTGGAGGAAGGGAAAGCCTTCGGGTTAAAGGCACTCACTGACCTTCCGGACGTTTGCTCGCTTTGTGACTGCCAAACGAGTTCGTCGCTACCAAGCGAGGTGAGTGCAAGAAGCAAAGCGGAGCGCGAGGAGATGGAGCACCATGCGATGCTGATCGCGGTCCATGACCGCATGACCAGGGCTGCTGAAACGGGTACGAACGTGCATCTTGCAGAGGTGGGATGGTGATCGCACGAATAAAGCCAGTCGAGCGAGTCGCCGAGTTGGATTGAGAATGCGAAGGACCGTCACGGTCCGAGGCCAAAATCGAGCGGCGAGTGGTCCGAAGAAGCCCGACTCGGGACTTCATGTTTCAACGTGCGCAACGTAGGATGGAGTTCGAGTAAGTTGCAAAGCAATGGGGAGTGTGCCGTGGAACGCCTCGAGAGTTTTGCTGGGAACTTGATCGGTCGGAGTGATCGACGAGGTTGAAAGCCAGTGTGCAAGGACGGTCGAGTTGAACGGCAATGAAGACAAGCGGGAATGTGGGATGTTTGGCATGATGGGTTGAGACATAGACAACCGTTAACGTTTGTACGCATGAGAGTGTTTCGTGGCACATCTCAGGAGCTGTGCCGTGAAGTCGATCGGTCGGAGCGATCGACGAGGTTGGGAGTCAGCGCGCAAGTCCGGTCAACTTGAATGGCGAGGAAGGCATGTGCGGATGTTTAGAGCCATGGGTTGAAACGTAACGGTCTGTGATGACTTGAAAATCGAGATGACGAGCGCGGGCGATTGAGTAATTCGCACGCAGCGCTTTGAAAGCTGCTGGCCGGCGGATCTCCGAGAACGTCGACGCTAGTCTGCAGGATGGGAACTTGTCGCAAGAGGAGGACCGGGCAAGTGACGTTTCACCATGACGGCAAGGTTGTGCTTGGTCGTATATTCGCGCAGTGAGAGAAAAGACGAGTGGTGCGAGAGATCGGCTAATAACGAGTCGTGGGCGGCGGAGGCAGCAGCGGCAAAGATAAGAGCTTGCACGCTCCTCGACGGGCGATCTATCGCACCAAGTTGAGTTTTGAGGTCAGGGTCGATCGAGAGAAGATCGAGGTTGAGCAAAGCAAGTTTCGCAGAGAGGGTCCCGATTCTTGATCCGAAAGAGTCGACACTCATTCATCCATGAGAGCTAGAAACGGTTTCGAGCGAGTCGGAGTTCAAAGCGTCGAGTGAAGCGCAGGCCGGAATCTGAAACCTGGTGGAGTGGAAGAAAAGTCAAACATAAACAAGAGGGTATAGACTTGCAATACGCGATGTGTGGAGGAAGGGAAAGCTGACAAGTTGAAGCACTCACTGACCGTTCGGACGTTTGTTCGCTTTGTGACTGCCAAACAAGTACGGGGGATGTTTGGAACGACGAGTTGAGACGAAGTGGCTTTGGACGGATGACTCGACGAGCAGGATGACGGGCGCGGGAGGTTGAGGGAGTCGCGAGGCGGTCGAGACGGGGTGATAGTGCTCGAGCCGATGAAGGTCTCGGACTGCACATCGACGAAATCAGTCGGGCCGTGCAACAGATGTTCCGACAACCCCCGGGCTTGCCGCATCGTTGAGACTCTTCGATCCGATCAAGAAAGAAGCGTGAGGGATTGCATTCGAGTGATCGATCGACGTTGACGACGCGAGTGAACGATGTGGGGGTGGCGGAGGAGATCGTCACCGGTCGATAGTGGTGTGCGGGGCGCGGCGATGTGGGTCGAGTGACATATGCATCGATTCGAGACCTGGGGAACGGTGAGCGTCTCCTCGATGGAGCTGATGTGGGTTGTGCATTGTGATCGCAGAGTATGGTCGTACAAGTCACAGAGCGGTTCGGTGCGAAGCTCGGATGCCATCGAGTCGGCCAACGCGCGATCTGAACTAGAGTGATGAGCAGCAAAGATAACATGAAGTGAGCAAATGGGCAAGAGCTGAGTACTATTTGAATGAAGAGCTCACCACACTCATCGGTCGACTAGCGAGTGGGCGATCGGGGTGATCGAGCCGGTGCAATGACCGAGCACGTGTGCGACCCAGGACACTCGAGCGATGCATCGACGCAAGGCTAGCACGCTGCTGAAAGTGACCACGCCCTTTCAGATCAACCTGTTCAGCGTATCTTGCCGAAGATGACGATGTTGGAGTCGTTGATATTCATGTCGTGCGACGTCGCACCGTGCCCACCTCAGTCGGGTTGAGGTGACACGTCGAGCTGTAGTTGAGAGAAATCGAGTTGCATCTTGATGATTGAATGGCGCATGTGAGCGATGTGAAAGCATGTGACGTCGAGCTGTGGTGTGGTGCGATCAGTGCCGTGCCAAGTCTAGTGGTGCGAGTGGTGCGAGTGAGTGGGGAGAGGGAAAGGAGCGTTGGCGCGCGCGAACGTGAAGTCAAGCCTATACATGCAGTGGGGTTGCAGTACAGACACGAGATCTGCGGTACAGACATGACAATTTCGAATCATCATAAGTACTAAAATACACATGCTATCATATTCTTCTTGCAGATTCAAATTAATTCCACTCAAATAATTGTTCAACAGCATCAGTTTTATCTGATATTATGGACCTAAAATCAAGGGACGGACATGTCTGAACATTTGTTCTGGCCCAAGGACTAGGGGCAGTGGACCGCGCGTGCAAAAGTCTTCAAGGCCACAACAACTAGTGTAATTGAATATACTCAAAGCACAATGCCATATTAGCACAGATTAAGCATGTACACACCAGTTGGGATCGGGACAGATTCACAATAAACTTATCTACGTCTACAAGTCCTCAAGTCTGTGGTGCCTCAGCTCCAGCGATACCCGAAGCCCGAAATGGGGAACCCATTTCGGAGATCGCGAGCGCCGGTGGCCGAAGGCGGAGAGTGCCGCTGCCCCCACCCCTCTCTCCAATACCACAGGATGCTCGCGCGAGCTTCTTTTCAAGCGCCTCGCAGGAGTCTGTGGCATGTGGTATTTCTTTGCAAGCGAGGCGCGGGAGTCTGTGGTAGGGAGTCTGTCGTATCTGACAGGCTGGGCGCGGATATCACATAGCACAAGATGCTCGCGCGAGCTTCTTTGCAAGGCAGGCGCAGGAGTCTGTGGTATCTGACACGCTGCGCGCGCGGATATCACATAGCACAAGAAGCTCGCACGAGCTTCTTTGCAGGCTAGGCGCTGGCTTGTCAAATGGCACAAGGTGCTCGTGCGAGCTTCTTTGCAAGGGTCTCTCGGGAGTCTGTGGTATGTGGTATGTGGGAATTGCCCATATATATAGGGATAACGTTATGGTGTAGTGGGATCAGAGCCGAGTCGGGCCAAGTGGTGCGAGTGGTGCGAGTGGTGCGAGTGAGTGGGGAGAGGAAAAGGAGCGTTGGTGCGCGCGACCGTGAAGTCAAGCCAATCAGCTCATCAAGCGCGCGAAGTCCCAAAGCTGAACCCGTCGACCCGCAACCCATGTACCTAAAACCGATGTTTTTGGCTGCATTGCGGCCCTGTAGTGGATGTACCAGAATACTTTTGAGTCTGCCGCAGCGGCCTGTCGTATCAACGTCGTTCCGATTAGATGTCATGTGCGAACATTTCTGCATTTTCTGGACCATTAAAACCGTGCTACAGCCCGGGTGCGAGTTTGGTCGAGTTTCGAAGTGTTGCTGAGCGGCTTATGTAGTATAGACGAGTGGGCGAGACATTTCTTCTACAGAGCCGGCAAGAAGAGACCGCCTCCATCTGACCTGCACCCAAAGCACTGCAAGTCTACCGCCCCACGCCACGCCGCCAGCCCGACGATCTCCGACGATTTCCGAATGGGAATCTCGTTTCGGATCCGATCTCGGTTCAGCGCTCGGGGCTTGGCAGGGTTACTCGGTGTGTCGCCTTCCATCCTCGAGCAACCGGATTTCAGCAGTGCACGAGCAATTCCCCGTGCACTGCGATTTGACGGTTTTGACCCGGGGTCGGCTTCAAGTGTCGCAAAAGTGGATTTCGGCAGTGCACGAGCAATTCCCCGTGCACTGCCACTTTTCATTTTCACTGAGGATTTGGGGTTCTATTCCAAAACGTATCCAGACTTGGGCTGTACCCCACCTATGATAGCTATATACTGAGCAAGTTCGGACGAGCGCGCGCCTCGCTGAAAAGAACGCGACGCGCGTGGCACACGGCGCTGACTCGCCCGCTCAGGCTCTTGCCTCGACCTCGACCTCGACCTCGACCTCGACATCGAGCTCAAGGTCAAGGTCAAACGCAACCCCCAACGCGTACGACCTTGCCGAGGTGAGGGACGTACTACCTCCCTTGGTATCGTCGAGCAACTCGACCCCATTACGACCGCGCCGGCAGCCGGCCTCGAACGAGCGAGCATCGGACAGAGCCGAGAGGATTTCCAAGGCGGTGCAGATGCACCAGAAACACTGTCCGGCCCTCGAGGCCTACTTCTTCGGCCATCCGACCGCTGAGGAGCTCGCCAACAAGATCTGGCCCAAGGACTCCAAGATTGGCACCGAAGAAGCGCTGGGCGAGGTCATAGCAGGTGTCATCAACAAGGTAAGTCGACGCCTGGCCTACTCGATGGTGTGTGAATAATTCCTTCGAGAGCTGACTCGCCTTCCCATTGCCGTTTGTCTTACTGTTGGACCTCTAGACTGGAGACCGGCGATTGGTCGCCTGCAGCAACTCACCCTATTACATCAGCGTCGCACGTGACCGCGTGGAGACGACCGAGAAGACGGCCGATGTTGTGCTCTTGACCCACGCTGCGGTCGCGCACGATCCAACCCTCCCGAATGTATGGGCCCTTCCCAGTCACGCCGATCCGCAAGCCAAGAAACCCGACGCCGATGCGGGCCCCGACACCAACGTGAATTTCAACGCGAACGAAAACGGCAAGGGCCAGCATCACGACGAGGACAACAACGCAGAAGAAGACAGCACGAACAAGGCCAAGGCCAAGGACAAGGCCAAGGACAAGGTGGACCTGAACCAGGCCAAACGCTCCTTTACGCAAGTGGCCGCCGTCGGCGAGACCAAAGCCGGCAACTCTAACGCCGAGAGCCAGTTGTTCCGACGGTTGTCGGCACTCCTCGCGACGCCGATTCGCGAACATGCGATCGGGTTCACCCTTCGCGGCGAACGTCTCAAGATATACGTGATGTCTGCTTGCGGCGTGTTCTCTACCAAATCTAGAACAGTCACCGAAGGGAATGGGAGCTTTCGACGTTCTTGTACCGTCTCGTCCAACACAGCGATCGGCTCAACGGCGTTCTCGCCACCACGACCTCGCTCGACGACCGCTACGGCCCTTTCACGCTCTGCCCCGACTTCTTTCCGCCGGCGGCCTCAGAGTTCAGCTGGGGAGCAACGACGATGTCCAACGCCAACATCAAGAAGCTTCTGTTCCGTCGGCAAAGAGAGTGCGGTCGCGCGACGTCGACGTACGAGATCACCACTGGCGAGGGCACCAGCTGCAAGACCCGCGCCATGACGATCATTTGGGTCGAGGAGTCGCGCAACTCGGACTTGGTCGAGATCCGCAACGTGATCCAAGACAAGAGACCTCGAGGGCTCGCTCCGCTGGTCGGCGTCTTTCGCGCCGAATACAGGACCCTCCCCGGGTTCCTACCCGGCGACGAATCCCTCGACGGTATCACCGCGCGGGCCAAGGAGGTCGTCATTCATGAAGAATGCTACAACCCACTCGGCACGCTCGAACACACCAAGCAGCTCGCGCGCGCTCTCGAGGGTGCGATTGAGGGTGAGTGCTCATGATCAGAGCAGAGCGGGACAGCGCGCTGAAGGGTGTGCCAACACTGACGACCCTTTGCCTTGCGTGACAGGGCATCGCCAGCTTTGGAACTACGGCTTCATTCACCGTGACGTGTCCTATGGCAACGTCATGGTCGACCGGAACGGCGCTGGAGTCCTGATCGACTACAATTTGGCGGTAAAGAAGGCTCGAACGGCGGAAGAAGAGTGTCGCCTCAGCCGCTCGGTACGTTCTCTCGTCCGTGCTAGCCCTCGACACGTTCTTGGTCTCACCCAACTCCTTTCCACCCTTCCCCTGTACCATGATCAACCACAGGGCACGCTTCCCTACATCTCCCGACTCCTGCTCGTACCCGAAACCGAGAGTGTGGTGCATGAGCGATGGCACGACATAGAGTCCTTTTTCTACGTGGCGTCCCGCACGGCTTTTCAATCTGAACCTTCCGACGCGACCCTTTTCGAAAAGTCGGACGCTGCAGATATTTGGAACGCGTGGAACGCCCAAAAGCTCAACAATGCAGCAATCAGGAAAGTGGCTGCTTGGAACCGGCTTCGAGGAGCTCCTGGACGCATGCGCATCTCGTTGGTCTGAGTGGAGAAGGTTCTGAGTGTCCTGCGGCAAAATTGCTCGCTGGATTTCTCTTTCGAGACTGAGATACATCGATACAGAGCCAGAACTTGCGTCGCTTTGGAACTCCGGTCAGATGTCGTATGAACACGTCCAGGCGGCTTTCAAGGCACTTTGCGAATAGAACCGTGCTCGACATCTGCGTTCTTGTTTTGCAATTTCTATGGACGAATCTGAATGTAATACTAGACTTCGTACTGTGCGTTTGGTCAACTCCTAGATTCGCATACGCATACCAATCACATCATCCTGCCGAACCCGATACGATCGACGACAGGAGTGGGGCGAGCTTCAGGGGGAATGCGGCGGCCCGGCTATAACGAAAGCAAGCCTGCATAGACCAGACAGGAGCACCGAAGCTTCAGTAGTGTGTTTCGACCTATTTATGTGGGCAATTTCCAAATACCAAATGCGAAATTCTCCCGCCCGCCGCCGCCCGCCCGCCCGCTCTCCGCGCGCCCTGGGCTTTCCGCTTTCGACTTCAACACGATCTGGGAAGCCTACAGCACCTGTACCGTCAAAAAAGCTGTAGGCTTCCCAGATCGTGTTGAAGTCGAAAGCGGAAAGCCCAGGTTGTACCCTCTCTATCGAACGGCAAGAGAAAGACGGTACAAGTCCTTGAATTGTATTTGATGAGAAAGGAAAGTGAAGTGAAGAAAGTCGATAAGCGGTGTCGAGCAATTATCGAAGGTAGATCCGTGTGAACTCGGGGAGAATGAATGGATGGGGGGAGAAAAGAGAGGAGAGTTCAACGGCAAAGCTAGAGAGAGACAGGAAATGGAAATGGAGGCTAACGGCTCTGATGAGTATTAGTGAATTGGAGGGGCGGGCCTACATCGTCCCCCGCTGAGTAGAGCGTCTCTACTCCTGGGGTTTCAATAATCCCGTGGAGGCGTCGGGGCCTGCCTGTAATTCGATGATGCCGACGGTGAGCCCTGCCCGGCCAGCGTCTGCGGGTTCGGGCTTGGTCCCAAAAGTGCTTCGGTGCCCTGGGCGTTGGAGGGGCCGGCGATGAGCGGCATCGACAAATCCCCTGGAGTGATATATGGACTTTGGGTAGGGGTGCCCTGGGGCGTGTGGTGCAAGGCGGCGAAACTTGCAGCGCTCACTGTCACCGCCCCTCGGAGGGGGGATCCCGGCAGTTGTTGAGGGCTTGTTTTGCCAGTGCGTTCAACGCAGGCTTGCTGATCTTGAATACGTCGATACTCGGCTTGGCCGGTTTGCTGCCGCTGATGACTCGCCTGCTGCGCCTGTAGGCGAAGTTGTTCCCTCAGGGGCGGAGGGTCCTCCAGAGTGGCGTTCGCTACTTGTCGCGTAGGTGCGGCCGGTCGGCGTGCGGGAGGCCTCCTGCCGCACGGTCTCCATCTCATACGACCAGTTATCGTGATCGGCTGGGCGGTCGAGTCGACGAGCAGTGCTTGACTTCGTTGGATCTTCTCCATCGCGGAGGTAATCCTGTTGGCTTGGCGGCCTTTTCCTCGAGGTCGCTGATGAAGTTGCGTCCCCTCGTTTGGGCAGTCCCCGCGCGGTTCATTGCGTGATGCCAGCGCTCGCTCTTGGTGTATTCTGAGATGGGTTTCCTCTGAAGATGGAGAGCCAGTCGTCAAGTTATAGTCAGGGTCGGCGATGGGAATCTGGCGTCTGACAGGTTTGAGGTCCCAGATGGTGGTGACCTTGTTCTTGGCCAAGTACTCCTCAGGGACAGCCGGACCGAGGTGTAGTCCCGTCGCGAGGAGTTCGTTAAATGAGGCACGTCCGATTTTGGCTCCTGCTCGTTGTCCCTGAGGGGTGTCGGAGTAGACGAGTGTGCCTTCGAGCTCGCCTGCTTCGTTCTCGACGAGTTCATGGTTGAGTACGTATGCGATGGCCATCGGTAAGTCGATCGGGTAGACCGGGACTGAGTCAACGAGTCGGTTTGGGAATCGGGATTCGTCTGAAGGTTTAAAAACCTTGAGTTGGGATGCGTGGAACGTGCTACGGATCCCGCGAGATGTACAGCGTTCCGGACTCGGGCAAGCTTGTACGTCGAGTTGGCTGGGTCAAACCCGAGGCAGGTGAAAGGCCCGATATACTTCGGGGCCCATGGGTCAGGGTAGGTGGGTGCATCGCAAGGGGGTTGCGATAACATGTCGGGCATGGCGTTCGCCTTGCCTGCGGTGTGCTCAGCCGTGTATGCAAATTCCGAGAAGTAGAGATACATGCGCGTCTGTTTTCTAGACAGCGTTGGGAGTGTTGTGAACTTCGCAAGAGTCTGGCTGTCCGTGAGGACGATGAATGGACGTCCTCGCAGCTTTGTTTCGAAGCGTTGAAATCCTTCGTACATGCCCTGGAGCTCTTGGTTCTGGGTGTTGTAATTGAATTGGAAAGGCGAGAACTTTCGCGAGTGGTAGCCCGTGGATGCTTAGCACGTAGCCGACTCCTGTACCTGAGGCGTCGAATTGGAGGAAGAGGTACTTCCCTTTGGATTCGTTCTCTGGCACCTTTTCTCCTTCGGCCGGGAGGGGTGTCTAGGTGGACTGGGAAGGTACCATCGGGTGCAAGCTCGTCTGAGCGAATGCAGGTGAGTTTGGCACTGTCGTCAAATGCAGCCTTGATACTTTCAAAAGCGTCGCTGCAAGCTCGGGACCATCTCCAGGGGCTGTTCACCCCTGTCAGTGCATCCAAGGGCGCCGCTAGCTCGGCAAGGTGCGGGATTGATCGATGGTTATATTCCACCGCTCCTAGGAAACGTTGAAGATCCTTCTTGTCCTTAGGAGCTGGGGTAGCTCGGATGCCAGCCGCCTTTTCCGGCTGCATCGAGCTTTCTCCCGGGCGAATCTTCCTGCCCAGAGAGTCGCGAATCTCTGTAGCGAATTTGAACTTTGAGATAGGAATGCGGATGCCGTGGACTTCGGCTCGCTCGAGAGTCTCGCGGACATCCCGTTTGTGTTCGGCCCAGGTATTAGAGATGGGCCACAGGTCGTCGGCGTAATGTTTGATCTTGCGATTGATGAGTCCAGCAAAAGCAAATGAGACGAGCCGGTGTAGTGTAACCGTGCTGTTGCGATCGCCTTGTTGAGCGACAAGTGAGTACAGGATCCCGTTAGGGGTGCTGAACGCGGTCTTCTTCACATCTTCGTCCTTGATGCGACTTTGTTGGAAAGCACCTTGAAGGTCGATCTTCGTGCAGAAGTTCGCCGCTGCAACTGCGTTTACTTTCAGGAACTGAGGCCGAGGCACGAAGTGCGTAAGTACGAGAGCCGATGAAGATAGTAAAGATAGTTGGAGAAAGAAGATAAGCGCTAAGGGAGCGCGCGCGAGGCAGGCTCGAGACGCGCGGGGCGACTAATATCAACAACTAGTAACTAATCATAATCGGGAATACCAGTGGGATGAAACAGCAATATATTGACACCCCCCCGTGCTGTCATACCACTGCACCTCGCAAACCCAAATTCTCCCGATGGAACATGAACGGCTTGGGACCCAAGGCTTTGGTGAAAATATCGGCAATCATGTCGCCGGTGGCGATGTAGCGGACCTCGATCTCCTTCTCAGCTACCCTCTCGCGGACGTAATGTTCCGAGATGCGAACATGACGAGACCCCTGATGGTTGGTCGGGTGCTGCGCAAGAGCCAGCGAACCTTGGTTGTCCCCGTAGAGTACGACTGGACCGGAGACCGGAGCGCCAAGTTCAGCCAGGAGTTCGCTCAGGTGGATGGCATCACCGCTTGTGTACGAAAGAGAGAGGTACTCTGCGTCGGTAGTGGACTTGGCCACCCTGTGCTCGCGTTTGGAGCACCAAGCAATAGCGGCTCCGGACAAGATGAACGCGTAGCCCATGGTCGATCGTGAGGTCGTTAGACAGGCTCCCCAGTTCGCATCCGAGTAGCCACGGAGTGGTTGGCTGGTCTTGCGATAGGTGAGGCCCAAGTCCAGCGTGCCTTTGATGTAACGGAGGACCTGCTTGATGGCTGTCCAATGCTCCGGGCCAGGCTGCTGGGAGAAGCGAGCGAGGTAGCTGACCACGAAGGCGAGGTCCGGACGAGTTCCAACTGCGGCGTACATCAACGAACCGATGGCCTGCAAGTAGCGCGTACGATCCTGAGGAGTGGCCGCCAAGTCCTCGAAGTCAAGGACGACACCTGGCTGCATTGGAATACTTGCCGGCTTGGCATCGGTGAATTGGAACCTGGCAAGGATGTCCCGAAGGTAGCGCTCTTGTGAGAGCGTGATAGAGCCGTCTTGTCCACGTTTGACTTGGATGCCTAGAATATATTCGGCAGGTCCGAGACGTTTGATGCCGTATGCGAGTTCCAGCGCGTCCATATCACGAAGGACGAAGATAGGAGAGGTGAGCCGGACGAAGGGGCTCGAGACGAGGGCAAGGGCGAGTGACGAGTTGAGAGGTGTTCTAGGGACTTCTCACAAGAGGCGAGGACGAGGGACGAGTGCAAGGATGTGACCTTTGACGAGATTCGAGTTGCAGAAGGGAAAGAGAGAAGTGAGCTACGGAACTGGGAAACTAGACCAGAGGAGTCGGGGACGAGGTGGCGAGCTTGAGGAGGCGAGGCACGAGGATCACGTAATAGTGTTGAGGCCAAGGATCACGTAATAGAGCTTGGTTGATGTTCACGTAAGAGTCGGGGGCGAGAGGGTTGTGAGCGTATAGTTGGAGGAGAAGAAGGCAGTGCAGGTGCCGAAGCGGGGAGAGGAGGTCCGAAGCGCGGGAAGGCCGAAGTCACGCGGATGACGTGGGTGCTGAGAGGCCGAACTTGGAGTGGCGAAACTCCCATTCGTGACACCTTCGTTCTCAATCTCGAGGCGAGCCGGCAGGGCGCTAGGTCACCCACAAGAGTTCGGATGGTTGGAGAAGCCTCCTCGCACAGGACATAGGACATCAGCAAATATCGAGTCTTGGGTGGCGGAGACAGCAGCGACAAAGACAAGAGCCTGCATACTCGTCGACGAGTGATCTGTCGCACCGAGTTGAGTTTTGAGGTCGGGGCCGATGGAGAGGAGATCTCCGTCGAGCAGAGCAAGTCCTGCCGAAAAAGTCTGGATCCTCAAGTAGAAAGAGTCGACGAGCATTCTGCCGGGAGACGGACTTAAAACGGTTGCGAGTGATTCGGAGTCCAAAAAGTCGAGTTGAGCGCAGGCGGAAATCAAAGACCTGGTGGAGCAAATCAACCGTCAAACATGAGCAATAGTGCACACACTTGCAACACGAGAAGTGGAGGGAGGGAAGGACTTCAGGTTGAGGCCATGCACTGACCTTTCGGACGTTTGCGCGCTTAGTGACTGCCAAACGAGTGCGTCGCTACCAAGCGAGGTGACAAGCGAAGAGAGAAGGGTTGGAACACCGTGCGTGGTTGAGCGCAGTCCATGACCGCATGTCCAGAGTTGGTGAAGCATGTACAAACATGCAAGTCGCCGAGGTGGGATGGTACGTATCAGGCTGGTCGAGCGAATCGCCGAGGTCGATTGAGAGTACGAAGGATCGTCACGATCCGACGCTGAAATCGAGCGCCGAGTGGTCCGGAGAAGCCCGAGTCGGGACTTTATGCTCGACGTGCACAACGTAATAAAGAGTTCGAGTAAGATGTGAAGCAATGAGGAGGTGTTCCGTGGCACATCTCAGGAGCTTTGCCGTGAAGTCGATCGGTCGGAGCGATCGACGAGGTTGAGAGTCAGCGTGCAAGTCCGGTCGAATTGACCGGCAAGGAAGACGAGCGGGAATATGAGATGTTGAGGTGCCATGAGGTGAAACGTAGCGCTTAGTGGTGTGGACGGATGACTCGACGAGCCGGATCACGAGGGCCGGCGATGGAGTGAGTCGCGGCGGGGTCGAGACGGGGTGATAGTGCTTGAGGCAATGCGGGTCTCCCATCTCGACATCGACGCACTCGTGCTTCAAACTGGTGGCGAGAGGTACCGAGGGATGGTGATCTGCGGGCTCAAATGCTGGGCGTGCGAGCTTGTAAGCATCGCTGCGAAGTTCCGTTCGAAGGAGCGCTCCTAGTCCGGGTCGTTCGTGACCATCAATCTACACTGTGCACTGTGGGCGGTCTGAGCCCGTCGTCGGTGGTCGAGCACGTGGTCCCGTCGCGACGGCTGTCAGAAAGGAAGGGCTGTCGACGTTCGAAGTATGGTTGAGTTAGAGCTCGAGTTGACCGAGCGAGTTGGAGTGGCGATTCGGGCAGGGTGGGCACATCGAGGCGGACCCATGTCAGTTGGTGCTTGATCGTCCATCGAATAGTGCTTGATCGTCGCTTTGATAGAACTGAAGCAAGTTGCCTGAGAGATGGACGGGTCCAGCTGATCATCGGAGTGCCGAACGGTTCGAGCCGAGACAAAGCTGCTCGATGAAATGGCTCGAGTGCCGAGCCAGCCAAAAAGAGCGCCGAAGAGTCAAGCAGATCCCAAGAACATGACAGAACACGGGTCGAGAGGAGTCGTATTGGCGATCGTAGTATTGAATCGCAAGCTCGTGGCATGGGGTGGGGGCGATGTTTGAGCAAGTCGGTGCGAAGCTGAGGATGGGCGACGTGCGAGTCGGATCTAAATGTCGGGGAAATGCTGTGAAACACAGATGAGTGTTTGAAACGGCGTCAGTATTGAAGGGACTCGAGACGATGGAGACCCAAGTTGGAGAGGAGAGCATACCAGACTGGGGTCCTGATTGATCGAGCTGACCCGTCGGTGTGAATGCGAAGATCACGGGGAGTGTAGAGCTGGGTGTAGTGGCACAAATCAAGACAAAGTGAGGTGAATCGTGTTGATAAGTGAATTGCCAGAGGATTAGAGAATGGGGCGATCGTGGGGTCGGCGCTCATGATGAGTAGGTCAGGTCAGTTGATGACCGTGAGTCCATGTCGATCGAGTTGAAGGTCGACGGTTGAGGCGGTCGCCATCGCGATGGGCGAGCGGGTTGTTACTTCGCACGCCTTGGTGATGGGGTGAGCACGGACAGGGGGCGAGATCGAGCTGGAGAAGTTTGCCAGTTCGGTCGGTTGATCGATCAATCGGACCGAAGGTCGATGATGGGTGCGAAGCTTCGAACGGGCATCGAGCGAATGCTTGCCGAGTCGTGCAATACATGTTCCAACAGATTCCGAGAGCTTCCCGCGTCGATGAGACTCTTCGATTCAAAGAAAGATATGTGACAGCGAGTGATTGCACTCGAGTGATCGGTCAATGTTGACGACGAGAGTGAACGATGTGGAGTTGGCGGGGGAGATCGCCACCGGTCGACAGTGGTGTTCGAGGTGCGGCGATATTGGTCGAGTGACATTTGCATCGATTCGAGACCTGGGCAAGGGTGAGCGACTCCTCGATGGTGTTGACGAGGAAGTCGCATTGTGATCGCAGAGTATGGTCCTACAAGTCACAGAGCGGTTCGGTGCGAAGCTCGGATGCCAGCGAGTCGGCCAACGCGCGATCTGAACTAGAGTGATGAGCAGCAAAGACGATCACGAGGTGAGCGAATGAAGTGAGCTTGGTACTATGTGAATGAAGAGCTCACCCACACTCATCGGTCGAGTAGCAAGTCGGCGATCGGGGTGATCGAGGCGATGCGGTGACTGAGCACGTGTCTGACCGAGTACGCTCGAGTGATGCATCGACGTAAGGTAGGACACTGCTGAAAGGGTCCACGCCCTCTCGGATCGATCTGGTCATCGTATCGTGTTGAAGATGGCAGTGTTGGACTTCATGTTAACCGTGCTGTGCGACGTAGCGCGGGGCCCACCTCAGTCGGCTTGAGGTGACACGTTGCGCCGAAGTTGAGAGATCGAGTTGCATCTTGCGGATTGACTGGCGCATGTGACGTCGAGTTGTGGCGTGGTGCGATCAGTGCCGAGTCCGAGTCGAGTCAAGTGGTGCGAGTGAGTGGGGAGAGGGAAAGGAGCGTCGGCGCGCGCGACTCTGAAGTCGAGCCGTTGGCTGACCGAACTCGGCTGAACTCGGCTGAACTCAGGCAGACTCTGCGACGGGAAAGCTTAATTAGGCGCGCTCGGCCGAGAGATCCGACGGTCTCCGATTTGCTCGAGTCCAGTCGACCTGTTGCACTTCAAGACTCGAAGATCGAACAGGGATCCGAGGGAACTTCAGAGCTAGAGAGAGCGAGTACCTCCGAACTCGGTGCGAGCGCCCGGGCGAGTCGGCCGGCGTCCGCGGCAAAAAGGTCGACTCGTCCAGGTCACTGAGCACACTCGTACCCTCATCAATCTTTTACTCAAAGGCTATTCCCAAAATATGTACGAGGTGCGTCGGAATGTTTGAGGGCAAACACATCTGATCCGGGAGCAGATCGTTGGTCCGATTACTCGGAGTCGAGATGAGTCATCGATGGGAGATGAGAACCGCGGGCGTGTCCTGGAAGCGCATCTCACTGGCAGTCTCTCGCAGACCGCAATGCTGTGAAATGCATGAAGAGATGAGATGAGCTCTCAAGTGGTATCTGGCGGCCTGGATACAGTTTGAGAGCTGGCTTTCTCCAACAGATCGTCGGTGAAAACTCACTGCGGCCGGCACTTCGTTTGCGGACAAGTTCGGTCACTTTCGACGATGATCGCAATGCTCTGTTAGGTCGATCTGACGACTTTTTCTCGGTACAGAACCATTCGTTTGAAATAATAAAGGGATATGGTCATGGCGCGGAGAAGATCGTCCAGTTCCAGTTCCAGTTCCAGTTCCAGTTAGCACTGTCGGTAACAAGGCTCGATGGTCGCCGAGCCGAGAGACAAGTAAGGAGTAATCGACTCATTCTCGCAGCCCCATCCGGCAGATAGATGTTTCTCATTCTCAGAACACTCGAATATAGTTGCCCATACGCGTGCAGTGCTAGATTGCGGTCCTGTTGAGGCAGTATTTTCATCGGGACCGGTCTTCGAGATCACGAAACCAACTTAGTGATTCCGCAGCACACATGATCTAGGTCGATGTGGTCCATTCAACAGGTCATTGCTGCAAGCCATATACCTCGCATCGAAGCATGTTGCAAGCTACATGAATACTTTTGAGAGATCTATCACATGGTCGTCACTGTGTTGGAGTCACTTTCGAGTGCTGATTTGGAGTTGAAAAGTCGCGCAAGGAGGTCGGCTCTCGATCGCGCAAACTCGGCCCCTTTAGTTTTCGCGGGTCGATCGGATAGTGATCTTCGACACTCGAAGGAGGACTTTCTTAATGAATTTTTTCAATCTTGACGGAAGAATCCATGCGGTGCTTTGCGGTGTCAAAGCATACTTTCAGTCATGATCGTCGGTGAGGGATGCGGGTCACGGAAGTTCGACTTTGCGTGAAAGTCGAGGAAGCCCCTCCCTGTTGAATCACGACCTACCTCTGCAAGCAGCTGTTCTTCACACTTGATTACTTGCTAAAGCCGGAAAGAGGCTATAGTAAAAGGCTAGGGATGCGAGTGCAAGGTTGACGCTATGGTATAGCAAAGCGGTCGATCAAAGATGAAATGTAAAGATAAGGGGAAACGATGGAACCGAGACCGAAGACGAGGGAGACGAGATACGAGATACGAGAGAGCGACCGGAACGGCCGAGAGACGAGAGACGAGAAAGGAGCCCAAACCGAGAAACGAGACCGAGTATGAGAACGAAACGCTGAGACCGGAGACTGGAGACGAGAGACGAGACTTGAATCACGCAGAAAGTGAGAACCAGCTAAGATGCTGTATAGGATCCTAGAAGTGGTCTGCCTAAGAACAAGAAGCAAACTCTCCTCAAACGTTCCGATCATTCAGGCCGCTGCGCTCCTTTCATTCCCCTTCACTCCTTCATCCGCGCATCCGGCCCGGTCTTCCACTCAAATCCTGCCACATGATTTGTTGCTGACGGTCAATCCTTGAGTCATCGAAGTGCTGAGTTTACTCGGGACCGCTTTATCGCTGAGAAATCTGCCGAAACCGATGTTTGATCCTGCCCGAACCGGTGTTGACCTTGACAATTTGAAACGACTCCGGAACTCGGTCCCGCCACAACCGAAATGACTCCTGAACCGGGCCGGCTACATCCGCTGCTTCTGACGGGATCCCGAGTACCACAACGCCCACTCTAAACGGACCGCGGCATGTCACTGCAGCTTGGTCGGCATGGGCGACGCATACGCATGAGCGACAAATACGATCGATCCAGTGTGTCACTTTGACATACTCCGACACAGTTTTGCTTGCGTTCAGCAGTTGGTAGGCCAGAGTTTATGTCGGATTTGATACAAGAACATCCCATAGAGGTCGTTTGCGGCAGAACCATGTCCGAGGCCGCAGGAAAACCCGGCAAGAATGGGTCAAGAAGATCCAAAGGTTCTCAGACACGCACACATGAGCTCAAAGACCACCTGGTATTGCATCAAAGAGCACATCCTCAATTATTCGTACCCCAGAAATGCAGGGAAAGAAGTGAAAGGAGCAAACGTCGCTCGAGCAGTTGGCCAAAGAGTCAAGGTGGTCGTTCGTTCTCAATGTTAAGGCGAGCGGGCAGGGCGCTAGGTCGCCCAGAAGAGTTCGCATGGTTGACGAAGCCTCCTCACACAAGTGATCGGCGATTGTCGAGTGTTGGGTGGCGGAAGCAGCAGCGGCAAAGACGAGAGCTTGCATGCTCCTCGACAAGGGATCTGTCCCACCGAGTTGAGTTGTGAGGTCGGGGGCGATTGAGGAGATCGAACTCGAGCAAAGCAGGTCTCGCCGAAAAAGTCTGGATCCTCAATTGGAAAGAGTCGACGATCATTCATCCATGAGAGCGAGAAACGGTTTCGAGCGAGTTGGAGTCTGAAGAGTCGAGCTAGGCGCAGGCTGGAATCTGAGAGCGAAAGAAAAGTCAAACATAAGCAAGAGTGCACCTACTTGCTAAACAAGGTGTGGAGGAAGGGAAGGCCCTTAAGTTGATGGCACGCACTGACCTTTCGGACGTGTGCTCGCTTAGTAAATGCCAAACGAGTTTGTCGACACCAAGCGAGGTGAATGCATGAAGAAGCGAAGCGAGGGGAGATGGAACACCGTGCGTCGCTGAGCGCAGTTCATGAACGCATGTCCAGGGTTGATGGAACGTGTACGATCGTGCAAGTCGGAGAGGTGGGAGGGTGATCCCACGTAACAAGCTGGTCGAATCGCCGAGGTTGATTGAGAGTGCGAAGGATCGTCACGGTCCACCGCCGAAAGCGAGCGCCGAGTGGTGTGGAGAAGCCCGAGTCGCGAAGCTCCCGAGATGTGCCACGGAACACCTCCTCATTGCTTCACATCTTAATTGGACTCCATATTACGTTGCGCACGTTGATCCATAAAGGTGTGAAGCAGTGAGGAGGTGTTCCGTGGCACATCTCGGGAGCTTTGCCATGAAGTCGATCCGTCGGAGCGATCGACGAGGTTGAAAATCAGCGTGCAACTCCGGTCCAATTGATGGGCGACGCAGGCGGAAACCAAGATGTTTGAATCTATGAGTTGAAACGTAGACGATCTGTGTTGCTCTGACAAGCTGGATGACGAGGGCGGGCGATTGAGCAATTCGCTCGCAGCGGGTCCAAAGCTGCTGGGCGAGCAAGCGTTCCTGGCGGATCTCCAGTGGCAAGAAGGCCGACACTAGTCTGTGTGCTGGAAGCTTGTCGCAAGATAAACCGGGGGGTGGCAATGCGCGAACTCGGATGTGGGGGCTATGCGAGCGTGTGAGCGAATCGGTGCGAAGCTCCTTCGAGGGAGCGCTTCCTTTCCGGGTCTTCCGAGACCAACGATCTGCAGTACGCGGTGACACGGCAGATCTTCGTCTCATCAGCAAGGAGTGAAAGTCGCAAGTGAGAGCTAAGATCGAAACAGCTCACGGTGGGCGGTCTGAGCGAGTCGTCCGAGGTCGAGCAATTCCGGTCGCGATGGCTCAAGTGAGCAATCGACATAGCCCGGACTTATATGTAGACACTTTCGAGTTCGTCGTCGAGTCGTTCCGATGGGTGATGGTGAGGGTGTTGCAGTTGCTGAATGGGTTCCGCTTGCCTCAGCCGGTTCCGGGTGACACATCAAGTGCCGGGTCGAGCAACTCGAGCCGCATGTACCGAGCAAGTGACGTCTCACCGTGAAGGCAAAGCGTTGCGTCGTCGTGTCTTCGTGCAACGAGAGAAAGACGAGTCGAGTCGATTGCCACGAGAATCGGCGAATGTCGAGTCTTGGGTGGCCGAGGCAGCAGTGGCAAAGATACGAGCTTGCACCATCGTCGATTCGCAGATCGAGGTCCATCCATGAGAGCTAGAAACGGTTTCGAACGAGTCGGAGTTTAAAGAGTCGAGTTAAGCGCCGGCGAAAATCCATGACCTGGTGGAGCGAAAGGAAGGTCAAACATAAGCAAGAGTGCACATACTGGCATCACGCGGTGCGGAGGAAGGGAAAGCCCTCAGGTTAAAGGCACTCTCGGACCTTTCGGACGTTGGTTGGCTTTGTGACTGCCAAACGAGTTCGGGGGATGATTATAGCGAGACGTAGTGGCTTTGGACGGATGACTCGACGAGCTGGATAACGATCGCGGGAGGTTGAGTGATTTGCGGCGCAGTCGAGACGGGGTGAAAGTGCTTGTGCCGATAAACGTCTCCGATCTCGACATTCACGAAATCAGTCGAGTCGTGCAACAGATGTTCCAACCAACCCCGAGCTAGCCGCGTCGATGAGCTCTTCGATTCGATCATGAAAGAGATGAGAGGGATTGCATTCGCGTGATTGCTTAACGTTGATGACGCGAGTGAACGATGTGGGGGTGGCGGAGCAAATTGTCACTGGTCGACAGTGGTGTTTGGGGGTGGGGCGATGTGGGCCGAGTGACATGTGCATCGATTCGAGAACTGAGGAAAGTAATTATCTCCTCGATGGTGCTGACGAGGAACTTGCGCTGGCGTCGCGAGCATGATTGTACAGGTCACAGAGCGGTTCGGTGCGAACCTCGGATGCCAGCGGGTCGGCCAACGCGCGATCTGAACTAGAGTGATGAGCAGCAAAGACAAACATGAGGTGAGCGGATGGGGTGTGAGCTGGAAAGTATCTGAGTGAAGTACTCACCACACGCATCGGTCGAGTGGCGAGAGGGCGAACGGGGCGATCGAGGCGATTGGGTGACCGAGCACGTGTCCGACCGAGGACGCTCGAGCGATGCGTCGACGTAAGCTAGCACGCTGCTGACAGCGACCGCGCCCTCTCAGGTGGCGGTTTTAGTTGTATCTTGTTCAAGATGGCGGTGTTGTTGACCGTGTTGTGCGAAGTCGCACCGTGCCCGAATCAGTCGGGTTGAGGTGACACGTCGAGCTGTAGTTGAGAGCAATCGAGTTGCATCTTGCGGATCGAATGGCGCATGTGAGCGATGTGAAAGCATGTGACGTCGAGCTGTGGTGTGGTGCGATCAGTGCCGTGCCAAGTCTAGTGGTGCGAGTGGTGCGAGTGAGTGGGGAGAGGGAAAGGAGCGTTGGCGCGCGCGAATGAAGTCGAGCCAATTAATCAGCTGATCAAGCGCGCGAGATTTCAAAGCCATGTATCTAAAACCGCAGTTTTTGACTGTATTGCCGCCATGTGGTGAATGTACCAGTACACTGTTGAGTCTATCCAAGCCGCCTGTAGTATCGTCGTCCCGATCAGACGTCATGTACGAACATTTCTGCATTTGCTGGACCATCAAAATCGAGCTACAGCCCGAGTACGATTTTTGTCGAGTTTCTCCGTGATGCTGAGCGGTTCATGTAGTATTTAAAAACGAGTGGGCGAGCATGACACTTCTTCTACAGAGCCGGCAAGAACAGACCGCTTCGATCTGACCTGCACACAAACTAAGTCTACCGCGCGAGGCAGCGCCGCCAGCCCGACGATTTCCGACGACGATTTCCGAATGGGAATCTCGTTTCGGATCCCATCTCGGTTCAGCGCTCTGGGCTCAGGGGTAGCCCACAGAGTTGCGCGCCTCAAAATATCAAGGGCATCTTTGCCAGGGTCAGCCTCAAGTGCGCGGAGAGCTGGCGGGCAGCTGGCGGGAGGATTTGGCATTCGGTATTTGATTAGTGTCTACTATATAGTCAGGTCGTCATTGCGAGGTCCGAGCAGATTCCTACTTCGCACGTGGTGGCAAGGGGATGAGCGCGACGGTTGGGGGCGAGATCGAGCTCGAGAGGTTTGTCTGTTTCGTCGTTCGGTCGGTTGATAGTCGGATCAAAGGTCGATGATGGGTGCGAACCTTCGGACGGGCAGTGATCGATCTGACGACTTCCTCTCGGTATAAACTTCTTCGCTTGGAATGATGCAGGGATATGTTGGTGGTACGGAGAGAAAGTTCCACTTAGCACTGTCGGCGAAAAGGCTCCGAGTCGATCGTCGCCGACCGGAGAGCCAACTAAGGATCGACTCATTCTCGCTGCCCCATCCTGCAGATAAACTTTGCTCACTCGCAGAACACTCGAATGTCCGGACAAAACTTGTCGATAAGCGTGCACCGCTAGATTGCGGTGTTGATGTCGTATTTTCATCGGGACCGTTCTCCGAGATCAAAAAGCGAAAGTGATGCCGTAGCACATGATCTAGTTCCCTTTCGAACGGGTCACTGCTGCAGGCCATAGGCCTCGAATTCTGCCCTATTTGAAGTTGTATCACTACGATTGAGACGTCTATCACATGATGACCACTGCGTTGAGGTCAATTTCGACTTTTGATCAGGACTTGAAAAGTCGCCGCGCAAGGACTCCGGGGTCCTCTCGATCGCGCAAACTCGGCTCCTTCACTTTTCGTTGATCGATCGGATAATGAGCCTCCGACGGTCGAAGCAAGGACCTTCTGAATTTGATTTCTCAACCTTGACGGATGATTCCATGGGGTGCTTTGCGGTGCCAAAGCATACTCTCAGTCGTGATCGTCGGTGACGGATGCGGGCCGCAGAGGTTCGGCGTTACGTGAAAGCTGAGGAACGATTTGGGTCGAATCACGGCATACCGCCACAAGCAGCTCCCCTACACACACGATTCAACTGCTACAGTCGGAAAGAGCCTATAGAAGAGGGCTAGGGATGCAATCATTGGGTCTAAGCCAACTCTGAATGGACCCCGGCGGGATGCCATTAGCTCGGCCGGCGTGAGCGAGGAATACAATCGATTCAGCGACTCCGCAGAGATCACTGCAACGTACTCAAATATCCACTTTCAATTGCGTTCAGCAGTCAGAAGTCCAGTTCTCGTGCTGGAAGCGATACAAGCACATTCCATTTGGGTCCTTCCCGGAAGCACCACATCGGAGGCCGCAGGAAAATCCGGCAGAAAGATCCGAAGGTTCTCAGACACGCACATATGAGCTCAAAGACCACATGGTGTTGCATCAAGGAGGACATACTAAAACTTTGGTACGTCAAAATTGCAGGCAAGGAGGAAACGTCGCTCGAGCAGTTGGGCAAAGAGTCGAGGTGGTCCTTCGTTCTCAATCTCGAGGCGAGTCGGCCGGGCGCTAGGTCACCCACAAGAGTTCGGATGGTTGGAGAAGCCCCCTCGCACAGGTCATCGGCGAATATCGAGTCTTGGGTGGCGGAGGCAGCAGCGGCAAAGAAAAGAGCTTGCACGCTCCTCAACGAGCGATCTATCGCACCGAGTTGAGTTTTGAGGTCAGGGTCGATCGAGAGGAGATTGAGGTCGAGCAAAGCAAGTTTCGCCGAAAAGGTCTCGATTCTCAATCCGAAAGCGTCGATGTTCATTCATCCATGAGAGCTAGAAACTGTTTCGAGCGAGTCGGAGTTTAAAGAGTCGACTTACGCGCAGGCCGGTATCTAAGACCTGGTGGAGCGAAAGAAAAGTCAAACATACGCAAGAGTGCACACACTTTCAACACGAGGTGTGAAGAGAGGTAAGGACTTTAGGTTGAAGGGCCGTACTGACCTTTCGGATGTTTGCTCGCTTTGTGACTGCCAAACGAGTTCGTCGACACCCAGCGAGGTGAGTGCAAGAAGCGAAACGAGAGGAGATGGAGCGCCATGCAACGCCGATCGCAGTTCATGACCGCATGTCCAGGGTTGCCAAAGAATGTACAAACGCGCAAGTCGTCGAGGTGGGACAGTGATCGCACGTAGCAAGCTGATCGAGCGAATCGCCAAGATCGATTGTCGCAGGATCGTCACGATCCAACGCCGAAACCGAGCGCCGAGAGGTCCGGAGAAGCCAGTCGTGAGTGTACGGTTCAACGTGCGCAACGGAGGATGGACTTTGAGTAAGATGTGAAGCGATGAGGAGGTGTTCCGTGGCAAATATCGAGATTTTTGCCGGAAAGTCGATCAGATGGTGCGATCGACGAGGTTGAAAGCCAGCGTGCAAGTCCGATCGAGTTGAATGGCGAGGAGGGCGCGCGGGAATGTGGGATGTTGCCGATGAACGTCTCCGATCTCGACATTGACGAAATCAGTCAAGTCGTGTAACAGATGTTCCAACGAACCCCGAGCTAGCCACGTCGATGAGACTCTTCGGTTCGATCAAGAAAGAGATGAGAGGGATTGCATTCGTGGGATTGCTTAACGTTGATGACGCGAGTGAACGATGTGGGGGTGGCGGAGATCGGCACAGGTCGACAGTGGTGTTCGGAGTGGAGCGACGAGGATCGAGTGATGTTTGCATCAATTCGAGACCGCCGGAAGTATCATCTCTTCGATGGTGCTGATGGCCTCAGATCAAACAGCTCACTGGGGGCGGTCTGAGCGAGTCGTCGGAGGTGGAGCAGTTCCGGTCGCGATGGCTCAAGTGAGCAATTGACATAGCCTGCACGCAACCGTAGGTACCTTCGAGCTCGGTATCGAGTCGTTGAAGGCCGATTGGCGATGATGAGGGTATTGCAGTTGCTGAAGGGCGCGTCGTCGCTTGCCTCAGCCGGCTCCAGGTGACCCGTCAAGTGCCGGGTCGAGTAAGGTCGAGCCGCTCGTACCGGGCAAGTGACGTTTCAACGTGACGGCAAGATGTTGCGTCGTCGTGTGTTTGTGCACTGAGAGGAAAAGACGAGTCGAGTCGAGTGGTGCGAGCGATCGGCGAATGTCGAGTCTTGGGTGGCGGAGGCAGCAGCGGCAAAGATGAGAGCCTGCACGCTCCTCGACGAGTTATCTGTCGCACGAGTTGAGTTTTGAGGTCAGGGCCGAGGGAGAGGAGATCGAGGTCGAGCAAAGCAAGCTTCGCCACAAGATGTCGATCCCCAATTGGAAACAGTGGACGATCATTCTTCCGAGAGACGTACTGGGAACGGTTGCCAGCGAGTCGGAGTCCAAAGAGTCGAGTTGAGCGCAGGCGGGAATCTGAGACCTGGTGGAGCAAATCAAGAGTCAAACATGAGCGAGAATGCACATACTTCCAACACAAGGTGTGGAGGAAGGGAAGGCACTCATATTAAAGGCACGCACTGACCATTCGGACGTTTGCTCGAGTAGTAAATGCCAAACGAGTGAGTCGACACCAAGCAAGGCGAGTGCAAGACGCGAAGCGAGTAGAGATGGAGCACTATGCGACACTGATCGCAGTCCTTGACCACATGTCTAGGGTTGCTGACGCGTGTACGAACGTGCATGTCGCGGAGGTGGGATGGTGATCGCACGTATCCAGCTGGTCGAGCGAATCGCCGAGGTCGATTAAGAGTGCAAAGGATCGTCACCGTCCGACCCCGAATTCGAGGGCCGAGTGGTCCAAAGAAGCCCAAGTCCTAGCTGCATGAATCATCGTGCACAACGTAGTACGGTGTTCGAGGAAGAGGTGATGGAGCGAGTTGTTGTTGTGTCGCGAGTCGATTGGTCGGTGCGATCGACGAGGTAGGAACCCAGCGTGCAAGTCCGGTCAACTTGAATGGCAAGGAGACGAGCGGGAATATGGGATGTTGGGGTCCCATGATGAAACGTAGACGGTCTGTGTTGTCTTGGCGAGCTGAATGACGAGAGCGGGCGATGAAGCAATTCGCAAGCAGCGTGTCCAAAGCTGCTGGGCGAGCTAGGAGCTCCGGCGGATCTCCAGTGGTGAGAAGGCCGAAGCTAGTCTGCGTTTTGGGACCTTGTCGCAAGAGAAACCGAGGGATGGTAATGCACTAACTCGGATGTGGGCTGTGCGAGCGTGTGAACGAGGGGGTGCGAAGTTCCATTCGAGGGAGCGCTCCCATTCCAGGTCTTCCGTGACCAACGATCGGCAGTACGCGGTGACACGGGCATATCTTCGTCTCATCAGCAAGGAGTGCAAGTCGCAAGCCAGAGCTCAGATCGAAGCAGCTCACTGTGGCGGTCTGAGCCAGTCGTCGGAGGTCGAGCAGTTCCGGTCGCGATGGCTCAAGTGAGCAATCGACATAGCCCGGACGCAACTGAAGGTACCTTGGAGCTTGTTATCGAGTCGTTCCAATTGGGGAGGGCGAGGATGTTGCAGTTGCTAAATGGTGTCATGCTTGCCTCAGCCCGCTCCGGGTGACACGTCAAGTGCCAGGTTGAGTAAGTCGAGCTGCATGTACCGGGCAAGTGTCGTTTCAACGTGACGGCAAGATGTTGCGTCGTTGTGTGTTTGTGCACTGAGAGGAAAAGACGAGTCGTGTCGAGTGGTGCCGATCGGGGAATATCGAGTCTTTATCGAGTCTTGGTTGGCGGAGGCAGCAGCGGCAAAGATAAGAGCTTGCACGCTCCTCGACAAGTGATCTATCGCACCGAGTTGAGTTTTGAGATCAGGGTCGAGCGAGAGGAGATCGAGGTCGAGCAAAGCAAATTTCGCCCAAAAGGTTTCGATTCTCAATCGGAAAGAGTCGGCGATCATCCATCCACGAGAGCGAGAAACGGTTTCGAGCGAGTCGGAGTTTAAAGCGTCGAGTTAAGCGCAGGCCGGAATCTGAGACCTGGTGGAGCGAAAGAAGAGTCAAACATAAGCAAGAGGGCACAGACTGGCAACACGCGGTGTGGAGGAAGGAAAAGTCTTCAGGTTAAAGGCACTCACTGACCTTTCGGACGTTCTTTCGCTTTGTGAGTGCCAAGCGAGTTCGGGGGATGTTTAGAGCGACGAGTTGAGACGTAGTGGCTTTGGCCGGATGACTCGACGAGCTGGATGACGGGCGCGGGAGGTTGAGTGAATCGCGGCGCGGTCGAGACAGGTGAAGGTGCTCGAGCCGATGAAGGTCTCGGATCTCGACATCGACGAAATCAGTCGGGCCGTGCAACAGATGTTCCAACAACCACCGAGCTAGCCGTGTCGTTGAGACTCTTTGATTCGATCAAGAAAGAGATGTGAGGGATTGCATTCGTGTGATGGGTTGACGTTACGATGTGGGGGTGGCGGCGGAGATCGTCACTGGTCGACAGTGGTGTTCGGAGTGGAGCGACGAGGATCGAGTGATGTTTGCATCAATTCGAGACCGCGGGAATGTATCATCTCTTCGATGGTGCTGATGTGCGTTGCGCATTGTGATCGCAGAGTATGGTCGTACAAGTCACAGAGCGGTGTGGGGCGAAGCTCGGATGCCAGCGAGTCGGCCAACGCGCGATCTCAACTAGAGTGATGAGCAGCATAGACAAACATGAGGTGAGCGGATGGGTGTGAGCTGGAAAGTATCTGAGTGAAGTACTCACCACACGCATCGGTCGGGTAGCGAGAGAGGGCGATCGGGGTGATCGAGGCGATTGGGTGACCGAGCACGTGTCCGGCCGAGAACGCTCGAGCGATGCATCGACGTAAGCTAGCACGCTGCTGAAAGTGACCACGCCGTCTCAGGTGGAGGTGTGAGCCGTATCGTGCCGAAGATGACGATGTTGGAGTCGTGGATAGTCGTGTGATGCGACGTTGCACCGTGCCCGGATCAGCCGGCACGAACGTGCACGTCGAGCATACGTTGAGAGTGGCTGAACTGCATCTTGCCGAGTGAGTGATGCAGGAAAAGCGGTGCGTCGTCAAGCTGTGGTGTAACGAAAAAACAACCGCGTCGATTCGAGTGGTGCGGGTGGTGTGTCAGTCGTTCGCGTGGTTCGAATGGCTCGAGTGAGTGGCGAGGCACAGGAGCAGTGACGGTCACGCGCGCGCCAAAGTCGTCGAGGCCACGCCGACTATTGTAATGGAGTATACTCAAAGCACAATGCATGGTAGCACGAATCAAGCGTGTACAAAGCCAGTTGGGATTGTGGCAAAGTTGCAATAAACTTGTCTACGTCTACAAGTCCTCGAGTCGGCCGAGCCTCGGCTCCAGTGAATAGCCGAAGCCCGAAATGGAAATCCATTTCGGAGATCGCGAGCGTGCTCCAAATGATGGCCAAGAACGGTGCTCGTAGCATCTGTGCGTCCACGCTCGAGTTTAAGCGAGTGTCGGCGGCAGCGGTCACTATACATGGACACTTCCCAAATCCCAAAACCCAAATCCCCCCGAAAAATGTTCGCCAGCTGCTCTCTCGCGCTGTTCAACAAGGTCCTTGTAGCCATCGACCTCTTCATCGACCTTCGCTTAAACTCGAGCTTTGACTCAGCCATCGACGTCATCGACCTTGACTTCGACTGGACTGAACCATTTCGCAGGAGCGCGCTGGAGCCTGCTGGAGCAGCGCTGGAGACTGGCTGGAGCGCGCGCCTGACGCGAAGTTCGATAAAGTTCGTCCAGCGCGGCGCCGATTCGCACGCTAACGCTCTTGCCTGGGCGTCATTTTCAATCTCGATCTCGATCTCGACCTGACACCGAGCTGAAGCGCAAGTAGTCTTGATGCAGCGTCTGCATCTGCGGGTTCCCAACCGCTTTCAACGTCTGCCACCCACGACCTTGCGCACATGCTCGCCACGGCAGCGACTACAGCGAACACGCCAAGGAACGCGACCGCAAACCCAGCGTCGGATCCTCTCTACCTTGGTATCGCACTCGTCAAGCCACTTCGATCCTGGTACGAGCACACCGGGAGACGGCCTCGGGAGAGCGAGCATCCGCCAGAGCCGAGAGGATCTCCAAGGCGGTCCAGATGCATCGAAAACACTGTCCGGCCCTCGAGGCCGACTTCTTAACCTGATCCAAGAAAAGAGACCTCAAGGGCTCGCTCCGCTGACCGGCGTCTTTCGCACCGAGTACAGGACCCTCCCCAGGTTTCTACCCGGCGACGAATCCCTGAAAGGTGTCACCCCGCGGGCCGAGGATAAAAATGACGTTCACAAAGAGTGCTACAATTCACTCGCCACGCTCGAGAACACCAAGCAGCTCGCGCGCGCTAGCGCGTTGAAGGGTGTACCTACCCTGACGAACCTTCCCCGTGCGTGACAGGGCATCGCCAGCTCTGGAACTCAACTGCGTCCACCGGAACGTTTCGTATGGCATCGTAATGGGCAACCGACACGTCGAGGGGATCTTGATCGACTACTATCTGGCGGTGAAGAAGGCTCGAGTGGGTGAAGAGGAGTGTCGCTGCGGCCGTTTGGTGCTTTGGTGCATTCCAGCGTCCGCTGTAGCTGAGCATGTTGTTGGGCTAACCTGAATCCTTCCCGCCATTCCCCCGTATCCTGATCAGTGACAGGGTACCCTACCATATTTCTCTCGACTCCTGCTCATCCCCCAAAACCGAGAGTGTGAAATGCAGTGCGGCACGCCACAAAAAAAAAAAAGATTTGATGTCGTGCCAGCGCTCGTGCATCACACCCTCAGTTGGGGGGCTGAGCAAGAGTCGGGAGATATAGGGTAGCGTGCCCTGTCATTGATCATGGTACAGGAGAAGGGTGGGAAGGAGTTAGGTGAGACCAAGAACGTGTCGAGGGCTAGCACGGACGTGAGAACGTACCGAGCGGCTGAGGCGACACTCTTCTTCAACCGTTCGAGCCTTCTTCACCGCCAGATTGTAATCAATCAAGACTCCATCGCCGTGCCGGTCGACCATTACGTTGCCATACAACACGTCCCGGTGGATGAAGCCATGGTCCCAGAGCTGCCGGTGTCCTGTCACGCGCGGCAAAGGGCCGTCAGTGAGGCACACCCTTCAACGCGCTGTCCCGGCTCTGAGCCCTCACCCTCAATCGCACCCTCGAGAGAGCGCGCGAGCTCCTTCGTGTTCTTGAGCGTGGCGAGTGAGTTGTAGCACTCTTTGTGAACGACATTTTTATCCTCGGCCCGCGGGGTGACACCTTTCAGGGATTTGTCGCCGGGTAGGAACATGGGGAGGGTCCTGTACTCGGTGCGAAAGACGCCAACCAGCGGAGCGAGTAAAAGCAGTCTTAAGGTTCTCGACACTCTTGCTTGGCGTTATCGTCCATTTTAAACGCGGAATCCTTGCGGGTAAGTCGTGGTGAAAGCGTGGGTGACACCAGACTAACCTCTGAATCTCCTATAAAAGTTTGCAAAGCCTAGAAAAATTTGTACGTCTTTGACGTTTTCTTGGCGATGACCTTTGATCCGTCCATGGTGATACCGTTGTTGGTAACGAAACATCCCAGGATTTCGACTCTGTCGCGGTGGAATTTGCATTTTGTGGCTTTGGCGAATAGCTGAGCTCAAGTTCTCAAAGTTATCGAGAACTTTTTGGACGTCTAAGACGTGCTCGGCTTGCGATTTGAAGTAGATCAAAATGTAATCGAGGTAAACTATCGAGGTAGGGACTGAGGACGTCGTTGATGTGTTTTTGAAACGACGCAGGAGCGTTGGTTAGTCCGAAAGGCATAACGGCGCCGATTCGCACGCTCAGGCTCTTGCCTCCTCGTCTATAACCTCGACCTCGACCTCTTCCTTCCGTCGTCCTCGTCGCAACGAAGTCGGTCACGGTATCGAGCTAAAGCGCTGGTAGTCTTGGCGGAGCTTCTACATCCGCGGACCCCCAGCTGCCTTCGACGTCTGACACGTACGGCCGGGCTGGCGGCCACGAGGGATGCGCTCTCTGCTGCTGGCCAGGACAGCGATTACAGCGACCGCAGGCGCGCCAGGAACGCGATCGCAAACCCAGCGTCGGGCCCTCTACGTTGGTATCGCACTCGTCGAGCCACTCCGACCCCGATACGACCGCGCCGGGAGGCAACCTCGGGAAAGCGAGCATCCGCCAGAGCCGAGAGGATCTCCAGGGCGGTGCAGATGCACCAAAAACACTATCCGGCCCTCGAGGCTTACTTCTTCAGCGCGCCGACCCCTGAGGAGCTCGCAAACAAGATCTGGCCCAAGGAGCCCACAATTGGCACCGAAGAAGCGCTGGGCGAGGTCATAGCAGGCGTCATCAACAAGGTGAGTCGACGCCTGGCCTACTCGATGGTGTGTGAATAATTCCTTCGAGAGCTGACTCGCCTTTCCATTGCCGTTTTTCTCACTGCTGGGACTGTAGACTGGAGACCGGCGATTGGTCGCCTGCAGCAACTCGCCCCATTACATCGGCGTCGCACCTGACCGCGTAAAGACGACCGAGAAGACGGCCGACGTCGTGCTCTTGACCCACGCTGCGGTCGCGCACGACCCAACCCTCCCCGAATGTATGGGCCCTTCCCAGTTACGCCGATGCGGATCCCGACATCAACATGAGCTTGTACGCGAGCGAGAACGGCAAGGGCGAGCACGAGAACGATGAGACCGAGGCCAAGGACGCCGAGGACGACGAATACGACAAGTACGACAAGTACGACGAGGACGACGACGCGGACGAGGCCGAGGCCAAGGTGGATTTGAACCGGGCCAAACGCTCCTTTACGCACGTGGCTACCGTCGGCGAGACCAAAGCTGACAACTCCAGGGCCGAGGACCAGTTGTTCAGACGGTTGTCGGCACTCCTCGCGACGCCGATTCGAGAATATGCGATCGGGTTCACCCTGCGCGGCGACCGTCTCAAAGTCTACGTCATGACTGCCTGCGGCGTGATCGTCACCAACCCAAGACCGGTCAACAAAGAAAACGGAGAGCTGTCGACCTTTTTGTACCGTCTCATCAAACACAGTGATCGGCTGAACGGCGTTCTCGCCACCACGACCTCGCTCGACGACCGCTACGGCCTGTTCACGCTCTGCCCCGACTTCTTCCCGCCGGCGGCCTCAGAGTTCATCTGGGGAGCAACGACGATGTCCAACGTCAAGATCGAGAAGCTTATTTTTCGTCGACACAGAGAGTGCGGTCGCGCGACGTCGACATACGAGATCACCGTTGGTGAGGGCGTCAACGTCAAGACCCACGCGATGACCATCACCTGGGTCGACGAGTCGCGCAACTCGGACTTGGCCGAGATCCGCAACTTGATCCAAGAAAAGAGACCTCGAGGGCTCGCTGCGCTGGTCGGCGTCTTTCGCGCCGAGTACAGGACCCTCCCCGGGTTCCTACCCGGCGACGAATCCCTCGACGGTATCACCGCGCGGGCCAAGGAGGTCGTCGTTCACGAAGAGTGCTACAATTCATTCGCCACGCTCAAGAACACCAAGCAGCTCGCGCGCACTCTGGAGGGTGCGATTGAGGGTGAGTGCTCATGATCAGGGAAGAGCGGGACAGCGCGCGGAGGGGTGTGCCTACACTGACGGCCCTTTGCCGCGCGTGACAGGACACCGGCAGCTCTGGGACCATGGCTTCATCCACCGGGACGTGTCGTATGGCAACGTAATGGTCGACCGGCACGGCGATGGAGTCTTGATCGACTACAATCTGGCGGTGAAGAAGGCTCGAACGGTTGAAGAAGAGTGTCGCCTCAGCCGCTCGGTACGTTCTCGCGTCCGTGCTAGCCCTCGACGCCTTCTTGGTACCTAACCCCTTCCCACCCTTCCCCTGTACCATCATCAATGACAGGGCACGCTACCCTATATCTCCCGACTCTTGCTGAGCCCCGCAACCGAGGGTGTGGTGCACGAGCGCTGGCACGATATCGAATCGTTTTTTTATGTGGCGTCCCTCACGGCTTTTCAATCTGGCTCTGCCGACGCGCCCCTTTTGGAGAAGTCGAACGCCGCGCGTATCCGGAACATGTGGAATGCCGAGGATTGCTACAATGCAGCAGGCCACAAAGACGGGCTGATATCGAGATTCGGCTTCAAGAAGCTCCTGGACGCATGCGCGTCCCGTTGGGATGGCGTGGGAGATCTTCTGACGCTCCTCAAGAACAACTGTTCGATTGCCGCAGCTTATTCTGACCTCGACGGAGAAGAGTTTGAGGCCAAACTTTGTGACCTCTGGGATACGGATGTGATGTCGTACGAAATCATCCAGACACGCCTTAGAGCCTTTGCTGAAGCAGCCTGATGGCGAGAATGGGAATTTGTTCAATAAATCTCGGAAGAATGAAATGCCAAACTGTGTCCGTGCTTTACGCTGTGAATACCCTAGTGCATGGGTTACGAACTTGAAGTGAGTAGTCGTTCTGACGGATGAAGAGTTGACTTTGTGCGTAGAAGCTGCATGACAGTGCAGTTGTTTCGTTTTCAAAGGATGAACTCGTCGGGTGTTTGCGCTTCCAAGACCTTCCGCAAGAAGCAATTCGCTATGAGTAGCCTGAGTTCTATGGGGTCAGAAAACTACGAATTTTGGTCTTGAAGAAAAAAATATCAGAAGTTAGCCATGACTGCTAAGTGGAGATCAGGTGGTCGGTAGGCGCCTCAACGCTTGCTATGGTCCTAGCCGAACCGGTAAGAAGCTGTCGCCCGTTTGGCTCTGGGGGCCGCAGTCCAGCTACGAAGCTCAAGAGAACAAGATATTGAGCATTGCGCATTGCAGACAAAACTGAGGGAAGTGCATATGATATATAAAGCAACGGTAGAGGAGATACAGGTTTAGAAGAGGGAGTGAAGATCTTACGAGCGTTGCCGAGGGAAAGGGAGAGGGAGTGAAGAGATCACGAGCATTGCCGAGAGAGAGAGAGAATAGAGGAGAGGAGAGGAGAGAAGGGATGTGAAGGGACAAGGAGAGAGGAAGATTCACACTCGAAGTTTGAGATAAGATCGTCCCCAGTCGACGAAGCAAAAGCCCCCGTCGTCGGGTCGAACCAATACGTTCCCCTGGCGGATATCATTGTGAACAATTCCAAGCTCAACGAAAGCCTTCTCGATCTCACTGCACATGGCGAGTAAGAAGTGAAAGGACAGATGTGTCAGTATCACGCTGAGCTGGAGGTCATCGCGAAAGAAGATCGTGTCGTCGACGACTTGCCGCGACCCAAAGACTTACTGCCACTGGCCAGACCTTTCATAGAACTCGGAGTAATTCATGTGGGTCCCCACGTCCTCAAGCACCATAGCGTACCCATTGCCGTTGATACCGCGGTACGTGCCGTGATAACGTGGCAGATGATTTTGGAGCTGATTGGGAAGATGGGGAAAGACGTGCTGATAAAACAGCGTCTCCCGGACGACCGAGCCAACGTAGTGACACGTCACGAGCTTGAGAAAGTACCTCGTGTTCGGAGCAGGGTGGCCAACCTCGCGATCGGCCGGGGAGGACCAACGTGGGTTGACTCGCACCACGTTTGCAAGATACCCGTCGGCAGTACTTCCCGTCCCGACCTGCTTCTCCAGGCGAAGATCCGCCGTGGTCTCGAAGTGATCGAAGAGTTCGAGCGGGATCCGATCGTCTTCGAGCTCGTCCTTGGGATCTTCCGTCAACCACCGCAAAACGGCATCCGACAAATGGAGGCTCCGGATAAAATCGGTGGCTGGGGAAGGGTTCGACGACAGATGGGACGGAAGGGACAAGTCGGAAGGAACCGAGGAGACGATATCAAAGTCGATTTCGACCAGATTAACGCGGCTCGTGCCTGTGTACGACTGCAAAGAGTACATGAATCAAAGGCGAGTTGAGTGAGCGGAGCCACGAGTTCTGTGACAGGACAAGCACCGCCAGAACACGTGACGCACCATCATCGACCAGTGCGCGTTTGACGAACTCGCCTTGATCACGAACTCACGATCCTGAACGATTGTGACAGATCTCGATGAAGGATGCGAGCCAGAGATCGGCGACGTCAGCCGAGTCATCAACGCACGGGGGGACGAGAAGGAGCGATCCACAGGAGTCAGAGCGCCAGAGGAGAGGTCGGACCCGGCCTGCTCGGAGACTGGCAGGGTGGTGGGCCGATTCGGATCCTTGGCTTGAGTTAGCGGGGAGTCGCCTTCCATTCGCCTTGAAGAGCGAGTACCGGTGCCGATGGCCGAAATTTTCTGTACTTTGTACGCCGGCTCGTAGGAACGATCTGCAACGTCCGAGTCCGAGTCGGCGCGAGGTCGCGACTGAGTCGAAGTGTTAGGGTTGGCGTCGAGCAATTCTTTGACGCTAGCTTTCTCCGGGTCGGGCACCGTCATCACGGCTGTGAACGCCAGAGCAATGAAAGACACGATGAACGACCGCGTCGGGACGTCAACGCCGAGGGTTTCGGCGGGCCGGAGCGAGGTGCCTGGATGGAGCTCGACCCATCGCGCCAGCTCTTGGAGGAGCAGGCTATATTGTCTCCGAACAGTGGGTGGGGCGCTCGCATCCATCGTGAAAGGGGGAGTGGGGGTCGAGGGAATGGACGTGCCAGGCATTGGTGCCGTCGAGGTGGAGGCTAACGCGGTCGAAGCTGCCGCATCGCTTGCTCTTGCAGCGTCGGCGGTTTGGTGTTCAACTGAGTATGAAGGACCCAAGATTGCGCAGTTGCAGGCATTAGTGACTCTGCGTGACCGTTACACCATGCACAGGTCGAAACCGAAGGCGCGACGTACCCAGTTCACCGATCTGAAAAAACGGCACCGAGAACAGGAGAAAGAAGCGGCAGCCTTGGGAAGCGCACTGAATGATGGCCTGCAAAAAACACGCGAACAAAGTTAGATCAGATCGAAGCTGCAGGGCCGATTCGAATGCAAATGAGCACGTCGCATTTCTTACCTTCGTGGCTATGGCGTCGGGACCGACCGAGACTTGCGTCTCCAAATTCTGCAGCGGCACCGGCGAGTGATCGAGTACTGGGATCGCCGAGTTGGATCCGGATGGAGGGGGCCCTTTGGCCGCCGTGTGATGCACGGGTCCCCGTTCGAAGTCGATCGCGATTGACGAGACAACAACTGCTGAGTCGTCAATCCCACGGCCAATTTCCAGGATGGCATCGCCCCGCGTTCGGCATGGTAGCCCTTGGTCGCTGCGCAACTTTACCCAGTAGCCACTGGTCGTGGGCGTGAAGTTGTCTTCGGTGATCGATGCATAGTGGTCGAGCAGGTCGCACGTTGCATCTTCTAGGCCGCCAGCAAAAATGGACGTGAATGCTCTTTGGACCTCGTCTTCGGTAATCCGAGCCCTGCGGCGAGCCCTGGTCGAACCCATTGCCTCAATCTTGGCTTCGAAGAGCTCGAGCAGCGATGGGTGTAAGTCGAGTAGATCAAAGAACGAGTCGATGACCCTGTCGCCAGGAGAAGAGTGTTTGCCCCATTTCAATCCTCCCAAACGTGCGGCGCAATGAAATGCAGTTCCGGCGTTGGCCTGCAAACGGGGAGCGATTGAGTAATCAGGCGCGTCGCCGGGCGGAGGTGGCTCGAACCAAGTGTGTGGAGTGCATGAAAAGAGGTGGCGCATAGGTGGATTGAGACTTGTGGCAGACATCGTAGCTGATACTGGACTTTGCTGCTGGGCACCACTTTGAGTACCACCGTGCCACGTGCCCGGGCTACCAAGGCCCCAGGGGACCACAGTTGAGTGACGAGCACAAGAGGGAAGCAAAGTTCCTGTTCGGCAGGTGGCCAGAGAAGGCCAGCCGGCTGCCACTTCGGGGGGTCCTTCGAGAAGGATCAGGACAGATCAGGACAGCGCAGGACAGTGCAGCGCGCGAGCTCGCGCGAGAGCAGCTGGCGGGATGAGGCGGGATGGGGCAATTACCAAATACCAACTACCAAATTTTCTGTATAGTTTCAAAGTTTCGCAGCACACTCGAGCATGGTCTTGTCCATCTTTAATCAATCAAAGTGGTACTTCAAAATGCGGTGACCAAAAGGTGAAAGTTGAGTGCTCGTCCGAGCAGCCCCATCGCCGGTTTCGCTCCAGCCTCCGTTCACCGCCAAGACGAGTCCGCCAGTCTTCCTCGTAGTCCAGCATCCTGCATCCTTTTTCGATGTTCTTGTTGAATCCAGAGCTCCCATGGCCACTACATACGTCCATGTACCTCGACAAGGGTTCTTATCGACGAGTCTCTCGGTCGAATAAAAGTCGTAGTACTGGATTAGAGGACGAATTGTATACTGAGGATTTTCGAAAGGCCGAATATTCTACAGGTCACCGTTGTACTACAACTGCGAAGGAACGAGACGCAAAAATATATATGGAGTGTCAGTCGATGCATAGATGTGATCGTACGAGGTGGTGGGTGGTCAACTGTGGCTCACTGTTGTTGTCCCTCTGCCAATCTGAAAAGCTCGTTTCCTGAAGGTCGACGACCCATCGGGTATTCGGATCAGCACACCTCGAACGGGTTGGTTGGGCTTCCTCCCATCCGAAACGAAACAAGCAATGCTGACTAACCTTCTTCTTGTACTCCCCCAACAACGTCCCCAACACACCCTTCAACTGTACCCTCCCCCAAATAAAACAAAACCCGCGATACGGCCCGACAAATCAGCTCCGATCCCAAAAATCGGGGGGTCATTCGGGCAGACGTAGACAAAAGCGCACCTGTTCCAACTGAGTCTGTAAAGCGGGCAGGACGTCGGCGACGGTACGTTCGACGAGGATCCCGCCTACGAGGCGGAAACATTTACGGTCCGGGGTTGTGGCGTTGGCTTCGGTGAGGGTTTCGATTACGAGACTGCGGGAGGGGGGAAGGAGGAGAGGAGCAGAGAGGCAAGTGGTTAGTGGTTAGTGGGGGGACGTTGGGGAGGGGAGGGCAATAGAGGGAAGTGGTAGGACGTACCCATGTTCTTCGGCTTCTCGTTCCAGTTCTCCGATCTTCTGTTGACGGTGCAATACCATGGTCGGACAGGAGGTTCGACACAAATCGGCGGCGTTAGCTCCCCACTCGTCGTTCTCTGGACGTTGGAGTTGGGAGGATTAGGCGACCACGGGTATGACGCACGCTTGCTAGAGCTTGTAGCTCCCCTGTCTTGTTCCTAAACAAAGCGTTGGCCTCTATAGACGCGATCGACCCGATATCAGAGAAAGGTGGGGTCCACTTGCATCAGTAACCTGCTCCAGAGGACTCTTCGTCGCGACGAGGTCTGGGCGGCACGTACCTTGTTCTGTCAATGTTGGTGAAGACTTGGACGTGGATGCTTTTGCGGTGGTGGGTGCTGTTGTTGGGGTGGACATGGTGGTGGTACGAGGGCGGGAAGGGAAGAGGGGAGAGGAGAGGTGCGCGAGGTGGAGCCTTGGAGGTGATGAAGGTGCCAATGGCTCAGAGTCAAGACGGCCGGTCAGAGCCACTGTTCATTCGTACATGGTGTCTCGACAACAAATCTCACTCTCACTGCTCTCATGCTCAGGGAACCAAAAGTGGGAATGTGAAGCAAGGCAGTGTTGGATTTTGCGACCCCCCCAAAACAAGAAGAAAAGAAACAGCGCCAGGGACAAAACCGAGATTGATACGTAGCAAATTGCGCCGACAGTAGTGCAGAGAGCAGAAAAGCCAGCAAAGCCTAGAGAAGCAAAGACGAGGCGAAGGATTGAACCTCTCTAGTCGTGACGAGAAGGGATGAGAGGGGCAACGGTGGTTCACGCGCGTTCGTCATAACAAGGGGATGATGGGAGGAACGAAAATATATTCTACTGCTACTTCTAGGTTGCCAAAAGTGTGTATGAAAAGACCGAGAGGTGGGATGACGTGGGTTGAGGGTGTCGAAAGCAGTCGAGTCGAGTCGAGCGCTGAGAATGTCGCTTTAGTTGACCTCGACACCCGAGTCGCTCGGTGCGTCGGCGGGGACGACCTTCCTCGACGTCCTTCCCAAAGCGTCGCGGAAGAACACAACGTCGCCCTCGTCGTCAACGTATCGGCACGTCCTGAAGTTCTTCCACAACGACACGAACATGTTCTCGTCCGTCGACTGGTAGTGCTCGCCGAGGAACTCTTTGAGCGCCTCCGTAGCTTCCCAGGCGTGGTAGTGAGGGATCTTGGAGCAGACGTGGTGCGCGACATGGGTCTCGCAGATACCGTGCATGAGGTAAGGGCCGACGGGGCCGAGCATGTTGCGGTCGATGGTGCAGATCGCGCCTCGCTGGAAGTTCCACTCGTTCGCGCGGTAGTGGGGCAACATCGGGTCCGTGTGCTGCAGGTAGGTGATCATCACGAGCCAGTGGTTGACGAACAGGTACGGGATGCCGTAGTACTTGACGACGGCCGAAAAGCCGCCCATCTTGAAGCCGAACCAGGTCAAGGCCGAGAGCATTGCGATCAAACCGGCGTCCGAGATGAGGACCTGTTGGCGGTGGCGGGCGTCGAAGATGAGCGAGTTGGGGTCAAAGTCTATTGGATGGGAAGGTGAAGTTAAAGTCAGACGGAGGAGTGAGGAGCGAGACACTTTGACCCCATCGATGCGCTGCAACTCACGGTTCGTTCCCTTGGGGTACCAGTTCTGTCCGGAAGCGTTGCTGAACAAGTACGCGGGCCAGCCGAACAATTGCTGCACGATGAGGTGGAACAAGCGGTACGCGGGCGCATCCTCGAGCAACTCGTCCAACTCGGCGCCGAGGTTCTCGACAAAGACCTTGCGACCCGTACCGGCGGCCTTGGTGACCTTTTCCGACTTGGTCGCGGGGACAAAGACCTCGTCGCGGGTCATGTGGCCCGTGGCGGCGTGATGCTTGGCGTGCGAGATGCGCCACGAGTGGTAAGGAACAAGAACGAAGGAGTGCAGAACGAGCCCGACGGTGTTGTTGATGGTCTTGGAGGGGGAGAACGATTGGTGGCCGCCTAGAAGAGATGTGAGAATTTCCAGGGTCAGCTCATCGGTGCTTTTTGGGTCGCAGTCTCCGCGGCGATCCCCAAGGGACGGCACGGACCAAGGCGTGGCGCAAAACTCACATTCGTGGGCTGTAGTAAGGGGCAGAGCATGGGGATGAAAGAAATATGCATGGTCAGCTCCAAGTCCGGTGGGCAGAAATCGCAAAATATGTTCGATATGCGGTCCAGGAGACTGCGTCCCGAGAGGTCGACTCCAACAAGGTGCGAGAAAAGATCCGGAATCGCGGCGATTGCACGCCGGGGACAGCTAATCTGGACAGCTTCAAAGACAGCTGGCCGCAGGGCCGCCGCCGCCCCAAAGGGCCAGCGCGTGTGGTGGCAAGCATGGGCCGCCGCGGTGGTTATCGCGGAGAAAGTGCGGTGGGCGTTGAGAGGCGCGCCACGACGAACGGGCGGCGCCAGCCCAGGCCAGAGAGCCACGGCCCAGCGAGCGGCCAAGCACAAGGCGACCCGCGGCCAGGCCGGGCCAGACGCGTCGCAGCCAAACCCACGGGCCCAAAAAAGCCGGAGAAACGAAACCCAACGAGAACGGACGAGATGGTCGACCCGAATCGACCCGTAGATGCGGTGTCGCCCCAAAAGAGCGAGATAGGAGAAATGACCGCAGCACAAGATGAGGCATGTAAACTGACCAATGATCCAGATACCGGTCATGACCCAACCGGCGAGGACCCAGTAGACGGACCAGGCCGCCCACTTGGCGACGACGCCGGCCGCGCCCTGGAGCTGCGTGCCGTTGCTACCGAACAAGATGTCGATGTGGGTCGCGGCGTAGAAGAGAACGGCGAGCATGGAAAAGTCGGCCACGACGTACGTCGACGACCGCAGCGCCGAGCGCTCGAAGCAGTGCGCCGGGATCGCGCCCAACACGTCCTTAACGGTGAATTGCGGAGGCGTGAAGGGCGGGAAGTCGCCATAGGTCAAGTCGTCCGAGTCGCTCGACGACGTGGTCGACGCCGCGTCGTCGTTCTTGTCGACCTTGTGCACGACACGTTGGCGGAGGGCGGCGGAGGAAGACATGGTGGAAAGAAGTAGGGTGAGTGAGGAGGAGGAGGGGAGGAGGGATGAGGGGGGGGAAGGGAAGAGAGATAGAGCGAGCAAAAGAGCGTGCCAAGTATGGCGTTCGGAGCACCCCGCGCCACTACTCTAGTTTTGGGGGCGGCCCGGGTGAAACGTGGAGCTACCGTAAGGCTATCGCAACCGGCGACGCGTGGACGCGGTAGCGCTCGCGACAAATCTCGGCGTTTCAGCAAGCTTGGTCGACGGTCGTCCTAGGGCACGCGGGCCTGCTGCCACTGCAGTGTGATGGTCAATGAGTGATGATCGTGGGTTGGAGTCGATCATGAAAATCGTCTTGATACTTTCGGTTGGATTGCAACGGCAAAAAAAAAGACAGACTCCGGGAAGGACGTTCGCTCGTCCACTGCAGGCCTGGAAGGAGAAGTCCGGCGGTACTGAAATCGGGTTCGCCGACGACCGTTGCCGCCCGCGTCGACCGTCGCCTGCGCGAAAAGAGAGGAAAATGTGATGTGAAGCACGCTGGACGATCAGCTTCGTCAATTTTTTCGATCTTTCAGTTCTTTCCCACCTCGTTTGATCTGCGCTCTGGACGCTACAAAGCCTTCCTTTTTCTGGCTGTACGGCTATGGGCTAGCAGTGGCGAGTGGCGTCGACGACTCGGAGACACCGTTTTCCGCCGTCGATGTGCGAAGAAAAATATAGACTTGTTCCTCCCCTTGTAGTTCTTCGGCCGCGAAACGAAAAGAAGGCTATTCTCGCGGACATCACTGAGCTCGTGGTCCAGCACTCTTAACTTATCGCACGTAGTTTTCTGATGTTCTGAAGCCCCCGCACGTTGAGCGCAGCATTCACGGCGGATCTACTTAATTGGCCTGAGCGGGCGGGTATATATAACCGAGAACCGAGAACCTGCGCTTTCATGGACTGGTTTCTCTTCTGTAGGCGGGACCTCACTTGATATCGGTTAGTTGGATGGACGATATGATCGCCTCATTAGAACCTCAGAACGTGATGTTCCGCGAGCGTTAGTTCGCCACGCCACATTAAGCGTACCAGGCGCATACACCCAGCTCCATCTGGGGCGCGACGCCACACGTCGTCGCGCTTCGGCCATCGCACTCCGACGATGCCCGACCACGAACGGAGCCTGGTGACGAGGTAAAATACGCTTGGCCTAGGCCTCGAAGCTGTCTTTGGCCATTTTTCAACAAGGCTGACTTCGGAACATTCAAACATTAGACCTCCTTTGTTTCATGAAATGTACTGGGATTGCTGAAACTAAAGTGAACATGAGATGCGAGCTGCAATTCGCCACTGCTTCCATTGGGTCAGTCGAGCAGGCTCTCGAAAGCCCTCGGACCAGCCTCAGGACGGGGCTCGGCCTTAACTCCGACGGCTCGGGCAGCAGCTTCTCACGATCGGACCTGGGTTTCGCCGGGTCACACGTTTGGCAGTATCCGTTGAGTGTGATGTTCGTTCGACCTTTCGGCGCGTGACGTACTACTCAAAGTAGGTAGCACGAAGAAAGACAAGAGCTATTTTGCCACTCGAGCGAAGAGCGATCCGACCGAGACTTAAATTGATCGAATAGAACCTTGATCTTTAGAAATGGATTGGCAACAACAACACCCATAAACAATACACTGCGGATGAAGCAGAAAGCAGTTGTGGATACAACAAAGCACACAAACCGAAATTGAAGAACCCTTCCACCTCCCGTGCACTACGACCGCTGATCCGTATTCCCACTCGTCGAATTCCAATACCCCCACCACCCCTTCCCACCCGCCCCAGCTCCACTCCCTCCATGTCCATCCTTTGCTAAGGTGGCCGAGTTCCCAACGCCCAACCGTTCCTGTTGTTCCAACAGCTTCCTCATCGCCCCACTCTCGTTCCGCTGATGACCTCTCGTCGTCGAACGATCCCCACCCCTTCCTCCGTTGTTTTGATGAGGCTCAGCGAAGATCATGGAGCTGTTGCGCGTGAGACTCGCCATAGCCGTTTTGGAATGGATGCGATTTGCTGAGTCGGGGAGACGGAGGGAAGCGCTGGAAGAACGACGTCGGTGGTGCGTGGTCAGGGAGGGACGGGCGAGCAGTTCGGGAAGGAGTTCGTTCTCTTCCCTCTCTACTTGGGGAACGGGTGAAGGGCTTGTGGATCTGACAGGACCGGGAGAAAGTGATGTGTCGGATATGGAGATGGAGGCGGGGGAGTCGGCGATGAGGCGAATTTGGTACGTGTTTGCTCGAGTCGGAGTGGCGAAGGGGGACAATTCGTTCGAGCTTAGCGATCGGGTGTTCGTGGTCCTTCGGCCAAGGGGCGAAGGCGTTGTCGGACGGCAGTCATATTCGTCCAAATGACCTAGTCGAGGTGAGCCGTGGAGATCTGAAGATGCGCAAGGTGGCAAGGGCGAGTACGACTCCCATTCGAACGAAGTGTCGGCGAGCGATGACGGTGCCGTCGAGGTGGATGAACCGGGGGAGAAGGAAAACGAGTTGTCGGTGGATGAGGTGGGTGATTCGACCGGGTCCGTGTTTGGGGGTGACCATGGTCGATCCGCCAACGTCCTCAATGATGTCGAAGCAAGACTGGGTCGAGACTGGGCGAAGGACGATGTTGAAGGTGAAGACGAGAGTGTGCGAAGGAGCGCCGAGGCACGAGAGGGAAGTGTAGAGGCGGTGGCGGTTGAGGGCAGCTCGGGTGTGGGTGGAGATTTTTGTGTATTCGTTACAGCCGAGATTGGGCTTCGGCCCCTGTCGAATCTGGACGGTCGATCCCGAGTCCAGTCGGGTAAGCCCTGCAGCCCGTCCCCTTCCTCCGTCGATACCTTGGGAGCCTGCAGCTTGCTTCTCAGGGATTCGATCGACCTCGAAGAGCCAGTTCCGTCGACTTTCATTCCCCCGAAGAAGCTGGTTGGGTTGGAGGGAAGCATCAACACAGCCTTCGAGTCGTTACGGCGGTGCAGTGTCGACGAAGCGGACGAGGATCCATGCAGCGCGAACGCTTCGACGTGATTGCCCAGATGTCTCAGGTCCGATTCGGTCATGCTGAAGCGTTCAAAGATGGGTCGTAGATCTGTACTTGTGGACTTGTGGATCGAGTCGTCGCTAAGGCCGCATATGCGTTCGATCGCCCTCCGTGTCGATCGTGTGGACGCGAGGAGCGATCGCGATGTCTCGAGGATCCTGGATAGATTCCAAGCACTACGAGGTCAGCCATCCTCATAATCTGCAGCTCAATCTTAGATCGACTCACTGTGACGTCCTCAGAATCAGAGAGTCGAGCGGATCGCCGTCGTCAAGGTCGGTCATGGCCAACTCGGTCTCCTCACGTGCTTCGAAGCGCGCCTTCGGGTCATCGAAGACCCCCCATGAAGTCATTGATGCGGGTGTTGTGGTCATCCACGTGTCTGATCTGTGTTTTGGTGTTGAAGATCCGATGGAGGTGCTCGCACCTTGTGTTGTTGTCAGCCTGCTGAGGCTAGACTCCTCGCAGCGTCGCGGGTGGGGAAGCGCTCGCTCGAGCGAGATCGTGTGGGCCAGGGGGATGATGCTACAAGATGTAAGCGAGACCGAGTGAAAGTGACAGGCTGCCGAGCGCTGGATGAATGCGCGTGCCAGGATGGACGAGGTCGGTGATATGATGTCCGGTGCGGTTGGGTCGCGGGAATGATTGTGAACGAGGTCGATGACTTGTGACGGCACGCGTGTGTACACGTTGGTACGAGTGAGGGCGTTGGGTCGACCACCAGTCGCGACCGGGGGGAAGGGGGAATGTGAGTCGCACCGAGACGTCGAGGTGTGACGAAGCGTGCTAGGCGTCCTTCACCCCAGAGAGAATGGGAACAAAGGGTGCAACCTACGAAGCCGACAGGAGACGCGATGAGCGTGTGAAGGCTTCGATACTCGACCCCTCAGGAGCAACAAACGCACGGACCCGCTCGGACAGGTGGCAAAACCGGTGACACGCCTGCTCACTCGCAGCGCACCCCCACGCGTTCGACCCCCTCTTGTCCATGCGCGCCGAGGCTCAGGCCAAAGTCACGTGCTGGCTCAGCGCCCGTCGAACCCCGTCGGCGTCGGCGGCAACTAAAGTTCCGATCGGCACTTCATCATTATAGTCCAAGCTGTCTTAGTGTCCAATATCAAGCTGACGAAGTAGTAAGTGGAAGCGTCTTTAGCCTAAGCGCGGTGCTGAAGGCTTGAAGCGGTTTCGTCATGGGTGTGACCAACAAAGAAGGTGAGCTAGTAATAGAGGATCAGACGGCGCCGCCGAAGCGCTTCCCGGCTGTCGTGTTATAGGTTACCTTGACCGAACAGTAAAAATTATCCGATCCTCATTCCCTTGGAACACAAAGCAGCCGGCAATCAGACCGCGCAGGTGCAGTGGCGCGGCTGCGATCCGAGACCGGACTCAGGAGAAGTTCTGCGCCCCATCTGGTGGCTCACCGTGCGCAGGTGAGGTTAGCCTCACTAGCTCCCACAGTGCTGGATCATGCCAAGGAAGGCAGATGCCCACGCTTCCAAGTGAGCTTTCAAGTCGGGCTAATCCGGCTTGAAACGCTCGAGGTCCTTGCCGACAGGGGGCACAAACTAGCGGGCCCGGATCAACTCGGATTCGACTTCCGACCGAGCTGAGAGTTTCGGACGCTTTCAGGTTGCCAATCCCTCGGAAATTACAGTACGAGCGACTTTAGCAACCATGACATCAACCCACTTGCTGCATCGTCTCGCGACTTGTGTGTCCAGCGTGTAGGATCATTTTTCCCAAGCCATTTGATCGATTCCGGAACAAGTCGCGCGCAACTGTCCGTCGGGCTCGGTTGGTTTCGGAAGCAAGCTCGCGCCTCGGTGCTGGCTTGAGCGTGCCCGAGCCGCGTGCTCGTCGGGTTTTGATCGATCTCTTCTCCTCTCTCGTTCTCCTGCGCTTTCGTGCAACACCGCCCTCACACCACAGAAACACATGTGCATTCCCACTCTAACCACACGCTCGATACTCGCTCGCTCGTTCCTGCCTCGAGGGCCGATCACGGCGTCGTGTCACGTCGACTTGACTCGTCGCATGTGGAGCACCGCTCGGTTAGCAGCAGCAGCGACGCCCGCCCGAACGACTTCCCGCGGTATTACCACCACCTCTACGGGTACGACCACGACTTCTCCGCCAACCCAATTGAATAAGTCTCAAGATTCGGAGGCGTCGTTTCAGCCTCATCCCGCAGGTACGTTTCATCGCTGCTCGAGGTGGCGTGGCGCCGGCATGTGGGGGGTTCGTACCTCGGTGCTCTGTCACACTGCGTCCACTACCGCAGCATCGAGAAACGCGCAAACTAGGATCATTTCAACTGATCGTTCCGATACCTTGTCTGAGTGCAGATGTTAAGGCGATCGCTCCGACGGCAGAGAAGCAAGGATGGACCAGCTCGCGACCTTATGAAGGTCAGTTCCGCCCTTCTATCAGCGATGTACCGATTACACCAGGGATGCTGACCCTTACATGCACCGTTATTCAGACTGGGTCATGACCCATCCCGTCTATTCGCCAGAGGAAGTCAACGCCGTAAAGGTCGTGTACCATCCTCGCGTCACCGCCGGCGACAAGCTCGCGGCAGGTCTTGTCTGGTTCGCAAGAAGGATGTTTGATTTCGTGACGGGGTACAAGGTGAGTACAGTCTCGATCAGCGAGGAGATAGAAAGCGATGTGGACTGATTTTTCTATTCCCTTGGCCATTCTCACCTCAGCACGCCTCACCGGAAGCGGCGCGAAAAGCTTTGGCCGAAGCGGGCAAGGGGAATGCCTCGGTGCAAGATCTCATCAAGGAAGGCTACAGTGAGCATGATTAAGCGCAAAATAAATTCCTTCGATCATCAGCTACTGACTACTCGTCTCACCGATGTAGTCATGTCCGTCGACCAATGGATGGCGCGCATTCTCTTCCTCGAATCGATCGCAGGCGTACCTGGGATGGTCGCGGGGACGTTGAGGCATCTCAGGAGTCTAAGATTGATGAAGAGGGATGGAGGATGGATCAACACACTACTACAAGAGGCTGAGAATGAGTGAGTCTACACTTTAGTCTGCACCGTCGAGATTGTCACTTCACAACGCTGACTGCTGACACATTCTAAATTGCAACGCAGGCGTATGCATCTGATGGTGAGTGGACTCGATTCGTAGAGACTCAGCATCCTCCTATTCAAGCTGATGTCTGTACGGAGGTTGCCCCAATTCGCAGACTTTCATGAAGATCAAGAACCCCGGACTCTTGTTCAGAGCGTGCATCATCGGCACTCAGGGCGTCTTCTACAACGCTTTCTTCCTGGTGCGTCATCTTTCTTCATCTCTACAAATCCGCCACCTTGAACTGAGGAAGCCTTCCCGCGCAGGCGTACATCCTCTCCCCGCGCTCGGCGCACCGCTTCGTCGGCTGCCTCGAGGAAGAAGCGTGCCTGACCTATACGCAAATCATCGACGAGATCGAACGCGGCCACATCCCCGAATGGGACGCTAAACGTAACCCTCAGACGGCGACCAAAGTTCCGGGCATCGCGTTGGACTATTGGAGGTTACCGAGTGGGGAGACGACGATGCTTGATTTGATCAAGCAGGTTCGAGCGGATGAGGCCGGACATAGGTGAGCTCACTTATTCTTTGGCAACCAAACCCTCCCAAACTTTTGAGTCACTCTTCTGACCCCCTGTTCACTTGAAACCTCACCTGATACAGGTTCACCAACCACACTCTAGCAAACCTTGATTACGCGAGTGACCACAACCCGCTCGGCTTCCGCCATGCGAGCGCCAAAATGCAAGGCGAGGTCCCCGGCCTCAGCCGCGAAGAATCGATGCGCTGGTCCGAAAGCGTCGAGAAGGAGATGAGGCAGAAGATTGATGCACAGGCAAAGAACTGAGTGGAGTAGGTGAGGTCGGGGAGTATAGAGAAGGGAGACATGGGGCCGATCTCGAAGTTGCGAGGAAGGAGGTTCGACTCGCAGAAAGAACGGTCGGCTTGTGGTAGCTGCGTTCGTTTTCTGATTGTTCGAGATTATTGTTTGAGAGGGGTGGCCTCCCTATAAATGTGGTTCGGTTTGGTCTTCAGTATTGCTCCGTTTGGTATCTTCTGACATCCCGTTTTGATATGTTCTGTTGCATTCTTATATCTCGATCACCCCTCGCTTCCGAAGTCGTCAAACGCGCGATTGATGCGCACGAGAAAATGAGTGAACGGAAGTAAACTCTTGAGTGGAAACATTTACTCGAGCCTATTACCTTTGACGTACGCCACTTTTAGGCGTATGTGCCAACTAGACCGGGGCGGCTCAATCGGTCGCGGTGTAGATCAGATTCAGAGGGGAGGGGGCTGGCGAGCGCTCGACTTGCATACGCTTGTCCGCGTGAGGAAAGAGGCGACGACGTTGCGCTTGACGTTTCAGCATGGGTGAATGAGCGATGTCTCGACTCGGATGGGATTACACGGCTCCAAGGGTACAGCGGTGAGTAAGAGCGGGTGCGTTTTTTTGCGGACGAACCAATCTGCGCCGCAGGTTTGCGCACATGTCGGTCGTCATAGCAAAAAAAAAACCCTGAAATGGGACGATCCCGGGATGATCCCGGGATCGGGCCCCCGATTTGAAATCGGCGGAGCGATTTGAAATGCATTTGAAATCCGTGCGCCGAATTGAAATGCGCTTCAAATCGGCGCGGGATCGATCCCAAATGCGTTTCAAATCCTTGTGGGATCGAACCATGCCCAACGGTCAATAGGGGCATAGAACTCGTGTAAGAGAGCCGATTGCGCAAGGTAGAGTGGACCATTATGTTACTATTGCTCAAAGTAGGTGCAAGTATACTACTGACACGGTACGAATGCGGATGCGGCAGTGGAGCATCGCACCACCAGGCCTGCAATCTGCTCTTCAGTGTGATGTGGGCAGCGACCGGGAGCAACGAAACGAGCTTGGTTAATGCGCGCTACCCCACCCCGAGCCTGGACAACAGGTGACACAACGAAGGGCCGACGGGGGGTGAAGCAAGCCAAGGAGCGAAAGACGAAAGCGCGACCGAGATTTGAACTTTGTCGCACCGACGTCCAGCGCGCGATCGGCCGGATCGGCCGCGGACGGCCGACCGCGCTTTGTCCGACGTCCCGATGCTCTCTTGTGCGACGTCAACGACAGTTACCCACTAGCGAGCATTGAACATCAGGAGCAGTCAGTTCGAGCCGTACATATCTCCTGGCGCTGCGACATGCTCGAGCACTTACACGATGGTGTTACCCCACCTCCTGTCGTCTCCAGCGCCTGCAGTCGACGGCTCGGAAATAGGACGTTGCCATGGTGTCGTCACCCCGCTTCCCCACAGAAGCCATGTCACCTCCTCCCCCCACGTCCCAAGTCCAATCGAGTGCCAAAGAACCGACCTCAGGTGGGAGTGATCAAACCTCGACCACCCTCGCACCCAGTCCAGCCAATCAGTCGACTTTGCCCCACCCCAATGTGGGGCGACCAACCTCAAAGCCCCGCGTCGGTAAATGCATGACGGTGGAGGAGGCGATCGAGGCGGCACGAAGAGACTGGCAGAACCGCATGCAAGTCATGGAGGTTGACGAGGCAAGGTTATCGAGGCGAAATCATCACGGTCCCCCGTGCCCCCGCTGACGAGCACGTGACTTTTGGCCCCTTCGATAGTCGGCGTCCAGCGACGATGACGGCAAGATGGACGTCGATGACGACGGCGATGACGAGGAGCATCAAAAGGGCGACGAGGACAACGATGATGCTGGTGATGAGGAGGACGGCGGCGGCAGCGGTGGCGAGGACGATGACGACGACGGCGGCGAGGACGACGACGGCGGCGAGGACGACGACGGCGGCGAGGACGACGACGGCCATGACAGCACCAGACAGAACGACAGAGAGAGCGAAGAGAACGACAAAGAGAACGATCACGATCAGGGCGGGGCTGTGAGTGACGAGTCGATGGTGCCTGCACCAACCTTCGCTGAATTGGGCATCTACGCGTGGAGCCTGGAATACAGGGTTTCGCAGGAAGCCTGCTGCGCCTTGATTGAGGCGTTACAGAGCGAATGCTTTGACGCCACCAAACTACCGAAGTCGTTTTCAACGCTGGAAACGCGGGTCAAGGCGCATTTGTGCATGTGCGTCATACGGCGCCACGTCGTCCCGCGGAAAGCGTCGAAGACGACGATTGCCAAGACCGGTTCGAAGGCGAATCGCACCACAACATCGGCGTACACCTTAGGCTTGAAGGAACAGATCGAGCTTCGAATTCTGGGAAAACCCGCCCTACTCGGGAGCGGCCTCGGCGACTTCGCAAAAGTGCGGACGAACCTATGGGAGGGCGACGTCTGGCGCGAAAGCGTGGTGGCAGGTCGCGCGGCCTACCCTATGGAGACAACAAACGGTGAGTGGTCGAGGATGGCGCGACGAGGAAGAACAACATCGGGTGCCGGAAGCGCGTGAATAGGTGTCATGATGGGTGACCGGGCGATAGCGAAAGCGACGGAGGGCGGACACGCGGGCGAGCGGACAAGCGCAAGAGACTGCGAGACAGCACGAGACCGCTAGCCGAGGCCTGCCGAGGCCGAACGCTAGCGGCGGCAGGCGGCGGCACACTGCGGCACAGGGCGGGAGAGGGTGGGAGAGGGCCTCGCGCTAGCTCGCGCTCTGGACCTGGTGGTGCGATGCTCCACTGCCGCATCCGCATGGGGCCTCGTACCCTTTCAGTAGTATACTTGCACATACTTTGAGTAGTAGTAACACAATGGTCCACTCTACCTTGCGCAATTGGCCCTCTAACACGAGTTCTATGCCCCTATTGACCGTTGGGCATGGTTCGATCCCACGAGGATTTGAAACGCATTTGGGATCGATCCCGCGCCGATTTGAAGCGCATTTCAATTCGGCGCACGGATTTCAAATGCATTTCAAATCGGTGCGCCGATCCCAAATGCATTTCAAATCGGGGGCCCGATCCCGGGATGATCCGGGATCGTCCCATTTCAGGGGGGATTTTTTGCTATGGTGATAAGAACTTGCTGTTTCTGCGCAACCGAGGCGCCGAGAGTAGAGAAACCGCGCGATGGCCAAAGCGAAAATTCCTTCTTTCCTTCCCAGCATACCTTCGACCTTTCTCCTTCCCTCACCTCCTCAGTACCTACGCCCATCCTTCGCGGTGCAATGTCCGCCATCGTTTCCACCGAGCGGCTCGACTTCATGTGGCGCAATATTCAGCGCAGGGCGGACCACATCAAGCTTCTCAAGGCCCCAGTCAAAGATCTCCCAGACCTCCGGCAATCCATCGACCAATCCTATGCCGATGCCATCACCGAGGGCCTCAAGGAGGTGGTACAGATTGTAAACTGGCAGTTCGCCGCGCTTTCTCGGCGCATCCTCATTATCGAAACTCGGCTAGGTATCCCTGACTACAACGTCTGGTGTTCAGTCGCCACCGGCGCGGAGGTTCACTGCCGGAAGATGCTCGTGAGCTTTCCAGGCATCTCGACCGAAATATTAGCCAGCAACCCCGCGCCCTATGGCTTCCTGAACACCAGACGTCGTCGTCAGGGATACCTGGCCGAGTTTCGATCACGAGGATGCGCCGAGAAAGCGCGGCGAACTGCCAGTTTACAATCTGTACCACCTCCTTGAGGGCCTCGGTGATGGCATCGGCGCAGGATTGGTCGATGGATTGCCGGAGGTCTTGGGAGATCTTTGACTAGGGCCTTGAGAAGCTTGATGTGGTCCGCCCTGCGCTGAATATTGCGCCACATGAAGTCGAGCCGCTCGGTGGAAACGATGGCGGACTGTCACAAATGGAAGTTCGCCACTCCGAGTTCGGCCTCAGCACCTTCGTCATCCGCGTGACTTCTCGTGACTTCGGCCTTCCCGCGCCTCGGACCTCCTCTCCCCGCTTCGGCACCTGCACTGCTTTCTTCTCCTCCAACTACACACTCACAACCCTCTCGCCCCCGACTCTTACGTGCTCCTCAACCAAGCTCCATTACGTGTTCCTCGGCCTCAACCCTATTACGTGATCCTCGTGCCTCGCGTCCTCAAGCTCGCCACCTCGTCCCCGACTCCTCTGGTCTAGTTTCCCATTTCCGTAGCTTACTGGTCTCGTTCCCTTCTGCAACTCGAATCTCGTCAAAGGTCACATCCTTGCACTCGTCCCTCGTCCTCGCCTCTTGTGAGAAGTCCCTAGAACATCTCTCAACTCGTCACTCGCCCTTGTCCTTGTCTCGAGCCCCTACGTCCGGCTCACCTCGCCTATCTTCGCCCTTCGTGATACGGACAGTGCACAGGGAAGGATGAGCGTAGGAACTGAGGAGGTGAGGGAAGGAGAAAGGTCGAAGGTATGCTGGGAAGGAAAGAAGGAATTTTCGCTTTGGCCATCGCGCGGTTTCTCTACTCTCGTCGCCTCCCTTTGTTTGTCTTCACAACTCGGTCCAGGTGCTGTTGTACTCGGGATCCCGTCGGAGACATTTCGGACATAGCGGGCCCCGTCAGGAGTCATTTCGAGTCATTTCGGGTCATTTTAGCGGGGTCTGCGGTACTCGGGATCCCGTCGGAAGCAGCGGTTGTAGCGGAGTCGTTTCGATCGAAGCAGGGTCGAGTTCCGAAGTCGTTTCGACGGCCGAGTCGGGAGTCGATTCCATTTCCACTAGTTTCGGCAGGACCAATTTCCACTAGTTTCGGCGGAATTCTCAGCGATTCAGCGGTTCCGGATAAACTCAGTACTTCGGTGACTCGAGACTTGACTGTTAGCGACGAATCATGTGGCGGGAATTGAATGGAAGACCCGGGCCGGATGCGCGGATGAAGGTGTGAAGGGGAATGAAAGGAGCGTAGCGGTTTGAATGGTCGGAACGTTTGAAGGGAGTTTGCTTCTTGTTCTTGCTAGACCACTTCTAGGATCCAATACAGCAACTTAGCTGGTTGTCACTTTCTACGTGTTTCAAGTGTCGTTCGGCCTCGCCTCCAGCCTCCACTCTCCAGTTTCAGCGTTTCGTTCTCGTACTCGGTCTCGTTTCTCGGTTTGGGCCCCTTTTCTCTCCCCTGACTCTCGGCCGTTCCTCTCTCTCTCTCTCTCTCTCTCTCACGTCTCTCGTCTCTCGTCCCCCTCGTCTTCGGTCTCGGTCCCGTCTTTTCCCCGTATCATTTCATATCATCTTTGATCGACCGCTTTGCTATACCATACCTCTCCAAATTCTAACCTCGGCCCTGGAATCCGGAACGAGCTCATGAGAGTCCGGCGAGTTCATGTCCCGACTTGAGCAACGCCCAAGCGAAGTGCGCCACGGCCTGTGGGTGACCCTATGGTAGATAGAGCAAAAGCGGTCGATCAAAGATGATGATGGGAAAGATGAAGGGAAAAAAAAAGTTGGGACTGAGATCGAACACGTTTGCTGTATACGTTGTCCATTGCAGACCTGCGACAGACTCACTGCATTGGCGTGTACCATCACGGCAGTCGCGCCCAGCCTCTCTGACTGCTATACGCCAATGAGTCTGTCGCAGGTCTACGATGGACAACTTACAACAACGTGTGGCAATGGAGACTGGATCGACAAACCTACCTGCTCAGGGAGACGAGAGAGAGCGACCGGAACGGCCGAGAGAGAGAAGGGAAAGGGGAGGGGCCGAACCGAGAAACGAGACCGAGAACGAAACACTGAGACTGGAGACTGGAGGCTGGAGACGAGGCCGAACGAGACTTGAAAACACGTAGAAAGTGAGAGCCGGGCAAGATCAATGTATTGGATCCTGGAAGTGGTCTGTCTAAGAACAAGAAGCAAACTCCCCTCAAACGTTCCGACCATTCAAACCGCCGCGCTCCTTTCATTCCCCTTCACACCTTCATCCGCACATCCGGCCCGGGTCTTCCATTCAAATCCTGCCACATAATTCGTCGCTGACGGTCGATCCTGTTGGAATCAACGATGCTTCCGAAAATGATCAACAAAAGAAGAGAAACGGCTGAACCAGGAGTCGAACCTGGGTCGCTTCCATTAATCGGAAAAACTTTGACCTCTAAGCTATTCGGCCCCTGATATCAGTGCAAGGTCTACTAACACCTTCAATACTTCCCCTTAGACCTTTGCACTGCTGCCAGGCTATTGCAATGCGTCGACTCTAAGTCCCAATTGGACTCTATGTCAAGCTTCTGCGGCAGCTCCGGCAGCTATGTGCGGCGTCATTGGAAAGATTTACAAGCAAGGTTCTATAATAGATCCTCACACTTCCCCTTAGAACCTTGCTTTGGCGTTCTTGCTCTACAGCATGGTTCGGAGACGGCCGCCCCCTTTCTCTTGTTAACCGACAGACGCTACCATGTTGAGCAATTGTGAGGCGTTGGATTCCCCGGTGTTCATGATCGATGCATCGGGAACGCGCACTCCAGCAGCAGGACGAGGAACTCTCTTTGCCGAATTCAAACTCGCCGATGGCACGACTTCCAAGATTTCCATCTCGGACGTCCTTCACGTCCCCAACTTCGTCGTCAACCTCATCTCGGGACCCACGTTGTGCAAACAAGGAGTCCGCATCGAGATGGAAAACGAGGGGAGGAGCCAAGAACGATCCACGATAGACCTCAAGGCGGTAGAGGTGTCGGGCTCGTATCGGACTCTCTCTCTCAAAAAAAAAGCAGAGACCCGAAAACCCCCAAGTTCGTAAATCCTCGAGGAGAACAAAAAACAAAAAACAAAAAAAAGCATTGCAAGTCTGCTCTACTCTACCCGATACCCACCATTTACTCTTCCTCTCGAGCTCGATCGTCCGAGCCGATACCATATCGCATCTACATCATCCCCTTCTTCGAACCTTCAAGGTTCGTTTTTATTCAACATCACCACCACCATCACCATCACCACCATCACGCACTATCCATCCCCATCCCTATCCCACCAACAGGCGTACATCCTTCGCTCGGCAGGACGCAGCCAAGTGGAGAAAAGTCTTTAAACGAGTAGGTTCAGCCTCGATGAGATTTCGGTTTGGGTTTGGACGACGTTGGCGAGGTAGGAGACCTGGTGGAGTGTAAAGGTGGGGAAAGGGGTGGGGTATCGGGTTTAGCGGATCAGGTGATGAGGATGATACGAAAGTGCGCTTCCCTCGTGCCCCAAGCGTAGCACGGTCCCTCCCCCCAAAAACTGAAACCTGAACGTACCATCAAAACATCCGCCAGATGGGCATTGAACTCATCCTCGAAGCTCGTCGTTACGTTATTCGCATTCGCATTCGGATTCACATTCGCGTTCGTGATCGACGCTGACGATTTCGACGAACTCGTTGTTGTGACGGCGGCGGTGACGGGTACGCTGCCTACCGTTTCCAATAAAGCTCTTGCGACCCTTTCGTCAGCTTTGATTTCGCCGAGGTTGACTTGGTGGACGTAGGAGAGCACCGAGTCGAGCATGACGGAAACTTTTTCGAGGAGGGTCAGTAGGGTCGCGAGTGGGGTCGTTGGGGCGATCGTTGTTGAGGCGTCGGTAGGGTCGACGGAGGAGGAGGAGGAGGAGGAGGATGCGGCGGCGACGGCGACGGCGACACTTGATTTGGGAGAGGTCAAGTTGGACGTCAACAATTCGATGCCGGGTCGTTCTTGGGCGTGAACGCGTAGTTCGGTAGGGACGGGAACGAAAGCGACTTGATCGGCTCTCTGGGTCGTTCCCACGGGAGTCGAGACGTAACTGGCGAAGGCCAACGTTTGAGGATCCAAGACGAGATGAACGGCGGGGAAGGGGGACGATTCGGAGCCGTAAAAGTTGTGGATCAAGGCCGAGAACGAGTTGAGCGTGGGGTGGGTCGCGTACCATCCTACGACGACTTCGCGAGCGTTGACCTTGTGGTGGAGGTCGAGCAGGGCCTTGTGGTGGTCCATGTCGATCGTGATCGAGCCTTTGCCCTGGGCTTGGTAAGGGACGCCGAACGAGGAGCGTACTTCGATCTCGTTCGAGGCTTCGTGGCGGACACCGAGCAAGGTGCCGAGCACGCGGTCCTGCGACGACGAGCGGCGAAGGTGGTGGTCGAGCATCGCCGCGAGCGGCAGCGGGGAGACGACCACCTTGGACACCGGCCGCGTCGAGGCGAGCGAGGTCGAGGGCAGCGCGAGCGAGAGCGACATGACGCGTGCTGGGCCGTGGGCGGTGGGCCGTGGGCGGTGGGCGGTGGGGTGAGGGGTGGAGGGGTGAGGAGGGGGTGGAGAGGAGGACAAGGCGTAGAAGGATCGTCGCGAGGGCGTGACCGGGGTGAAAGCTGGTGAAAGTGAAAGGGAGCTCTGGCTGCTCCGGGGCTGGGCTGCGAGACAGGCGCAAGTGTATATTAAACCGTACTTTTGACTAGTAAAAAAGTGAAAGCAGCGCGCGCGCGTCTTGTAATGAGCGAAAATTGTCCGCCCGTTCACCCGTCGCAGGCAGGCACTCGCCCCAGCTCGCCCCGCTTGGTGGCCTCACGCGCCAGTCTCGAACCCTTTTTTGGCACTCGCTCACACCACCACCACCTAACCCTACTTCCCCTCCGACCCGTCCACGATGGCCTCGACCACCACACCGAACGCACAATCTGATGACCCCTCTTCGTCTTTGGCGTTCCAGGACGAGTTTACGCACTCGCACGGCGGACGATGCTTTTTCGTCGCCGTCGAACCCGTCTTTGAGGAGCAGGTGCGTGCGCTTCTCAACTGAACCGATTGATGTAGAACAACACGTGGGTGAGATGTACCTAACCCCGCTGGTGGAGAGGTTGCTGTAGATCTCGCAACTCGCTACGGTGATCGCGCGCTTTTCATCCACCACTTTGACCGAAGCTCAACGCACCGACTACGTACAACACCACACCACCTCGGCACGACAAGCCTCCCCCTCCAAAGCCGTCACCGAGGACGACGACAACGCCGCCACCGCCGCCACCGCCGCCGCCGCAGTAGACGTGGACACGGCGTTGGAAGGGTCGACTACTCCCCCTCCTCCGCGGCCTGTGACGGAGGATCAGCGTCAACAACGACGTACCTTGTTGGAGCAGTTGTTGAACGATCTCAAAGGTGTGAGGATCCAAGCTCTCGATAGGGAATTCCAAGGCTTCGCGCATCTCTTCCTATCGCTCATCCTTTCGACGTACAAAGTCACCGATCAAGCTTTCGCGAACGCGGTCTTGAACCTCGTTGATGCGCTTGCTTTCAGTCAGGGCAAGAACGCGCAACCTACTCTATCGACTCGGTACGCCACCTTGGCGAACGTCTTCAACGCGCTCGATACGACTCGCGAGAACGCTTTGGATCGTTTGCGTTTACGAGTGGTCGAAAAGTTGGTCGAGGCCGCGGCGCAGAATGATGATTACCTCGTTATCGAACCCGTCGTTCGTTCGCTCGAAGCTTGGTTGATCCAATGGGGATTCGCGGGGGAGACGATCTCGAACGAGAACAGACAAAAAGGTGACGAGGCCGTATTGAAGATCGTCAAACTGTTGAACAAGGGTCAACACGTCGTACCTCGTCTGGCTCAACTCGAAAAGGATTTACTCGTCGGCCATCTTTCCCACGCCGCCGCCGTCGATGATCTCGTCGAAGCGTCTTCAACAACCCAAAACGAATTGGCCTCACACTTGATCGCTTTGGTCCTTCGTCTACCGAACGAATACGATTTCTCCTCCCTCTCGAACCTCAAAGCCCTCCAACGACCTTCGACCCAACTCCTAGCGCAAGTACTCAACGTCTTTCTTCAACCCGGTTCAACCGTCGTCGATCTCGAAGTCGTGCTTTCGTCCGATTCGGTCGTTCCTCAACTCGAGTCCTTTGGATTGGACGTTGATAGTTTGAAGAACAAATTACGCCTGATCGGTTTAAGCGAATTATGTTCGACCCGGGTCGGACAACGAGTTCCGTACGACGAAATTTCCAAAACGTTGAAGCTTTCTCAAAAAGAAGAAGAAGAAGAAGAAGAAGAAGAAGGATCGTCTAGGACCGAAGAAGGGGTTGAGAATTGGGTGATCGACGCGATCCGAGCTGGATTGGTTTCGGGCAGGTTGCAAGGTTCGGAAAGGAAGTTTTGGGTCACCCAGGCGAGGGCTAGGTCGTTTGGTCAGGATCGATGGATCGTTTTGGAACAGAGGTTGAGCGAGTGGAGGGTCAGTTTGGATGGTATTTTGGACAGCGTAAAGAAGGGTCTTGGGGGGTGGGTTCAGGTTCAGGGGGTGCACAGGATGTGGTTCGTTCTTCCGCCGGAGGGGGTAGGGAAGCGACGATTGAGAAGGAGTTGATTGCTGTTTGAGCGAGTGCGTGCCTCTGTCGTCGATTAGATATTGCAATCAAAGAGGTTCAAGCGTTCGTTTGGGTAATCATATAGAGTGTTACTCTTTATGAGAAAGGAGGGCAAGAGTAGATATCAAAAGCTTTTCGGCAACGACATTTGAGCGACTCGGAGGCCCCGAAGGAAAGACGTTTGGCGCGAAATCGATTTTCGACGAACCCCGAAAGCAAAGCAAGTTCGAGATTTCGGTATCAATGTCATACAAAAGAACAACCGAAGCGCGCAACAAACAAAGAAAGCTAAATCAAGGACTCGAGGGGGGGGGGGGGGGGGGGGGTCGAACCCCAACGAGGCGCATTCAGTTTGGTTTCGATCCAAAGTTGTTAACGTCGGTTTTCAGAACGACACTGTAAACGATGAAAAGAATACGATTCAGCAAAGCCCGATTGAGCGCTCTCTTTCTTTCCTTCCCTTTTTTTGACTGGAAACTGTTTGTTCGGACTTACTCGCTTGTTCGATGATGCGCCCCAATTCTTCCTTGCCTTCATTGCCCGTGAAACCGGCTGTTCCGAGTCGGACACCGAGGGGTGTCCAACAAAGTCAGTGCATGAGTGAGTCATCTTCTCCAAAAAAAAGAAAAAACAGAAAACATCTCCAAGAGGAAAAAGAAGAACGTACGAGCCAAATCCAACACCCTTCTTTGTGGCAAAGTGCCCAAGACCAACTCGTTCACATCCGCCGATTGGTAACCCACGGCGTTCAAACCCCTCGGTACGTCCAAACCGACCAAGAAGCGAGCGATCCGATCGTGGAGGAGCATGCCTACGTCTTCGTCCCTGACGCGTTGGGTGTCGATGCCGTCGGGTTCGAATTCGTTGAAGATCTGCGCCGCTCGACGATGACGATCGGGCGCGGAGGGGGCGGTGAAATTGAAGACGGCCGGACCGGTCAAAGCGACGGAGATGCCATGCGGGACGATCGGGTGATCGACTTCGTAACCGGGGTGTTGGTAACGCCCCTTGGAGTAGTTGAGCCCAGAGATCGGGTAAGAGATACCGTGACAGAGGTGAACGCCGGCGTTACCGAATCCGATACCGGCGAACGTCGACGCGAGCAACATGGACGATTTCGCTTCCTTGTCCGAACCGTCGGCGGCGACGCGAGGCAGGTACTTGACCGTTTGGCGCAGGGCCCATTCGGAGAAGACGTCCGAGACGGGGTTTCGGCCTTGGTACGCGGGACGGAGGAGAGGGTTCGAAGGACGGGGTAGTCGGTCGAGGTACGAGATCGCGGTCCACGATTCCAAGGCGTGGAAGAGCACGTCGAGGCCGGACGAGATGTGCACCGCGCGAGGGCACGAGTCGGTGTTGAGCGGATCGACGATGCCGAGCAGAGGACGAAGCGCGCGGTTCGCGATACCGGTCTTGGCCGAAAGGGGCGAGTAGTCAAAGATGGCCGTGCCGGTCGTCTGTTCCGGTCAAGAAGGAGGAGGATCAGAAATGCGCTCGGTTGTGTATGCTTAGGACGAGAGCTCACCTCGGATCCGGTACCGGCCGTAGTCGGGACGGCGATCAAAGGTCGGAGGACCTTGTTGATCGGCTTGCCCTTGCCGACCGGTGCATTGACAAAGTCGAGCAGCTCGGCCTCGGGGTGGCAGACAAAGAGGTTGGCGACTTTCTGTGGAGTGGGAAGAAATTGATCAAAGGCATCAGCGATCGTAAGCGCCGGCGGACCAGCGTGATAGAACCGAGATGATGACGTGCGATCCGGTCGACTTACGCAGGTGTCAATAACGGATCCACCCCCGACGGCGAGAAAGTGGGAAAAGTCGTGGTGCTTGGCAAAGTCGATCGCGGCTTGCCATCTGTGATGATGATTTTGCGAGGAGATTATTGTCGGCTGTGAGCGATCGTGGGTCCCGTTCGGCGCTTCGGAGAAAAGCGCCGACGAATTGGCCGCCGGTGCCGATATTCCCGGTGGCACCGGGGGCAAGGTGACCGAAATGGCACTGAAGACGCAGCACAGGGCGAGGCGAACGTCGCTGCCCGACTTGCCAAACAGAAGAAAGCAGCACTCACGAAGTTTGATTAGGCTCGACGCGAATCTTGTCGTAGACCTCGTAAGGGACATGGGCCGCTTCGAGGGACTCGATCGCCATCTTCATCGGCAAGAGTTTGGACACGGTCGCGTCGGTGAAGACGCCTACTTTGCGCGCTTTTTGGTTGGCGAAATCCATTCCAACCTCCTGCGGAGGGATGAATCGGGGTCAACTCGAGTGTATCTCGGGGTGGGAAGGCAGAAGCGCCCTTTCACGACCGGCGGCTAATTTGTTCCCCTTGTTTGAGCCGGGGTCGGACCGCTTGAAAGCTGAGACTGACCCTGGTGACGCCTTCACCGTACCTCAGATTGCTCGCCGCGACTTCGAAGGCATACTCGGTCTGGGGTGCATCGACAGGGGTCGCGTACGTCCTGGCTTGACCGCCGGATTGGATCGCCTTGGAGGCGTTGAGGATGTCGAGCGCCGAATTCTTGGCGGTGGAGCAGATCGAGCAGCCGCAGTGGGTTTTGTGCGTGCGTTGCAGCAGGGACTGTGGAAAAGAGGGGTAGGTTAGAGAGCGGTTCGTTGTGGGTGGTGAGGGGGTGAGGGGCGGCCGGGTCAGACGAAAGCGGAGGTCAGTGGGCGCGTGCGCGTGAGTGAGAGAGTGTGGGGAGGATGGGGAGGAGGAGTGCTGCAACCTGCTGCAACAGGGACGACTGACCTGCACGACTTGGCGCGATGCAACGGGCGGTCGAGGCACTGTGAGGGAAGATCGTGGGTCGGAACAGGTAGCGGACAAACCGGTGCTCCAAGGTCTTGCTCACTGTTGGGCAAGAGGTTGGGGGTGTTGTGCGAGCGATTGAATGAGCGAGTGGGGAAGGAAGGAAAGGGGGGGGGGGGAACAGCCGCGTCTGCCTGGGCTCATCTTGCGCCGTGGCGGCTCGGCGACTGACAAGACACCGGGCGCGCGCGCACACAGAATGGCCATTACCAAGAGTGCTAATCGCCAAGGCTGAATTAGACGCGCTCTCTCGAGTGACGTCGCGCGTGCAGTGAACGACCTTCGCAGGCGACTCGCCCTCACCCCTCCCTAACTCGACACTCGCAACTCGATACTCGCAACTCGACACTATGTTCTCTCGCACAGCGGCGACGCGGTTGATCCACCCCGTCAATCCGGCGAGGTGTACTGCTTTCCCACTTGGTTTACTATATTCAACTACGGTCAAGGGTCCTGCACCTCCTCGTCGTTCATCGTCCGGCGGACCGAGCAGTTCCAACTCGAACGCACGAACCCAAACCAATCGATCTCGACCATCTCCACAACTCGAGCGTACACCACGCCACAAGTCCCATTCCAATTCCAACTCCAACTCGAACCCTGCACTGCGTTCCCATTTCCGCCAAAACGGTCAGCCCTACGACGATTCGTATCTGCTCTGCGACCAAGTTCGTCTGCTCTGCTCGCGGGACCAACTCGAAAGAGCGATCGACCTCGTTCGACGAACGCCGGCTCGGACGTGTACGGTCGTCGTTTGGAACGTCTTGATCAACGAGGTGTTGCAACGCTTTGGGGATACGGGCAAGGCGTACGAGTTGTGGATGGAGATGAAGAGGAGGGGGTTCGTGCCGAGTACGAGATCATTCGCGACCGCGTTGAGGGGTTTCGCCTCGGTCGCGAACAAGGTGAAAGGCAAGACGGGGACGATCAAGACCAAGTCTGCGGTCGCTTCGTCGACGACACTGTCGAGAGCGAGGACGATTCATTCGCAGTGGGTCACCCATCTCCACAACGCTTTGGGTTCGGAAAAGATGACCCTTCAACACGACAGCGACGAGTTGTCCGTCTTGCCGACGAATCATTTCCTCACTTTTTTGGGCAACACCGAACAATGGGACCTCTTGTTGGAGACGTTCAATTCACTCCCTGCGAAGGGTCCATTGGCGCCCAACTCGGCGACGTATTCGCTCGTCCTCGGGTTCCTCAAAGCGCTTCCTCCATCGGCGGAAAATTTCCAGCTCGCGATCGGGATCTACAACCGCATGATCGACACCTTACCCCCTTCTCAACTCGACAACCGTACACTATCAATCGTACTCTCGATCTGTCGAGATCAAGTACGCCCCGATGATCAAGCGCTCGGTATCTCGATCGCGACCCAAATCTTCGGTCTCTTACCTTTGAACGAAACGCATCGATTGGACGATCCGACCACTCCGAAACCTTTACTCAGAATGGATTCGACTTCATTCTCTTCGGTCTTGACCTTGTTACTCAAGATGCAGAGGTACAACCTCGCTGTCGAATGGTTCGATCAAGTACGAGATCATGGTCAACGTTTTGGGACCGACGTGATTGGGAGACAACAGTGCGAATTGGTTTTACAAGCTTGGGTCGCGAAGCGAGGTGATGCAGGAGCTGAAGGTGAATTGATGACCGAAAAAAAAAAACGAACTCTTTTTTTTTTTTCCTTATCGAGAACGCATCTCTCGACGGAACTGACTCGCTCTGTGGTGTGCATCACACAGCTTTGTTGGAATGGATGCACGCGCAAGGGATCGAACCGAGTATGCAGTGTTATGCTCTAGCTATCAAGGCGTGTTGGAAGAACGTGAACCTCTCTAGAGCCTATCACATTCTCTCGAGGATGACGGGTCAAAATTTACCCACACCACCATCCAAACCGATTTCAACCCCATCAAAAAATTCGAGTTCGACCACTCTCGATACAACCCGTGTCGTCGTCCCCTTCAGCACGAAACGACTTGGTCCGTCATCACAAGCTCTAACGTACTTCCTACATACCGCATTGAGTACACGAGATCGAGCCCAACTTTCAGAAGCTTTATCGACCTTCTTGAGCTCTCGAAAAGAGGGTGGTTTGGAGGGGAAGAAATACCTCTTCGATGCCGATACCGATGTCGATGTCGAAATGGGATCGAGGTCCATGAAGAAGGCGATCTCAACGACGTCGACGTTGGAAGAAAGATATTTTCGTTTCACTTTGCATCGAGTTTTGGAAAGATGTTTGAACAAGATCTTGGACGTACCTGAGCAGGTTGTGGGGAGGTATTTGGGAGCTACGAAGGTGGTTGAATGGGAGGGGGTTTGGGAACGCGTTAAGGAATGGGTGGGGAGGAATCGACATGCTGATCGTGGGGAGGAGGAAGGGGTAGAGAGGGAGGAGAGTATGGAGAGGAGGTACGAGCTTTTGAAGAAGCGCGGTGGTGGTGGTGGTAGGAGAGAGGGGAAACAACCTTGGGAGGGGAGGGGGAAACAGACGATTAGGAAGGACGAGGGTAGGGCAAGAGGGCAGGCCAAGCATCGGATCGGGTTTGAAAAGTTTTGAGTAGAGAGTGGTCAGGTAGTCCCGTATGTGACCCTTCACTCTTGATTTTTGGCGCGTGATTACGTGAACAGATCGTTTCCGCCACTTGACGCACGGCGAGGCGACGAATAATTTTCTCTCGAGTCGGGACTTTTTCAGCAAAAAGGTTCAGTTCCTCGATCACTCCTCAAAAGAGTCGACAAGGTCATGATTAGGATGAAACGAGATTTTTTAAAAATGCAATAATAAAACGATAACACAGATCAACCGGCGATGCGTAATCAGGAGTCAGAAACGAGATCGACCAGAGTCGAGATTCGGAAACAAAGCGAACGGCGATGCAAAGCGAGCGAGAGGGGAATTGGCAATGCATTCGATCGGATCGGAACGAGAGGACTTGAGCCGCGCGTTCACATTCACAATCGCTCCCAGTCCACATCCGGACTGGTAGCCCCCGTCCTACTCGGTGAGTGGTGTTCGAAGAGAGGCTCGGTCGCCGAATCGCTCGAGGACGAATCCGAGTCGTCGTCGTTGAAGGAATTATGGCGCGAATGGCGCGTAAAGATTTGGCGGTCCGAATCGGTGTTGGATTCGGGGAGGTGGTGATGAGGGTTGAGGAAGTGGGAGGGGCGGGAGTGGGAGGTGCGGTGGGCTGAAAAAGAGGGGGGACTGCCCGAGAGCGTGCCCGAGTCGGAGAGCCAGGCCGAGCCGGTGGAAGAGGAGAGCGTCGAGCGCAAGTTCTTGTAAAAAAAAGTCATCGATTGCCCAGTTAGAGAGAGAAAGAGAAAATAAAATTAGTAAACCTTTTTTTGCTCACTTGGTGGTGGTCGCTCCCCTCTTGAGCGAGATTTCTCTCCGCGCCGGCCGTGTATGATCGTCGTCGTTCGTGGAGCCCCGTATTGCTGCTGCTCCCCCTTGTCATCATCTTCTCGTACCCACCCGCTTCAACTGCACTACTCTTTCCCTCCACTTGCTCATCGTCCTGAACGTTCTTGAACGTAGGTGGCGAAGCATACGAATGGGTCATCCTCTGCTGGCGCTGCTCGTGTTCTGTTCGCCGTTGGTTCGCTTGGACTTGTTGGTCGAGTTCGTACGCGACGAGACAGATGACGCCGACGGTCATGCACCCGACGAGGAGGTAGATGTGGAACATGCTGTGGTTGCGTGCACGGCGGCGGCGGGGGGTGGGTGAGACACTCGTTCACGTTCGCCGACGGGGAAGGACAGAGTTGGGCAGAGGAAAAGGAAGCGAGAGGAAACGACGCATTCAGCGACGGAGGACGGTGTGGCGCTAGAGCCGTAGAGCGGAACAAGCTCGAGAGGAGAGGAGAGCGAGCGACGGGCTAATAAGCGATCGGCGATCGATTACACACCCGACGATCGTTTCCATTTCCCATTAGCCCGTTAGCCCGAAACTGAGACCTTGCCCCCCCCCGCGCGCGCGTTTGCCAAATCGAGCCAGGACCAGCCATGTCAAATCGCAGCGCAGAACTGAGCAGAACTCTGTAGAACTCATCAGTAGCGCACTGTCTCGCACTGTCGCCCACCTCGCGCACCCGTCACCGATCGCACCGCGTGCCCCCCCCCAATTTCCCTCGCTCCACACCTGGCTTCCCCGCCTCCACGTCACCCGGACGCACGCTCGGACCGGACCACCGCCTCAACCCATGGCGATCGCCTTCTCCCCACCCATCCCCTATCCTACGAACCTACCGACGGCGACGCAACTGTCGATCCTGAGCCAGTTGAAGCATGCGTTGATCGGCCACCATGCCCGCAAGCTCGTCGTGCTCGCTCATCCCGGCGCACTCGAACAACTTGTCCAACTCGGCGGCCATCACCTGCGACCGGATACACACCATCCAGAGGTGCAAGTGGTCAATGAGGCGGTGACGCTCTTGGGGACCTTGTCTTTGCGTCAGTCACGGAGGGGACATCGAGCCTGGGACCGTTCAAACACTGACCACTCCAGCGCCGTTTCTGCGATCACAGCGACCCATCAAGCTCAACTCGCACTGCTCAGCAATCAAGTTCACCAAACCCTCTTGTCTGCACTCGCGTACACCACTGGCGATCGAGGATCGTCCACCGCCTCGTCGTCGTCGTCGCACGTCACCGTCACCGCCACCACTTTAACCCCGCGCGACAAACTGCTCGAATCCGTGCTGCGATCGATCAAGGTCGTCTACTCGGACCTGGTCGAATGCGTAGGGCCAGGCGAGTGGGGCGATGACTTGCTATCGCTTACTCCTATCAGTCCTTATATCAAGTATGCGAAGCGCGATCAGTCCGAGTCGCGCAATGTGGATCACTCTGACGATGACAGCGACGACGATGGCGACGATCAGACGATGGACAACGACTTTCGCACCGGACGAGCTTCCCAGAGTAACCTCAAACGACTTGCTGCAAAGGCGTTGTCGGAGTTGTACTCGCCCACCTCGACCGCGCTCCTCGGTCTCGCCCCTATGCTCGACTTTGATTCCTCATCACTCGACCCGCACAGTCTGCGATTGCGACACAAGCGAGCCGAACTCGTTTGCGACTTGTTCGCGTCGACGGTACGAACCCAAGAGCAACGTCAGGCCGTCCTTCAGACGGGTACGACGGCGAACAAGTTGTGGGATTCGCTCGTTGGAATCGTCACCACGACAACGGGGAGGGTTCAAGAGAGTGCGATTGCTGCCCTCTCGGCGCTATTCAAGGATGAAACTGAGACTCTCAAGGCATGCATCGGAGGTCAGTGTCGAATGTGGGAATGGGCTTGCAAAGAAGTTGTTGCTGATTCGATTCGAGTCTACCTCCTCATTCCCGCAGCTCAAGGCGGCAGTCCACTCTTTCCGACCTTGAACGCGCTCTCCCAATCGGCGAACGCATCGCGACGACTTACAGCAACCATTGCGAGGATCGTGCTTTGTCAATCGAGACGGCTTTCAATCACATTTCCGACTCCCGAGTTTGATCGCAACGCCGCGGGGGAACTCGGGATCGATTCCGTCGCCGCAACTTTGATGGCCTTGGTCGATGCGGACGACAAGTTACGAGGGAGGGCCTGTTTCGCACTTGGTCAGTTCTTTGAAGCTCACGTTGAGCTCGAAATCCCCCATGACTGAATCAAGGTCCGGCGTATTTTCGATCGTAGCGTACCTGGTTGCTATCAAGTTTTCGCTCGAGACTTATGGAACTTCCAACAACCGAGTACTCGAGGTCGTCAAGAAATTACTCAAATCAACCTCATCTCTCTCTACCACCACCACCACCACCACCACTTTATTCGACGAAGCTTACTATGGACCACCCCCGAACTCCACCCCGATCGAAGCTGCGTTGACTTTAATCGCGCTCCTAACTGCCGAATCTGAAGATGATCGCCAACTCGTCAAAGAGAAGGGTTTGATCCCACTGATCGTCGAATACCTCTCACACCCTTTACCCAAAGTTAAAGCTGCTGCATGTCATGCTTTGAGGTCCTTATCGAGGAGTGTACATCTCCTACGAACGAGTTTGGTCGAAACCGAAGCTGCTAAACCGCTCGTCAAACTTTTGGGAAAGGGCGAGGGTGAGGTCGTTAGGATCACGGCTGTCGCGACGGTTTCGAATCTGTTGTTGGAGTTTAGTCCGATGAGAGGGACGTTGATTGAAGAGGGGGTGGTGGAGGAGATTGTAGCGATGGCCCAGGAGGGGTCGAGAGGGAGGAAGAAGAATAGGGCAGTAGGGAGGAGGAAGAGGCAAGAGGTAAAAGACGTGAATGTGTTGTGGGCTCTCAAGAATGGTACGTTTTAAGGGATGGACACAACCCATTGACCATTCTTCCAAACTCATGTCTCGTTTTTACCATGCTCTCAGCGAGCTATCAGGCTTCCTATGAATTCAACACGCGTCTTTTGGCCCTTCTCGGCTGGCCCAACCTCCGCACTTTTCTCTTGTCGAAGCAAACGAGCGTCTCCGAACAGGCTTTCGGGATCCTTCGTAACCTCACATGTACCGACGGTAGTAACCCGACGCCCGCCTTATTCGCTCCACCTCCGTCCGGATCCGACACGCCATCGATCAGGCCGGAAGAGGTGATCAAGCACTGCGCGGACGTTTTGGAACTTGAGAAGGTTCCCTCAGAATGGCCTATTCTTGAAGAAGCGGGTGTGAGACTTCAAGTACTCTATACGCTCGTCAATTTGGCGGCGGGGGATATGGATATGAAGGGAACGATCTTGGTTCAAAATGGATTGTTGGATCTTTTGATCGACGCTTTGGTAAGTCATTTCTTTTCCAACCAGAGCTACAAATTCGATGACTTTCGAGAACTCATCTTGACGATGTTGGGATGGATTCTGATTTGGTTTTCATAGAAAGCAAAACTTGCGGATGTACGATGCGCGACCGTATGGGTTTTCATCAACCTCTCACAACCCATCCCACCCCCCCCAAATCCAATCCCCCCGACCCACTCAACGCGGCCCCCCAAACCCCACTCGAGTCCCACTCAACCTCAATCCTCATCAACGACCATAGCACCACTTTCGACACCCCCTACGATGAAGGAGATTCTCGTGTTTTTGAGAAACAAGGGGGTGAATCGGGCTTTGGGTGAGTTGAGTACGGATGTTAGTTTGGACGTGAGGGAGAGGGTCAAGGATGCTTTGCAGGTTTTTAGTGGGTGGGATTGAGTAATGCGAAGGACGCGGGGTGCGGGATGGTCATGTTGATTTTTTGGCGCGATGAAAAAATGGTTCAGAGACTTCTCAAGAGAGACGAGGACGAGATACGAGAGGAAGAAATGTGTGACGTGGACGAGGTTCGAATTGCAAAAAAGGAAGAGAGTAGCGAAATACGAAATTGGGGAGCTAGATTGAAGGAGGCGGTAAAAATTAGTAAAGGTCTTGAGGAAGCGGTGCTCGAGTAGACGGTGCTTTGATGACCGAATGTAGTAAACGTACGAAGTCGAACTTGAGGCTCGAGAACGAGAGTCTGAAAGTCTTTTCTTTTCTTTTTTTTGACTGAGCTCATAAATTCCTATCCTTCGGGTTGGCTCGCACCGTTACAAAAAAGAGCTAAAAGTGGTTATGAAGCAACGACGGCAAGCAGTTGGGTGAAAGTCAAACCCCTCTGCGCGCAAAGAGCGCTGCGCAGATCAAAACCCGCCGAGCACCTAACGCGGACTCCAACGGGCGGTTGAGTACTGCTGCCGCTTCACGTCCCAAGAGCTGAGCAGGAGCGAAGATACTCGAAAACCAGGCAAGAGCGCCTAGAGAAACAAAAGAGAGGAGGGGAATACACCCGAGGGGCCAAGGGAGAGGATCCAAGCCAGAGATAGAGGTCCCAGGGACTAACAGGGCAAGCTGCGGCCGGGCACGAGCGGCGTCACAAGCGTGAAGCCGGACAGCACCTGATTGTCCTCCCTCGGCTGAGTCTCGGGTGCTGGCTTGTTGAGCCGTCGGGGCCGAGCGAAAAATGATCCAGTACAACGAAACGAGCCGAGCCTCGACGCGAGGATGTTGACCAAAAACGAGCGACCTTTCTTCCAGATCCATGCCGTAGATCTTGACCAACGCGGACGAACGATTCATTCGACGGAATCCAACACACGGCTTAGGAATAAAAGGAGAAGTGGCTGAAGCCTAGTCAACAACCGAGCAACAGGAACGAGAAGAGGAAGGGAAGGAAAAGGGGGGGGGGGGGGAAGGGAGGGGAGAACTTCACAAAAGCCTCCAACGCAAAGACGATCGACTCGGCTTGCCGATCATCCAAGAACGAAAATCGCTACTGCGCAAAGTAGGGAGGGGTGCGCAGCCTCCCACTGCCCAACAAGCTTCAAGACAATGTCAGCTTCTGACAGAAAAGTCGACCTTCGAAAAAGAAGGGAGGAAAGGAGGGGAGAGAGAGGAGGGGAGGAAAATGGGAAGGAAGGACTTAACTCGGTCATCACACCTCCCAATCTCGAGCCCCAGGCACAAAACCCGCTCGAGAGAGAAAATCTCGCTCGAACGCTCTGAGCGCACTGGGGAGCGAGGACGGGGCCACGACGTTGTCCAGCTCGAACCGCTGATGAACGCGCCAGCGGAGCAGGTGCAGCCGCTGGAAGCCGATCGCGCAGGCCAGCCGAACCCACATCCAATTCGAGGTCGTTCTCCCACAAACCCGCAAAAGGGGAAACCCCATAGTCAGCTGCTCCGGAGTGAACGTCGACGGATCGACGTCGGTATCCTCGATGCTGAGCTTGTCGAACAGAATACGCAGCACCCCGCCCCAGAAGCTGGTCGAGTACGCGCACTCGAAAAAGTAGTGCGACACCGTCGCGATGACCGCTGAATCATTGCCACAGAACAGACACGACGGCGATGAAGCATGGCCCTGAATGTGCTGCAGCTTGCGCGTCGATGTCACATCGTACATGAGCGGCCAGTGGGTGTCCTGCTCCGCCACCGAAGCGAACCCGTCGTGGAGCCATCTCCAGAAGCGCTGCGTGTCGCTCTAAGAAGTCCAAAGAGGGAAACGCTTGACACGATCCTCCCTCCCTGGGAACGGCACCTTTTTCACAAGCGCTTGCGAATTGTAAAAGGTCGGGAGAGCCCAAAGAAGTTGAAGCACCGAGGACGGGGAGCCTCCTTGAGAGGTATCCGAGCAAGGCTTTCGCCTTGAGCAACTGACCCACGCGCGACCACAAGTGCTCGTGCTGTAGGGCGGGTTCCTTAGAGTGCTTCCAGAACCCGCTTCGATGACCAAACAGAGCCCATCCGCTGTTATTGTCCCTCCAGTACAAGTCCGCGATCTGCGCCCACTTTTCCACTGCGTCCTCATCCTCATACGCGTAACGAACGTCATCGGTAGAGTGAAGGGAGGCGTGGCGGAAGCGAGAATAATTCGGGAAGCGTTTGGAGTTCGGACTTGATCGTTGGAACTGTGACACTGGCCGCTTTAACGAATGCCCCACAGCGCGTCGAGTCGCGGTACAGCTTCTCGAGCCGAGCCGCAGTGCTGAAGAATGTCGCAGAAATGTTCTCGAGTGGTAACTGATGATGACCACGACTCAGTCCAATGAACAGGGACGAGAACAGAGTGGCCAGAGACTAAGGGACAGACTCGCGGAAGGCTAGAAAGTGAAGCGTACAGCTAATAAGGAGAGAGATTAGAGACTAGTAAAGTAGGGAGATTGAGTGACTAAGGGGAGAATGACACGCCGCTAGGCTCAATCCCAATTACAATAATAGGAACAATAATCAGATGAAGGACGGGACAACCCATATGACCATATACAAATGACAAAGAACCCCCACCGACTGAGATCGCGGGTCGCAGCGACGAGCGACCTCCAGCTCTCGCGAGGCAGCGGCGCCAAGATCGCCTCGTCCGAGCCCGCCACAGCATCCCAAAATCGAAGCGCCACCGAGTGAACGATGTCGTCAATTGAAATCAAACCCAAGCCACGGTGCTCCCGAGTCTGGAACACGAAATCCCGAGCGACGGTGTTCCTGCGAGGTCCACCCCAGACAAAGTCCGTAAGCGCCGTCTCCGCCGCCCAACTTAATGAACCATCGAGGCGGTGGGTCGAAGGAAACTACGTGCATGATCGTCGAGGTGATACGAGCGTTCGCGTAGAAGACCCTCCCACTCGGAGAAAGCGTCGGGTGTCCAGCGGCGCGGGTTCTGGCCTGGATCCTGTTAAGAACATGGGTCCAAAACAGTTTCGAGTCACCGTGGCGAAAGAAGGCATAGCCGCACCACTTGAAGTTCTCCCCCTACGCACCGTTGGCAGCACCTGAGCAGTCTCGTCCCGAAGCCAGTTCGGTCCGAGTGGTAGCACCAGCGTCTTGTCCGTGTTGGTCTTCCCATTGGTTGCCGCGTACCACGTCTGCGACGGCGTCCGCAGCTTCGACAATGCAGCCGGTGATTCAACCACCACCACAGCATCGTCGGCGAACGCACGACGCGTAAACGCGGGCCCCCTGGCCAAACCTTCTGAAGGTCGAGATCCCGCGCCGAACGAGGGCGTCGAGGAACTTAGGGGTGGAATGTGATGTTCCAAACCGGGCACGAGAGGGGGTCCCCCTGACCGAGACCACACAGCGACCGCACCAAGTCCGTGGGGAACCCATTGACAATAGGTCTGCAACGACAGGTCTGTGGTCCGAACAGGGCGCGTCGAAGAGCTTTGAAGCGCTCAACAACCGGTTGGCCAAACTGCATTGGACAAGAATAGAGTCGATCCGCGACCGCGAGCAATTCTTTCGTTCTTCCCCTCTACCACGGTAGTGAGAACGAGTGAATGCGGGGTGCAACTTGGATGGACATGTCGGACCGTGTCGAGTGCCTTGAACGCGATTTTTGACAGCAAGGTCTGCCAGTGCGATACAGGAGTCCAAGCGCGCTCAGTGATGGACACTCGGACAATCGTTGAGATCGTCGGCCAAGATCCGAAGAGTCTTGGGTCTCGGGGCGTTGAAGTGCAGAAGCTCGAAAAAGTCGCGACGATCGTCCTCCTGCACCGGCGCGTACATGTTGATGATCTCGGCATCGAGCTCCTCTAGACGGAACACCGAGCGCAGAATCCGACCGTCGAAACGAGGAGCTCCTGCAAAGACGACCGGGGTAGAGGAAAGGAGATGGCCCGCCAAAGGTGAGCCATCGGGTATGAGGGTAAGGACATGAGGAGAGAAACGAATACAAGCCCCTGGCCAAGCACTCTCGAGGCCTTCGCGCGACGCCTTGTAGCTGAGGTGGTGCTCTTGCAGGAGGATGGCCGCAGGGGCCGGCCGAAGGGTTTTGAGATAACGGATGATTTTGACTTGATTGACTGCGTTCTTGATCGATCAGACCTTGAACTTCAACACGGCGAGAGACTCAATCATGATGAAATCAGATCAGCGCCGTCCCCCTCGAGTTCGGTCACCTCGGACCTATGACCCCCTGAGCTGTCGACCCCTGAGCCGTCACCCCCTGATGCACCGAGGATCATGGCGGATCCCGCCCGGGTGACACGTCGGTTGCTGGGTGCCGAGCTCGAACAAAGGCGTCGAGGACTCGTCGAGGCTGTCGAGGTTGTCGAGGTTGCCGATGATCCCCCGACGTGCCACCGGACAAAGGCGAAGCCGGAGCAGAAGCAGAAGGCGAAGGAGAGGTCGGGGTCGAAACGGGCGCCGCCGTCGTCGTCCGCGTCTCTTTTGTTGAGCCCACGGTCGCACGCGTCAACGTTTCTTCCCCAGTGTCGCGGCCTGTCGCGGCCCTCCGGAGCCCTCCGGTAGCCTCCGGTTCGGTCGAAGCGACCGACTCGTCATCGCAGTCGCCGTCGTTCGCGTCGTCCTTGTTGCCGGTCGCTGCACCTGCGGGGTTAGCACGAGGTCCCAGCTGGATCATCTTGCTGGAGGGAACGATCCCGAGTGCTTGTAAGGTCTTCTGCCTCAATGTCTCATAGTCCAACCGGACCTGAGTTGCCTCGGGGGACCAGGGTGGAGCATTCGCGTCCATCCAGTGATCGTTTCACGCGTTTGCGCGTTGAGTGATTCGTCACTCGCGCCATTACCACCCAACGGGTCGTCGGGCGGGGCCGCATGGCGCCGGGCGGATCCGGCATCGGTTGTTGGTGTTGTCCTGTAACGCTTAAAGGGGCTTGGAGGTCAACTACACACGCTACACCACAGAACCTCACTTTCGTGTGCCGGGCGCGGGCGCGTGGGTGCGGCGCCGGGCGGATCCGGCATCGGTTCTGGTGTTGTAGTGAGTTTCTGTGGTGTAGCGTGTGCTAGCGTGTGTGGTTGACCTCCAAGCCCCTTAAGTGTTACAGGACAACACCAACAACCGATGCCGGATCCGCCCGGCGCCATGCGGCCCCGCCCGACGACCCGTTGGGTGGTAATGGCGCGAGTGACGAATCACTCAACACGCAAACGCGTGAAACGATCACTGGATGAACCGCGAATGCTCCACCCTGGTCCCCCGAGGCAACTCAGGTCCGGTTGGACTATGAGACATTGAGGCAGAAGACCTTTCAAGCAATCGGGATCGTTCCCTCCAGCAAGTCGAGCCGCCGACTGATGGTCCTGATGTACGACGCCTCGGCCCCAATGCTAGAATCAGTGGGAGTGTTGAAAGAGGATTCAGCGCATGCATCTCTTGAAGGTGCCTTCACTTTTGAGGTACTGGTTAAGGCGACCATCATGGTCTTACAACAGCCTCGTCGGGCTTTTATAACGCCGTGTCGGTGTTCCTGCTCGGGTTTTTTTGTCATCACTCATACCCAGGGACTCGAAATGGCCGCGTCGCAGAACTCGGCGTCGTATATGTTCCTGCACCGCATGACTCGGTGTTCTAACCGATTCGAGACTATGATGGTGGTGGAATCGCGGCCAAATCTCAGTCGGAAGCCGGCAAACATCGTCATGACAAGATTCGGATTTGACCGCCTGCTACCAGCTAGACAATAGAAACGTCCAAAACAACAACAACTGAAAGAGTGTGTAAATCCCATACACTCAGAGGGAGCAACCGCGACAATCAATTGAAGCTTTGCTTCCGGCTGCCATGTCTGGCACAGCGAACTCGGTCGGGGGCGAGTGCGTGTCTTCTAGAGAGGAGCTCGGCCGCGGACGGTCTCGTGGCGTACCGCTGCACGTTGCCCGCTCGATTACGCGCATGTCGAGGTCCCGCTTCCCGATCTCCCGAGTGCCCGTTGTAGGAATAATGGGGCTCAGTGTCAGCCCTGTCAGGATGCATGGTGTGTAGCCTGCGCAACAGTACCTCGTCGTCGTCGACGGTGAACTCCCGACTGCGCGGCCTCATCATACTACCTCCTCCCTCTGCCGACGGAGCTGGTGCTCATATCTCTCTTCGCCTAAACTGCAAGGTCCTACGCGGGGATTGCACATACGATGTCCGTCAAGAGACGAAATAATCGATAAACCACGAAGCTTTGAAGCCTCTCAACGAAGCAGGATAAGGACAGACTCATGCTTCGGCGCAACTCAACACTTGATGGCACCCCAGTTTGCGGAGTGGCCGGGGCTGGGGCGACGAAGTCCGGGCCGGGAACGCGAATCGCAACAGCTAGCGACTCGCGAGCCATAAACAACTCAGATGAAGGAGACCACTTTTTAATCGACAAAGTTAACGAATCCATCCGGTGACGTGTTGCTCGTGATGAGGTAATTCACCCGGACCGGATCTTCTGATCCCCAGTGCCACTGACAGCTCATGATCCCGCGCCAAGCTCTTGCTCTTGCCGGGGACCCAGGTGAAACCGGGGCGGGAACCCCATAATGAAGCAAAACTGTGGCCCGAGCTCAACGTCGCGCCGGGGAAACCTGCGCGGGAGGTTCGCTCATTTTAAGCTGCTGCGAGCGAGTGTTCCCGCCAACGGCAAAATCTGGACCGGAAGAATTGAACGTTCAGCTTGGAGGCTCTCGTAGCCAAGAGCATACAACCAGAAAGCGCATTTGGCAACGACAATCGTCGAATTTATTTAATTTTGCCCGATTTGAAATCCCAGCCCGACGCGCCCGTCTTCCGACCCGGAGACCACTCTTATAACGGCTTTGTGAGGACTTTTCCGGTCCCTCTCGGTACCTAACCATGGGTCACCGAAAATTTTATAATATTATGTAACCACCTATCAAGCGGAGCCGAAAAGGAACGTCGCTTCTAGACTAGATCAGCACGTCAACTTCTTCCACAACGAAGCGTGGAAAAAGCTTTAATCGATGGCCACGAAGTTTACCCGCTGACGAAGCGGGTATCAGCGGATATCAGCCGCGACATCTTTTATATCGCCGGTGCACCTTTTGCGCTTCTCCTTCTACATCGTTTCAGCCCCAATCACCACAATCTCTGCGTTCCGTATTCGCACATCGGATAGAAGGTACGTGCATCATACTCGTCGACCTGCCGTATGTCGTGCTACATCGTTCGTGACTCGTCCTCGTATGAACTGGCGCGCTGGGTTCGTTCAGTACGGTCCCGAGCCCCGTGTCATTGGTCGAGGAGTCGGTTTGCGACAGTTCTCCAACCAACTTCAACCTTGGAGATGGAGCTTGCCTCTTCATCTGCCTGTGTACCAAGTGTTTAGATGGTCTGGCGCACTGGTGCTTGCTCGAGCACTGGTGCACTCGAGACCAACGTGGCTCGCCCAGACGCTGCGGGGGTCGTCCCACGTGGGGCTCCGCGGCTCTTCGAACGGTTGATCTTTTTGACCGGCCCGGCTGAATGGCGCGACGTGGATCCACGCGCCAAGGTCACCGCAGGACTGTCTTCGATCCCGACAACGTCGACTCTCACCATAAGAGGGGACACGTGCTTCAACAAATACTGATCTAATTCAAACCCTCCTAGCATTGCAGGAATCGGCATATTCGATAGAGAAATATCATGAGCTTTTCACCCGCTCTCGGCGCAGCCGAAATCGTCGCGCTCTCAGCAGACACCAAGGCCTTCTACTTCACGTACACGGGATCCGAATCTGCTTCCGGTGATCTCGAGGTCTGGACCAACCTTTCTGGCGCCTGGACTGCACTTCCTTTCGCTGTCGTCCCATCACTATCATCGACCACCGAGGCGCACGTCAAGGTCCAAGTCGCTTCTTTCGACCTGAGCAACGCCAAACCGGGGACCTACCAGTTCACCTATAGGAAAGACCATGCCGAGCTCGACGCTTCGGGTACGAAAGGTACAATCCAACTCGTCACCGCCAGTGAGAGTTTACGACAATCCAAGAAGCATGTCGAGCTCAAGACGTTCGACCTCAAGGATGGACAAAGCAATGCGATTGAATCGTTTGATCTCGAAATCGCGGCCCAAGATTGGAGTGAAGGTGTTGTTTGGGAGCGCAGCTCGTGCGTACTTGTTCTCATCGCTTCCTGTCACGGTATCGAAGCTGATATCACATCCCTATGCGTCTAGACGGATCTGGTACCTCGTTCGTGAACTCCAACCTGGATCGCCGACCTCGTGCCTCTCGACCGACTATGAGGGTCAACTCGTTTACTTACGCGGCAAGCCGACCACGGACTCCCCGAACGCTCCGATCCTAGTCCTCTTCCCTTTCACGACCGATCAGGTCATGTCCACCATCCGAGGAGGTGACGATAAAGTTTGGCTGAGGTGCATGCGGGATACAGGCGCTTCGGGCGTGCGCGGTCACGTAGTTATCGGGCGAGGCGTCGAGGGGGACTTGGAGGAATTAGTGGCCGAGTGCGTCGAGACCGCCAAGAACGCTCTCGGTGGTGACCTGGATCAAGCGATGGTGAAGATTCCGGCGCCGATGGCGCAGTTTCCACAAGGTGTGCGAGTTTGCACTTGGAATGCTCTTGGGCTGGCAGCGTACGTTGTTGCCCATCACCTTGCGAGCTTAGACTGTAAAGTGGCAGACACTGACACTTGAATTTACTATTCTGCAGCTACAAGCTCTCTGACGTCCTCAAATGGCTCGATTCCCTGCTCTCACCGTCGACGACTTCGCCCTTGTTCGTCGCCAGCCTCGATACGGTTCTGCTCGACGACGGATGGCAGGACTTCAAACAGGCTACTTGGCAGCACGGCGGGCGCCATGGTCATCCGCAACAGACTTTGCACTCGTTCGGCGTCCGTCCGAGCTGGTACGACGTCGATTCGGCCGCGAGTACGCCGGTCTCGAATTCCATCGCCAGTCCTGAATTGACGGACGCGGTCAAGCGAATCAAAGCCAAGGGCATTCAGCGCGTCGGCGTCTGGATGACCATTGCGGGTTACTGGGATGGCCTTGAGCCTGATGGCCCTATGGCGCGCTACGATCTCCAACAATGGAACCTGCATTCGGAGCTCTTCGACGAGGCCATCGCGCTGTGGCACGTCCCCTCGATCAACCGACTGGAGGAGTACTACGGTGATTACTTCAAGTCGCTCAAGGCTGCCGGTGTGGACTTTGTCAAGGTCGATGATCAGGCCCATCCCGACTACCTCGTCGCGGGTGGAACGGACGATGTAGGTGAATTGAGGCATGCGATGCACCGCGCCATGCGCAAGATGTCGAACCAGATCTTTGGCGACGGCACGACCATCCACTGCATGGCCGGAAGCCCTCGCATCTGGGGTGGGGCCTTGGCTTTGCGCAAGTCCAACGGTACCAAATCGGTGATCCGCAATTCGGACGATTACTTTCCCGAGCAAGACGACTCTCATCGCTGGCACATCTACCTCAATGGGACCAACACGATTCTTAGCCGCGCGCTCGAGTTCGTCCCCGATTTCGACATGGGGGAGGAGCTGCACCCCTGGGGACAGGACTACCACGTCCCGTTCCGCTCGTTTTCTCCCGCTCCGACGTATTCGACCGACTTGATGACGCGACCCTTGCACCCCCAAAAGGGATGGAGTGCTGCGTTGGCCAAGACGAAGCAAGGTGGTGCTGGATTGGTCAAGACGACGAATCGCATCGGAGCCGGATTGGAAGGACGTCTGAACGACGATGTCATGGGCGAAGGGGAGGGACAAGCTTTCGTTGTGGCGCTGGCGTTCCCCGAGGCGCAAGGTGCTCATTTGGGCGCTTGGAACACGCGCTCGAACGAAGCACACGCGCTTACCAGTATTAACTCGAACGACGTCGTCGAGGCTCTGGGGCCTCTCAAAGCCACCGCCGCAGTGGCGTTGTACGTCGCCGGACATGATTGGGCTTCCTGGATCAGCCCGAACGATTTAAGCCTCACGCTCAGATCGTGCGCCACACCTTTGGTCACGATCAACGTCCAAGCCAAGCAGTCGCAGATGGTCACGATCGCTCAGTCCTACACCGTCGACGGGACCAAGATCGCTTGTCTCGGTCTGACGGACAAGACGACTGGATTGGCGGCAATCAAGGCGATCGCTGTATCCCAGGGTTCGTCACCCTCAGCAATTGCGGACGCGAAGCTCTCTGAAGCGAAGATCTCGACCTTGCCTGGTGTCTTCCCAATCGGTCAAGACCGCCTGCGCATCACTCTCGCTTTCGCCAGTTCACACCTAGGATTCTACGTCGATAAATCCAAAAATCTTGTGTTCGTCTTGGATGGCGAACGCATCGATAAGCAATGGATCAAATGGGGTGACGAAACGAAGGAGGGCCAATTGGTCGAGGTGGATCTGGAAGGGTGCTGGAGTGCGATGGGCGAACCAAAGGGGTCTGAATGGGTGGTGGAAGTTGGACATGAAAAGGTATGACTTTTTCCTCGGACGGGGCTCGGCTTAGGTAGATTCTTAAAGTTAGGTTCTTGATTGCGCCAAAAAAAAACAAAAAAAAAAAACATTCTCTTTCTTTCGGCTGGTGCAATCTTATCTCAGGTTCTTGATGGTCTATGTTTTGTGATCAACCACGCGTTTTCTAAGGTGTGCATCGACTGCGCAGATATAGAACCCGAGAGCTCACAGAAGAGCTACCAGCCCGCGGAGGCAGCAATGCTATGGGACGTCATTACCAATCCCGGATCGAAATCTGCTACTAGCCGAGCATTACTAGTACTTGGCCAGCCTGGCCGCGTTGTGTGATTGGCATCATCCGTCGGTCAAAAAGAGATTAGACGACTTTCCCTGTCGAGTTTGCATTTGAACGTACTGCCTGCCAGCTTCTGCCAGTGACTGGTGTGCTCTCCGAGTCGGCGAGATGGGGGGTGTTCTTGTCGAGGCCCGTGCGCGCGTGAAAGCTAAGCCACGCGCATGTCGTGACCAGCAGGCTTTCGTCTTTTGCCCCACCTCGCTCGAGGCACTGATCGTCCAACGATGTTTGGCCAACCGGCAGGGCAAGTAACCAACCCCCCCTAACCCGTCCCCAACGTAACCCCCCCCCTACTGACTCTCCACCTTCCCTCCGGCATCCTTTCAGTTTCGGAGCCGGTCCGACCCCGACCACCACGACCTCATCTCCCTCCCTCTTTGGCACCTCTTCGACCACCACCACCTCCTCCTCCGCAGCAGCAGCAGCAGCAGCAGCAGCAGGCCCGAACCTGTTTGGCTCTACAGCCCCTTCCTCATCCGCAACACCTTCCTTCTCCGGGACGACGACTCCTTCCTTGTTCGGCGGTGGGACTGCACCTACAGCTACGACGATGGGTTCATCCGGAGGAGCAGCAGCTGGTTTGTTCGGTAACAAGCCTACTACAGGCCTAACTCCAACTTCTTTATTCGGTCAACCGAACCCGAATACCACCGCTACTACACCCAACAATGGTCGTCTATTCGGCGGTGTAGGCTCAAACACGAATACGTCGATGCAACCTACTCCGGGTGCGGTCGGCTTGTTTGCAGGATCGACTCAGCCAACGTCGATGATGGGAGCTTCGTTTGGTACGGGTACGGCTTGGGGGGCACAGCCAAAGTTGGGATTGTTTGGGTCAGTTTCTGTTTTGGAGCGAGCTTGAGAGAGAGAGTCGTTTTTTAGAGGTACGGTTGGGGAGGGAGGAGAGAGCTGATGGTCACCTTTGCTGCTCGATCGTACCCTTGGATCGTGCACAGGTCTACAACACAACCTCAACAACAACAAGGAGGGTTCCAACTTGCTTCTTCGACACCACCACAGCAAGCGTCGACGAGCTCGCTGAACAAGATGACCAAGTTCAATGATCTGCCCGAGAACGTCAGGGCGGTGATTGAGGGGATGGAGTCAGTCACTGAGAGTTACACCACGCCTGGGAAATGGGGATGTGGGCTGAAGCGAATGCTTGGATCGAAACTACAGCTCTTTCGTACGACAACAAGTACATCTATCGGAACAGCTCAAACGGAGGGAACTGGGAGTGGAGATCGAAAAGACCCGGAACGAGTGGCAGCAATGTTCGGCTGTAAGTTCGGAATCATGAGGTGAGATATGCTCCCAGGCTGATTATCGTTTGGGTTTACCCACTCAGGACGCGACCGCGATCTCCTCCCTCTTGCTCCACTCGTCCAACTCGGTCTCGGCCGTCCGGAATCGGCTCGACCAAGACGCGCAAGACGTCGAAAAAGCGACTTGGATCGTCGAAGGTTTCAAAAACCCTCAAGGTCCGAAAGCGCAACAAGCCAAAGCGGTGCAAACGTTCCCGTTCGAGTTCTTCAGGAACAAGACGGACGAGTTCGACGCGCGCTTGAAGAATTACAAAGAGACGATCGAGGTGGGGTTCTCCTCTCGCCGAGGGCTTAGATCGTTCAATACTAATCGGTATGATCATATCCCACAGCAAATTCAACAATACCTATCCTCCCCTTCGTCCCTCTCTTCTTCCATCGACCCTTCGTCGATCGTGCCCACGTTGAAATCACAAACGACGTCTTTCCTAGCTTTGGCGAGCAACGTCGCGTCGTTGCAGAGTGATTTGCACCGGTTGAAGGACGAGTATAGGCTCATTTGGAGGGACAGGACGGGGAGGGTGACGGATCCTTTTAGGGAGCGGGAGGGGGGAAGGGAGGTTGCTGGGGTGGTGTCGGGGTTGGGCAGGGTCGAGATCAGGTGAGGACGGTTGAGGGCTGAAGTGATGTGTGAATGAAATGAAGTGAACGATGATGGCAAATCTCGGTGAAGCGCGCATTGGAGAAGTTTCTGTGCGCGCGTTCTGTCCCTCTTTTCCATCCCGACCACCCCTCGGCCATCTTGGCTCGGGCAGGCCGCCATGGACCCCGATGAGCTAACGCACCACATCGACGCCCTCCTGTGCATCACCTCCAACTCGGCCGATCATGCGAGTGCGCTCATGGCTTTGGAAGTTGGATTGGCGGGACTCGTAGTCGGATCTGAGCACGATGAAGGGGAAGAAGAGGAAAGTCTGCGTGAACGCGTGCGTAGGCCGAAGCCGACGACGCGTCTCGACGCGTTCTTGAGGCTGCAGGACAGGTTCGAGTACAACAGTACGTCCTCGTACTTGACCGGATGTACGGAAGCGGGCTTGCTGATGTCGTTTGGGATGACCGGGGGGTAGTTACGACCGTGTTGTTGCATTGGTTGGGCAGCTCGATCGTGATCATGACCCAGCCGAGGATCGATCAACTCGGTCAGTCCCTGCTAACGATACAGGTAGCAGCTCTCGCCGAACCTGACCGCTGTCGAGGTGGTACAGATACGGATCTGCTTCGTTCCAACTTGATTCGGTGTTTGGCTTTATTGCAAGGTCTACTGTTGATGCATCGCCCAAGTCGAGCGCTGTTCGTTCGACGCTCTGCCGTCCAGGTACGCTCTACTCCACCACCCCATCCTACTATTTTGCCCAACAAGTCGAACTAGGCCCCTAATATGATTACCGCAACAGTCCCTACTAGCAGTGCTCGACCTATCCCGCCCCTCGCACGTCTCCTCCCCACTCTTATCCCACCCACCGGCCTCGCCTTCTCCAATCCATTTCCCCAGTCCTACTACTACCTCGCATCATCCCTCGACCCCTCGCACCGCGCGCAGCAGCAGCCCACCTTCCTCACTCTCAACCTCAACCTCCCCTCCGAACCGTACCCCTCCCCAAACGAACCTTTCGAATCCCAAGAACGACCCTAGTCGATTATCGCTCGCCGCATTGGAAGCGCTTCTCTGCGCTGTGGTCGACCGGGCCGAGAATATGAGAACGTTTGAACAGGTCGGAGGATTGGCGACGATTGTGAGGATGTTGAAGGATAAAACGGTCGGTCAGAGCGTGAGGTACGTTCTTATTTTTTTATCGAAGGGGTTTTGGGGAATAGTTGGGGGGGTGGCAAGAACATGACGAAAAGCTAATTGAAAAAGGGGGTTTTTTTTTTATCTTTTTCATTTGGGTTTCGTCCGCTTCGGGTATGAAAAAAGGATCAAAGTTATCGAACTACTCTACTACTTCTTACTACCCGAACAAGAACCCCATACTTCAAACACCGCACACCCTTCCCCCACCCCGAACGAGATCGACCCCAACCCAAGACCGCACACTCCACCCATCACCTCAACGACCCCGACCAAATCACCTTCGAAACGGAGCTTCGTCTTGCCGAGGGAAGAACGTTTGGCGCATGCTTCGCGCGGTTTCGTACCGCAGACTCCGGTCAAGGTGAGGAGGTTCAGGAATGGGAGCGGGAGCGATGAGGACGTAGGGGATTCGAGTCCTTCGGAGGAGGCTGAGGAGCGGGAGGAGGAGGAGGATGAGCGCACACCTCGGAGATCGAATGGGAACGGTCGAACCATGCGATCTGGGAAGGAAGTGGTTTCGGTAGGGAAGAGAGTGACGAGAACGACGAAGGAGAAGAAGGAGATGTTGAGGAAGGTGATGCCGAACGTTGATGCGTTGGAGGAGAGGTTCAGGGCGATGGGTTTGGGGTTGGGATTGGGCTGAGCTTCGGTGCGAGGCGCCGGGAGGAGGCTCGGATCCGACGATGCTTTCGTCATCAACATCTGGATGGAATCAGCTCGAATGATCAACCTCGATCCCAGATGTCTAGGGGGCGTCGAAAGGCTCTTCGGGATCTACGCAATCACGCTCGAACGCGCATGTCAACGCACGCCACATCTACAATCTCTTGTAACACCTTTCTTTTCTCTGTTGTCATAACACTTTCTCACTTTACGCTCGTGTCAGGTTCGGTACCGTCCCGAAACTCTGGCCATTCACCGAACGCGCATCACTGATAGGAGGTCTGATCTACGGCTAAAGGTCGAGGAAATATCAGTGGGCGTGTCCGATGCCCCTCTTTCGTTGATCCCACCGACTCTGGACGGAAGCATCCTCCTCTCTTCCTCTTCCCTCTTCTTCTTTCTTGGTCCTCTCGACCAAGTTCAGCTTGCCATCACCCTGCCCTCGAACCTTTCTCACGTTGTCCGTCCGAGCCTCAACGGTCTGGAGTTTTGACAACACTTGATCGCCTAGTTGAAAGCAGACAAGAATTCATTATGACCAGGTGAGGATATGATATAGCAAATTGGAGAATCAAGATAGGATGACGAATGGATTGTGGTTGAGAGTGCGTTAGAGACCCAAGAGTGGGAAAGGACGAGAGAGTGAACGGAATGGCCGAGAGATAGGGGTCGAGAGGAGTGAGCGCGGCCCGAGGCGTGGAATCGAGAACGCTGAGACTTGAGAGACTGGACAAGATTTGGGACGGGAAAACTATACTTGGAAGCACGTAGAAGGCGTGAGATGCTGTATTGGATCCAACCTGAGAACCAAAAGTAAACTCCCTCGAGACGTCCTAGTCATTCGAACCGGTCCGTTTGTAAGGGTCGTGCCTTACAGAGAGTCGCGAGGACGGTCGTAGATCGAAGTCGTGACAAGTGAGAGGGGGTAGAGGATGCTTCTTAAACGTCGTTACTGGGTTTCAGTTCGAAGTAAAACTACCAAGAGAGAGAAAGAGAAATGGGGAAGGGCTTCCCAGTTGAGCCAGGTCGAGGTCTGTGCGCCGGCGTCAGTCTTGACGTCGGCCACGGGGTCGAAGGCCTGATCTCAATATTGGGGGGGGGGGGCGCCTTACACCGTTCCCTTCCCTCCCCTTCGCCGCCTCAAGTCCTCAATTGACCGGTCTCCCCGCTTTCGCTCGTCCGGCCCGGTCCCCCGTCCGGATCCCGCCCTCCGTTGCCCGCCATTCCCTACGGGAAATCCGCGCAACCGCAGTTAACCGTGGTCGACTTTGGCGCGACGATTGAGCAACCGCGGGCACGCAGGTCCGACTTTGGCTCGATCGTCGCGCCAAAGTCGGCCGTGGTCTAACTGCGGTTGCGCGGATTTCCCGTAGGGCGCCATTGCTCGTCATTTGTCAAGACTTTCGCAGCGCAAAAGTGAAGGCCCGTTCGTGATCGCTCCCCTCTTCCTCCCGTGCACCGGTTTCAGTCGCCTTTCCCCCATCCGGCCCGGCATTAACCTTGACAGCTGATCCCGCAAGACATCGAAGTACTTTAAATTTACCCGAAGCGCGTTATCGTTGAGGGATTTGCCGAAAGCCGCTGTTGTTGTCTTGATCGATCGCCCAAAGTGATTATTCGTCGTCGAGGCGCCTTGCCCCGGGTACGATCCTGAGAATGGCTTGATTTATTCATTCCGGTTCATCGATGCTACCGATTTTTCAAGGCTACCGATTCGAAGAACTGCACCAACCTCGACCCCTTGGGCTTGGAAGTTGCAAACACCGTGCGCAATTGCGCGGGGATGTTCGGTCTTCGGAACGGAACCCCTCTGCGAGTTCGACGTCAAAGTCGCAAAGTGATGGTTTTCTGTTCGTGATATTTTTCTTTATAAGTCTACTTGGAACCAGCGCACGTGCGCAATAGGGAAAGCTCAAGACTTCGAAGAGAACCTCCCCCGGAGGCACGCACTTTCACACGGACCGCCTCGGCTGCATCATCATCCGCGCAGAACCGGCTATTGGGACCCGACCTTTGTTCGACCTATCAAAGCGTGACTTGACAAATACCGCTGGGATCTTTCTGCCCTCTATGAGCGACCGAGATTGGGCAGTTGGAGCGGCTCGCTGCGCACTGCGCAAGCGCCGTTTCTAAATGATACAGGAGGCGCGAGGGCGCCAAAAAGGGGCGGCAACAACTTGCGCTCCGCAGCCGTGCGGCAGATTGAGCCGGAAGCCGCGCGCCCCTCCGGGTGGCGCATCATGATACACAGGTTCACCTGACTTCAATAAATATCTTAGGTGAGTCGTTTCCCCTTCCTGCTTTGGAAATACCGGTCTTCGACACGTGGAACACTTCGTCGTGGTGTCGAGGGGTGTACCATTGCCTAGCTTCGTTTCGAAAGAAGCATTGAGACAGCGCTAATTTTTGAATGAGGCTAAGCGTCGATTAAGAGTAAGGATGAGGAGTTGAAGCGATTTAGCTTCGGCCACGTGTTCCTCCATTTCATCCCCACCCTCGCATGTCGCCGCCCATTGATCGAGACGATCAAATATTCAACCGGAAAGGAGCTAAGAAGGCGAAACGAACTCAAGGGAGGACGACATGCGGGCTACATCGATTCTGCTCTCTCCTTCTTACGCATCACACCACCTCTTGAAACCCTATCCTCCGAACCCAAGACCAGACCATCATGTACTCCTCCCTCTTCATCTTCGCCTTCACCGTCGTCGGCGCCATCGTGAACGCCAAGATGGCCAAAGTTGCGACGAACTCCCAGACAACCTCCCCTCTGACCGGCTCGGAAAAGGACCACCATCCCTTCTGGAACGCGTACGTACCACGGTGGAATAGATGGCGATGTATTGTCCTGATTATTCTTTTGTCGTGCTTCGTCATCACCACTGCAGGACGACGGATCCCCCGGCATGCGTCGCCCTTAGCCAGGCGTGCAGGTCAGTCTCACTTCATTCGCACTCAGGAGCCTCTATTCCAAATCTCTGACTCAGCGTATGACGATGTTTTGTGTGCAGCGATTGCCTTTCGGGTTGCTACAAGCATCACAATCTTTGGGGATTCACGACGTAAGCCTCGGATTGCTGGGGACGACGGTTTCACTTCTCTCTGTCTCTCAGGTTTCAGCCCGCGCTCCTCTTTCTGACGCTGGTTGCAAGGCTTTTAACCGTTTAAATTATGTTCATAGTAAGCAAGATTGCTACTATGGCCAATGCAACAACACGAAGGAGACGAGGTCCGTGGAACCATGCGTCGTCGAGATCAAAGCCAAAAATTGCTCCGACGCGCTTCCCAAGGCACTGCAGAAAGGAGGGTGAGTTAAACTGCTTGTTCAGACGCAGGCTTTGACCGTTTGCGGAAGATGAGGATAGTGTGACTGACTTTGGGGGTGTACGGCATCGGCAGAGCGGCGCTCGAGCAATGCTGTAAGTTGCAAGCCATTGGAACCAGCCTTTACTAGACAAACAACAAGGTGGTGAGTAAAGGCAGACATGTACGCTCTCCGGGACTCTGTTGATCTTGGGCCGTTCATTCTTAGAACACGCGCACGAGCCCGGCCTTCCGACTTCCCTCGGCTCGTTCTCTCGTCGAATCGCATCGCCCACCCACTCTTCATTCAAGTCGTAAGTGTCTTATAGCAGAAATTTACTTTGAAGATATAAACTCATTCTGGATGTTGGTTTAGGTCATTTCCTCTACTCTGATCCATTCTTGAGCACCTCGTCTGAGACGACTCCTGTTTAGGCTGGTTCTTCTGTCCATCTTCTGTCCATCTTCATCATCAGTTTATCATCGTACACATCTTTTTCATCAGTTCATGATCGTACAAAATGCAACCTCGCATATTTGTGTTCATCGTCATACTTGCTTTCACGTGACGGAGAGAGGATGTCGGATAGGATTAATTGCCCACGTGCGAGATAGAGCCGATCTGCCCCCTGTCTGTCTAAGACATCCTCAACGGCGGTCCGTCGATCTCCGCTGATCGCATCTCGTCAAAGCCTTCTAGCGTTTGGGCATTTCCGTGGCTCTCTCTCTACATCAATTCACTCACTCGCGACTTCACGACCTCATTGACCACCATGCGCACCTCGTTCATGATCCTCGCGTCCGCTCTCGTCTCGACCGTGGCCGCGGCGGGACCACTCTCGTGAGTTCGGGGATAGCGCTTCTGACTCACAGGGGCAAAAGTTGACGCTCACTCTGCTTCATCTGTTTCTTCGCTACGGCAGGCCCGCTGCTCAAGAGAAGTGTACTCGCCTTACAAAGTACTGTAGGTGAGTACATAAAATCCAACCACCTACCTCCTAAAGCTTTTCGTCATATTGCGTTTCGAGCTGTCCAGGGCTAACGGACGTCTCACTGCCATTCATTTTATTCTCCGGCTCGCAGGAACTGTTCGCCGGACTGCAGCAAGCATTGGCGACAGAACGGATATGATAGGTAAGTCAAAATACCAGGCCAAATCAGTCATCACCACCATCAATCTACTATGCATGAATGTCAGACCGTACACCCTCTCCGAACCTCGGCGGAGCCCTTACGTGTCCGATTCCTTTCGTTGGCAGTTCCAAAGCCTGTCAAACGACCGAATGCTGGGCTGCGGACCAGATCCAAGGGACGAACGCGACTACCCAAAGTTCAACGGGTTGGTGCACCAAGGTTTTCGATGCGGTGACTTGTTTGGCCGGTTGCAAGGAGGATCAGAGGTGAGCCAGGTCTCGCTCGACCCCCCCGAGGGGTGTTTCACATCGTTGCTGAACAGTAGATGCTTTTTTTTTACTTTGTCAGCTGCGAAAAGTGCTGTGATTCGGCGGGAGACCCCCGTAAGACTTGAACCCGTCAAGACTATAAAAGTAAGGGAAAGATGCACCCACTGATCCCGCCACTGCATCCTACTACTCACAGCCAAATGAGTGGTTGCGCTTCATATTGCCGAGCCGCGCATGTGCATACGCCGAGCTGCAGTGCCCGCTTTGACTCGCTGGACGATTAGGGTGGGAGCTGCAACGGAGGCTACTTCTTGACGTATGATTTGTTCCACTCTGTGTGAGACGCGATGAAAATACTTCCAGTTTCGAAAAGCCCCACATGAGCTGCTTGAGAAATGCACGCAAGAAATTTGATCGGCTGCCACCTTCATCGATCACCGTTATTCTTGTACGCGCCTCGACGCACGCACCTCCTCTCTTCTCTCTTCCCTGATCCGCTCAGCCCGCGCTGCCACCTAACCCGCCTCCGCCTCAACCAGCACCTTCTAAGACCCCAGTCCTTTGCTTTCTCCGACGCAGCATTCTGCCTCCTTCGCTCGCGACGGCGTCGTTGATCGCGCACATGAGCGGCATCAGTCCCGCGTTGCAGCGACTCGAGGAAGCGCTGCCGAACCGCGTCGATTGGAGGTACGAGATGCGTCGAGAGGCTCAGCAGATACTTCCCGGTGAGTTGGGGGGAAGATGAAATCGAATTTTGGGGAGCGATGCTGAATGTACTGATGCGGTTGGTGGAGTGCGTTGCAGGTCTGTTCATCGGCCCGTTTCAGCCGTCGTGGAATCTCGAAACGTTGAACAGGCTCGGAATCACCCATATCCTCTGTATCGCCGAGTCGAGAGAACAGTTCGTTCAAATCAGCTACACTTGAGGTTTTGGGTTGTGCTTGTACTGACACGCGCATATGCGCCAGACACCTGTTCCGGGCCAAGTTCCCCGAACGTTTCGTTTACCTTATCCTCGAAGTGCGCGATGCCGACGACCAGAACCTCATCAAGATATTCCCACAGTTCGTTGCGAAACAAGAGCTGAAAGAACGCCGTCCCAATTGCGATTACCGCACGCTGACTCATTCCCTTCCCTTCCCGTCCGACCCCCCACCTCACTCGAATCTACGCTCCGACCCCAACCGGCTCGCATCCGATCTATTCACAATGGCGCAGAACACAAGCCTTCATAGACGGAGCAATTGAAATGGGTGGAGCCGTGCTCGTACATTGCGGAGATGGAATCTCTCGATCGCCCGCCATCGCGTAAGCTCTCCTCCGACCCCTTCTTCCGACCCCACACGAACGAAAAGAAAAAAAAAAAAAAAGTCCGCCCAACTTTCTCACGTGGGAATTTCTCTTCACACAGAACCGCGTACGTGATGGTTAAACATGGCCTGACGCACGAGGATGCGTTCCAATTCGTTCAAAGTAGGAGGTTCTGCGTCGCGCCTAGGCTCGGATTCCAACATCAAATCGAGGTGAGTGGGAATTGGCAAAAATCTCAATCCCAAAAGGCTCACGAAAGACCCTTTGAGCTGAATAACGTTGCCAACCTCACTTCATGAGGCCTATGCTCCGATATTCATGGCTTCGCAAACGATGACGATGGCGCAGAATCAAGGGGGGGTCCATTCGGCGCCGAGGGAGAAGAGGAGGGAACGAGAGGATGATGATGAGGATGAGGAGGAGATGGGTATGGGTGGGGGTGGGTCAGCGATGTGAGTTTGAGCATATTTGGAGCCAGACTGACTGAATTCGTCTCGAGGCTGACAGTGATCCTTCGTCCGACTTGTACAGCGACCCCGATCTCGATATGCATCGAAGGGTTCCGACCGCTCCGCAATGGGGAATGGCATAATCCTTTCCCCATCACTCCACTTCTTTCCAGCAACCTCGCATATGGACCTCTTCGCAAGCAGTCAGTACAGCTCGTCAATCCTACGCGCCCTCGGTTGCTTTTCCTGCGTCTTCATCGTTGGCTTTCTTCTTCCGTCATTCTCCCCCCCCCCGCCCCCCCCCCCCCCCCTGATAGTCTCAATTCGTGGGCGTTCGTGTTGTAATAAACCTATGTTCCTTTCATGTCAAAAACCTGACTTTCGGTTCCCCCATCACGGTTCCAACTCGGACGAGCGAAGGGTCTTGCCGGAGGAGTGGCTCGACGGTTTCTGTGAATATTAAATGAATCTGCATTAAATGAATCTAAGACGCGTTCAAAAACGAACGGCAAAAAAGGTATCTTCTCGAATCGGCCGGACGAAAGGGTTTTTTTTTTTTCTTTTTTTTCGTCTTGGTCATCCATAGAATGGAATGGAACGAAAGAGATCCTACACTTTGGCACCGCACCGAACGAGTGGTAAGTACGGGCTCGTTAGAGGACTACATACTGACTGGACCCGGAACCCGGGGGGCTCAGCGGTGTTCGCTCGTGTCTTTGATTTGCCTTGGGGTGATTAGTGAGTCACAGCGGACCGGGGCACGACCAAGAGATGAGGAAAAGAATTACCGGTCGCGCCGAATTCGAATGTTGCAATTCTACGAAGCCACGAACTCGCAAAAGAAGGACTAAAGAAAGACAATAGAAAGGAAAGAACGGCAAAAAGTGATAGCGCAACGGGCGTCCCTGCTCAGAACGTCCTCTTCTCGTCGCATCCTCACTTGAAGCACGTCCCGCCGTTCTATTCCCCCCCGCTCAGATCCTATGCACCTTCATCATCGACCCCATCCTACGATCCTCATATTCCCTCCAGTAGCAAGCTTAACGGTACACTGTGTGGTTTACGCAAAGCCACCTCAGTCGATCTACCCTTCGCCACGATCCTTGATGGGGAAAAAAATAAAATCAAAAACCTCCGAGGGGAAACGTACCATGATCGGAATGCAAGTTGGCCGCGATCTCGGCCTCCATCCGGTCACCGTTAGCGAGTAGCTTCTCCTTGTTGTACAAGAGCTCTTCGCGGGTCTCGGTCGTGTATTCGGTGTTTTGCGCTGAGTGGTGAGAAAGGGGAGGTGGTGGTGGAACGAGTTGGAAGAGGGAGGTGGAAGGAGATCGAGTGGGAAGAGCCGAGTCAGAATCAGAGCATGGTTTTACGACAGGAAGAAAAGGTTTAAAACTCACTCTCGACGATGGCATCAACGGGGCAAGCCTCTTGGCAGAACTGTGAATGGCCGGTTCCAAAGGTGATCAGCGTGTCACGCCCGCATCGCTCGCGACTCCCGCCTTCCCTCCGCCCCCTATGGCCGGCACAGCTCCATAGCTGCCCGACTAGACTCCAAAACGATAACTGGTCCGATGACTTACACCGCAGTAGATACACTTGGTCATGTCGATGTCGTATCGGGTCGTGCGGCGCGCGCCATCCTCACGCGTCTCGGACTCGATCGTGATCGCCTGCGCGGGGCAGATGGCTTCGCACAACTTGCAGGCTGTAGCCGTTCAGGAGGAGATGGATACCATATAGGGGCAAGATGAAAGAGAGTCGGTTGATCAACACCCTGGTCGTTTGAAGGGATCATAAGCTCCTCCTCTGAACGTACCGATACACCTCTCTTCACCTGTCGCATAACGGCGCAGCGCATGCTCGCCTCGGAACCTCGGCGACATCGGTCCTTTCTCTGTAGGGTGATTAGGAGATAGGTGAGGTGTTGGCCATGCCGTAACCCCGGGCTCGCGAGTCGTGGAGGGAGAGAAGACGACTTGCCGAAAGGGTACATGATGGTGTAGGGTGGCCTGTGGATAGTATCGGGTCGGATCAGTGTCGATCCGAGCTGGCACGTCCACTTGTGTGTTGAACTTGGATGCGCACCTAAAGAACTGTGGAGATGGGCGAGGTGCGGCGGAGCATGCCATCAGCACGAGGGTTAGCGGCCTGCCTAGACTCGATCTTGATCATATTTGAGCAAACAGCACGTACCTGCTCCAAAACGAGGGCCATTCCTGTGACATGAACGTGCGTCGGTGTCACGAGTATGGCAAGTTGCGCGGTTGAGCCAATCAGCGTCGACGCAAGAGGCGCCCATTACGGCGTACGTTTGCGGAATCAGCCACGCGCACCACACCTCATCACCCCACAGCACCGAGCCCCCCCAACTGACCTCGTAGGATCTCGGTAAAGAAGAAGAGGCTGGACGCCTTGTCGAGCGCGGACGGCCCTTTGCTGTAATCGACCTCGGCCGCCTCGCGATGGGGCACGATCGGCGCCGGCTTGGACCCGTTGCGTTCCAGACCGACAACGAGAGGGCTGGTCGAGTTTTGCGGGGTCGCGAGACGGGCGAGGGGGGAGGAGGAGAAGAGGCGTTGTGGTCGGGATTGGTGGTGCAGTGGTAGGAGGAGAGCGGAGGCTACTGGCGCCGAGCTTAACCGCGTTGCCGTCAGGCGCGGCGCGACCACCGCACCCGATCGAAGCAGCGGCAGCAAGCCCATCCGAACTGTCGACGACATGCCGTAGAGAGATCGGTGTCGGTGTAGAGAGGGGGAAGCGTACGTGCGGTGGCGTCTGGGTGGAGGAGCGGGAGCGGGAGCGGGGTGCCGTGGGTGCGACGCGGGTGACAACATCCCCCGCTCGCTGATTTGCCACCTCCACGAGTGGCCGGTTCGAGCTCTCCTGCGCTCGCACGGACCCCCTCACCTGGCAATCGATCGAGTGCCGACCGGCCCAACTTGAAGGAGCAGGCAACAGCGGCCATCGTCCTGGGGTCTAGCATCACAGTAGTATCTACCGCGGCATATTCTAGTATGGCTTCTTACTCTCAAGAACACATGCACGGGTAGAGCCACAGTTTACAAAACGTGGGAAGAGCTGCAGTGGGCAGATCCAGGTTTTCCGCCCTCTTTCACTACAACGCTAGTCTTTCCACCAGGAAGTCATCTGTACCATCATTGCAAGCGAAGAAGACACGACACCAAGCTGACTCCGCCTCTCAAAATCTAGAACCGACTCGGAAATCCTCCCCCTCCGACCCGTCAAACTCCTCTCCCATCCCATCCCATCTCGAGTTGTGCGACCGATAACCGAACCGACGACCGAACGAGGGCTGACCCCCCCCCCTCTTCCCTTCAGAGGCCGGGCCGTTCCTCAGGGCGAACGCTCGGCGCAGCACTCTCTCTTGCAGCAGAGCTCTATATCGCCATGGTCTTCTTCGTGTATATAACCCGGCAAGCACCTAGTCAACATCAAAGTCGTTGGCCGGTTCACTCAAGAAAGATAAGCATATGATCGGGCCTCTCGGAGTCGCAAGGCTACGCTTAAGCTTAGTTGCTCCATAGTTAGTTAGTTAACTATGTGTAAAATCCCACCTTTCAGCCATAACTATCTAACTATCAACTATGACCCAATAGTTAGTTAACTAACTATAGTTGGGATAGTTAACTATGCAAAACTATCAAAATGGCCCCTAATAATGGCGCACGCCGAGCGTCGTTGAGGGCTTACCCAGCGCAATTACCCCATACGGCTCAGCAGTATACAACAATTGTTTGGTTGTATTGAGCCTATTGAACCTCTGGTTCTGCCACCGACTTATGAGAGCCGCTCGATGCCATGCTCTCAAACTACCCTCTTATGATAGTGTAATAGTAGAGTATATATGAACTCGAGCGGTATACATTACTCTTGAAACAACCGTTGACAACAGTAATCTGATTCTACATGACAGACCTACACCTCATCATCATCATCGAGGTAAATTGTTTCTCTGGCGCGAAAGACTCTGGGGACCAGGCCTCGCCCGCGGGCGGAGTAATAGTGTGGCATGAGCGCTGCAGCAGTTTTTACTAATTATAATTTGGTACCTGGCGGATACTTCCTGGCTCATCAGGCTCGGGTATCGGAGCTGCACTGGAGCTGTTTGATCGAACACTAGTGCCTAGGAAATTTGGTGTTGCACTTCCAGCACTTCGACTGGGGGCTATAGTTGCCATAGTTACAATAGTTAACTATGATATCCTCCGAGCCAGAACTAACTAACTATCAACTATGCCTCAATAGTTGGGATAGTTAGTTAACTATTTGCGGTGGCGTAGTTAGTTAACTAACTAAGCTTAAGCGTAGCCTTGCGGAGTCGCCACGCTCAATCCCTCCAACTCGGAAGACTAACCAATCCACTATGCCTTTCATGCAACGATGCCGGCACTTAGGCGCATCGACAGCCCAATCGCAAACGCTTCCCGGCACATCCCCAGCGTACACGCCATATCTGCCCTCGATGCAGCTACTCGAGCTGAGAGTGGGGAGGGGCGCGGGCACGGCCGAGATGAGCAGATAGAAAAGGGGGGGGGGGGGGGTCAGGATCGCACGTCCCCCGTTACTAAGCTGACGTCGAGGCCGTGCTCGGTTGAATTAGGTATACGCACTTGGTAAAGCCTTCGGTCGCGTAGTTCAAGTCGCAATCTGTTTTAGCATCTCTGTAAAGAAACCGAAACGTCAGATTAAACTCGACAGATTTGCGGCATAACGAGGAACTGGCTCACTTGCAGCGCTGATCGAGGTCGGAGCAATTGCCGTGCTTCTTGAACCTCTTCAAGCTGCTGATGCTGAAATGATGGATTTGGCCAGATCAGTAGAGGCACCCTACGACAACAAGATCCTAAAATACCGTGATATCTTAGGAGCGCAGCTATGACTCACCCCAGGGGGGAAGCTTGAATACCGACCACGGCCGCAACGAGGAGGATGGGTAGGAAACGCATGCTACCGGGGAGGGTTCCAATCGATAAACTTGGTCGAATTCGGTGATGGGGTGAATGAAGAGAGAGAAAGCTTGAAAGTCTGTCAAGGAAGTAAGAGCGGACTGGTGTCGTTCGCCATGCGGTACTCATGCGGTGCAGTGTGTTTCGGAAGTCCTTGATTCGGCGTCAACGCTGTCTCGGAAACTGGTTTGAATTCGCGCCACAGGCCACGCCGAACGGTCGCGTGGAGTCGCGTGGGAGGGATTGGACGCCGGTCATGATCTGTGCGTACTCGGCAGGTCAATTCGTCATTGATATGCGCACCGGAGGTTGTATCCCTAGCTTCAATGATGCAGACACAGGTAGAGTGCTCATGACACGTAGGTCCTTCCGGAAGGCCTGAAACGATCGGAGATGTTCCTGGTGCGGGCGATGCGGACGACGCCTTGACTAGCGGCTTGAACCGCAGGCCCGTGATAGGGCGGGCGGTGCGCCGTACCTTGGACTACCGAGCGACGTCCAAGACATTGACTAGTAGAGGCGGTCCCCCAAACCCCCGCTTAGCGTATGCAGATCATCAACCTAATTGAGTTCGGCATCCTTGGGCAAATTTCATGGATATCACCATTGTCTCACCATCACGGGCGCTCCCTTCCCCTTTCGCATCACTCCTCTCTTAACCGATCGATTATCCTGTCGTTCAGTCATTCGTTTCCTCCCCATCTTCCTCTTGGCGAACATTGCTAGCGTTCAAGCCCCCCCATCCGAGAAGTGGAGCTTCACTACTGAGAGTCTCATGGAATATTGCTCGACCCTATAGGCTGACACCCGCCAACCCACCCCTCGATCGGAGAATCGGCTTCGATTCTGAGTTCTCATACAAGTGGCTTCCCGACCAGTGCACGACTCTTGTCACTCCAGGCAGCTGGCGTTTGATAACTCCACAGTAGCTCCCCAGTTCGTCATACCGTCATCGTTCTTCTACTGTCATTTAGGCAAGCGAGAGAGCATTGTAAGGATTTTCAGTCGGGGGCGGCCAATCACTATTTCAAGTAGGACATTTCCCCGCCACCGTTCCCGCATCAAAAGTTTCAGAGTGGTGCCCTGGTGCCCTGGTGTCATGTTGACTGCGTCCTCTGTCGCCTGACGAGAACAAAGGGAACAATTGCGTCGCCGACCAAAACGAAGCTCGTTGTGGTAGATTCGGGTTGCTTCCCGTGTCAAATTCGCGGCCAAGATGACAATGTGCTGGTCACAAAGCCATTGAAACTCTTCCCCGCAAGTATAGTCTCCTTCTATCTGGTTTGGAAAAGATGTGACGAGGTGTCAGAAGTAAATGCCTCCGCCGTTGTTCTCTCCGATTCCATAGCTGCGGATCTCTTCTTGTGCTGCGTGGACCAATGCTGCTATGATCGGATTGACATACCTTGAGCCCTCGATTAGCAGAGATGGCGCCTTCTGGTGACCCAAAATTATCTTCAAGAGAGCCAATCTTTCGATTGATCAGGGTTGTTCGTATTTCGGTATGCAAAGGTACAATTTTTTGGGCGGCGAAATGGGCAAGGAGGCTGGAATATTTTCGAACTCTCGAGTTTTGTCAGTGCGTTTCGTTACTTGCACATAGTCTCAGTTCCTTTCATGTTCAATTGGACTGTGTTGATTTTTGAACACGGCGCGGCGAGTCGTTCCAACCAAGCAGGTATGCATGCACATGAGGAGAATTCGGGGGTGGATGGGGCAGGTATGATTTTGCGCAGCCTTTTCCCGAAACGCGTGTACTACGGCCGATAGTTCCGCTTTTTAATCTCGGAAATAGGAGCTAAGTCCCCAGCATCACTTGAAATTGATGAACATGGTTGAAAACAGGCGTGACCTAAATAAGTGAGACACCAGCCTGTCGCCCTTGCGGTGTTCTCCGGCCGCAGGTCCGAGATCCGGGCGATGCTTCATGGGCGGGAACACCATCGGGTGACCTTGTGTCTATCAAGCGATCTCGGGAAATCGGATGAACGCGGCTCAAGAACCATGTGCACAAATGATGGGAACCGGGAGGTCAAAGGAAGCATAGCGACGTTTCAGAGCTCATGGCGACGTCTCGGCGCGTTTCCGACGTTCGGCCTCGGAAGTGATTCGATACTAACTGTGCTGTGCATTGCATCCATACATAATGCCGCGAGTAAATGGTGCAATTACCAATTACGCGCGCACGTTTACCCCCGAAGCTTGACCCATCTACCCCGGTAGTAAGGTGCAAAGTTCACTTACAAATGGTGCATTCCTCACGCAAGTTGGTGCGTTTGCTCACGAAAAAAGGTGCGTTTACCAATTAAGGATGGTGCATCTACCAATTAGCTGGGCAATCCGCTGTATCTCGTGGAGTATGCCATGTATCATCCTGAAACTTGACGAGCCCTTTTACATGATCACCAAGTACGTCCACCTTCAGTAAGAAGCACTCTCACCAGGACCTCATGTAGTTGAAAATCGTGCCCGTACTCCCCGCCCCCCCCCCCCGGGCTCGACGAAGGCCCCCAGGCATCGAAATATTCACTCTTTCTTTTACTGGGTACTACAACGGGTCAAGTGATCCGATCATGCGTGTTACTGCCCAAGCAAAGTAGGCCCTGCATCCACTGCACAGCCGCGCATCGCCGCCAGCGACCTTGCTCAATTTTGTCTGGGTGCACGCAGCCTGCTTGACGCGTCGCGTCGCGCCAAACGTCTACTTCTACTTTCGACTCATGTTCACCGCGCCACGCCAGTTCCTGCCATCCGTTGCCATCGACCAATACTGGCCTTGGTTCTAAAACTCGTTTCGCATACGTCATGTCCAGTCAGCAGATGAATGCAACGCTCCAGAACAAGGGTGGCCGACCCCGCATTGGGTAACCCGACCAATCGACATGACCAGCCCACCTGCACGTGCGAAGTGGTGCGAACCCACTTCGCCAGGCGAAGCTGCTTCCAGGTTGGCGGCAGGATCTTCCGGTCGAAATCAGGTTCTTCGAGCCCGAAGTCGCACGGGCGGCCCGGGTTCAACTTGACACCGAAGCGAGCGGTCGTGTTTGGCAGTAATTAATCATTGGATCTGATACACTGCGATTCACCACGCAAGAAATCCTTGCATCTTCCCAGAAGCTGGCAACACTCTGGCCGCGAAGACATTTTGGGTGATTTGAAGCGCAGAACATTAAAAGTCGACCATTGCAAGAAGCAAGAATTCCAACGAGACGGAGAAAGCGTCTATGAAACTCGAATTAAGGGATGTCCAAGGATGTAAAAATATGTACACAACGATGGAAGAGGGCTGTCTCGCAAGCGATGAAGAACGGATTCGGTGCGACCAGATGGCGAAGAGGAGAGGAGCTAGTAACCCGAACGACGCATCCTCTTCTCCGTCGGTCCACCTTGCATATCGCAACAATGTCTGCACTTGTCATGATTCATGAAAGGGTTCCATCTAATGATACCAATTTATTGAGCTTCATCCAAACCCCCATGACTCCTGAACCCGACTTGGACTTACGAAAGCGTCAAGTTATAGCTCCTCTTCCACTGACAGGAGCGCATGCACTTGTCCGCCATTTGCCACTGCTTGCAAGGACGGGGGTAGTGGTGCGGGTGGTGCGATTCGCAGTGCGTTTTGAAGCACAATTTCTGTCTGCTCCGATACGAAAAAGGGTGATAGGAGATGTTAGGATACGGCGATAACAGCGGTGGTGGGGAGTTGACTGACTGCTTGTGCGAGGTGATGTTGCCACAGGACGAGTTTTGACAATCGCTGAAGGAAAAAGGGGATCCTCGTCAGCTCCGCTCTTTCCAGGCCGTCGCGATCGAGACGACGATTAATAAGCGATCGGGGCATCGGTTACTGACGTGCACCATGCCTTGAGCCAATTGCAGGAATCTCTGAATCGATTGATGGAGTGATCAGCAACTTGTTAACTACGGATAACGATGATAGCGATGACCACTTACTGAACCGATGGAGGCCACGGGTTCGCAAGAGCCACACTGACGGCAGTGAATAGAACGAGCAACTTGATGAGGGAAGGCATCATGTAGACTTGGGCAAATCGAAGGAAGAAGTGGTGTGAATAAAGGAAAGAGAGGAACGGGATGGGTGTGTTCTTTTATCATTTTACTCATCCGAGGCTGCTGCCGATTCCCTTCCATCCCCTTCCATTAACCTCCCGCAGGAGGCGCTCCTATCCTCCCGAACATCAGATTAGCCGCGTGGTTGAACTTTCCTCGGATCTCGCAGGCGGTTGGTTAAACTTTCCTCGGAGTCTCGCAAGCGGTTGAAATCGTCTTTGTGAGCGGTGAGAGGAAGTTTAGCCGAGGAACCCGCCCTCCCTCGCTCGTGGCTGTGCATAGCGTTTGTCATCAAATCTCGTGCAATGGATGAGAGATGCCCAGAGGCACGATGGAGATAAGCTATGCTCGCTTGCTTGCCAAGGCGGGTCATGTAAGAGCTTCCGTTCGTTTTCACGTGATCATGCACTTCCGAGAATCTATGGATGCCTAACGAATCCTCCGCTCTCGGCGCTCTCTCGTGTCCTCGTTCATCCAAGGCAAAGCCCGAAACCGTTCGAAAAGAGTGAGAAACGAACACGCATTGCGAACCATGCACGACGAGGAAAGGAAAAGGGAAAAAAAAGGGAAGGAAACGTCTACTTGCTCCCAACCTTCTTCTTCTTGCCCCCCGCAACCTGGACGCTCCACTCCTTACTACCCTGCTGTGCCTCCTTTCCACCACTTGCACCCGTCGACGGCGAGGTCGTGCCTCGACTAAAACTTAACCCAGGGTACCTACTCGTCGTATCCGTCTGCCTCCTCGCTGTAAACTCATTCGCGAACCTCCTTCCATCCAAAGTCGATGAATTCGCATAGACGCTATCCGAGATGATCTCCAAGACGTCTTCGGAGATCTCGAGAGGGAAGGAGAGGAGCATGGCGATGAATTCGTCCAAGGAAGGGACGACGAGGCCTTTGAGTGCTGAGCGGGTCCAGGTGAGGAATTCGGGGGAAGGGGTTGGGGGATGGTCGATGGAGTACACGGGGGTCGTGGTGCGTGCTACCGAGGCTCGCGCAGGGGTCGTGATCGTTCCGGAGAGGGTCTTGGACATGGATGAAGATTTGGTAGGCGTTGAAGGGGTCATCATGACACCCTTGATGGGGTTCTTGACAGCCGACAAGGGCAGTCCAGGAATCACCGTCTTTGTAGCCGGGGCCTGAGCTTGAGGCGACGCCTTGACCGCAATCGTCGTCCAAGGGGCAGGGGCTTTACTTGCCCCCGTCGAGGCCGACACCGCAGCATATCCACGCCCAGGCGCTCGCGAAGCCGCGACGGCAGGCGAAGTCGCCCCTGCACTTTGTTGAGCTTGCAACGCCGCCTTCTTGCGCCTCTCTTCCTCCTCTTGAATCTCCTTGAGCGTCTTACCCGAACTGCTCGTCGCTTGAGCCTTCGACCAAGGCGAAGAAGCTGTCGTGATAGTTGTAGTACTTGCCGAAGCACTCGTCGCCGAAGCACCCCAATTCGTCGTCGCAGGCAATTGCTCCGCGGCTTCGAGAGCGGCCGCACGTTGCGCAGCTTGGACGTTGGCTTGGGCGGCTTGAATGCAAGCGGCATGCTTGCGCTTCTCGGCGGCTCGAGCTTCGATTTCTTGAATCTCGCGCAACGAAGGACCACTCGAGTTCGTCGTCTCTTCCTTGACCCAAGGAGCGGTTGTCGCCGGAACCGGCTTGGAAGGCGTCACAGGCGCTGAAGGCGCGGGACTAGGAGTGGCGGAGGCAGGGGCAGCCTGTTCCTCTTGTGCGACGGGAGCAGGGACGGGAGCCTTGGGTCTCGCGGCGGCCTCTTGAGCCTCTCGCAAGATCTTGTCCGTCGCCGAAGTCTTGGAACTAAGTTCTATCTTCTCCGCAGAGGGCTGAGGGATTGAAGCCCAGTGTGAGACGGGAGCCGGAGCAGGGATGGGCGCAGCCGCGGCAGCAGGAGCAGCTTCGACGACAGGTGAGGGCGCAACGGGGGTGGGAGCAGGAGCAGACGAAGGCGTGACGGGCTCCGCGAGGAACTGAGGTTGGCTCGGCACGGCGGGGGGTGGACCGATCGGGGACGGAGCAGCGGATGTCATGGGTGAACGCACGGGCGAACGCGTATCGAGCTCCAACGAGCGTTGAGGCAATAGCGACGTCCACGAGGGTTGAGCGGGCGGAGCGATCGACGCCGCACCGTTCAGACCGTTCCATCCCGGCTGAGATTGGCCAAAGACCGACGACTGTTGGTGCATCCCTTGCGGCTGGTGTTGTTGCTGCTGTGGCGGTTGGCCAAATACGTTGAACTGATTGTGGTTCTGCAATTGATGACCAAAACCATTCACACCGGGCGAAGCGACACCGGTGTTCCCAAAGCCCCAGGACGACGCCGCAGAACTGGCTTGATTCGCAGCAGCGAGAGCAGCCGAGACGACACTCGGACTCGAGGAAGCCCACGGGTCCAGGGTTTGCGACGTCGAACGACTCGCGAGACCGAACGCTGACGACTGGTGCGTGAGCGAGGGTGAAGCTGCGGCGGGGACACCGAACGGCTCGTAAAACGGTGAGGCAGCTCCGAAGGCGCGTTGCGAACCGAGACCAGGCGAGGCTTGACCGAGAGGCCATGCACCTCCATTGACGGCATGCGAGATCGGAGGCGGCAGCGCGGTGATAGGTTGCAACTGCGCAGTGAGGAAGAAGGTCTCGCGGTCGCCGGAGCGGCGGATGACGCTCTCGATCGTCTCAAAGTCCAGTTCGCCGACACGCTTGACGCGCAGGTCCGAGCTGAAAAAGCCTTGTTTGTTCCAATCGACCATCATCGAAGGTGTGAAGGGGCCTTGGATCTGGCCACTCGGATCGCGGTACAGCCACGACAGGTCTTGGCCTCCACTGGGTTGGATCGGCGCGAATCCAGGCGGGTTCGACGGGGTCTGGGTCGGAGCTATCGAGTCGAAGCCGTTCGCAGCCGAGCTCGCGTTGTTCTTCGCCAAGGTAGAGGATTGGAAAGGTTCGTCGATCGGTTCCGAATCGAGAGCCAATGAGCCCAAGATGCTCGTCGCGTGCTGGGCCAGATCTGCCTCCGTCACTTGCGAAGCCGACGACGATGAGGCTGGTCCGACCGACTCGCTCGACTGTGACTCGAATTCCGGTGCGTTGTTCGGCTCGGAGCTCGGCTCGTCCTCATCCCAGGTCGCTGGAACGGTGTCGGACGGAGCGTCGGTTTCGGAGGATCGAATATCGGCGCTGGGCTCGAGAGCAGGTTCGGCGGCAGGGTGTCGTCGAGGTCCGAAGCCAAGAGGCTGCGGGTGGTCGAGCGATCCAACTGAATCAGTTCCAATTACCATGTCTTATCACGTGTTTTGGTTCTCACGCCAGCACTGACCTTGTCACCCTCTCCCTCGCTCTCACCAGCCCTCCTCCACCTGCCCGAGGCTTGCCAAACCTCCTTTGCGCCTGTTCCTTCACCATTTGTTGTCCTCGACGCTGATCCGCTATTGGTCGAACCACCTAAACCACCTAAAACGCCACCCGTGATCCCAAGAGAAGGGTTCGTGGTCCTCTCGGTACCCCTGACGCGCCTGGTCGAGCTCCCGAGCGCTCCAACAAGGCCTTTGTCCTGCGCTGCCGCGGACGAGGCAGAAGGGGAGGTGCCCAAACCGAAGGCAACACCGGACGAACGAGAGGGCGTCGACTGGGCGTTACGATCCCGATCACGGGGCAAGGTGCCCAACGAGGCTAGGTCGAGCGTGTTGGAGGGACTGCCGGCTGCAGCGGCGGGGGAATCGGTGCCACGGAGCTGGTGCGAAGGCCGGACTCGCGTGTTGGCCGGGTGAATCGAGGTCGCAAAGAGCTGCAAATGCGGGACCGAGACGGTCAGTATTGATTTAAGCTTCTGTATCATGATTTCGGTCCTCAAGATGCTGCAATCACATCTCCGACTGCTCTTGTCCCCACACAAGCTCGAGGAGGAAAAAGAGCCTAACCGAAACGATTGTTCCCCCCCTGCCCCGTCCACCTTCAAGTCACCTTAACAAGGCAAAAATTTCAACGCTCACCTCTTTTTCCCCGTTCCTAAACTCGCACAGAGCCCAAGGGGCCTCTCGTGTCGGATTTTCGCTCGTCGCCAACGCGTGAGGCGACAGATCGATCGGCCTTCGTCGCGCCTTGTCTTCGTCATAAAGACTGAGGATAAAGTCCCTCGAATAAACGAACGGTTTCTTCAGAGCATTTCGCTCGTGTTCTTGTGCGAGACGCTTGGCATGGGAGATGGGGGCGGTGGTAGGACTGAGGATGGAGGAGAACGATCGAGCGACGACGGCGGGTGGTGCAGCCGCCGCGGCGTTGGGCTCACTCGAGGTGGTATCGTCTTTGTTACTACCGTTGGAATTGACTCGACGAGGTGGACGAGGTCGGGTGATAGAAGTGGGTGCAAAGGCACCGAATGCGTTGCCTGGGCGAGCCGTTGGGTCCGACGGTGAGGGAGAGGTGAGCAGCGGTCGTCGTCGTCGGACGTCGCAGCGAAGCGAAAAAGGGGGGAGGAGCAAGAACCACAGGCGCGCAGAGGCCAGGCAGCGCAGACAGACAAGAGCCATCAGCTACAGCCCACTTGGCACACCCTTACCTCGAACTGACCAGGTCCGAATGCGTGCGACATGATCGCTTGAAAAGTGAGAGCGAGAGAGGATGAGAGCAAGGCTCGAGAGCTGGTGATGATGATGGTGCAAGGCAAGAGAGATGAGGTAGGATGAGGTCGGCAAGGGCGCACACGAGCGCGAGTGCGCGAAGCCCGAATTACAAATTGCACCGTTACAGACTCGAAATTAATGCGCAGAAAACTGCCACGCGCGCGCGCGGGCCGTCTTTTTTGACATTGCCGCTCAGGCGCTCAGGAGCACCGTCGGCCCACTGCACCCCTCGGCGATTGCTAGCAAGTCTCGAGCCCTCTCCAGTTCTCTGGCGGAGCGAATTAGCAATTCCCGCATCTCCAATAAACTGAAGTTCTCGGTGTGGTAAGTGCGAGAGCACCCCGTTCGAGCGTTCGAAACGAGTACAGTGCGGAAACTCACTATGACACGCACATCGTCCGCGTGTGGTACGGCCGGGAGTGTGCAGAGCTGGTGCAGAAGTCGCGGTTGATGCGGGAGCTGCACAACGGTGTTCACTCTCGACGGTTTTCACTCTTCTAAATCGCCCCCAGAGTTTGAAAGTCTTCAAGTAAATGAAATTGCAAAGCTGAAATAAACTATGGGCGTCTTCAATCCGCAGAATTGCCGCGCCTCTTTAATCCGACTCATCCTCGTCCTCGTCGTCGTCGTTCTCCTCATCGTCATCTTCCTCATCGTCCTCACTAGCTTCCAACTCCAACAAACCCTCCACCCCCTCCTCCCCTCCCCCACTCCCTTCTTCCGCACTGCCAAGCTCCTCATCTTCCTCCTCACTCCCTTCCCCACTGTCGTCGTCGTCGTCCTCCTCATCATCCCCACCAAGCATCACATCCTCCACGCTGCCTTCATCTTCACTAGGCTCACTTCCCTCCCCGTCCTCACTATCCTCACTACTCTCCCCCTCGACATACCTCGTACCCTGCGCACCCACCTTGCCTCCCTTCGCAGCAACCCGTCGTTTGATCACGCCTTGTTGTCGACTTTGGATCTGCGCCAAGACGAGATCGAGACGACCATTCAACGCGAATAGGGTAGGTTGGATCGAAAGTCGACTCGTCAGACTGGCGTGTAGGGCCGAGAGCCGCGTGACGAGGGAGGGGATCTGAGAGAGTTGGAAAGGTCAAGGGGATGAGTTCTCCATCTCGGACTCAAAGGAAGATAAGCTTCGTATTGTCCCTGGACTGACCGTGACCAAAAACCCAACGTGCACGACCAAAACTTGCTTGACCCACTCGATCAAACCCCTAGACCTTTGCACGCTCGCCGTACCACCCACTTTACCTCCCTTGCCCGTACCCAACCTCTGAACCAACGCTTCGAGGAGGTTCAGGACCAAACTTCCCGAAGAGAGTTTCTGGACCGTCGATCGGATGAGGGTGGGTGAATCGTGCAACAGACAGGATTCAAGTAGAGGGGCGTCGGAGGAGTGAAGAGCTTGGATCAGGGTCGTTGTGAGTGTCGTCGCGGGCGCAGCGAGACGATTCGAAAGATCCTCTTCATCCTCGTCATCGTCTTCATCCTCATCTTCGTCCGAAGAAAGGCCCTCGTCCTCGCCAGAAGAAACCTCCTCATCGTCCTCCCGAATCGCCAAAGCATCCTTGCTCTGCTTCGCCTTGGAAACGTTCATCGCTTGCAACCGATCGGCAAGGGTAGGTTCGGCCATATCGACGTCCAGTTGACCCGAATGGGCGAGATCGTCGTCGTCTTCACCACCTTCAGTAGCAAGGTTCGGTTCCGCGGACCGAGAGTTGCTCGAGGGATGCTCGACGTAGCGAGATGGTGGGGCCTGCACGGAGGAAAGCGACAACGAGGAGAGTAAGTGCTCGAGTCCAAGGGCACAAAAAACGAGAGAATTCAACTTGCCGTCCCCACACTCTCCTCCTGCCCATTCGCGAACAAACCCGCCGCATTCTTCTCCAACGCAATCTTCTCCACCAACGACCCCGCCTCGCTCAGATATTCGACCTGTTCGAAAATGGGCTTGACCCCATCCCTACAGAGCACCAGCTTGTCCGATCGCAAAGCCGCATTCGCAAGCGTCGCACCTTGTACTTCCGTCTCGACTTTAAGTGCTTCGACCTTCTTACTTGAGGTCGTAGACGAGGGAAGGGAGGTGAGGTAACCCTTCCCCTCTGCATCAATAGCGACGAGATGAGCTACGTTCGAAGCGATTGCTTGCACGCCCGAATCGAGACCCAAACGAGCGACCAGTTGAGCGTCCTTTGTAGGGCTCGAAAGACTGAACGACCAAAGTTGGACAAACCGATCCGTCTTGGAATACGTGAAGAAGGCGAGGTCGTCCTTCTCGGCCGCAGAATCTTCCTCCATCGCAGACTCGTCGACCTTGTGCTGGACCCACTCGACCCTCGCGACGTCGACGTGGCCCGTACATCTTCCGACAAGAGTCGATTTGAGTTCCTTGACCTTGTCTTTTTTCGGCGCTTTGGTACCCAGTGACAGCGAGTAGATGTGAAGCGAGGCTTTGGAGAGGACGAGGTGGACGGGTATCTTGTTTTCTTCCGATGATGGACTCGCGTACCGAACGGCGAGGTCGTCCCATGCCGTCACTTCATCGCCCAAGACGGTCGTGCGAGCGATCAAGGATCGGGTGGTAAGATCCCATACGCGTGCGATTCCATCTTGATGCGTCGACCAAAGATGACCCGTCGAGGTTGCCGGGCTGGCGAGAGCGGTGACGGGACTATTGACGCTAGGATGGGACAAGGTCCATTCCTCCTTCCCATTCGGCGACCAAACGAGAATCTCACCCGATTCCTGACCCAACACCAACACCGACTTGGGCCCCGGAGCGTCCACAGCAGCTACTGGAGCTGCAGCGACCAGAGTCTCGAGGTGGGAATCCGATTTTCTCCTCTTCTTGCCCCTCTTCTTATCCCCTTGACCTTCCTCCTCCGCAGCTTCAACATTCTTTTCCTTTTCCCCTTTGGCACTAGGTACCCACGCCCATTCGATCGCATGGACCTTGTGCCGAGCTTGTTGTTCTTCCGTTTCGCCTTGCTCCGCTCCTTCCTCGCCCGCTCGACCGAGCGAATGCGCATCGCTCGCCCATCGACTGATGCATTTCCCGGACGAGGCGTCGTAGACCCTTAGAGTGTGGGTATCGGGTGCTCGGTGCAGGTGCGCGTAGTAGTAGGTTGAAGACGACGACGACGATGCGGACGAGGAGGAGGAAGAAGGTGAGGATGAGGGTGAGGGTGAGAAGCGGGTCAACACGTCCGAAGCCGAGGTCGAACGAGGCGTGATCGCCGTCGTGCGTCGAGCTGTAGGTCGATCCTTTTTACCCATCCTAGCTGGGCGTGTACGTGGAGTGAGTGAGGGCGTGAGGTAGAAGGAAGGGACGAGCGTGTCGAAGCGGAGCGCTGAGCGACGAAGGTGATCGACCGCTGCGAAGAAGCCTGGCGGAGCAGTGCGGAGCTGCAGCCGTGCGCGCGCAAGGCCTTTGCGAAGTTGATCGTCCGTGCCGCTTGGACCTCCTTACAGCTCTCCCCACTTTCGGCTCCGTTGACGTGACAAAGTGCTCAAGTTTCCATCGCGACTCGGAAATACACTCTTGTCATTACACACAAACATTGGCAGATCCCCTCTCATCCCCTCATTTAACTCATACTAACATCTCCTTGTCCATCATCCTCGCCCTCCCCCGCAACCGTCGTCCTCCTCGCCGCACTGACCGTCAAGTTTTCCCCTTCCCCTTGGACACCTTTAGGTACCTCGACATCCTCCGCCTCCGCCTGACCGGGCGTGGTCAACGCCTCGATACTAGGTGCACCACCCATCATCTTCGCACCGTTCCCACTCCCCGCAGCAACCGATCCATTCACCTTCACACCGGTCCCTAAACTCTGCCAACTCTGTCTATCCTTCCTCCCACCCTCGCCCTCATCTTCCGAATCCGAAAATTCGTCATCGCGTTGGATTTGCGCGTCTCGAGAGTGCTGCGAACGACGTTGGTTCGGGTCGCGCGTGTCTTCTTCTTCGTCGTCCGAGTCGAGGTCCATGGCTGTGCGTGGGATGGCTGAGGGGTACGAGATGAACTTGTATCAGTCCCCGGGTAAAATGAAGTAAGATCATAAAGATTGAGACTTACGTTGCAGCTGCACGCTCGGTGCCGCTCCCGTATGACGCAGCGTTTCAAATACCTGCGTCTTGATCTTCTCGAGGTACTCGCGCGTGTTGAGGTCGTCCATGTTGCACTGCGGTACGTCGAGTTGATACGTCGGGCCGTAGTATTCGTAGTATTCGTTCATCGGAATATCTGAAAACCCCAAGGGTCAGTTCACCGTTCCCCTTTTCGAGACGCACTACGCTTTGAAATCGAACTCACTCCCACCCAATTCCTGCCCTGCAGCCAAACCCGTCTCAAAAGCCCACGTCCTCGACACGTTACGAATCGTATACCCACCTCCACCAAGCAACAATAGAGGCAGACCAAAGGACTTGATGTATTGGACGCAGTTGGCATGACCTCTCATCGAGAGGTTCAAAGTTCCAATCTTGTCGCCGGACAAGGAGTCGCCTCCGCATTGGAGCACGACGGCGGAGGGGCGGTACCATTCCATGATTTGGGAGATGACCTGAGCGGACAGAGAAAGAAGAGGAAGGAGCCCAAGTGGCAAGGACCAAGGCGTCAGCTCGCGCCGCTCATGCGAAGACAGATTGTTAGCAGACTCGAGTCCAGTAAGGAGGCAGTAGGTCGACTCACCGGCTCAAATACACTCTTGTACGCCTCATCGGTGATACCGTCCCTCAAGGGAAAGTTGACGGAGTAATTACGTCCTTTACCGTAGCCAATATCCTTGATATCGCCCGTACCAGGGAAGAACTCGCCGTACTTGTGGAACGAGCACGTCATGACGCGGTCGGTCGTGTAGAAGGCTTCCTCGACACCATCGCCGTGGTGAACGTCAATGTCGACGTAGAGGACGCGGGGGTGGTAGCGTAAGAGTTCGAGGATACCGAGGACGATGTCTATGCGGATTGTGATGGAATGGCGAAGAGCGGTCAGTTCTCTCCTCTCTACCAGCGACATCTTGCAGGCACCCCGTTCTGCTAGTTTGATATGAAACGCAGCATTGAAAATCTTGTACTGACCATTGATGTAGCAGAAACCCGATGCTTCGGCCTTTTTGGCGTGATGCAGACCTCCGGCCCAATTGATCGCAATGTCGCACTTGTCCCTCGACAGTCGAGCAGCTCCCTCTGCAACACCCATCCACACGGTTCATCAGTAGGCATTTCGATGCCAGAAGTAGGGCGTACGACGTACCCATCGAACCTCCAGCCGAGATGGAGCAATACTCGAACAGGCCATCAAAGACGGGACAATCGTCACCGACGTTGACTGTAAGGGGGTCCAGAAAGAGGGCCACCTCATCTCATCAGTATCAGTCCCCTACATAATCCCATCACTCTGAGTAGGAGGACGCACATTTTCCCATCTCACGACTTATTCCCCCCGCCCTCGCCGCTCCCGTTCCCGCGCCGGTGACGCCCATCCCTTCGGCGGCTTGTTCGACCAAATCGGGTGTGACGCGCGACAAGAAGTCGACGTATTCGTCCGTGTGAAATTGAGCCATCTCTTTCCGTGTGGCGGGTTTGGCTCGCTGTGGAGGTGGGTTGGAATTGGGGGTGATGGTGGTGGTGGTGGTCGTGGTGGTGGCGGTGTGGAGAGGAAGGAGCTGATTAGTACTTGATAGTTCGACGGCGGTGTGACGAGCAACGGACGAAAATCTCCATCTTCTTGTACAGGCCATAGTTCATGACGAGCGAGTGGGTCATGCGAATACTGTCATGGGTCGGCACGGCGATCGGTCAGTCAGGCAGTTGGTGAGGTGGAGCTCGTTTCGCAAGCCGGGGGATTGGTCGGGCGCTTACCGATGCGGCTTCATCGGATGTGAAGGACCATAGTCTGTTCGGGTGATGGGTGACAAGGAGATCAGCCTGGTGTGGGAGGATAGGGCCTGCTTGCTCATGCCGGGGCTACTGTGGCCGGCACAGCAAGCAGGGGAGTGGTGACGGCAACGAACGATAGTTTCCAATGTCTGGACAAAGCAACAAGGGAGTCAGTCCACGAGCAATGGAGATCCGTAACCGATGGACGAGACCCACCCGAGTCAAAGAAGTAGCAAGTCCTCTTCTTGGCGCCCGTGACCGGGGTCATGATCCCCGCCGCCGCCGTCGACGACATGACGTGCTACGATCCAAGTGGTCGGTGTAGATCAAGGGCAGGATTCCCGAACCGAATGTCGTCTTCAAATCAGCGCTGGCTGTGCGAGTGCTAGGCGATAGGCTGGGAGGCGCCTGAGTCGGTCCCAAAGTGGTCGCGTCCGAGTGGTGGGCAGGAGACGAAAAAGGCCCCTGAAGGCGATCTCTGAGATCGAATACGTCACCGCGCGTCGGATCATGCGACGCGGTCACGCGGCTCTCGGTGGCGCAGTAGATCGCCATGCTGTTGGCTAGGGTAGACCAAGATGCTTCTTGTTATGGCGGCCGCCGCCGGGAAAGATCGGATTCCAATCTGTATCTCGATACGTGCAATCAAAGACTACAAAACACGAAAAAGGTTCACCAGGTTGGATCAATGTAGCAGTTGGATCTGGCCAGGCTAAACAAGGCCAAGTCGCCTGACACTTAGCACCGCCAGCGTAAGAGTTCCGAGATGAAACCCATTCGAAAGCAACCGCTGAGAAAGGGGAAAAAAAGGACCTTGTCGACCGAGGTGGGTGTGCCGCTGGAGGTTGATGCGTCCCAGTTCGTTGGACTGAGCCGTGGTCATCATCAGATTCCACTTGAGAACATTTCTGCGATACATGTATCCTCTTCCCTTGGGGTATAGGTTTTATATTTTTTGAGTCTAGTAGAGCATTTTCGACGCCCATAAAGGCCCTGCATCACCTGTGGTACCCTGTCCACCCCGGGGCGTACCTTCGACAGTATCCCCTTTCGCTCCTGATCTCGAAGCGCTGTCTCCGGTGTGAATGAGAAAATGCAATCGAGCGACATGTATCGCAGTCTGCGCAGAAACGGTGCGAGCGAGGAAGACGCTAGTCTTCCGATAGGAGAGAGGAAGCGACGCGGAGAAGCCAGGACCTTACCTTACCTTACCTTACCGGTACCGTACCGTGTACCGTACCTACTCGAGTATCGCCAACAACCCTACAACCGTTCGGAATGCACATCACGCGCCACGTGACACGTGTTCTCGCAGCCTGTGCGACCGCGTCGAAACCACCCCAGCCTCCGACCCCCCTTCGGCCAGCTGACAGCTCAGGAATCCATACTCAACAGCAGCATTCGATCGTTCCTACAGTAATCGAATGGTCGTTCTCTCACCCATGGTGCCTCCCTACCCCCATTGCCCATCTAGGCAACGCGACGAGGGAGGCCCCCATCCGGATGGTGCAGACAGAACCTCCTCTAGAAACGACGAGTGCTATCTCTCTCCACCTTATCACCTAGAGCTAACTCTCCCTCTCTTAAAGCACATGTACCTCGTTTTACATCCCTACCTGCATTGCACACCCATGCTAGCCTCCAAGCCGCTCCTCCTAACCCGACGAGCTTCGCACGGACGCCTTGCCTCCCACCACATCTTCCTACCTTACTACTCTGAAACCCCCCCCTCATACATCACCTCCTGTCTTGTAAAACCACGCTAGCCTCCAAGCCGCTCCTCCTAATCCGACGAGCCTCGCACGGACGCAATGCTTCCCACCAACTACCGAACTGCCCAACCAACCCACTAACTCACCTCTATGACCTCAGCAATCCTCGTTTCTCTTACACTTGGACTCCGATCGAATTCCTCACAGTGATACGAATTCCTTACACGTCACTTCCCTTCGTAATGACCCTGAGAAGGAGCCAATACCGGATACTGTCCTTTGCGCCCGTAAAAGGACAGAATAGGAGACCCCCCTATCACTCGCCTGTTTTAAATGTGAATACTCTTATCGATCTGCGACATAGCAGAATGAAGAACTATTGCAACGAATCGTTGCAATCCGCCCCTGTCCTCCGCACGCTTCCAATGAACACTTACCTTCCCACTGACCAAGTTCGCTGGCCCAATGCTCTGCCTGATACTACCATGCAACCCCCTTACTCAACACCTACAATACTTCCATTTTCATCTATTGAGGAATGCCAACTTCCCCATCCAACGCCTGTCATTCACTCCTCTGTCTCTCCTAACCCCATACTCTGCGCTGAGCCCGGTGTTTATTTCCCGGCGGGTTCTAAAGCCGACTTGCCTGGAAAAACTTACTCCTGTCCGATCCCGAACCCGAGCATGCCATACCTACAATCGATCACGTCATCTGGCGGAAGTGACTTGGTTCCAACATTCACGCACTTTTCCGGAATAAGGCTGCAGACGTTACACCTCTCCCGAACCTCGCTCTTCCATCTCCCGCTCCCACTCGCTCTTCCACAATACGACTCCTCGCGCTCTGTAATGGTCCCAAAGCCATTCATCGAGGATGACCGTACACCGATCCGCAACACGCAACCACTCCCGCACCGGCTTATTGTAATAAGAGACTGACGAGCGTGTAATTCAACCGTGGAGAGAAGACAACGGTTGGTGCGCATCGCCAGGCTTCGCTAAACATATTACCAAAGAACGCGCGGTTCCTAACCCTCATTCCCAACACACCAACTATTGTTTCCAACCTTCCCGCTATTTCCGGTGACATAGCGAGGCAAACGGCTGAGACCACCCTGGAACACCTCCTCTCCGCGGCCGGGATTGGCCCCAACAACCAACCAGCCTTCTTCGAGTCACACAAGATCGGCTACCCTACGGGCTTATCGGATCCTCCACAATCAAGGTACAAAGCTTTAAACACAGACTACTTCGAGATCGTCGGGCCCGAAAATGACATCCGGTATACCACGAAAATACACGCGTTCCTCAACGCCAACCCATACCGTGAGTGGAGCAAAGTACCACCACAATTCAACCCACAAGTTCATCTCTTAACGGCTCATTTTTTGAACCAAGCAGACCCGTCAACGTTCGCGTCCCCACTGCTTGACGAAGATGGCAATGTGTGGCCTCGTTTGTTCGCTCACTTTACGGACACAAAAGAAAACGATGTCGTGAGATATGTTCGCTTAGCTTTCGATGCCCAACGACACTCGGGCAAAGATGGTTTCGAGGCCATCGAACGAGTTCCTGAGGATCTGCTTCGCAAGGCGGTTAAAGCACACATCGACAAGCACTTCGGGGATATGCTCGACATCCCGGCAGAATCCTGCATCTCCATCACAACAGAATCAAGCAATCGACAGGATCAGTGCAAGGTCCTGGTCGCAGTTCGATTGGCATGCTCTACGATGGTGGATAAGATTACAGCGTCAAAAGACCGGTCCACTTTTAGTGCGAAGCTCAACATACCAATTCGATCCATGCCGTGTCTAGCCCCACAGGCGAACAACAGGATGGAACCGCTGTTGGTCGAGCATACTATCACCGGTGTCTTTAAACGACTTGTCAAAACTCGAGGGATGCAAGAGCCGTACGCAATCGTGGTCTTATGGGCAAAATCCAACAGCGATCCTCAGAGTGTCGCTACCTACACGATGAAATGCCTTGCAGAAGCAGAGAAGCGACACAACCAAGATTACCCCCACGAACCTATTACGCGACCGGAGGGCGCCATTGTTACTACCGATTACGAGCCTGCGACAGGAACGGGCCAACATCAAAAAGCGGTTTTTCGATTCTCGATCTCTACGTCCGCATTCGCGTCATACTTGGTCCAAATGGTTCCCACACTGCCCGCTTTTGATCGTCTCACGACTTGCTGGCACAATGGAGACGAACGCGTGGCGATCAGGGTCTGCCTCGACAGCGAACGCACAGATGCCATCTCAGCCCACTTCAATAGAGCAACATCTGACTCGCAAGGATTGGCCGCCGAAAGTTCACAACAGATTGAGAATCACATCGACCTCATCCAAGACTCCATACACACCATAGCAACAATCTATTCCGAAGACAGACACAGGGCCGAACAACGCCACCAGGAAAGTCAGGAAGCGCTGAACATGCTCCAGATGAACAATCAATCACTTTACGCGGGAATGGCAGGCATGCAAATGACATCACAAGCACAATTCGGTGTCTTTTTGGCCAACCAGGCACTCAGTGACCTCAGGATGCAACTCTTTTCCTACCCCAAGGACAGTCAGGAGTACAACGACATTAAAGAGGAGATCGACGCGGCGAAACAGACAGTCAAGGAGGCGCAGCTCATATATCAGCAAACTCTACAGCAATCCAACCTAGCCATTCAGAACGCCAACCCCATTTTACATCAACAACGACTGGTCAACAATGCCCCGACAACACCCGAAGCCAACATCACGAACAACTCGCCGACGAGAGAACGCGATGAATCTGGAGGCTCGCCCAGTAAGCGCGGACATCTCACTCACCACGGACGTGTCGCCGAAGAGGAAGGGAGTCTTGTTTCAAGCGTCATGAGGACAGAACATCATATCGAGGAAGGAATGTCTATTGTCAGTACTCAACCACAATCCCCATTCTCTTCTCGGACCTTGTCTGACGAGGTGCTGCCTATGGCCACAGGACCCATAAACGAAGACATCGAACCCCGAAAACAAAATCACCTTCAAATTATCCATACACTCAGCAAATATTTTCTTCTTGCAATAACAATCAATCTTCACAGCATATCAGCCCCGACAAGAGGTATCATCCTTGTGTTGGATAGAAATTGGGTTGACACAGCAACTCCGATCTCTATCGCAAGCCTCAACATGAACGGACTTGCAGACCCCGTGAAGCTCCAACAAGTGCAACAAACCTTAATCAACGCAGATCACCATGTCGTCAGCCTAAATGAGCTCAAGTTCCGAACGGACACACAACTACCGGTCGACTTCGCTGATTTCCAGCCGATCCTCACACCTTCCGTCCGGGCTGGCTCGGGGATGAAATGGGGAACCCTCCTTCTTGTCCGCAATAACCTGCCGATACTAAAGTCTTTTACATTTACCGAAGGACCACTGGTAGGACGAGTCGCCGCCGCCGACATACTCGTACGAGCAAGGGAAGGCACAGAGATGGTCCCAATTCATATCGTGTCCGCCTACTGCCCACACGGAGGTTATGCGCGCAACACCAAAAACGATGACAACACAATCACGGGTTTCTGGACCGCCATGCAAGACCTCATACGAACCGGCCCACCGAACTGGGCGGTAGTAGGCGATTTCAACGCAGTACTTGACGCTCAGGAAACAGCCGCAACAAATTTTCCGCGACTTCGACCGACCGCACTCGAATACTGCCGCTTCCTACGTCAAACTAATGGTCACGATGTGTGGAACGAGTTGGAATCACTGGTGCTCGCCGAAATTTGGACACACAAGCTCTACGGGAACGCGCAAACCACGAGCATCATAGATCGGCTTGCGACTTCCGTACCGACGGGGAATGCGGACATCGAGGCATTACGCCCGATTGTGGCCACCGACCACAGGCCAATCAGATGCAGGTTATGGTTTCCAGGGCTCTGCGTCGTAAGTGACGAAGTAGGAGACGATGGACCGAGAAGAATTAAAGTTCCGCCGAGGGGTAGCGATACTCGGCCAAGATTCACGAAAGAAATGGAAGACGGCGTTGCAAATGTACAATGTTTAAGGGAAATATCGGAAGACGTAATCGTAACTTCACAGGAGGTCTGGGACACTGCCTATAAATATTTCTCTCTGCTACTGGTTGATACTTCTCTGAAGGTGTTCGGCGAGAGGCGGGGCACAACAACGAACAAACACCAGTTCGTCGGATCCCCCGAACTGAGACAAATGATTCAGGACCGTTATCATATGAACCGGTACATATATGCCCTCAATACTAATTCTATCCACATACTCAAACAAAAGCAGGACGTACAAAGATGGTTCAACGAAATGCATGAGGCTCTAGAAAATGCAACACGACAACGTCTACAACAAGATAGAGGACACACTGATTGGTATCTGCCCGAAGGCGCAGTCTTGTAGACAGCGATGGTCTGGTGTCGACAACTCTGCAAAAGGATACATGCTCAGGAGAAGCGGGAACGCAAAGAGATAACACAACGGACTAACAATCTCCGGATCCAGAGTGTCATTAATGGGGGATCCGTAAAGAGGATTCTCATGCTGCGGACAACACTGGTTCAGCCACGAGCAGTTGAAACTGCGGGGGGAAATACCACTGCGGATCCAACAGAAGTACGTACTGTCAGAACCCAATCATACTGATTCTCTTCTAATTCTATTTACTTCTCATGCCACTATTCCACTCCTTCTTTAGCCTATTACCCTCTACGCCGGATCCCAGCGCCTGATTGAGACTCGGTTGACACATTGGCTTGGGTTGAAGTCGCGCGCCTCGTGGGCACTCGTCTCTCTTCCTTCTTCATCCATCTTCCATCCTCGATCTTGCGTTCTACTCAACCCCTTGAGTCGGGATCCAGTCCTCCATACTTCTCATACGTACCACCTTCAGGCAATATTTCAGTACTTTATTCAAAAAGACCAACGAACAACCAGTGACTGCTAAGCCATGGATGAACTCAGAAAGCTCCCGACACTTCCGTAATACAACACAGCAGGACCAATTCGAGTCGCCTAAGCCCCTGACACTCGGCGACCTCCGAACACTGCTCAGTAGAGGAAATCGGGAGCCATCCCCCGGGCCGGATCAATGGGAGAAATGGACCGTAGCAATTCTCGGAGACCGAGCGTTGTCTGTGGTCCTGGCCCTTTTGAACTATGTGTTGGTGAATAACTACTTTGATAAGCTGCGTGACCACTATCTCCTTCCGATGTTCAAAAATCAGGGACTCTCCACCCAATTGAGTAACTACCGGGCGGTTTGTTTTGGAAATTTCCTTGCGGTTACGGCGGCTGCATGGTTCACGCGTCAAGCGCAGGCTTATGCAATGAAACACCACATGATACCAGAGACACAGGTCGCAGTACAAAGCGGCGTACAGCAGCGGGATCTCACGAGCTTCCTTGCGCAACTCGAAGCATGGGCTGTTCGCGCAAAGACTCCTATTTACGGCCTTATTCGGGACCAAAAGAAGGGCTTTGATCTGCTGCGGGCAGAAGCCGGATACGACGCTTACGAATTCTTCGGCTTCGGACCGAACACGGAGGCTTTTGACCGAGCGCGGTTAGCACACGGCTCGTTCATGATAAAGACACCATATGGCCTGACAGAACCCTTCGAAGTGGACGGACAAATGAAACAAGGTGATTCACCAAATCTGTTCAGGTTTTCACTTGCGATGGCTATGGGCTCCTACTGGTTGGACGAGCAAGTCTTCGATGACCCCCTTCTCATCACAACGCAAAATGGGGCACGGCGGCGCGCGCACACAAAGGCCGACGAGCTCACCCTCAGAGTCACACAGGTAGCCGCAATGGACGACACAATTCTGCTAGCGAAGAGTGAAACTACGCTAGCTACCATGACGCTCTACATGGAGCTATTCCAAGAGGCTTATGGAGCTCAAACGGACTGGGGTACGAAAACTCGAGCTATTATCTTGGGAGACACTGACTCACTGGTGGCGCCACCAGAAAGGGTGACCATTGACACTCCCCATGGAGAACGACAGGTTGCTGTCGACCCGGTACATGTCTTCCTCAAAACGCCGTTTGCAGCACCAGATCGACAATATACCCAGCTGGAGAGTATTGTGCGAATGATTGGGTTTCCCAGCACATCGACTAGGAGGCTTCCGCTCTCAGCACTGAGGCGGTTTATCGAGCAACAAGTGATTAGCAGGTTGAGGCCAAGGCTAGCATTGTGCCCAATTCGACCGGAGGATGCGCTCAGACTTGATCAAATAGTCGCGCAGCGGATAAAGGAATATTACGGATGGGTCTTCACACCAACGGCAAAGTTGGTTACCTTGCCGGTCGTCAAGTTTGGATTCGAGATTACCAGCCTATGGCGACTAAACGGGGCACTGGCGGTTGACAGATTATTACGGGACCTCAATCATCACATTCTGGCGTTTGCAACGATGGCCAAGATCATGCTGGCCGATCTTCAATGCCGACACCACGGCTGCATTTCTCCCTTTATTGACCCCAAGCCCCTGTCTTTTCCGCACTCGCAGCGAAAGGTCCCCCAGACGTGGAACACGGCTCTTAGTGCTTTACAACAATGCGGGAAGCTGCAAGTGCTGGAGACCGACCAATCAAGCCGTCTCACCTCGATGGTCAGCGTGGAGCATGCATATCTTCAGACAGGGGGGGGCTCGGCGGAACGAACCACAGTTACGGCGGGCAGTGGCGGCGCTTCCAGCTCGGCTTACGGATATACGGGAGCTCAAGAAAGGACCGCGGAGAGATCAACCGGACCTTTTCTCCGATTGGCTAGATCCCAATACCAGATTGGTGCGGCAGTGGTCGGATCACTTTGATGAATTGACTTTAGCCGAGGGACCAGTCCAACTCCTGCGAAACAGAGCCGAGTGTAAGGCAGGTGTGCCTTACGCACCTAATGTGGCACCCGGTATTTGAATTACATCAATTCAAATTGCTTTACTTTTGGATCACGCGTTAGGGTGCCGCGCGCCTTTCACCGAGTGGCAAACCGAAGTCGAAGGTCAGATTTGGGGTGTAGTTCTTCCCATACTTAAAATGGGACAAACGCAGGCTCAAGGCATTTGGGCGACAGATGGCTCACTTATTGTCCTGCCCACGGGATTCACCTCCGCGGCCGCAGCAGTCATGGGACCAAATTGGGAGGCCCGGGCAGCTTTGTTTGCGGGCGCGTCAATCATGCAAGCGGAAGTGACAGCCCTGATTATGGCAGCACTGACTATACAACCTTACAATTTCGGGGCTCCTACACCGATTCCGGTTCTCGCAGATCATCTAACATCGGTCAGATTTGCCGAGAAGATTAGGCAGGGCGATGTTGCACCGAAGAAACCGAGGGCTGCACTTGCACACTACACATGGCTCCAACGTATACTCGCAACGAACCACACGATCGAAATACAACACGTGAAAGCTCATATGGGACGGACGGATGATGCATCGCGTGCAAACGAGAGAGCGGATGAAGCGGCCAAGAAGGGACATTCACAGCCTGACCTCATTGTGCCTTTCCCTGATTTTGCTCTCCCGCAGTGGACGATCACTAAAATGACCGCCAACAACCTCGAATGGCTGGAAGGCGATATCAGCAAGAAGATTTACGACCTTCAAGAAGACTGGCAGCTGAAGTCGTTACCAAAGAAGACAGGCGACAGTGTTCGACTCCTATTGAATGTCGGACATTCAGCAGGGCAGTACCCATATCTTCGCGCAGTGTCAACGTATGCCGCACAGACACAGCTCCAAATGCGGGCACATGTCCTGCCCACTCCTTCGCGATGCTCAGAGAGACTGGGGACCTCCCCGGAGTGTGTGATATGTGGAGCAGAGGAAGAAACAGAGAAACACGCGTTTGGAGAGTGCCCCTCGGGACAAGAACTTCACGACAAAATTGGTCAGGACCTGTATCGGGCTACGCAAAGCAAACTTGAGGCGCGGCAACAAGGATGGACGGACCTGCAGATAAGGGAGCTATGTACCTTTGCTGCCAAACTGGTGAGGGCACATTTGTGGTGGTTTGTGATGCCAATGATACCCAAACCGGATTTCTACTGGACTCTAGACGAGCGATCGCGGACGCGGCTGGACCGAGCATGGCATCATGAGCTGATTAAAGGGGCTGGGCGAATATGGGGCGGCCGCATGCGGAAGTGGTGGACATTCCAACAGAATATGGAGTAGCATACCTCACTGGTGGAGGCGATGGTGGCAACCTTGCCCCATCTACCCTCAGGAGCCGGGAGCCGAGGGGGAGGAGGGAAAACTGATGTAAGCCCTGAGAAATGGGGGCATCAGTCCTAATCCCAGCGAGGCAATGGCCCGTATACAATATGGGTGTATGATATATGTCACATGTTATGGTGGTCCAGCGGATCTAGCGTTTGTTAGATTCTGTCTTTGAATAAGACTAGCTGGAATTTATGGCTTTAAACTTTAAACCACAATGTAGAGCGAGTGATGAGAAAGCTACCAAGAGTAAACAGCCGCGCGGGAAGAAAGCCCCGCGCGCTCCCACGCAGATACCCCAGGCACAGACACATGTCAAATGACAACACGTGCCTCTATAAATCCTGGACTCATAAGCAGAAATCACCGATTCCCCCATTAGGTATTCCCGAACACCTGTTGACGGCGCACCGACCCGTCGCACCGGACGGGAGGTGGCCGGTGGCTGCCGAGCGAGCGACCGAAATAACCCTGGGACGCACAGATCTGCACAACTCTGTTTATCATCCCTTGTTGATCTTGGATGGAACGGACATACAGACGAAAATCGAAGAAACGACAAGGAAGTCAGGGGAGTTCCCCCACGTTGTCGTCATCGTCATTGCATCCATGATGGGAGAAACTATGTATCTTGAAGAGAACCGCCAAAAACAAATAAAAAATAGAATAAAACAAAAATGGCATGATATAAACAGCTTGTTGTATTGCATTGCGAAGTTATAAATTTATTTGCTCGTCGACGAAGGAAAGAGGGTAGAGCAGGGACGTCAGGGACGCTTCTGGTTGACTGGCCGGAGTATGGTGCGCTCCTATATGTCGATCTGCACAATAAAGTGATCAGAATGTGGCCCAATTACTTCATCACCTTTGTGGTGATTACTTGCTGGTAAGACGAAGAATACGTCTCTGCGGTGAGACAAGCAGTCAGTCGATCAAACCTCGAGACACCCAGATTGGAAGTACATACACCACGAGGTTTTTAACCTTTTTTCGTGCGGCACTGGTGAGGGTCCTCGAGTCTACTATGTCGTAGGACCCCTTGTAGAGCGGCATGCGGTGATTTAGAACTTCTCGAGCCTGCACTTAACATCATGTTCAAGTCCGCATCAAGTTAGTTACTTGACATTGAGTTTCTCCTTTAGTCAGGGTCGACCTCTCGACCGTTTCTCGGGGGCATCTTAAGGAGCTCACCGGTAACTCCTGCCCCCGTATTCATGGAGACTTCGAACCAAAGATTGGTGTATTTGGGATATTTGGTCGGTTTCCACCTGAGATTTATTGTGTCGCCCCACTTGTACAGTCCGCGACCCGAAGGAATGGTAATGGAGGGAAGGACGATATGGGAGACACCCCTGGTCAGGATCGAAGTGGGGATGTAGTCAAGGGTGGGTGGACCGGAAATGGCTCGCTTCGTGAAGTTGGCGACTTGTTCGCTGCCCGGCACGAGCTCGAGGGTTGGGGTGGTGTCGACGGCGTTCAGGGGCGAGGCCACGACGGGGCTACAAGTCAAACTCGCCATGAGAGTGAGCGCGGACAAACGCGACCACAGGAGTAGCATGTCACAAGGGATGTGTTCTGGTCGGATGAGCTTGGATGAGGACAGCAACGACTGAAAATGGGCGGCCTTGATGGATGGTACATATCAGGGAGAGGACAAGAGGCGGCACGATTCTCCTAGTCGAGCCCAATGTCATGAAGGACTTTTTCTTTCGTCTCCTCTCACTATGGACCGAGAGTCGAGCACATAACGTGGGAGACGAAAAGGAGAAGGGGAAGACAGGGGCACAGCGCCGGTTGCGCGGCAAGGGCGTGTGGGGAGTCCAGAGCTGGCAGTTACAAAATCCTCCTCCTGACACCCGAGTCGACTCGGAGGACCGTGACACTCTTGTTCTCTCCCTTTTATCATCTATCAAGGTCGCCCTTTGTTAGTCTTTGCTATCCGACCTCATCCATGAAGAACTTATCCCTCGGGCCATGCTGCTCCTGTGGTCGCGTTTGGCCGCGCTCGCTCTCGTGGCGAGTTTGGCGACGGGTAGCCCCGTTTCCCCCTCGCCCCTGAAGGCGCTCGACAATGGCCTGAGCCTCGAGCCCGCCCCTCGCAACGAACAACTCACCAACGTCAAGAAGCGAGGCGTCTCCGTTTCACCCGCCCTCAATTCTGACCAGAGATGTCTCTCATCTCGACCCTCTCGCGAAACGCCGCCGTCCGCGTCTCCCCCATCGTCTATCCTTGGGGAAGCGAGACATACCGCCCCGGCGACACGGTCACATACAGGTGGCCGCCGACCCACGCCCCAGCAAAAGCCGATCTTTGGTTAACATGCCGTGGGATTACGGGTGGGGAAACCAGTGAGCTCCGTCAGATGCCCCCCAGAACAGGTCAAAAGGCCGCTGCGACCCTAACCACAGGAAGACCCCAAGTCTAAACTTGATGTTGACTCAAAGCTATGGGGATTATCGCTTTCAACATCCCGCTCTACAAGGGAGGCACCACCACCACGATCCCGATTGACTTACCCAGTTGGCTCCTCACCGATGACAAAGGAGTAAATGTGAATGTCTCGGCGTATGTGTTTCCACTGCACCCTCCTTTTCTCTCGAGGTTTGATCAACCGACAGCTTGTCTGTGCCCACAGAATCTTTTACTTCGGCGTCTCACGGGACCATTACTTGAAAGATCCGGGAGTATTCGGCAATAGTACCCATTCCTTTATCATCAAGATCAATTAGAAGTAAAGGAGCGCGTCATACTCCGGCCAGACCACCAAAAACATCCACATGCTACCATTTTTCTTCGTCAACGTGGACATCTCTTACACATTACAATAAGCCGTTGAATTCATACAAACACCCATACACACTTTGGTTTGGCTGTTTCTCTCAAGGTACATAGTTTCTCCCGTCATGCATGCAATGACGACAACGACAACGCGGGCGATCTTCCTCTGTCGTTTCTTCAATTTTTCTAAAGTCTGTCTATCCGTTCCGAAGGACACACCAACACACCCGAGCTCAACAAGGGAGGAAGAGCAGAAAGCAGAACATGGTGGCCAATTACCCGGTCATCCGTTGCGTTCACCCTGCGCATATGTCGATCCGCATTCACATTCCCCTTGGCGATGGCACCACCCGCCGCGCCTTGCTTCTTCTTCTCCTTGTCGTCGGGCGCGCCGAAGCGGCCGTACATGACCCGTTTGGCCTTTTCCAACGCGCTCGCTTCAGATTTGATTGGTTTGTGAGGTTGAAAAATGGTTGCACACATGTCGGCATCAAAAGGGGAAGTCAGTCAGTCGCGGTCGAAACCGGGATCACCGTTGAACACGGGACCTGTTAAGACGAGACTACATCGCTCGGCGGCGGATGCCTCTTGTTCAACTTTGGAAGTGTTGCGGCGCTTCGCGAAGAGTGAGCCTTTAGCCTTCCCTGTCTCTGCAATGTTTTTTATTTATTTAGCTTGGTGCTGTTGATAAAGGAGCGATGGGCCAGTCAGGTTCGTGTTCCACCCGAGCCAAAGATTTAAAAAACGCAGTTTACCCAGCCTCTACTGCCCTCTCCTCCCCCTTGCTCCCCCGGCCCTCAACTTAATTCTCTCCTCCAATATGACCCTCTTCCTCTAGCCGCTCTCCATCCTCGTATACCTACCTCTTACTTGAGAAGCATCCCCTCTTGTCAATGAGATAGGCCGCCAATCCTCAGGCCACATGGTGAGTGCTCAAAGCAGAGAGAATTCTCGCATTCGCCGCACTAAGATGAATTGTCAGCACTTCTGGTGAATCCGAAAGCTAAAAGACTCGACCGTATGAGGCCATTCAGCTCTCATCGCGATCTTCGAGTTAGGCATGTTCTCAGATTATGATATCACCGGGGCGCTGATGTATTGTCGGCCATGAGAGCCGTCCGAAGAGTGTCGCCGTATCGAGCGGTCCACTGAGGGCTGACCTGACTTCCCGGATGGGTCTCCTGAAGCTCCGAACTAAGGGTTATAGTTGCATCATCATCTCTGTTTGCTGTATGCGCGGATCTAATTGATCTGACACCATGAAAGGTCTTGTTCGTCACCGGTCTGCGCAGTCTAGGAGGTGAGGAAAAATGATCTCCGACCTCCCGTCAAGCATAGACTTGATCTTGAGACCTTGACACCAAGCTTTTCTTAAAACAGGCGTAAGTCTCAGTAGCAGGGGTGGGGATCGGTGCAAAGGGTCTTTGGCCGCGCCATGGCAGGAAGTCGAGTCCTTCGAGCGGGAATCCTCAGAGAGAGAGAACCACCCAGCCGTCTTGTTCGGAAGAAGATACATTCTCTATATTGATCGAACCCACTCACCCATTTTCATGGGGTAGACATTCTAGATACTCGAGCAGCTGCATGCACTTTGACTGAAAAGTCACCCGGCAGGAGTAAGGCAGGCGCAGCCCAGTGATTAGGTCTGACAATATTTCTCTCTATGAAACCGTGATCATACTCTCACCCACAGCAATTGAGACGACTTTAGTTTGCAAACACCATGTGCATTGTTTCAACATTAAGCTTGTTCCACTAATTCAATCTAAATCAGAAGCTGGTCTAAACATCCGAGAAGTATTCGTCTTCCTGACCAGCAAAGTCATCGCCGTAGCTTTCATCCGAAGAGCTGCCCATCTCACTGTCCTGCTCGAGGAGTTGTGCAGAGAGAGGCCCCACCTCCTTTGCGACTTCAGCCCCGTCGCTCATATCCATCTGCGCCTCAATGGCCCGCACTTGCTGAACATCACGGGCCAGCGGTGGAGGCCCCACCGAGTCGTCGAGGCCAGATGTCCCCATAGAACCGCGTGTTCCCGATCGATTATGTACAGGTCGCTGGTGATGTTTCGCCTTCTTGACAGTTCTTCCCTGTTGCGTTCAATCGTTGATATAAACCACGAAGTTCTGACAGTGCAGGAAGTTGGTGTGTTGGGAATGAGGGTTAGGAACCGCGCGTTCTTTGGTAATCTGTTTAGAAGTGCTCGTCTGTTTAGTGAAGCCTGGCGATGCGCACCAGCCGTTGTCTTCTCTCCACGGTTGGATTACACGCTCGTCAGGTACGCATGTTTAGCTTCACAGCCACTTTCGTTGCAATTAACTGACGGTTGGATTACACGCTCGTCAGTCTCTTATTCAGGAGGCATGGGCTCGGACTGGCCCTCTGACTGCCCGCGAGTCTCAAGCCAAACATCAAAGAAATGGTCGTTCTGGGACCAAGAACATTCGCGCAGCTGCAGAAGCTCCATCCGGCGATCCAGTATGATGAGCGCGCGGCCTCAGATCTCTTCAACATCTTCAGTGCCGAATATGGACTTGGCATCAGCTGGGTCGATGGATTCAGGAAGGGTATCTGTTGGGACAGTTTGAAAGATGTTAGGGCGACATAAGAGGTGATATGGAGCACGCCGTATCGAAAACTTACCCGACACGTTAGTGCAAAGTGTTTGATAACTAGTGAGACGAGTCTTTTCATCTTCGAGCCAAGCCAAAGCTTGCCGCACCTCGGCGCCGATCCGCGCTTTCTCCTCACCGACTCGATCCTTGGCGCGCACAGCTGTTACTCCTCGCTTGACCCAAGGATTGACAGCCCAAGCAGCTTCAACATGCGTGAAAAAGCCGTCCTGCCAGAACGGATCCGTCTCATGCAGGTTGATCGCTGATTTCAAGCTGTCGGAAATATGGAGATTGTTGAGTAGGCTCGAAGGTGTTGATCCCATCGCGAGACCGAAGGCCTCAACGGCCTTGTTGTACGTCTTGTGAGCCTTTTCCGCGCCTGAATGAATCTTGCCGTCTGTAGCACGAGCTCTGCTGACTGCTCGTTGACCTAGCTTTGCACCTCCCTTGCCACGACCCGTCGAAAGTAGCTTCTCCCGACTGGTTTTGTAGGCAATCACTTCGAGATGAAATTTATGCAACGCCACAGAGCACTGGCACAGATGTCGAAGTTCTGCACAGCACCTAAGCTATCAGTGCAAGCTACAGAAACCATGTGAGCAACACACCTCAACTGACCTTTGGACGAGAGGGCCGTGACATAACAAGCCTGTGCCATTGCCGCTCGATCAATGTCGCTGCGGCGTTTGGCGCTTAGCGATTCCAAGATGTCTGAATCGGGCTCTTCGGTATCCCTTTTCAAAAGCCCAGCAAGTCAGAATCATAGACAGTGAGCGACGGCCTGGCCAGATGATCTACGTACATTCGCGACTCAATCTTGTAGAGGCTCTCTACAAGTCCGTAGAGGTCGCTCTCCCTCAAGTGATCCGCCTCCGATTGCTGCGCAGCTGTCTTTGGCACTTGCGCTAGTCGCTGTTCTTCCCACTCGCGGCGGAGCGCATCTTCGGTCAACCTCGAATCGTAGGCAATGATGCTATTAAGCTCTTCCTCAGCAGCGACACCCTTGTCGTTTGCCTCATGGTAGCGACGATAGAACCAGGCCCCTAAATAAAACATATCGAGTGTCAGCATTGTGATTGAGATGATTGCGATCCAGGTGCGGCTTACCCAGCTTGTTGATGTTCGCGCCATTCAGTGCTTGGATACGGACCGCCAGGTTGACGAAGCGATGGGACTTGTTCGAGGGGCGGTTGATGGGAATGAGCGACCGTAGCCCTCTCCATCAGTCAACCCGAAGTTCGGAATGAGGCGGGGGTTGAACTCGACTTGGCAGGACCAGATATGGGTGTATGCATGGAAGACGCTCGTGGCGAACTCCAGTCGCTTGAAAAGCTTTGGCAGGAGCTATATGTCACAGGCCACCATCGGTACACGTTGTGACCCCCCAGCCCTAATCAGGAGATTTTCAACACTCACTAAAGTAGAGTATCCAGTGCTGCATACCTTCGTCCTGTGATATGATCGCTGTCGCTCTGGTACGACGAGAACGAGGGATGAGCGTAAGGGTCTGACCTATGTCAAGATTTGAGGGGCAGGCAAGGAAGAGAGACGCGAGCTACGAAACTGGGGAGCTAGGTCAGAGGTCTCAGAGCGAGAGTCCGACTCTCGGACAGTCGCTCTTTGTCCTTTCTTAAACCCGAAAAGCAACTGAACCGCCTAAAAATCACGAAATCGCTCTCGAGTCTTGCTGATTCCGAATCCAAACTGAAATGAACAAACGGTGTGATGCGCAGGCGAAGAAAGACTCCCAACGGGTCTAAGGTCAAGGGGTGTAAGGTGTGCGCCTCTGATGTGCATGAAATACAATATGTCATTCTTGACCACTAGGAAAAGCAAATCGCAACTGAAACTCGATAGTTCTAGCTACTCAGAGGTTACTTGTGGGGCTGTTTCTGTAAGGCATCCCCTTAACAAGGGGCCTGGGGCGCCGCGCGCGAGGTCAAGCTTGAGGCCGCTGTCTTGTTCCAAAATGTCGGTTTGCGGAAGGCAAGTCGTAGTGAGCAACATGCCTCGCTTGGGTTTGCTTGCAGATGCGCGCGTGACGACAGGCTGTCGGCTGCGACTGATTGGCGAAGGCTCGGCGGTGATGGGTGATAAAAGGCACCAAGCAGCTCTCGCCGTTGAGCTTCGGCGGAGAACATCAGCCTCACATGAGACCCAAACATGTTAATATAAATCTTGCTAAAACCCTTGCCAGAAGAGAACCAACAAGGGAATAACAATGTACCTGTATCCAGAGGTTTCGAGGATGCCAAGCGGCTGCGTCTTCGGTATCACGAGGGCCAAAGATAGGAGGGGTGCGCCGGACGAAGGGGCTCGAGACGAGAGGCGAGGGACGAGAGACGAGTCGAGAGTCTAGGGACTTCTCAAGAGAGACGACGTCGAGATCAAAAATGTGAACTTTAAGATCGAGTTGCAGAAGAGATAGATATCGCAGAAACGGTGCGAGCGCGGAGGAAAGACTTCCGATAGGAGAGAGGTAGCGACACCGAGAAGTCAGGACCACAATGTAGAGTGAGTGATGAGAAAGCTACACCAAGAGTGAACACCCCCGCGCGAAGAACGCCCCGCGCGCTACCTAACTTGAAAAGATCAAAGTTCAATACCAAAGTGACGGATGTCTAAACGCACGTGCACCCGCGCAGATTCCACAGGCACAGACACGTATCAACTGACAAAATAGAGAAGCAAGCTACAAAACTGGCGGGAGCTAAGGCATAGGAGGTGGTAGAGACTAGCAGGAGTCTTGATGAGGCGGTGCTCGAGTAGTCGGTGCTTGGTGACCGGATTTAATTACCGTCGGGAGTCGAGCTTAAGAGTCGAGAGCACAGTGTAGGCGACGAAAAGGGAAAGGGAACAGCGCGACACGAGAAGCGCGGTGCCAGTTGTTTCAGGAACTGAGGCCGAGGCACGAAGTGCGTAAGTACGAGAGCCGATGAAGATAGTAAAGATCGTTGGAGAAAGAAGATAAGCGCTAAGGGAGCGCGCGCGAGGCAGGCTCGAGACGCGCGGGGCGACTAATATCAACAACTAGTAACTAATCATAATCGGGAATACCAGTGGGATGAAACAGCAATATATTGACACCCCCCCGTGCTGTCATACCACTGCACCTCGCAAACCCAAATTCTCCCGATGGAAGATGAACGGCTTGGGACCCAAGGCTTTGGTGAAAATATCGGCAATCATGTCACCGGTGGCGATGTAGCGGACCTCGATCTCCTTCTCAGCTACCCTCTCACGGACGTAATGTTCCGAGATGCGAACATGACGAGACCCCTGATGGTTGGTCGGGTGCTGCGCAAGAGCCAGTGAACCTTGGTTGTCCCCGTAGAGTACGACTGGACCGGAGACCGGAGCGCCAAGTTCAGCCAGGAGTTCGCTCAGGTGGATGGCATCACCGCTTGTGTACGAAAGAGAGAGGTACTCTGCGTCGGTAGTGGACTTGGCCACCCTGTGCTCGCGTTTGGAGCACCAAGCAATAGCGGCTCCGGACAAGATGAACACGTAGCCCATGGTTGATCGTGAGGTCGTTAGACAGGCTCCCCAGTTCACATCCGAGTAGCCATGGAGTGGTTGGCTGGTCTTGCGATAGGTGAGGCCCAAGTCCAGCATGCCTTTGATGTAACGGAGGACCTGCTTGATGGCTGTCCAATGCTCCGGGCCAGGCTGCTGGGAGAAGCGAGCGAGGTAGCTGACCACGAAGGCGAGGTCCGGACGAGTTCCAACTGCGGTGTACATCAACGAACCGATGGCCTGCAAGTAGCGCGTATGATCCTGAGGAGTGGCCGCCAAGTCCTCGAAGTCAAGGACGACACCTGGCTGCATTGGAATACTTGCCGGCTTGGCATCGGTGAATTGGAACCTGGCAAGGATGTCCCGAAGGTAGCGCTCTTGTGAGAGCGTGATAGAGCCGTCTTGTCCACGTTTGACTTGGATGCCTAGAATATATTCGGCAGGTCCGAGATGTTTGATGCCGTATGCGAGTTCCAGCGCGTCCAGCACCCGCTCAATTTCGGCGGTAGAGGGACCAACCAAAAGCAAGTCGTCGATGTACAAGGCAATATAGTGTGAGTGCCCGTCGTGTTCGCGGCGGTAGATACAGATGTCAGACCTGGTGGGGACGTATCCGAGGGACCGCAGAGTCGAGTCGATCTCAGTGTTCCAGATGGTGCCGGCCTGGCGAAGGCCGTAGATGGATTTGGACAGCTTGAGGATCTTGCCTGGCAGGTTTATGCCCTGAGGGACGCGCATGTAGAGAGGCTTGTCAAGTTTGCCGTGTAAATACACCTTGTTGACGTCGGCCTGATGGACGTGATAGCCGTTGGCCGCGGCGAGTGCGATGAGAGCTCGAATGGACGTGAATTTGACGACAGGGGCGTAGGTCTTCTCGAAGTCAAGGCCAGGGTGTTGGGCACATCTGTGAGCAACAAGTCAGGCCTTGTGATCGGTGATGTCGCCATGCTGGTTGTGTTTAGTCCGGAACACCCAGCCCGACCGCAGGAGGATCTCACCCGCTGGGAGCTCACAGGATTCGATGATTTGAAAGACCTCGTAATCATTCAGAAGCGAATCGAATTCATCCTGTGCCGGAGCGCCCCAAATGTCCTCTTGTCCCGATCGGATGACATCGCCCCAATTTGCTGGATCGCGAACAACCGACAAGTCATGATCTGCGAAGCCGGCCTTGGTGGATGCGAAGGCAAGGAGCAGGCTCTTGAAAGAGGCGGTGGGTCCGTCGGTGCCGTCGACTGGCTGTTCCCGCGTGATCATGGTGGGAACGGGTTGGCGGCAAGTCCGGGGGCCATCAATGATGTTTCGAGCGTCGACTTCACTGTACTTCCCTGGATCGGGACCAACCTTGGCGACATCGCCATACTCCCAACTCGGCTTGACTTTGGCGAGTGGAGCTGGATCCGGAGGTGGTTGCGGCAGGTTCACGGCTGACTCCGTCGTTGCGCTCGTGGTCGATGAGGTGTCATCATTGTCGGCCGAGCTGGTCGATGCAGGCGACGTGGGTGCCTCGACAGGCGTTGGGGCCGGTGGCCGTGGGGGAGGCTCGACGGCTGGGGGCTGGGGGGTGTAACCCGGGATGGACGGCTGCGTCACTCGGGTGGGTGCGATAGTGAAGGGGAACTCGGTTTCTACGAACGTCACATTGCGGCCCAGACTCACACGCATGGAGGAAGGATCGAGAAGACGGTAGGCTTTCGCGTGTCAATCATACCCGACGAAGACCAGAGGAATCCCTTTTGGGTCGAGCTTGTCCCGTCGGTGAGCCGGCACGGTGGTCCAAGCGCGACAACCGAATGCCCGAAGACCCCCCTACGCTTGGTGTGTGGCCCGACCAACGACTGTTTGGGATGGCTCCACCAAGGGCCGCGTGAGGCGAGAGGTTCTTGGCGTGAATGTAACACATGGCAGCCTCGTCCCAGCACGATCGTGGGAGTCCCGAGTGAGACAGTAGAGCCAGGGTGCCCTCGACGATCGACCGGTTGGCTCGCTCAGCCCGACCATTTTGCTCGGGTGTGTACGGTATGGTCAATTCGCGATGAATTCCGCGGGCCACGCAATAGCCGTTGAAAGTGGTAGAGACATACTCGCCCCCGTTGTCCGAGCAAAGTGTTTTGACCCTGCGACCCGTGGCGTTTTCGATCTCCAGAAGCCAATCCTTGAATGTCTGAAGGACCTCGCTCTTGTGCCCGATAGGGTAAACCCAAGTCTTCCTCGAGAAGTCGTCGATGAACGTGACGAGGTATCGCTTATGGCCTAAGGATTCCTCGGGGAAAGATAAGACGTCCGAGTGCACCAATGCGAGTGGTTCCGCGGCATGCGACGACGAAGAGGGGAAAGGCAAATGATGCGCTTTGGAGGCAAGGCACGCGTTGCAGGTGAAGCCATCACACTCGAAGTCACTATAGGGCCAATCTAAACCCTCCACCTGGCCAGAGGCCGCCAGTTTTTTAAGTGTCTGGACAGAGGCGTGGCCATAGCGCCGGTGAAGGGTAAGTAAAGGTAGCCTATTGGACTTGGTGGCAACGAGGGTGTGTCGCGCATCTTTGCTGGCAGCTTGGACCGAAGCGTTGAGTTTGTAAACGCAGGACGCGATGGCTGATGCTGTGGCGATGCACCCTTGCGGCGTGCGGAGCTCGACTTGTCCGTGTTCGAAGGTGATGTGAACGCCTTTGCGGTCGAAGGCCCGGACTGAGATGAGGTTGGCAGGGCTCTCGGGGGCGTAGATCACGTCGTTGAGGGTGAACCTGGTACCATTATCGGAGACGAGCTTGACCGAGCCGATTCCCGAGGCCTTCACCGTTCCCCCTAGACCTTGCAGGACTTGCGGGGTAGGCGAAAGGGGGCCGTCAAAGAAGGACGCATCGTTGACGACGTGGCACGCCGACGCCGAGTCTAGCAGAAGGATTTCCGCCGGTGGCCCGATGTTGACAAACGTAGCAGAAGAAACGACGGACAGGTGTTGATCCTTGGATGCTGCCTCGGTGGCCACGAACGTGGACGCAGGCGATGATGAGCCTTGGAGTTCCTTCATGGCGTTTTTGAGCTCGAGGTACTTGGCTCGCTTGCGCGATTCCGAACACTTGTCGAGCCAGTGTTTGCCTTGACCACACGCTGGGCAGTTGCTCGGGGCAGGACCAGAACGATCCCATTTTCCCTTCTTGCCTGGTGCAGAGCGTTTGGTCGGTACGACCGCCTTCGCAACGGGGACCGTCGCTCGATTCGTCCGAGCGTTGAATCCAGCCCAAGAGGGCGGGCATGGCGGCAACGTGGGGACCCAGTCAACGTAATTGTCCTCCGTAAGTTTCGAGTCGTCGGGGAAGACCGGAGGGTTGGCTGGGGGTAGGCGCTGACGCATGGAGAATGCGTCGTCGTCCCGTGCGGGGCGCTGGTTCCTGATCAGCTCGTTGAATTGCTCTTTAGTGAGCGTGACGGAGGTAGTGGAGGCGACGTCGTTGGTATGGTACGACGTTGATGACGGTGGTGGAGGCGTTGATGCCATGGCACCGTGGACGTCGAGGTCGCCCGCCGCTGATAGGCTAGGTGGGCTCATAACCTTTCAGGAACTGAGGCCGAGGCACGAAGTGCGTAAGTACGAGAGCCGATGAAGATAGTAAAGATCGTTGGAGAAAGAAGATAAGCGCTAAGGGAGCGCGCGCGAGGCAGGCTCGAGACGCGCGGGGCGACTAATATCAACAACTAGTAACTAATCATAATCGGGAATACCAGTGGGATGAAACAGCAATATATTGACAAGTTGCGCGGGAAAGGCGACAGCGCGCAGTCCACAGTTGGGAGCTACTCATTCTTGACATTTGGCCAGTCGAATGAATTGGGCGGAACTCAGTCCGAATTGCCGGACCAATGACCTTTGCCACCACAGGTGGCAAGTCGAACCCGGAGGACGACGGCTTCCATGAGCATTGCGAGGACCTTTCATGTGGCCCCTCTTGTGAGGCTTCTTCCTCTGTGATCCGCCTTGCGCTTCGCTTTGCGCGACAAACGCGGGAGATGCTGGAGCCTGAAGGATAGGGTGTCCAGCAGTAGCGATAGTAATACCCTTAAAACGACTTGCCAACGAGACTTGGAATTGATACGCGTGTGCAACCGCGGTAACCTCGAAGGTAGTAGCCAAGGGTCGACGAAGCCAGCTGATGAAGGCCTCCTTTTCCATAGTCGCAATTGGCTCTCGTTCTGGCAGGACTCCCAACTTTAACGATAAGAAAATAATTCATTACAACAGCCCCCGAATGGCTAATACAACAATTCAGATGAACCTCCATTCCGAATACTTAGCTCATTCGGTCTGAATCCGCCCGAGAAATCTTCCCGTCTCCATGCACCTCGTGACATTTCTCCCCATCCGCCGAAGGCTCGAATCCATCGAAGCACGCATCTGCAAGACCAAGAAAAGGTTTGAAATGGCTCGAGCTCTGCTCAAGTTCGATCAAATCGAACCCTATCCATCACTCACGAACGAGGCAATCCCCATTCCTACAACTCGTCGCCAGTGCATGTGGGATCGTATGACAATCCCGACCTCCCATTGCGAGACATGCCCCACACTCGGTCGTTTCACTTGAGGTGTAAACGCACTGAAACCCTCCCGCACCGTTTGGACAGATCTCGCTCCCTGGGGGGCACGATGCTGCGGCTGACTTTCTCCTATTTTCAATCCTCGCTTGGGTCCGGGATAGTCTCGTCCGGGTTAGAGCAACGCAGCGGTGTTTTTGGTAGTCGCAAGTAAGGCCTGGAACGACGGAGTTATATTTTCAGTGAAGGCACTTTCTTCAGTTGAAGGCTCGTGAGCAGGAACCAACTCACCTCGAGCACAAGCTTGATTGGCCCCACACGCGGCCCCCTTCCCACCGCAAATTCCGTCGGGTGAACAAAACACCGCATGGTCAAGTCCTTCCTCAACGGAAAAGTAATCCGCACATGTTAAGAATGTTGTGACAAAGATACATGGTTTTTCAAAGACGGAATCGTAGTCACGCAAATCCGTTGCAGCGGTCGGTCCACTCCGTGGTGTGGAATACGAACGGGCCGGATCGTACTTCGCCGACAGGTGATGCGGTATGCCGTCGGGATGGTCATCGTCTTCATCTTCCTCCACGTTCGGAGAAGATGAAGTAACAATCAAAGGTAGTATACTGGGAACGTCGAATCCTGTCCGTCCCATAGGAAGCGAGTCGACGAAGACGTGTTGCCCGACCGTCGAACGTCTGCGGAGACCAGCGAGCCCTCCACCGTCGCGTCCGTCGCGCGCTGTCGGAGGAGTCGTCGCGCCTACTTCGCCGAGCTTGACCAGTCCGAATGGACTGCTACATAGAAGGAGGAACCAGATCAACGCCAGCCAGGATTGCATCTTGCTCGATTGCGAGAGGTCCAAAGAGGTCGACAGGACGACTGGTCTCGTGACTGAGGTTGCGGTGCGGCTGATGCAGCGCCAGTGAGTTCGACGAGTCGTCTGGCAGGGCTCGCGACCAAAGCCTCCGAGTGCGAAGCCAAACTTGCCCGTTGCAGGGGGCAAAGCGCGCGTTCGCTCTCCGAGAACACTGCAGTCCCTGCTGATATTAGGTACCGCAATCCAGTCTTGTGATCAATGCGCCACGCCTAGTGGTGAAAATTTCAAGCAGGATTGCTTGGAGCTGGTCAAGAGGCGAAGCAAATCAAGAACCACATGAGTAAGTCGTGCGTGGAGTTGGAACTTCAAGTCTGGGGAGTCACGGTGGCAGGAGGTGTCCAATGCGCGTCCGGCCGTTGGACCACGCGCCGCTTCACGCGTCGGAGCCGTTTGTCGCGCTCGGACTCGCGGTCCGGGCACGGGATGCACAAGCGGTCTCGTATGTTTTGAATCGTCTGCTATGATCATTCTGCCTCATCTAGATTGAATTTTCGAGATGATCTTCAAGAAGAGAAGAGATGTTACACGCCGAAAGGAAGGGAGATTCTCAATAGGCCAATTTCGTAGCCAGGATTCCCCAGGAAAATCGGCAGATTTGAATTTAGCGTATATTGAGCTATCAAAAGGGATCCATAGTTTATGCAAAATGATTCAATTTGATTCGAATATGTCTTTCGAGAATCCAGACTGTCGCAGTCTGGAAGCTGAGGCGGACGGGATCAAAGTTCGGTCACTTCTTGAGGCGCCTTAGGCGAAGGCTTGTTCGAGAACTTGGTCTCGATGAAAACCTTGACGAAGCTTTCCTTGCGATCGTCGAGAGCTTTGTACACCTTAGCCGTGTCTTCGAGCTTGATGCGATTCGATACGATCAGGTCGCAAGGGTCGATCTTGCCAGGAAGGAGATAGTCGTCGATGATCTTCTGAATGTAGACGGGCGCCGGAGCCTGGCCGTTGCCGATCAAGCGCACCCCCTTTTGCATCACCGCGCCAATGTTGATATGATTGACAACTGCAAGTGAATCGTGAGGTCGATCAAGCTTGTCTTAGCACTGTGCCATAGTTCTTTTCTTGGGAAGCTGATTGTTGGCTCACATCCAGCGTAAATTCCGGTGATGCCGATTCGTCCGAACGGCACCACGGCCTTGATCATCTCGTTGATGATTGCCGAACCATCCGTTGCGAGGCCGATCGCCAGTTCGACTTTCTCGACGAACGCCTTGGCCGCAAACTCGCCCGCGGCACACTCGAGCGCGACATCGACACCAGCCGGACGAGTGTGGTCAAGACCATGAGACCCAGGCTTGGTCAACTCGTTGAGGCGAGCGGATACGTCCGTGTGTTCGTCAAAGTTGAGCTGCTCGAACTTGTCTCCGAGCTTCTGCTGCGCGTACTCGAGGCGCCACTTGACGTTGTCGACGCCGATGACGCGAGACGCTCCAGCGAGGAGAGCCCACTTGGCCGTGAACTATATAAAACAAATTGAGCACCATAGGGATTAGCCGAAGCAAAGGCCCTCAAATAGCAGAAGTCTTGCTCACGAGTCCGATAGGTCCGAGGCCTGTGAGGCAACAATGGTGTCAGGAGCATTCAAAAGAGTGGCCGACGAGCATCAGGTCCATTCATGCCAACGCACCCCAGATGGCAACGATATCCCCTTTCTTGACTCCTGTGTCATGGCAGCAGTGGTACGAGGTAGGTAGCACGTCGGAGAGGAAGAGAGCGCTCTCGTCCGGAATCGACTCGGGGATCTTGAACAAGTTGGCGCTGGCGAAGGGCTGACGAACAAATTCGGCCTGACCACCTGCAATACGTTGCAATCGAGTATCAAAATTGGTATCACTTACATGTGATGACGAAGTTAGATCGTCAAGGAGGGGCTTACCCGCGATGCCACCCGTCAAGTGGCTGTAGCCGAGCATGCCGACAATTCGATTGCCGTAGAGGGCGTTCATGAGGTTGCTGCTGTTGCTCTGCTGGCAGCCCGAGGTGAGCCCACGCTTGCACATGTAGCACTCTCCACATGTGACGTTAAAGCTGGCGACGACTCGATCGCCAGGCTGAAGACCTTGAACCGATGCGCCGACTTGCTCGATGATGCCCATGTATTCATGGCCGAGGATGTCACCTTTTTGCCTAATGCACGGAAGGGGCGTAGGACAGACACGATTCAGTGAGTATGAACCATGTATGAATAGAGTGAAACTCACATCTCGGGAACCGCACCGTGCAAGAGGTGCAAGTCCGAGCCGCAAACTGTCGTACCAGTCACCTTCACGATCGCGTCGGTCGCATCGACAATTTTGGGCTGTTCCAATTGTCCAGTTCAGATATGGTCAGTTATGCGCATTCCGTAAGTTTTGCGAAGTTTTGGTTCACCTTGGGACATTCGATCATCTGCACGTCGTTCTTACCATACCACGCCAGCGCAAGCATGTTCGCACCCGATGGATCAGCGAACTTCTGTTTGTCAGCGGCCGGGTTGCTGAAGTGCTCCGTCTTGGTGGGAGCATCCCCGAGGTAGTGACCGATGATATTGGAGGCGGTATTCATGGTTACTTGTGGTGCTGGGGAGAATGTTCAGGGTGTAAGGATGGTTTGAATTGGTTGACCGCAACAACATCCCACCGGTGTCGTACCATCGCATCGGATCGCACGAGGGTGGCAGTTCGCAGGAGGAGGAATGTCAAAAGTGTCAGCCCGGAGCACAGTTAGTTGCCAGTGGTGAAGCAGTATCAAGGATCTTATCGTAAGATGCAAGTACTCCACTCACAGTAGGTTCTGCGAAACAACCGCTTCAAGAGAAAGGGTGGATGGAAGATGAAAGATATTATCGGTCTTCACCAGTCGGCCGAACGAACACGGCGCGGCCGGGGTAGTGCCGGGGGAGCCGCCCGCGCCGATCGATCAGCGTGTGCGGTTGCGTCATACCGAGCGAAGCTCCTGCCCAAACCCCGCCCCAGGTGGCTCCGCGCCTCATACTCGAGAGAAGATTCAATTGATAGTGAATTATAATAGATATGGTGATGGCGGATCATAGACATTACGGTCGTTTTGATCTATATTGTTGTCAAAATGTCGCCAGTGCGCTGCTGGGTGTCGGGCCCACTATGTAACTTAGGGAAACAGCCCAAAGCGTGTTTCAGATTAAGCTTCCTATATTATCTCATCGAGAATCTGACGTACAAATAACTAATTCTCCGCATTTCAGATTGAGCAGGAATTTTACTGGGACCGCGAACTCGCCCTAGCCGAAACTAAAGCCAAGAAGGTAGCTTCTCGCGATCTCGCTTCTCTGATGCAACCCCACGTGACTGCAAATGCGATGACGTAACGCGCCGCATAGGGTGGGTCAGAGCAGAGTATAATGAGAAGTGTACTTAGCATCACCGATCCCTTGGAACCTTGACGCCACCATCCGAGGAACTCAATAGTCATGTGGCGCCGGATTTTCGACGAAATTTGGTGAGGGAAAGAGAGAGAGTGTGAGAGGCAGGTCGGGCCCGCGCGCGGGAGGTCATTCTCGAACCGAATGTTCGCGCGCGTACTCCGAGCGCGGATCGGAGATGCCATCCTCCCGGCTTCCGAGGCATGGGCAGACGGAGATCACACCAAGCAACTTATGTTACCGCCATTCTTGTCTTCCGTGCCCATGATAGCTGATGCCCTGATTCTCTAGGCTCTACTACCGTTCGGCGAGTCGGCTCGAGTCGAATTCTGCCTGTTCCGATCGTAGTAGTCGGCCACGAGAGCAGTGTCCGCAGTGCGCACAAGCGGCGGGACACTTCGATTCATTTCGCATTGATTCGGTTAGTTCAATGCGAACCTCATCCAGCTTATCAAGCATTTCTCTCGCCATCCCGTTTTGTACCCGTCCGGGTGAAACATCGGCCTTGTCGTGGTCAAGCGAAGCCCAAACAAGAACGACCTCCTCTCCCATTTCGGCCACGGGGGCAAGGCGGTCGGCGCGCTCGGACTTGAATACGGGAAGCATTCATGTTCCAGGGGCCTTGTCAAACCGCACAATGCCTCCGCTGGTAGAAGATGTCAATCTAGCCTTTGAAGTGATATTGTTGCACGTCGATGCCCGGCGGTGCATGGGCAGCGGACGGTGAGTCGCCTACTCCTCGGAGGTGTGCCGCGCCGCTTCGACTCGGAACACGAACTGATGGGAGACGAAAGAACATCGTTGGGGCGATGTATTGCACCTAAATTGGCCACCCGAGGATAGGTACCTGGGACGAATGGTCATTTCAGCTGGGTGGTTGAGCTTCCAGTCGCCATTTCCTCGAAGCAAGATATTCGTCTGGCGGTCCTTTCTACGTTTATTTCCAACTTGAAACAATGAAAACATTAGGATGATACGCATATCCCTCCTGCTACCCAATTTATGTGCATACCTGAATTAGCGCCAGGTCTGTGCACTTCTGGTTTCCGAACTAACGGCGCCTGAACTTGTTCAGACATGATGGATCTGGGATATTGAGCAGTTGTGCATGTACTCACAATTCAGTCTCCAGATCTTTTATTGGGTTAATCACGTGCCAGAGCACAGAGTCTTGGTGCGGGATGGCGCCACTGCGACTCAACGTTAAAATGCGCAGCGCCTCTAGAGGAATGGTCCAGAGTGGTCCAAACTGTTGGCGAAACGTCAATAGGAGCCGCAGCCCCATATCTGGTCCGGTGCTGGCAGGAATTTAGCCCAACAATACGGCGCGGTGAAACTGATCGCTACAGATTTCGCTCCCTCTCTCCTCCCAGGTCATCACTTCGCCGGTGCTTTCGTCGTACGCCAACATGCGGTTCGCCGCTCTTTTTGTCGTCTTCGTGTCGTGCGGCGCTGATCTGGCCACAGGCGAGGCTGCAAGCGCCGGTAGAAATTCGGGGCAAGACTGCCTAATCTGAGGAGCTCGTGGAATACACCTACGGTCAAGCTGACCCGACTACTGTGGTACTCGGGATCCCGTCGGAATTGACATTTCAAAGCGTCACGGGAGCAGCGGCTGTAGCGGGGCTGGGTTCAGGAGTCATTTCGGTTGTAGTGGGGCCGAGTTCCGGAGTCGTTTCAAATTTTCAAGGTCAACACCGGTTCCTGCAGGATGAAACACCGAACCCGGCAGATTTCTCATCGATAAAGCGCTTCCGGGTAAACTCAGTACTTCGATAACTCAAGGATTAAGTGTCAACGACCAATTATGTGGCAGGATTTGAACGGAAGACCGGGCCGGATGTGCGAAAGAAGGGGTGAAGGGGATTGAAAGGTGCGCAGCGGCTTGAATCGTCGGGACGTTTGAGGGGAGTTTGCTTCTTGTTCTTCGGGAGACCATTTCCAGGATCCAATACAGAATCTTGCCTGGCTCTCACTTTCTGCATGTTCCAAGTCTCGTTCGGCGTTGTCTCCTGTCTCCAATCTCGGCGTTTCGTTCTCGGTCTCGGTCTCGTTTCTCGGTTCTGCCCCTCTCATCCTCCCCTTTCTCTCTCGGCCGTTCCGGTCGCTCTCTCGTCTCTCTCTCATTTGGTCTCAGTCCTCTATTTCCTTTGTCTTTTGACATCATCTTTGATCGTCCGCTTTGCTATACCATAGTACACAATTCCGCATCCGTGTCGTTCAAGAAAGTGGCTCGCTCAAAAAGTCAGGTTGAGTACCAGCACAGGATTGAGGAGGGAAGATCGCTCGGAGATCGCAGAGAGAGTGACCTGGGTACCGACTCAAGGGTTTGAGGACGAGCTTGGCTATATGTGAGTGAAGTAAGGGCATGAGTGATTAGTGTCGAGACAGAATCAGGTATGATTGGACCTTCGACGAAATCGAGGCATCGATGGCCTCACACCGTCTCACAAGCCTTGCGCGCTGCCAGCCTACACTTGCACAATCTACAGCCAATTGAGCACCTCTTTCTTATTGCGAATACAGCTCCTTTCGCCTGATGAACTGAAAGCTCTCCAATGTCCCAGAAAATTGTTGAACAGATGCGCAAAGAGTCAGCCTTCTGCCACCACGTGCACGGTCCCACGAGTCTGCAGTGTGAGCGAGACCTCCTGGCACCGTTCGACCTCCTCTTGCCACCCGCTTCAACGTAGTTCATCTCATCCATCGCTTCTGATATCCTTCCTTTGTTTAGCTAGACTCCCGTCTTTTCTGAGGCACCATTACTATTGATTCCTTTGTCCATCCGCTTCGGTCATGCTGAAAATTCCTAGCAGAAAAAACGTAGTCGGGCGAAAGGCTGATAAGTGAGAAATCTCAGGCTCTACTCTTGGAGAGGCTACAACTTTTGTTCAACACTGAGAGCCGTGAAGGCAGTGATTTACGAAACTCGCAGGCCATTCAAGTTGAAATCGCCGAAGCTGCCCTGCTTGCCGGCAGTTGCCGGCCCAATATCATTGTGCTCTTTTGCCCCCACCACCACCGCGCTGGTCGACGTCAGTGCGTCCGTGGTCCGAGTCACGAGCCATGGGTGGACCTGTGCTGCTTCTCTTGAAGCTGATGGTCGTGAGTGTGATCATTTGATCCTTCTGTGCCCTTGTCGCGGCTGATGACCACGCCGTCTTTGCTGCATCAGCTATCATCCAACTTGCTCGCGTCCTCGAGAGCTCTCCGCCGGCCGTCGACACGTCATAGTCGCACCGCAGTCGGCCAGGGCCTTCGGACGACCACCTCAAGTCGAGCTAGGACACGTATCATCAAGGCTGAGCTGACCGTATGGGTCGTATTTGTCCGTCGCCTGCGAGTCGCGGTGCCATTGGAGCGCGTTGCGACGCGAAGGAGCAATCCGAACGAGGAGCTGACTCTGTTCCAGCGCCCGTTCTGCCCCAGATATGCTTCGTCTGGGTCGAGTCAATCGTGGATAGGACGATCGCATGGGCCGTGCCCTTCTACGGCCAGATCAAGATCATCGTGCTGCTGTTCCTGTGGACACTCAAGCGGGCAGCAAGTCACTTGGCATTCGTTTCGCCTCCAAGGGCCCGTGGCTAATAGGTCAAACCATGGTTTCGTACCGCACAGGGTTCACAAATCGTCTTCAAGCAGATCAAGCGCTACATGCGAAGATACGAAGGCCCGATCGATGCCTTGGGTTATGCGCTCGGTCAAGTCATCGAACTTCTCCTCGCAGCTCTCGTCTTCCTGCCGAGTCTGCTGTGGAGCAAATGGGCCCCGTCGAGACAGCCAGATGTATGTTCCCGTAAAAATTGGGATGTCACACGTCATCCAGCTCACCATCACTTCACTGCGTTATCCCTCTTGTGCAGGTTCCGAGTATCCTCGCAGGCCTGAACTCGCCGAGACGTGGTCCGATGGCGAATCGATTGGCCGCAGCAGTGCAAAAGTCGACTTCTACAAGTACGACAGACTCGAAAAACAACAACATCAAGGTCACAGCTCGAACCGTCGTCATCCCAACATCGACACTCGCACCGTCAGCCAAGCTGAAGCGCACCCTGCCAACTCCGATCACTGTCGAATCTCGCTTGCAACCTCTCTCGACGACCTTGTCAGCCAAAGAGCAAAGGTCGCTCTTGGCTTCGACGTCATCACGAGCAACACCCATCGCTTCCAGCTCTTCGTCACTCTATCCTTCTCTTTCTTCTGTCCCGTCTCTACCAGCGCCCCTACCGCCACCCGTGCCAGCCCTTCGCCAATCGTCGTCCCGCCTGCGTGTCGTGAGTGATCGACAAAAAGGCAAACAGCGAGCTGTGGAAGTGGTGTCGGATGACACGCCTCCCGAAGCGCCTTCCAGTATCGCGTCACCACCTCGATCGCCATCTACACCTCCAAAAAAAGCGATCCGACGTCGTTCAACCCCTCGAAGATCTACACCGAGACGATCACTTCACCTCGACGAATCACTCGATGCTAACCAGCCCGTCGAGGTCGAGATTCAAGTCGACGAATCTGCCCAAGTCGACACACCTCGAGCATCCCCTTTATACTCCAAATTCTTTCCTCAGACCCCTGCTCCACCAGGTGCGTTCGTATCGACGCCTTTGAAGAACGAGACACTAGGATCGACGGCTCGGCAACAGGCTTCGAGTGCGCTCAAAGGCCTTGCGAACGACTTGTGGGGTCTTGGGGAGGATGCGAGACCTATGGGAGCTAGTCCGCTGGCGAGTCGAAATAAAACCCTTTTGAACGGCAAAGCTTCGGTTTCAAAGCGAACAGGAGGGAGTGTTTTGCAGACGCTTGAAGCGAGCAAGTCGAACGAAGAGGAATTGGGAAAGGAAGGTGTCGGTGATCGACGAAAGAGGAAGGCAGTTCGTGCGCCTTCGGTCGAACCTCCGCCACCGGCAAGTAAGAGGAGGACCACATCCAGTTTGTCAAGCTCGACGAGTAGTCGACAGCTTGGATCGAGTGACGCATTGTCGGCTTCGACGAAAACCAAGCCTTCGTCACTCGCGGGCTCCGTGAGCGGCGCTTCTCGGAGTACGAGGATGAGAGGTCGAGTTGGCGAGGATTCATCGTCGTCCATCTTGTCAAGGTCAAGGTCGACGTCAACGTCGACGACCTCGATTAGTAAAGCGCATTCTTTAAAAGCTCCCGCCAAGGAGCTTCTACCACCCCCCACCGCACTCAATCGTACGACCGATTCAAACGCGTCGACTGGGACACTTGCACTGAAGCGCAGAGCCAAGAGGGTCTTGGGAAGAGGCGCCTCGGTCGATGTTGAGGATGAGCAGGTGGAGATGGACGGGGTGCCTGTTGTTAAGCGCAGGCGATGAGTTTTGGACAGCTCAGAAGTACGACGATTGTGTTGCATTTCATCCGTGTTGTCTATACCAGTTAAAGTTTTCGCGAGCGCCACTTGGGACGGAAGAGTCTCTGAAGGGCTCATTTACTGGACTAGGCACTACTAGGCTGAAGCGATACAGCTAATCCAATTCCTTGACTTGGGGGGAAAATAAACAATATGAAAAAGGAAGAAGGTCACATGATCGATTGGACGAGTACAAAGTCACAAAAAAGTGTCGGACCAACAGAACACGGAGTCGTGAATACGCGACTCATTCATGAAACTGCTTAGTTCTGTGAGAGCCATTTCCTAGGCGAGCTCAGCTACGGTTCAGAAAACGGTTCATAAAATGATGAGAACCGTACAGCGAAGTAACACTCGATGCTCAACACCCCGGTAGCGGTATCCCCGATCGCTTGGCATTTTCACTCAGATCAAGCGAATAAAAGTCGGGCAAGCGTCAGCAACGTTGGCCTGTGTAAGAGTGATTCCAGAACAGAATCAGAGTTTGCGCATATAAAGAAGCCAGAGAAGCTGAGTCATCTTACGGTAACGGATTTACCATTCGCGATACTGGTGATAACGACCGTCTTGCCGCAGTAGTACGATGACGTTGTCAATGACAAGTCCCTACATTAGGATCCGAGTTCGAAGACGAAGGAAGGACGGTATTGGATTTGGAGGATTGGATTGTTCTTGACTATGAAGATATGACTAAATGGAAGAATGGCAGGATGTTTCTACTCGACTGGGATCGCCATCTTACCCTGCTGCGGCTGCGGAGCCGTATGAGACAGGGGGGGTCAGGTCTAGACTTGTCAATCTTTCCGTTCCAAAAAGTCTGGGATTGTTGGATATTTGAATCGGACCGAACCCGGAACTTCGGTTTGAGTAATTTAGCTTCGTTTCCTCTTCAAGCTGTGCCAGATGCTGTACAGTACAGCCTCAACCTTGGCCCCTCGGAGGTGAAGCTGAACAGACCCCTTTCGCAGCCTCAAAGCAACGAGGCAATGGAGGTTGTCTTGTGAGGGCACCTAAGAAGAATTGAGAGCATGACTCGAACTAGTGACTCGGCGACGTAAAGACCAGGACTCGTGTCTCTTTGTGAATTTCTTTCGAGGATTTCGTACCGCTCGACCGGTGCATCCGCAGTAGAGCTCGAGCCGCTGAGATGAGCAGCTCCGAAATCCAGGCGACGGAGCAGCGACGGAACCTGTGGCGGCTATGCGGCGAATTGATTCAATATTGGATTACCTGATATCAGTACACGAAGTACACGAAGTACATCAAGAGGTGTAAATTATTCTATGTACAAATATGAAAGTGGGGACCAACGCCTCTTTACATGCGGATGATCAATTATCGTGCTGTGCCATTTTTTTCCTCTGTTCCTCAACGGCTTCCTTCCCCTCCTTGTGCTCATCGAACCTATACATAGGCGCATCAAGCAAAATAGTTTGCTTGACCCACTTGGGCAAAGGACGGTATAGAGCCGGTGGGAGGGGGAAGAGGATCGAAGTGCGGTTGAGGTACGCTTTGTATTCGGCCCATTTGTCACCGGATTCCGGGTCGACCCCGTGCGACATGAGATAGTACTTCTTTTGGGTCGGCTTTTCGGATTGGGGAAGACCGGAGACGAAGTAGAGCAGGACTGAAGTGCGCATTAAGCAAAAAAGAAGATTAGCTCGAGCCGCTCTTTACACGTCGACGAGCGCCATTGAGGAGGACCTACGCGAGATGAAGATGGGGCCCACCACAGATGCGATCAAGGCCTTGCGTCCGCCGGAAGAAGCAACGCCGTGAGTTGCGGGTGCAATACAGAGAGCGTACATGCCCCACCAGAGGATGATCTCGCCGGCGTAGTTGGGGTGTCGTGACCAGCCCTGTGAGCGAATTGAAAAGCCAAGAATTCACGGCGTCAAACCACACTATCTCAGAACGTGAAAAATCGTCCGATCGACCTACCCAAACACCCTTATCATTGATGGCACCCTTTTGCGAGTTGTTGAACTTGAAAGTGAATTTTTGCTGGTCGGCCATGACCTCCAAAGTGTAGCCCACGACCCAAAGGATGATACCGATGATATCCTGGGCAAGAAGAAAAACTTCCTTTGGTCAGAGTTGAACGGAGTGAAAGATGTATGGACCGGTTGTCAGACTCACACTGGCTGTACCGAATTTGACGTTTCCTCCACCGCGGGCCGGATCCGAAACCGCCGGCGAGTTGAGGATGGTCACTGTGATGGGGAGAGCGCTCGGAGTAAGCGGCATGGCCAGTAACAATTTTTTGTAAAATAGGATATCTCACATGGCAAAGATACGGTCCAGCACCACTGTCGCGCAAAGATAGACCTGACAGTCAGTCCTCCGTCGACGAGCACGGCGGCCCAACGGGTACTAGGTCAAGACTTACGAAGAGCTGGAAGAGGAAGAACCCTCCGAGCTTGGTGACGGCCGATCGCATCTCGTCGAATCGACCATCCTTGCCCGTCTTCATCACACGGTAAAAGAGGAAGGCCCCCAAGCGGAATGACCAGATCATGACGTAGACGCTGTTGAACGGGTACGCGGAGGAGATTCGTGGTCAGAATTTGCTGACTGAGTGCGGAAAACGGGCTCTCTCATTGTGCAGGACGTACGAAGCGACGATGTTGCGAGCATAGTAAGTGTTACCGGCCAAAAGGGTGAACAAGGCGATAATGAAGAAGTTGATGGAACCTCCGAGATCGGTCCTGCGAGTGCGAGAGGGCGAGAGGGCGAGAGGAGGGATCGGCGGTGGGATGATCGAGGCCACGACACCGTGAGGGTGTGAAGAGAGGAGCGGGAACGTGGTATGACAAGGTAGAAAGTCAGCGTACTTTTACTTGCGAAGCGTGTGTCCGCGGGCATGGAAACGTACAGCTTGTCGGTCTGGAATACGAAGCAGATCGCAAAGAGCGCGCCTTGCAGTCCGAGCGAGATGAGAAACGTGATCGCCAAGTAATACTGGTCCAACACAGTGACGGGCGACATAGTGGTGATGCGCTAGCGGGGTAGGGGCTGGAGAAAGACGGCGAAGATGTTCGTGGGCCTCGTTGTCGGGAAGGGAGGAGCTTCGCTGGTCAAGAACGCGCCGGGGTCGATCGCCACTGCAGGTGATCGTCTCCGAGTCGCGAGGAGCTGGCGCGGGTTGGAGAACGATGGGTTGAACCTTGAGGGCGATGATCGGAACTTGTAGAGCACAGGAAGAAGAGGAATGTGAGATGCCCGACTGCCAAGAGTACAAGCAGCGTGACGTCGTAGATAGCCCCCGAGTAGTGAGCCGGCTCCGAAGGTCCCTCCCTCCCTGTCCCTCCGCCATCGCGCGCGCAACGTCATCGACGCTCGGTAGCCTCTTCGGTTACGGCTCGATGCCCGATGCCCCTCGATGCCCCGCCGTAAGCTGCAGCTGGGCACGGGCTGGCACTACTGGGGCGTAACGCCTAACACCGAGCTTTCGCTTCAAAGGCGCTTCATTATTGTACTCTGGTCATCAAGACGATTGATATCCCCAGCTCGGAATGGGTGGATCGTCATTATTCGGCTCCGATTCAGAATCCGATGACGAGCTCGACGACGCAAGTGCTGGCCCCTCGCAATCACAGGGGTTCGCAGATTCTCGCACCGCACCCCCACCGCCGCGGTCACGCTGCGAGGACAGGTCCTCCACCGTATCACCGCGTGCGGCCCCCGAGGGCTTATTCCACTTACCCCAGGCGATCCCAATCGAACTGCAATCCCTCTTGGTACACAACATCACCACCACGTTACCCCTGTCGGTGAAGCAGGACCAACTCATGTACTTTGCGCATCTCCCACCCGCTCTCGATCCACTCTTGGACCGTCTCAACGCCGACATACCTACTTATGGTCTCCCTACCGAGGTACTAGAAGATTTGTTGGACCGACCTGATCATGAGCGTGATCGACAAGCCATCATCAACCTCTACCGACCCGGAATGGGAATCGCGCCTCACGTCGATCTACCGCACCGGTATTCGAGCGTCATCCTAGGCATCTCCTTACTCGGCACGACCGTAATGGATTTTGTTTCGACATCCGATTCCGAGAACAAGTTCGAGTTGGTCTTGAGACCGGGGGACGTGTACATCTTGTCGGGGGAGAGTCGGTACGCTTGGACGCATGCGATCGAGTATCGGGATTCGGATTGGATCGAGGGGGAGGAGAGGAAGAGAGGCCTTAGACTTAGTGTCACGTTGAGAAGGATGAAGGAAGGGGGTCATGTCGTAGGGTGAACCGAGTGAGGACGAACCTGTCGTCGAGACGCGATGATAGGGTCTCCGGCGCAAATCTTGGAGCTGAAGCGCAGAAACTCAATTGAGGATCATCAGGCCTCACCATGCACTGCGCGGCGTCGTAGTAGGTTTGGAAAAGGTCGTCGCAATGCGTTCGACTGCTTTGTCTCCAGGTAAGGAGCTGTGCTTCCGCATTGTAAACTTGAAGGCTGACACTGACCCCTTTCTTTTCCTCGGGCAGCGCGCCGCGCCTGCGATCTCAAACGATGCCCCACGATCCCCAACTCCATCTCGTGGTGCCTATTTGATTTGGACTCAGTTCAAATCGGCGGCCGACTCGTCGCACCGAGTTTGTACCGATGGCGCGAAGGGTTTCGGGGTGGGTTGGCATGCAGTCCTCCATCGGCATTCCGACGATTCTGGGTCGGGTAGCAGAAGGTCGAGGGGTTCCTACCGAGTGTTGAATGGGCAAACTGGGGAAACCAATCCCTATCTCAGACCGGGCGAATCAGGCTCTTGCAACAACCGAACTCGACTGAGCGATCGACCGTTGAATTCGGGGTACGGGGGGGCACACGCATTTTTTGCAAGCATTGAGGTCGTCTAACCCCGCACGGCTTATTTTGTATTCCCAGTGATGGAGCATAAGAAATAGGTCTATGGAAGAAGAGCGCAAGCCGGAGAGCCAGGGAATTAGGATGGGGAAGAGTTCCGGAAAGGTCCGTGCAAAAGCACAACGTGCAGTGGCCTCGTTCGACTTCGCGATGTGTTAGGTAGACGCCGCCCTTCCCTCCGCGGGGTAGAACTCGGATACCTTGTCACACGCTCCCCCATTGCACTGAGAACCGATTGGACCGCAGGGAGCTGGAGGACTGTGACGAGGGACAGCGCGCAAATCGTGCGCGGCGAAGATGGGCTTCTTTCACCCATGGCAACTCCTGTTTTAACCAATGCATATGTAGTTGCGCTTTCTCCAGCGCCGCTGGTGCGGAACGTGTGATGTAGGTGTGGGTTGGGTATCTTTGGTATTTTGAATTGTTGATACAGCCGAGCGGACATGGATGTCGAAAAACGCATCTCGGCAGTGGCAGGGCCGCTCGACTCTGAGCGGTCCGTGCGAAGCGACTTTCGCTTCGGCGGGTGAAAACGACGCCGCGCGACGTGTGCAGGCGCGGCTTGCTCTCCTTCGCACCACTCGTTTTTTCGACACCGTCGATCTTGCGGTACGCTGCGACACGGGCACCACCCCTTCCCGTTGTCTTCATAACGCGTGCTGCATTCCGCTATCCTACCCCACCAGTCTACGACCCACGTCTCCCTAGTCCGGCTGTCTCGAGCCTAGTCGACGTTTTCCCTCCCGGCGCCGTCGTCGCGCTTCGTCTCTCTGCCTTGTGGCTCCCCAGTCCTCGGTGTACACACCATACAAATCAGCCTAGACCTACTGTGTCCACTCCAAACCCCAAACCCTTCCACCCCTACTTCGCCCTCTGCCTTGGCACTCCCTCTCGTTTCGTTGTACGAAACACCCGTCCTTGATTGAACGGCCCACGGAGACCCCGCCTTAACGAAGCTGTTGCGAAAGAACGAGCATCCTTTTCCCCTCAAGTTGCCCTTTCCCCTTCTTCTCTCGAAGGAAGGGAAGAGGCTCTTTTTAGAGGGGATCGTTTGGATCAAAGCCCTCTCCACTCAATTGACCCGAGAATTGAAAACCGCCTTTTTTCAAAAAAAAAGTGGACTTCTCTTCGACTTTGTATATTCATGGGTACTCTTGCACTAATCTGGGCTTACATTTTCTTTCCTTGTCTCTCGTGCAATTTTGATGTCATGTTTTCATCTCATTCTTTTTGCGCTTCATGACATTTGGTCGATCGCGTAAGCTCGAGCTTAATCGTTACGCCGAGCCGAGATTCGATACGTTCCCAACCGAATTTTCACAACCTTATTGTACGACCGTCAAACTTTGTTGGTGATATTACAACACATCGCCCAAGTTCCCCTATTCCGCTCCTGCACTCGTGAACCCCATCCCTTCCACGCTCCACAACTTACTGCAACGCCTTTTCCGCTATAGGGTTCGCATGTACCTCCACCTATTCAAAATCAAGTCCGACTGATCAAGATCAATCTCTCCGTAAGGGTTCGTGAAGATTCGGGAACGTTGTAGACGTACTCGTTCCAATTTGATAGGGACCGTCGGGCGCATTTTTTCATTCACTGGTACGCGCTCCTGTGGTTGGGTGAAAGTGGGTGTTGGGATTCAGATTGGGGTATACAGAAGTAGCAAGCAGCGGGGTGAGTGAAGGTCAAAGTTTACCATCGCGTCCAAAGTCGTATCCACACCATCGATGACCCTGTGTTTTTTTTGTTTTTTTTTCCAAAAGTCAAGTGTGAACGTCATCCGCGAGTGTGGACTAAGCTTCACCTTTTTCCCCCACTCCTCCTCTTTCCTAAAGGAAATCACGACCAGGTAGGGAATTGGACCTACCTTCCAAAGATTGAGTATTTGGTATCGAGATGGGGTTGTTTCGCGTCTGTTGATCGGTTGCAAGATAAGCAGGAGGATCAGCACGACTTGGTTTTTTTTTCAACGAAGCGTTCGGGAACTGACAAGTAATAAAGAACTGCGCTCTATGAACCCGCAATGTAAATCAAACCACGACCGATCAGCTCAAAAACGCCCAATCAAAACCCCCATCACTCCCAACAACGTACTTGTTCGTATCCGGACCCGAATTAGCCATCGCGACGACCCCCCTCGCGTTGAATTTGAGCGTCGAACGAACCTCGTCCGCGAAAGGTTTACCGTAGATCGATTGTCCTCCTTTACCTGTTCCGGTGGGGTCACCGGTTTGGATCATGAAGGATTTGATGTTGCTGACAGGGGAGGAGGGCGTTAGAGGGTGGATTGAGGGAGGGGAGAGAAGAGAGGGTGAGCTTGCGGGGGGTTGAACGTACCGGTGGAATAAGCAACCATCGTATTGGCCCGAGGCGGCGAGGGCGAGAAAGTTCTATACGAGTCCGAACCACGTACGAAGGGGTAGCAGCGGCGTGCGTTGTGAGAAGGAGGAGGAGGGAAGAACGAGGTAAATCAGCTTCGAGGTGCAAATACGAAATGAGTAGTTGGCGGGGACGTACCTCTGCCGTCTGAGGTACGGCTTCGCAGAATACTTCGATCTGTAGATACCATTTACACCCACGTAGTTTGAAGGTTAATGCAGAGTTCAGGACCAGGTGCGACGGGCAGTGGATCGTTCGTCGACGACGTGCACGTGACTCGACCGTGCGATCGACTGTGCGATACTGACCTTGATCTCCCCTAGGGAGGTGTGTAGTGTCACGGACTGCACAGTGAGAGTCAGTTTCAAGTATCAGTGTGGGATCCTACGGCAAGTGCGCTGGGCGGGCAAGGAGGGGGCCTACCATCGTGTGGGTTGGTGCTTCCGCAAAAGGAGGAAGCGAGAGAAATCATAGCGCGTGCGCTCGTCGCGAACGAAACCATATTTTCGGTCGACGGAAATGCCATTTGCTTGTTCTCAGAACGAGCTGACATCCTTTCAGAATCATTACACTGTGTTCGTCGAGTATTATGCGTCGACCACACAGACGTTCCCGGTTTCACCCCAAGTCCGGGAAAAAATTATCGACGATTCAAGCGCTAAATACAGACTCACACCTCGGCATACAAGTCATTTGGTCCGAATTATTTCCATATCCATCCCAAGTTCTACAAGTCTCCCCTGACGATTCATCCTAACCTCTCTCACAGTCTCCCATTCCCAGCCTTCCCACCTTCCGACCCATTCGAATCTTTCCCGAATCCAAGATCGGCCAAGAGTCCTTCGCTGTAGGCCAAGCACTGATGGGTACACGTTCATTAAGTCGGTTAAAGTTGAATGCCACTGGAGGAAGGTTCGTCTTACTTGTTGATACGTCTTTTCGAATCCCCCTGGGCCGCCCTACGGATCAAATCAATAGAAAAAGGGGTTCTGTCAGTCTTGTTCAACACATCACCTATCAACCCAGCGCCCACCCGCGGGATATGGCTCACATAATAAGGATCTTGAATGACCTTGCCGTCGCCGTACGCACCAAAGAGGCATACTTTGGCTTTCGAGTTTTTGGGTCGGATTCTGTAGCAAGTGGAATTGGAGTTGGAGTAAGTGAAGGGATCAGATTCTTCTCGGACTTTTTTTGGTCGGATTTCGGATTCGAATTTATGTTTTGGGTCAGGAGTGGCGGGGCTGACTTTTCAATATTGGTCATGTTCATGGTGTCCACTGTTTGTTTCGACAGTTTGAAGAAAGGAAATTCAGTCTTTGAAAGTAGATCTACGACGGAAGTTGGCGAGGCTCCGAAAACGTACTACCGACGATGACGTCAAAGTCGTCGAAATCGGATTTCTATTCACGTAATAGGGATGAGAAGGCGATTCGTCAGTAATGGTGTGTATCCTGTTACAGGGAACGTTGGGTAGTAGTTCAGGTAGGTACCTGTAATTGCCGACACAGCGAATTGATCGGCACGCCATGCTTCTTACACGTCGCGACGCTCCTATTGCACCTCGAATACATCGTCGACCACCACCACCACACCATCACACCGACCGACCCACAACCCCCGCCAAAAAATCAGCTTCACCCACCGCACCGATCCTCTCGTGTCGCGAACTTGTAAACGCACCTCTCATCCGGTTCCTCGCCAACGTGATAGCCCGCCGTTCCGGCCGAATCAATCTTGTCGAATGAATTGGAAAGACCGCGCGATTGGACCAAGTGCGCAAAGACGGCTTCGGCTAGCGGGGAGCGACAGATGTTACTTTTGGGTAAAAGGAGGGGGAGGTAAGGGGTTGTTAGTAGTGCAGGCGTGGGGGGGGGGACGGGGACGGGGACGGGGACGGGGACGGGGACGGGGACGGGGACGGTGGAGAGCGGTAGAAGGGGGCGAAGGAGGTGGTGGGATAACGTACCCTAGGCATACGAACAGGACCGAATAGGGCATGCTGGGTCAGAGTGACGGTGAAGAGAACGCTTTTGAAGCGTATCGAAGGTCCAAGAGATCAAGCACCGTTTGGGATCCGGTCCGAGGCTGAGGCCGACGGGCGACATGCACCTCGCAGCACCTCGCAGCACCTCGCAGCACCTCGCCAAGTCTCGCGACAGCCGCCCGCGGGGCGAGAAGTCACGTGACTCTGCCCGCGGGTTCGCGAGAGGTCGTGCGCGCCCCATCATCGGCGTTCGTCTCCCACCCTCGCATCCTACCTTGCAAGGATGGAAACGACGACACCACCTTGGAACGCTGTCATCGCCGCGATCGCTCCTTCGCCAACCCCACCCGCAGCCCCAACGTCACTGCTGGGCATGGCTGCTGGCGCATCGCCGTCGGGGAGCGTGTTGGATGAAACGACCCAGACGACGGGCACATCGTTTGATGAACGCGCCGCAGCAGCACCCGCATCCACCACGACCCGTGAGCACGGATGGGTCAAGAACGATGTACCGACGCTCAATATCGTCTCGGAAGGGTCCGAATTGCCAGAGGTCAGTACATTAAATCGGGGTTGCTGGATATCGCGCGCGATCGGCTTTTCGCTCAACACACACACACACCCCAATTCACTTCCCTTGCCTCGATAGGAACAGCAGTTCCATCGAGTCATCTCACTCACGCACAATCCCCATGATGAGCCTACACCTTCCACCTCTGCAGCGCCCCACGAGATCCTCATCAGCCCGTCCCTCGTCGCTCCTCGCTCAACGAGCACCCCTGAGCCACCCTCCACGACCTACAACCACAGCTCAAGCACCAGCTCGACCCCACCACCTGCTATTTCAGCACTTCGCTCCGACCCTATTCGTCGCCCAAGTCCTCTCAAGCAAGAGTTATACGACGATGGAAATATCAGTGAACCGTCCTTCGTCATAGAGGAGGAAATCTCGGTGCAACTTGTCGTCGCGGCGCCGATCACTTCAACCTGTACGGCCGCCGCTGAGGCAGCCATCACGCCTGCTCGAGTCGCGACGTTGAAGGAGCAGGTCGTAGGTAAGGATTCAGGAGGGTATGCGCAGAGTCCTTGTGGTGAGAGTGAGTGCTCTTCTCTTCATCACACTGCTGCGACGCTTCTACAGCGTGGACGATACTGATCACCACCTTCTTTTGGGACTCGTTCATTCAACAGCACCAGCCGATACTTCCTCTCTATTCCCCTTCCATCCCCTCTACACGAACCACGCCATCACCCAAAGTCCCAACTCGAACGATCACGATGATCTATCCCTCATCATGAACGAAAGAGGATCGTTCCTTCTCCCCTCGGATGATTCGCTCGCTCCGACACCGATCAAGAAGAACAAGAGGGGGGAATTGTCCGAGATTTTGGAAGACGAAGAAGAGGAAGAGCGATCGGCGAATTTGAGTCAATTGTTAAAAGGGTGGAGGGAAGGGAGTCCGTTGTCGATTAATTGGGGATCGGAATTGGGGATCAGTACGAGGACTTTGGGAGCGCAAGAAGTCGGGGACGCGCGGACACCGAGTCGGTTGGGGACGGTCGAGGTTTTCGCCTCGACGACGAAGGAGTCCATCATGACATCGCCTACGCCTGTCACACCTGCGCAAGCCGACGAGTCGATGATGGACCGATCCAAGATTGATGACGTCGAGGAACTGTTTGAAAATTTGGCCGAACAGGGGAAGGGAAGTGGGGGTGGAGGGGTGGAGCATGGCGTGGAGAATGAATCGATGCTTTCGTTGTTGGGGGAGCGGGATGAGTCCATTGGGGAGGAGATGGTCGGGAGTGTGGCAAGGGAACCGACGCCTATTCCCCTTCCTCAGACTCGGGTTCAAGAAACTCCTGCCGATCATTCAATAACCACGCTCGAACACGTACAAGGCACATGGTCGCAGCTCCTTACCGCCCCCTTGGCATCCAGGCCCGTTGAACAAGAGAAAAGGGTCGAGGACGAATCGATCCTTTCCTTCGAAATGATGAGGGACGAGACGATTGGGGTTATCGAGGGGCAGCTCGTCGAATCGCCTTTGGCTATCGCGATCGAGAGTCCGACGGGCAAGGCCGGGGCGGGGGCGTTCATGGCTTCACCATTAGGAACTCCGGAGGGAGTGAGGACGGTAAGACCTTTATCACCTGCCGCGAGGGAATCGACGCCCAGATCGAAGACGGTAGCGGAGGTGCCTTTGTCCACGACCATGGCAAAGACGGTGCCAACGCCGAGTCGAGGATTGGAACGACTGAGGAACAAGATGGTCGCTTTGCGGCTTGGGGCGTTGCAGACTCAGAACCAAGCCGGCGTTCCGCTGGGGAATCCCATCCCTTCCACCGCCGCCGAATCCACCCACAAATCCGAACCTGACGCCCTACCCACACCTTCGACCCCCGTCCGGCGTCCGAGACTTTCATCGACGATATTGCAGACCCCGATTGGATCCAGTGCGGCGGCGCTGAGGTTGGAAAAGTATAGGGCGATAAACACGCCCAAGACGGTCGGGAGGGATGAGGTGGTGGCGATCACGTTGCCGACTGCGGAGGAGGGCAAGGGAAAGAACGAAGTTGGGATGAGCGCGCCGAGGACACTGTCTACCACGATGACGACCACACCGATGAGGACAGTTTCCACCCTTGATGCCAGCGCGAAAAGACACAAGAGGAGCGAGACGATCCAATTGACTTCGTCGGCGGGAAAATCGTTGTTCTCACCTGCGGCGGGGTCCAGAACGGTGGCTGGGCCGGAGCGGGGGGTCGGGACGAGTCCTTTGGTTCGGATGGCGGTGGCTGGGGATAGGAGGAGGAGTCTGATTGCTACCTCTACCGCTGTGCCGAGTCCGGTGAAGATGAGGAGCCTGAGGGAAGGGGCGGCCGAAGAGGCGAGGCCGGTGAGGAGCTCGATCACATCGACAGCGACGACCGGTCGGGTTGGAACTGGCGCTGGACGGATTGGGTCGACTACCTCAACGACGGCGACACGACAGATTCCGTCGGTTCGATCGTCGACATACTCGACGACGCCGAGCCGAGTATCGTTGCTTACCGGTGGTCGACCGACACCACGTATCCCCACGACGACCACCACCACCACGACGCTGCTTCCGAACTGCAACGACCAAAACGTTGCACCCGCACGTAGCATCACTCGACCTTCGACGACGTCTACGACGTCCAGTAGTCTCCTCCCACTCCGTTCTTCAGCCTTGTTGAAGACGCGTCCGACGTTCCAACCCCGGGTTTTGAAACCGTTGGTTTCTTCGAGGAAGCCCTCGTCGATGACGTCGACGAGCGTTGGCGATAAGATTGCGACGGGGACTCGACCGAGGTTCGGGTTGGGGCCGCTGCCTGCACGAAGTACGACGATAGGGACGGGTCCGGCCGGTGCAAGTGGTGGTAGTGCGGCTGTCGCTGGTGTCGGAGCGAGGATGACGACTGCGGTTACGAGTACGAGGAAAACTCTGGCTCCTGTTGCTGGAGCGAGAAGCGCGGTAGGGTCGCGGGGGGCTTTAGGATGAAGGAGTTCGGGAGGCGAAAGTGGAGACGTTTTTGTAACATCTTTATGCTTTGAACATGCAGACAACACTTGCAGAATTGACGGAGCGCTTTTCGAGAGGTAGCTGAGAGCAGCGATTGAGAGCTTCTTTCCGCCCTCGCCCCCACAATAGCTGTTCACGCACTGCACTCACTAGAGTGTGATGATATGCGAGTTTTCACACAGCAACCTGATCATGTGGCAATAGCTTTGGCGTTTCAACTCCCGTCACAATTTGCTGCGTTTCTTCATTGTGTTTCGGTAGCTGTTGCTTATCGGCATCTGTTTCTTGCAGAGCACCTAGTGGAGACTTTCTTCGAAGACCCCCAAGCAATGCGATCAATGGAGGTGCTCAAAGGACCGTGTACCGCAGAAGTGGGGGCCAATTCACCATCGATCGTTGGGCCCATTATTCACTTTTTTGACGATCGGCGAGGGAAGGGGAGCTTTTGAATCTCGCACCCGAACAGCCCCTTGTAATAGTCAAGCGATCGTGTACGGGGAGCCCGTTTACGGCCACCTTCCTCGGCTCTCAATTGTGGGCAATCGATGCTCGCCCGGTAACGCATTCGGCGTTCTTTTCCAAGAAATCTACGACATCGCAAGAGCCTAACAAAATGAATGCGCCAAGTAAAGTCTGAATCACAGCTGATCGTTAAGTCCAACCCGCACCTCTTTCGACCTCGCCACCAAGTCCAATCAAATCCTCCCCTGACCGACTTCCACCACCCATTCCGATCCCATCGGCGCGCCCATCGCAGTCCAACATCCTTCCAAATTCACATCCACCAACTGCCCTTCCTTCGTCTTCTCCCCCTTTTCAATCCATTGTTCATTGATGCGCTCTCCATCGAGGACAATTACGAGGCGTTCTGATTGATCTACGAAGAACCCAAGGTGCGAACTGGCGAAGCCGAGCGTGATGCGCAGGCGGTCTTGATCGACCGGGAACACACTCGGCGCTTCCCTCGTTTCTGACGCCTTCGAATCTGCGATGACTGGACTCTTCTCATTCGACTTGATCGATCGCGAACCAGATCCACTCGGGAACGCTCGCAGTGTCCAAAGGACGACAGCGAAGGAAAAACCCATCCAGACCCTTAGTTCAGTCCATAGCGTTGCCAAAGGCCGGTGAAGAAGATCACGACCGAAGCCGACGATTTGGTCACGGGGCCGAATCTTGGCGTCTACGGTCGTGGTCGAGGTAAAGTACGTCAGGATTGAAGCTAGACGCGAATGGTTGGAGGGGCGAGGGAACGTGCGGGCGGAGGACGCGACGAGATCCGAGCAGGTATTGGTTGATGGAGGTGCGGCCTTGGAGGTAGAAGCCGTCTTGGAAGTCGAAGACGAACCCTTGGCTACGGCGATCTCCTTGATTGCCGCCAGTCCAGTCGTCTTGTCCGTCAGACCGAGACAAGCAATCGTGATCCCGTCGACGGCGTAGGACTGAGCGACTGTGACCATCTGCGACTGCTTGGCGTCGACGTTGATCGTGACCAAAGGTGTCGCGCACGACCTCTGTGTGAGAACTAAATCGTTCGGGCTGATCCAGGAAGCCCAATCGTGTCCGGCGACGTACAACGCCACTGCGGCGGTGGCTTTGAGAGGCCCCAGAGCCTCGACGACGTCGTTCGAGTTGATACTGGTGAAGGCATGTCCTTCGTTCGAGCGGGTGCTCCAAGCGCCCAAATGCGCACCTTGCGCCTCGGGGAACGCCAGCGCCACAACGAAAGCTTGTCCCACCCCTTCGCCCATGACATCGTCGTTCAGACGTCCTTCCAATCCGGCTCCGACGCGATTCGTCGTCTTGACCAATCCAGCACCACCTTGCTTCGTCTTGGCCAACGCAGCACTCCATCCCTTTTGGGGGTGCAAGGGTCGCGTCATCAAGTCGGTCGAATACGTCGGAGCGGGAGAAAACGAGCGGAAAGGGACGTGGTAGTCCTGTCCCCAAGGATTCAACTCCTCCCCCATGTCGAAATCGGGGATGAGCTCGAGCGCGCGGCTAAGAATCGTGTTAGTCCCATTGAGGTAGATGTGCCAGCGATGAGAGTCGTCTTGGTCGGGGTAGTAATCGTCCGAGTTACGAATCAAAGATTTCGTATCGTTGAGCTTGCGCAGCGCCAAAGCACCACCCCAGATGCGGGGACTCCCGGCCATGCAGTGGATGGTCGTGCCGTCGCCAAAGATCTGGTTCGACATCTTGCGCATGGCGCGGTGCATCGCATGCCTCAATTCACCTACATCGTCCGTTCCACCCGAGACGAGGTAGTCGGGATGGGCCTGATCGTCGACCTTGACAAAGTCGACACCGGCGGCTTTGAGAGACTTGAAGTAATCGCCGTAGTAGTCCTCCAATCGGCCGATAGAAGGAACGTACCATAGCGCAATGGCCTCGTCCCAGTAATCCGAATGCAGGTTCCATCGTTGGAGGTCGTAGCGCGCCATGGGTCCATCAGGCTCTAGACCATCCCAATAACCTGCGATGGTCATCCAGACGCCGACACGCTGAATGCCCTTGGCTTTAATTCGCTTTACCGCGTCCGCTAATTCGGGGCTGGCGGCGACGTTCGATGGTGACGAGGGGGGATTTGAGGACTGGATCGCATCGCCAGCCACGTTGTACCAGGTCGAACGGACACCGAACGAGTGCAACGTCTGTTGAGTTCGACCAGGACGTCCAGGAGCTTGCTTGATGTCTTGCCATCCATCGTCGAGCAGGACTGTGTCGAGACTGGCGGCGAATAAGGACGAGCTCGTCGAAGGCGAGAGCAGGACGTCGAGCCACTTGAGAACGTCCGAGAGTTTGTACCTGCAGCACAGTGGTGTGAGAGATCAGATCGCATTCGGTTGGTAAACCCGTAGACGAGAATATTGACTTACGCTTGGTATCCGAGGGCGTTCCAGGTGCAAACTCGGACACCCTGGGAAGGCTTCGCCTCCTTCGGCGCCTTCACCATTGCTTGGTCCAAGTTACCTGTCAAGGTCTTCTCGGCAACTTTAACGCATTCGGCGACTAGTTTCTCCAAATCCCCATCGACGCCTCGCCCCACAACGACATGACCCTGTGCGCCCGGAGCACCCGTATCCCGCATACATCTCAGCCAAACTTTATCTTCACCTCCTCGAATGGTGGACATGACTTGGTCCGTCGTGAAGGGGAAGAGGACGAGGATTGGAGGGGTTGGTGATTCCGAGGTCGACTTGCCCCGCAAGAAGAGGAGTTGACCTTCGAACTCGGTCGAGAGCGACGAAATGGGGGATCCCGAATGGAGTTGGCGAGTGAGGAACCAGATTCGTCTAAAGATAAACTTATGGGACACGGTCAGTCCTGCTGGGCGAAAAGGGAACACATGAACAGTAAAGCGTACTCGCTGCGCTCCCATACAACACCTTCGCACCAATCCTGGGCCGCAACGTCGAGATCGAATGACTCGACTGCATTGCTTTCCCCGTCCTTAAGTGCAAACGTCTTGAGTTCAACCCTCCCTCCGGATCGTGGTGTCGTTTCACTGGCGGAAACGATTTCGATCGTGCCATTCACTCCAGACGCACCGAGCCATTCGTATTCGGACTCGGCATGTCGTTTTCGATAAGTGAACTCGTATGTTCCCAGTGTTGCATCGGAGAGATCAAATGAAGCGACATGAACGTCGGCCCGCGCTTCGGTCGATGATGGGGAAGGGAGCGTAGCAAACGCAAGAGCCGTCCAGGTGCCGGAAAGATTTGTCCAAACCTCGGGAATGCCTGGAGAAGATCTGGAACCCGTGTACGTGAAGTAGAAGGCCTTGGTGTCTGCTGACAGGGCGACGACTTCGGTCGCGCCGAGAGCAGGCGTGAAGCTCATTTTTTTTTTCCGATCAAATGTTCCAGTTTCTATAATATGTGGTGAAAACATTTAGGTCAGTACCGCAGAAATGAGTGCTACAGTTCGAAACTGGCGAGGACTTGTGCACAGCATAATCGGAGAATGCTGCATGAACCCGACGGTTGCGATGCTTAGCCGAATCGGATCCCGGATCCCGCCGAATGCCCGTTGATCACAATCGCGAGCTTGGGCCGAGCAACGATCACCCACTGCAGCACAATAAATCGTATCGTTACGCGTGGGCCCGAGCGACTCGTGTTGTTGTTCTCTTCCATCACGGAACTCGACGCGTAGGTGTCGATGGAGCCCAAGCTCGAGTTCTTTGATCGATCGGGGAACCCGAACCTCTTGTTCGGCCACGAGAGGGTCCCAGACGGACTCTGACGCGATGAGCCCGAAGCGACCGCGCCCAGGAGCGTGCCCCAACGTGGTCTTTGGAGCTCGACCCGGCAGATCTACGGGGTCTGCATGAAGTTGCTCGTACATCGGTGCAGTATTCCGCACTATCTAGAGTATAGCTCGACGGGTGTCCAAGCGATTGAGGACGTGACAAACTACCCGCAATTCGTTGCTGTGGCTTGACCGAGCATCGCAATCGCTGATCGATGATGTTCGCGCTCTCGGGCGCTCCAAGCTCGGAACCGAAATAGAAGCACGCAGAGTCGAGTCGATACGGAGGACGAGGGACCGTGTAGCACGGCATGAGGGAGGAACCCGAGTTCAGACCACGCACCTTCTATCCGGGACTTGATCCGGGTGGTTTTGGGGTGAATCGTTAGCGATAACTTGAGCCGGACCGATGCAGCACAAGGAACAAAGAGGTGGCACCGGCACTTTTGGAGCTTGCTATCGCGCCGGCGGCCGACCCATTGAGACCCATTGCCCCATTGCTCCCCACGTTCCCCGCTCTCAACGGCCCTCAGTGCACTCAGTGCACCGGCGGATTATATTTCCGAGCCATCGTTCTTTGTTTTGGAAAGCTTCTAATTTAAGGGGCAAAACGAATTCTCAAGAAGTCCGGTCTTGCTTTCACATTCGCGAGCTTGGAAAACTTCTGGGGGTAAAGCGGGAACTGAGGGGAATTGATATCACGTCGGTCCTGGCGCGACGAGAGCGCATACACGCAGGTTCGCCTCTTCCGCCCCCTGGCAGTCGCTGGTCATCCGATCAATTCGTCAACCGGCGGACTCATTCGCAGCGCAACGCCCCTCCCACTGGATCCAAGCTATGCGCCCGCATCTCAAACGCTCGTTGTTCTAGAGAAGACCACCTTGCCAAGCACCTTCTTCGACTTTGACGCAGCGCGCAACCCCGGATCGCGGACGGACGAATCGCAGCACCAAGACCGTCGACCTCGCGAGGGATCGGACGAAGCAGCCGCTCAAACGTGCCTGAGATCCATCAAGATGGCACCCATTACATCCCCACATGCTTCAACGCCTCGCGTATTGCATGTCTCGAACCTAACACGCAACGCGATCACCATCGCCCTTCGCGCGCTGCTTCCAACATCCTCGTCGCCGTCTTCGGCGCGCGCCGTGGCGCTCGGTGGCCTACTTTTACCGGCGTCGAGTAGTCCAGACAAGGTCGGCACTGAACCTCTATTTCCCGATGAGAGCGAGATCGTCGTACCCGCCAAGTCCTTGCGTATTCTGACACACTCAAAACTCGTCGCCAAGTCTCTTCAAGTCGCACTGTTTCCCTCGGATGACGAATTCTCGCCCAGAGACAATACCGAACAAGACAGTTCAGCTTTGAGGATCCCGCATCGAGGCCAGGCCATCAACTTGAAATGGGGCAGGTGGGGACCGAGATCGCGATTACTAAAGAGATCTGCCGAGGATAAGTGGTTGGTCTATCAAAGTGTAAGCTGCATTTGATCTCGGCTCTTCCCCAGCTCTGAAGGTATTGACTAGCATACCCTTCGACCCTCTCATCAGCGCCTGTCCAAGCACGAACACCTTCTCACCATTGTCGATCGTTTCCCAACTTCTTCATGGATGTCGCTTGTTCCCGACGAGGCGCATCTTTGCTCGCTCTACCTTCCCGGAACCCACCAATCCCTGGCTTTCTACGGTGGTCCCATCTCGACTTGTCAATCCCGCTCCCATCCCTTGACCGATTCCCTCGAGAATGGATGTCGATTCATCGATTTCCGATTCAAGCTAACCAAGGAAAGTACGTTGGTCGCTTTCCACGGCATCCAGAATCAAGTCACGACTGCGATCGAAGCGTTCGACATCCTGTACGCTTTCATCCAACGACATCCGGCCGAAACGATCATTGTCTCAGTTAAGCAGGAGAACAGGGCTAGAGGTTTTGCGAACGTGTTGATGGACTTGCTGTATCAGAGAACGGATCTTTGGTACACTAACGATCGGTGGCCTACGATGGGAGAGGCGAGGGGACGATTGGTCTTGTTTTGTCGGTTCGACTTCAATCATGAGAGTGAGTTGGCATTGTGACTCCGTGGAGCGCCGTCTACAGTCGAGCTGATGAATCGACTTTTTTTGGCACCGAGAAGAAGGACTTCATCCCATCCGATGGCCTCACAACTTGGACAGACCTTTCCTCACGCCCATCTCGGATCCTTTCCCACCGCTGGAAGCGACATACCAGCCCACCGCTGTGATCCAGGATTGGTACTCGATTGGATCATTCCTCAAGATACCCGAAAAGACGAGATTGGTCATGACCATGTTCCACTATCGAAACCGACCCAGCGATGACAAGAGCTCAAAGTCGCCGGAGCGGCGACGCTCATCGCATTCTTCGTCAACGCCAGAGCCTCGCACGTTGAATTACCTCCCTCCGGGTCATCACGACGCCCTCACGCGCATCTCTTTCCTCTCCGCCTCCTCCCTCTTCACCGCCTTCCCATCGATAGTAGCCAAGGGTTTCGGCTTTGGTCCTTCGAACTGGTTCGGATTCCAAGGCGTCAACGCCCGCGTTCTAGACCAGATGTTGAGGAGGGGATTGGAGGACGACTGGAAGTCTCCGACCGGGGAGAGTATGGGAATGATCTGGCTCGTCGACTTTTGGGAGGCTCCTTTGGGATTGATCGAGTTGATGGTCGCTTGGAATGGGCTCTGAGATTTTTTGTAGGATCAGGTGTTGTAGGAAAGGAATGCACGTGTGCAAAATTTCATGTCGCTGAGCGATTGGTAGCCGTGCTCAACAGACCCGTCGGGAGTCGGGAGGTCAACAAATCACTTCAATCGAGGAGTCAGAGCACGTCAGCATATTTGCCTTTGCACATCTAATATCTACCAACGTTCCCTCCGCTGGCTATACTGGCGTGCGGGCCGGGGAGAGCTGGGGGGGGGGGGGCGTTTTTCCGCATCCTAACTGACCAACTTTGGTCCCAGACAATCACCTGAGCCCTTTGTTTGGTTTGATTTAGTACTCAGTACGCTGAAAAACACCCACGAATGAACACATAAATCATACAGGGAGGAAAGTCGTCCTAATAAGTACTTGACCTTTGGCCGACGGATCATGCCAGCTACATGCCATCTGGACTCGCAAAGCTCGAGCTCGGCATAGCAAATTTCTTAAGTTTGATGGGATGTGGATCGGTGATAACGCCTGTAGCAATGCTGCTTCCGCGATAGTTTTTACAGTATTTGCTTGTCAGTTCTTGTGTGAGCTCTTGAGCTTCATATTTGCGTAGTCGATGCACGCCTAGGAAGACTCCGACCACAAAACAGCCGATCGGCACGCTCGGATGAGCTCCCGGTCGCCTCCACGGTAAATGAACGCGTAAAGTCGCGTCGAGACTGCATAGCTGTTCGACGCGTACAGTCAGGACGGCGGTCCCGCGTTCATTCAGACGCGAGGGACTGTAGCAGTTGTTTGTCCTGGCTTGTTTCGGTTCCTTCCGCCAGGGGTCGGACTTCGAAAGGTTTAGCGCGGTCAAGTTGGATTAAGGTTTCAGGTCAATGCAATTGCGAAGACGTCGCCGAGTGCAAGCGGTTGAAGCGCGCTCAGCCCAGCGCTCGGGTCCGGGGACACGACCGTTGAGGAGCATAAAGTTGAGCCCCACCCTCACTCTCCCTCGCCCGCCCTGGAATAAGTAGGCACCCTCATTGCCCGGAAACGGGACGGCCACGACATGTCTCCTCGAACAAAGATGTTTGAAGATGCTCTTGACAGTGGTGGGTATTGTTCGAGGCGTAGACACAGTTCCGGCCACTGGTGACAACTTCATCCGAGGCCCGCGACATCCGTCTGGTCGTTAACGTTACGATTGCGTCATCATTCGCAGACTTCGATCTCATGTCAGCTCCCCAGCGCTCATGTATGGGCTATGTGTGTCCGATTTGTCCTGGGGGACGTATGCCGAAGAGTCGTGCAATTCGGCACGCCAGCACCAAGAAGCATCGGCGGGCCGTCAAGGCCAGGAAGGCCAGTCCAATCTTCAGATCCGGATCCGACAGCTCGCGACTGTCTCGATCCCCACCACTCCCGCGCGGCGACGACGAAATGGACTGGGCGGATATCGAAGAGCCCACGTTTGGTGGAGGAAATGTAGGTCATCGCTTGCAGCAGCGGACGACTCAATGCCGCCGAGCGCAGGGTGACTAACCTTTGTGTGCGTCACTCCCAGGTCGCGCAGCCTGCTCCTGCTTCTGGCCCCTCCGGCCACGACGTGCAACATACTCCCCAACACGATGATTTCGATCTTGAATTTGGTGGCTCCTCTTTCCCTCTCGTACATGACCCAATGCTCGACAATGACGCCGAAGTTGCTTCAAGTTCCCAACCTGTCCCCCACGTCGAAGTTGACGACGACGACGAGGATGAAGAGCCGACGGACCGGCTGCGCAAGCGTAGGCGCACCAAGATCTCCCTGGTTCTCTCGGACAACGAGGGAGGAGAGGACCAGACTTTCCGAGTACGTTACACCGCTGCAGATACTTCAGCCGGGAAATCCTACTGATACCCTAACCAACGCGCATATCCCAATCAGACCATGCATTCTAGGCCCCAGCACTCCACGCCTCATTTCGACGGCCCGAGCAACGTGAGCTGGTGCACATGTGCCCCCCGCGTTGTGCCCCACTCCGCTGACGGCACTCACAATAAACACCCACAGCCCCCAAACGCCGCATCTGGCCAAGATGGCCTATCTGTTTCGGCGGCGACGATCAGCGCTCGGTTGGATAGTTTGGAAATGAAGCTTGCCCAACTGATTGACCTGCTTCCCAGACTGACCGACCTGCTCACCGGTCCATCTCTGGACGAAATCAGGGTTAGTGGAGATTCTTTCGGTCTCGCTCATAAGATCCTACTGACCGATCTGCGTTCATGACATGACTGCCAGTCCGATGTGGGGTCAGCTGCCAAAATCTTCGTTTCCACTCCGTTCCTCTGCAAGCACCTCGGTGCTGCACCTATGTTCGCGGTAGGTGGACTACGTTATCGGTTGTGCTGGGTTGTGCAATGACTCAGAATGCCCTACACTACCTGTAGACTGCACTACGCAAGGGCGGGTTGGTATCAGAAAGCGACGTCAAGCATCGCGCTTTCTACAAGAGTCTAATGCGCTACCTTCCAAGTGCGCTCATGCAAGGCCGAACCGAACTCGAAGATCATGTAAGCGGCGTGGTAAACCGTCTGAGCATCCCTGGGGTTTGTATTGACATCAGCCTTGCACGCCGCCGTGCCATGCCCTTTGACTGCCGGCTCGTGCTCAGATCAAGCGGGCTCAAAGCAACTCGGATTTGTTGGGACCGACAATGAGGTCATGGTACAGGACCCTGGATGTCGTTATCACCGACGAGCATGTGTGCTGGTGGCGCGTGTTGGTGCGTGTCTTGGAGTGACACACCGCTTTCTCCCTACTTAACTTCAGCTTAGTAACCCCGCCCTTGTGCACGTCTCAGTGGCAAGTCGTCAAGCAACGGGACACCGAAGCCGATCATACGGAGGCCGAACCTCACAAGACGGTCAACGTAGCCAAATCCAAGCCGAACAGCTTCGCGGAAAAAATGAATCGCGTTTCAACCATCCTCGCGGAAGTAGCAACCGAAGCATACCTTGACGGCGAGTACAAGCTCGGGCAGGAGTTTGATCATCAACGGTGAGTGACTCGTTGGTCAATCAAAATCAGGTACCTGCATTCACGAGTTAGATGAACTGACGCTGCGCCTCCGCTCGACGCTTGCGATAGTTTTTTGACGGATCAGTTTGTCCCGGTCATGCCTCGTCATGCTGGGATCAACACTTCGCGACCCGGCAGTCCTCAAGGCTCGATCCAGATGGCCTGTTTGGAGGTTGTTGAAAATCCCGACCACGAGATCAACTTCGCCTTGTTGGTGGAGGTGAGTCGTCCTCGTCGGACACGCATCACCCAAATCGAGACTGACGCGACATGGCGGTTTGGCATAGGGTTGTGTCCAAGCTGAAAAAGTGGCCGCTAAGAAGCCGAACTCTAAGAAGAAAAAGAAGAATGGGGACTAGAGCTGGCAGCAGCTTGATTGGGAGTTGGTGGCTCGTCGTCATGCACGCGGGCTGCGCATGCATGAGGACGGAAGTTGCGCTTGCTTGATTGGGTATTCGTCCGCCCGGGGTATATGTAAATGAGTGTTACTTGTGCAAGATGCTTGCAATGTATATGGGAACCATGAATGAGGTCTACAGCCCTACAGTACACTGACAACCTTTTTGTGCTTGATCATAGACCCTGGCTTGGAAGGGAATAGTGTTGGGGCTTGGACCATTTGTCGGGCGGACACCTTGTGTGAGGGTGAAAATGACGGCTCGACGTGTCCGCACGTTCGTTTTTACGATCAACTTGGGAGGGTAAAACCCGAGCCGAGAGCGAACTGCCGACCAAAGAGCGGCGCTTGGAGACTTCAAGGGCTACGTCTCGAGGACTGCCAAGTACGAATCGGAAGTAGCTTTCAATCGTTAGCAGGCCGATAGGTCTGTATGACGACCCCGAAGCAACCGTGAGGAGCTAGATATACCACTCGTCGAGACCAAGAGTGATTCCGAAACCCGTCGACTTGGTGAACAAACGAACGAGGAGGGTGGCGCTGCGCAGAAGGCCGGGGACGCAAGTAAAGGACAGAATCCCGAGACCGAAGACGGACAAGGTTGATCAGACCACACTTTGGTCAATAGCGTAATGTTTCCTCTGCCTTTGGGATAGCTAAACAGCATGACTTGAGTTCTCCCTTCCGTCGGACCAGACTCAGACGACTCCTTTCTCTCCACATTTTCGCACTGCGCTGTTACATGATCACGCGCCTCTAGGATAGGGAGGAGGTGCTGAGACATGGTGCCACCAAAAACTTGGTCACGCTGCATTTCATTTCCTCTTTTTCACACGGCCGGACCGTCGGCCTTCATTCCCGCCGCGACCAAGTTTCATAGTCCGTGCAGAGACAGCACTATTAGCTACGCTCGACCCCCGGCGCTTTTGCCCATTTCCGCCGCGGGGTACTACCGGGTACTGCTTGGGGAGTCCGGCGGCGGTGCGAGCACACAACGCTCAAATTGGCAAAAGAAAGGAATTATAGCGTCGTGAATATGAGCCAATGATGCCTCATTTGGACACACATGTACGCAAAGCTGCTGGAGCGAAGTCACCATCCGCTGTCCCCGGCACGAATCGAACCCCTTTCCTAAGCCGCCAGAATCGGTGCGAACACCAACCAACCACATCTCGGCTAACATGTGATTCTCATTACAAAACCGACGAGTCCTGACCAGAAACTCTCCATTGAAAAGGAAAGGAACAAGCTTGCCGGAAAATAAGACTGCATTGCAAACGAGAACCCTCGATCATTTCCATTGGTGCAAAAGAGGTCGACCAAGTTCGATCCCCTTTTTTCCGCGAACGATGATCGAAGACGGAACTTGTCAGGGGAATGAGCAATCGTTCGCTTCTTCGTCCCAGACCAACGAAGACGAAAACTTCCTTCCTCTTGCCCACAAAGTCGACATCAACGCACCCCAACACTCCACATTCCTCGCCTCGGCATACTCTTCACCCATGAGGCCTGAGGCCTGAGGCCTCAGCGCGAGACCTCCTCTCTCACTTGGGAGGAGGGTGGCAATCGTAATCAGGTGATTTGAGGCACAAACGGTTGTAGCAATCCATATAACTTCCGGAAAGGGGTATTTAGGCGGGGTTTAGTCATCATCTTTCGTGGCTTTTTAGAGATGGAGGAAGCGGTGGCCAAGTTGATCGGGGTGTCGGACCTGGTAGGACTCACTCGCGGTAGAAAGGGTTCGGGCCGCCGTAGGCGACTACGTAGGAGCAGTAATGCTTGCATTCACTATTGAAGGTTTACAAAGCGTGAGATTAAGTGGGCTTGCTCTGGGGTAAAGGTCAGATGACTATGGACTTACCCACAGGTGGCCTTTTCGCGCTTGACGATTTTACGGCGCTTCAACGAGCGGTCTTGGGTGGGGTGACTGCGAAGGGGCCATTGGGATAAGCCTTATCGATACAGACCAAAGGGGCGATAAAGTCAGAGTGCTGGGATAGTGGACATACTCGTTGCTGCCTTGAGCGACGACGAAACCCGTGAAGGCGAGCAAGCCAAGGATGATGAGGGAGCTGCGCATCTTGTTCAGATGATTGATAAAAGGTGGAGGACGCGGTGGGATGAACAAGAAAGAAAAGAAAGAAACGGACGATGAGGCTCATATTTATACCCATCGATTGTGAACTAGCCCCCTCCTCGCTATATTTGCTCACATCTAGAAGGGGGAAGGCAAACTCCTTTATCTGGCCTCTCCCACGCCGCGGGTGCCACGACGCCGAAGCAGGAGGCCCTGGCGTTGTGAAAAAGACCGAGGTCATCGATTTTCAGCACGTTCTCGATAAGAGTGGAGGACGACAGATGGCTCGTGACCTCTCGGGTATTCCAGATAGCCGGTTTGGTATCATTGTTTTCTTTCGCAAGATCCCCCCCCCAACTAAACTCCTCGCGAACCCCGAGCGCCGAGCCCACTCAAGCCTGCGCACCAGCGTCACCTTCCAACGCTTGTCTAACTGACGAACTCATCCCCAACCCAGGCCAGACCATGAGTTCAAACATCTTTTTGGTTGCTTGGATCCCGAATTGGGTGTAGACGGCTCCGATCAGGGCTTCGACGGCTTGGCCGCGCGCTTTGTAAAGACCTGTTGGATCGCCTTTTGGTCCTCGCTGACATTGACAGAAAAAAGATGATTAATATTGGTTCAGTATGAAGTGAGATGTAGAGGAAATCGTAGGAGGGAGAGAGAGGTAGGTGCCGCTCCCCTCGGAGCTCCGGCCAAAGCCAGACTCACGACTTCACGCCACCGCAATACACTTTGCAAACCCCATCCTTTCCCGATCGTCGCGCCCAACTGCTTGGTATCGAACCTGATATCGATCGCACTCTGCCTCAACCCGTCATGCATGACCTCTGATCGGGCATCGAGGTGGCTCGCAAGGTGAAGCGTGTAATGCATACGTAGGACCCGACGACCGAGAAAAGCCAGCTTTTCGCCATGCCCTATTTGGGAAGCCGATGGGCTGGAGTGGGACGAGGGTTTGTGTTGACCTGATTTGTGGGTGAGCGCTCTTTGGAGCAGCAGCGGGTCGAGAGGGGAGGCGAGCTCGAGTGGGCTCAAGAGGGTGCTGATGTGCGCCAGCTGCGCGTCCAAGGGTGGGGCGTAGAGCGTTGAACCTGCGGAAAAGGTCGACGAGCTCGAGGAAGAGGTGGAGGATGGTGTAGTGGGGAAGGGCGATGGAGGTGGTGTCGATGTAGAAGTCGAGGCGATCGGCGACGACGAACAACTGCGACACGACGTGCTGAATGAGGTTGCAGCGCTAGGTCTTGTGCGTGCGCCGAGGCATGCTTTGATGCGCGAGCATACGAGAGTAGGAGTAAGGATCACTTGTCAGCTGCTGGTTCATGCAACATCGTACACAAATCGCTGCGCTCGGAAACGCCGTGCTAGAAAAGTCGCGGCCCAGCATCCACAGAGGCGACCGTCCCCCACTCGATCCCCGGATCTACCCTGATTCGTTGACTTACCTCGTGCTGTTGTGCTAGGGGCAGCCGAGGCAAAGAAGCGTGTGCAAGTGGGTGCGGCGGCCATGGTGAATTCGTGCCAGGAGGCGATGCGATGCGAGGTGTCTGAGATCTGAGCCGAGCGGAAGGCATTGTCGCGTGCGCGCGCCCGGGCCAAGCCGCTCGTTGCGAAGTCGGGAATGGTCTGCTTAGCTTTTCAATTCGGTTATAGGATGCGCTCGCCGATCGTAATCGTGCGGTCGATTTCGCCCTTTCGCCCACCCACGCCCTGGCCGCCGGTTTCGTCATCGACTCGGTCATCGACTCGGTCATCGACTCGGTCGGCGACTCGGTGAGCTCGCCTTATCACACGCCCACCCTCATCGCCGATCCAGCAAGACCTCCAACAGCGCACTGCACACCATTCACGCATCAGCCATGGTACCCCGACCACACTCTGCCCACTCGGCACTTTTCCTCCTAGTATTGCTTCTCGTCTCACTCGCTATAGCAACCCCGATCGTCGAACGTGCCGCGCGAGCGAACTCGACCGTTGCAGCCTCGAACGGCGCATCACAGACCGCATTCAAGGTCCAGGTCCAGGTCGATCCAGAACAGGACAACAAAGTACCCAGTAAGTTCCGATCGTTCAAACTTCGAAAACCATGCGGTTCTGACAACCCAGTTCGCTCTGCCTCGCTACGCCAACACCACGCCACACGCCCCACCCCACCCCACGTGATGATGACCTCAATCCACTCATCCCAGTCCGCCTCGCCGTCATGTCCAAATGCCCCGATGCCGAACTGTGCGAATCCGTCTTTGATCGCGTCCTCGACAAAGTCGGCACCTTGGTCGACATCAAGCTCCTCTACATCGGCGATACCGAATACGGCAAGGTCAAATGCAAACATGGGCCAAGCGAGTGTACGGGCAATATCCAGCAATTGTGTGCGGAAAAGTATTGGCAAGGTGTGGATGGGAGTGTCAATCCTTGGGCGACGTGGTGGAACGTGAGTGATACTCTCGGGGTGAACGAGGATCACGATACGGTGATCTGACCTGCCCCCTCTATCTTCTCCAGTTCGTCCAATGTCAAAATTACAACGGACTCCCACGCATCGGCACCGATCGACTCGCTCAATCCTGCGCTTCCGTCGTAGGCAAAACGTGGTCCGGCGACGTGGAGGAATGTGCCAATTCATCCGAGGGAACGCAACTCTTGCGCGACTCGTTCAAGGCTACGAAAGCTTTGCAGTTGGTCAAGAGCTGTTCGATCGTGATCGATGGCAAGTTGGTGTGCGTTAGGGATGGGAGATGGATCGATTGCGAGGAGGGGCACGAGGTCGGCGACTTTGTGAATTTGGTCAACAAGGCTTGGAAGAGGTTGAATGAGAGGGAGGAGAGTTCGGGATCTGCGCTGGAGGGAACGTTCTGAAGGACAGAAGGCTGCGTGGGATAAGCGTGTGTTGAGGGGAATATATGTAGTATTGTAAACGCGCTTTCTGGCTCAAGATGCAGCTCGACATCGGATGCATAGTGGAAAATTATTTCATCGGGGCGACACGAAACAGATCAGGGCTTGGCGCGAGGATTAGAATCGTCAGATTCGTCACTCGGAGTGTTGGCGTGCCTCGCGATACGAAGGTAATCCAAAACTCGACAGGGGCTTGGAGGTTGCGTCGGAAGAGCGTGTGAACTGTGATAAACCCGATCTCGATATCGAGGATGGTCGTGCGCCACCGGCGAGAGCTCTTTCGGATGCCAGCTCGGTCACATGGGATGAAACTCCGAGTGAAACGGAATCCCCTGAAATTCATTCCCTACGCATGTGATCTCTTATGTTAGACCTCCTGTCGGTCACATGACTACTGCTGTCAGGAGTCTGGATACTCGGAGACGTCAGATCCGCTCTCGGCTGAATTCTCACGCGGAAAGGAGATTGCCGAGTTGACACCTGACCGAGTCCGGTCCGAGTCATCATAGATGGCGTCAGCAAATGCAGTGTTACTGATAGATCGCATTCTCGCTTGTACAGTCCTCGTGACTTTGTCACGGGGTCTTGCCGCAACAGCCAACAGCCCTGATCGCGATCACGCCTGCCCCGCGGCGGACACTCCTTTCTCCTCCTCGTTGTCCGTTGCGAGTGGAACGGCTCGTCCCGCCGACATGTGGATGAGGAAGGCGGTGTGGAATGGAGGCAAATCTGTGGGGGTAAGGTCACCTGCTCAAATTTAACAGTACAGGTGAGAAGCTGATGATGAATGCTCGCATACATTTTTGGAGAAGCTGGAGTGATTCAGAAGCGCATGCAGTGGACGAGTTCATGCATGTAGGGGGCAGGAGGAGTTCAATACACAACTTGAAGGCGCCACTGGCACTCGGAGGTTCAAAGTTTTTGGGACGCCGTGTCGCCAAGGTAGTTCATTCACGCCTGGTGTCCTCGTTATATCCGATCACTTTGTCGTTGGAGAGCAATAACTGGTCCCGGCGAGATGAGCAAAATTTTGATTCCCCCTTGTGCAGTGGTTAGGCCGCCGAGCTGTCCGGCGGGCGTGCAGCAGCCCGCACTGGGCTCGAGTGCCCAAAGAGGTCTAAAGAGGTTCGTGCTTTCGAGTGGGGCCCTTCGGGAACGAGAGGAGGCGCCCGCTTGTTCGCATTCGTCTTGGATCTACTCCCACTACCCACGAAACATACTTCAGCACCTGGTGATTGATAGTTGACCCTCATCATGGAGTGAGTCCATCTGCCTGCACGTCAAGCTACTTCGATGTGATACTGGGCACAGTGGAAAGGCTGACCTGCGCCCCGCCGCCCCCCCCCCTCTCTGCGTTCGGTCGATTGATAGTTGGTTCGCTGGAACGCCACGCTCCCAAACACTCACCACCACCACCGCCAACTCCAACATGCTCGCGTCGGAATCATCGGTGAACAGCCAGGATGCGACGACCACTCATCCTTCTGGCCTGGCCAGTTCGAACGCGTTGAACGACGGTCACGGTGACGCACCTCCCGCCACGCTCGCGTCGGCTTCGGCCTTGGAGTCGACGGGCGAACAGCAGCAGCAGCAGCAACATCATCAATACGAACACGATCCTCACACACCTTCGGTGACATCCGCACCTGTCGCCCCCGTAACGCTTGAACAGGAGATCACCAACGTCATGGCCGGCTTTGGCAGCTTCTGGGGCAAGGTTAGGAAGCAGGTAAGAGCCCCACTGAGAGCTTGTTCGAGTGGTGATTACTACAGCGAACGAAAACTGATTCCTACGAGACTCTCCCCAACTACAGTCCGTCAATGCACTCGCTCAAGCCGAGAAGCAAATCGAAACCGCGCGCAAGGACCTCACCCCCCTCGTATCCAAAGCCCGCGCCAACCTCGACCATTTGGGCGAAACGACACGAGCCGAATTGAATAGGTTGACCGAGGAAGCTTCGACGAGCGTCGCGGCTTCGGGCCACGGAACTGCTGGGTCGAGAGGATCGGCGATCGTTATTGGGACGGATGGAATGCCCATCATGCTTGATCAGATTCCCGAGGTCCCGGCGCAGAATGAGGTCAAGAGGGACCTCAAGGGCAAAGGGGTCGATCGGGGAGAGGAAGCCGAGACGACGAGCGATGGGAACCAGGGTCAGGCTGCCTCATCGGAACGCTCGGGCGATGCAACGACAGCGGCTGTGCCGTCGGCGGATGCGATCGCCGCTTCGGCTACAGCTTTCTTTTCCAAGATGCAAAACCAACTCGCCTCGAGTCCCAACCTGCAAGGCCTTTCCAAGAACTTGACGACCCTGCAAGAGTCTGTCTCGACGAACCTGTCCTCCTTGCCCACTTCGTTGCAAACCAACATGCAACAACTACAAACTCAATTCGCGCACCAGATCGACCTCGCCGATACGCAAAAGACCGCGGGCGATTACTTGCACAAGAGCGAGTCATGGTTGAGCGGGTTGGGAAACGAGGTCTCGCGCTTCGCCAAGGAGGCGATCCAGATCGTCCCTCCGAGTGGGTCCGATGAAGCGGCCATGTCGTCCAATCGGCAAAGGAAGCGTGACGAGCGCATGAGGAGGGCAGAGCAGGTCGCTGGTGGGAGGAGGGAAACGCACCTCATGAGTTTGAGGACGGACCCCTCCTTGTTGTTGGAAGATCCAGCGCAGGCCCCCCTCCCAGGTGCCGAAGAAGCGGATCTGTCCAAGAGCATCTCGGCGGCGGACCCGGATCCGAGACAAGCCTATGCTCGATTCTTGCAGTCCATTGAAGATCAAGGAGGTTTTGAAGCGGACGAGTACAAGGCTCGGATTAGGAACGAGATCGAAGAGGCAGGGGAAGGCCTCGAAGGGACGCTGAGGTTGCTGGTGCCTTCCCGGTTGGACCCGGAGACGTTCTGGGCGAGGTACTTTTTCAGGGTCGCGCAGATCGACGAGGATGAGAAGAGGAGGAGACAAGTCCTGCAAGGTCCGTCTTTTCGCTGGGCACACCCGCTTCTTTGTACACTGACTTATGTAAGCGCTTGTGACGGCACAGGTGCCGAATCAAACGAAGACGACTTCTCGTGGGATATGGAGGATGAGGAAGATGAAGAGACGGCAGATCAAAGTCGTGCATCGGCATCGCCCCCGGCGCCAGTGGCGACAGCGACGTCTCGTTTGACCGATACACCTTCACCTGCTACGCCTCGCCCCGACTCGGGAGAAAGCATGCCCAAGGCAGAGGCCAAGCCGACCTTGTCTGCTCAGCCGAACACCCTTTTGTCTCGTGCTTCGAGCGTCAGCGCTGGGAGTGATTGGGGTCTCGATTCAGGGACGATGGAAGAGGCTGAAGCAGGGGACGATCAAGGGCCGACACCACCTCGCCACGCTCAGCCAGCCAACCTCATCGACACGCAGAAGACGACCTCTCCGGACCTCGCCGGACCGAATGCGACCTCGCCCCGAGCGAGCAGCGATGGAACTGCGGGCAGCTTCGATGTCGTTGGATTGAATAGTGGGACGCCGAGTGAGGGCGGTGTAGAGGCGGTCGAGGTTGAGACGCCCGAGGATGTGCTGCCGAACCCGAGGACCAAAGTGCCTTTGGGGGAGGAGAAGAAGGCTTCCGGCGAGCCTGATTCGGATGAGGATTCCGACTGGGAGTAAGGTGACCAGAGGGGTTATCCGCATCCCATTTGTTCACGTCCGGTTCTTGTACTAAAGGTTTTGATTTCGATCGCTCCGTTTTCGCACCTACCCCTGATTGCGGGGGTGTCTCTTCCTCTTCCCGCCTGCTTGTACCTATCTCCTCTGGGCGTGATCTGTTCTTCAAGATCCAATTCAGTTCCAATATTTCATTGCATTGAATCATTGAACTCGGGTTCCGGGGTGATTCACCATGGTACTGTCATCCGAAGTGGAGAGTCTAAAGCGAACCATGATGATGGCTGGGGTGGCAGGTGAAATTGGTCTTTCAGCGAGGACGTGGTTCGCTATCCGAGCGGTGCAGAAGAGGATCGAAATGTTACGCATGATGTCCTTGCCTTGAGTGTCTTGAACCTTGTTTTGAAGATCGCTGCAGTTTCGGTCGAGGTGGATGACGCGCTGTGGGCGGGGCGGGGCGCACCTCCGCGCAAACTTGCCGAAGTTCAAGGAGGACTCGATGACCGATCTGGAACACGCCTCCTGTTCACCGAACCCGTCCGCTTGGATCGGTGCGTCTGGCGCGAACGGGATTCGAAATAGTGGAACTTTAGTCGAACGAGTTTAAACATCTCACTCCCTCAACTGTGGTGCATGATTTACACTTTTCCAAAGCCTGTCAACAGTGTTTGGGCAGAAGAAAAACACGACCCACTGACGACAAAAGCTAACAGCCCCAAACTGCTCACGAAGTCATCTCAAGAACAGGAAAGAAAACAAATTTCATTGATACACACACGTAATCAGACGCACATGCACACAACTTATCTGTGAGCAGCTAGACACATTATGGGTGAAGTGCCTCAATCGAAAGCAATGAGCTCCTCAAGATGACGATGAGTGAGGTCCGGACAACGCTACGACGAGCACACTCAGGTTATCGGAGGAAAAGTTTCTGAAAATCAAAATTGGACGGATAAGTTGAACGGCTTTATTCGACAAGAAAATAGTACAAGCGCTTACTGAAGTGCGTAATCGAGCAAAGCCTTGGAGGCCTCTTGCGGATCCGAGAGCCCTCGAATGGTATCGACTGCTTCTTGATCTTGGCAGACATCCCACAACTGCAACAATGCGATGGCGATTTGGCAAGTCAGCGTTCGCCCCGACTCGCGTACGCTCTTCGCAGAACTGACCCCATCACACGCCACGATCAAAAAGTCGTCGTCGGGGCCCAACGTTGTCTCGGTCGTGTAAGGCGAGCCTACGACGAACTCTTTCATTGATGAATCGCCGAGCGATCGAGTGACGGCCAGTACGCCTGGCGATGAGTGATGTAGTGCACATCGTGATTAGCTTGAGTAGCTGAGAAATGGCGGTGGTGTTATTGGGACTCACCATTGACTCGGTTATTCATCACAAACCCTCCAGCGTCCGTAATTCGTTTCGCCTCTTTGGCATCCGACCCTTTGTGGTCGTAAGTCAACCGAACTGCCTTGCCCTTGCGGCTGTCCGGGAAGAAACGAGGTAGTAGTCGTGGGTGAGCTTCTCGCTCTCTTGATTACCACCCTGGAAGATCATACTTACGACAAGACAGCTCGGGCATCTCCAACATTAGCCGTATACAGCGTGCGCTTGGCGGCCTTCTTGACATCGGCCGGTCCTTTGATCTCGACGTGAGGAGTTTCGATTCCAGACGATGCCGGCCCGGGTGAGTACATTTCGGCGGCGTCGCCCGACTTGCCGTTTAGCACGGCCTTTATCTTGTTCTTGATATCTTCACGTCGCCCGCCACTTGGGCGGTCAGCGGCGGCAGTCGACATGCGCTCAAGTTCGTTGCTGTTGTTCTTCTCTTCCCCCTGCTGTGCCGCTCTCAAGGCTCCATCGGCGTCGTCGACGAGCTTTCCCTGCTTGACCTCGATCGCCTGTCCCACGCCTGCGGCCTCTCCGACGGCGTTTCCATCTTCGTCTTCAAGTCGTAGGAACGCGACCACGGCCGTGCAGCCCGAGTGTGTTCCGTCGGCCGCGGCGAGCTGGCTCAGTTTGGTGTCGACGCGGTGGAACGTTGTGTTGAGAAGATCTGGGACTGGTGTTGCTGGAGCTGTTCTCAAAGACTCGAGCAGGTGCTAGTGGGCAAGCTTCCATCAGCTCTCGCACCGTTCATTGAAGACATCAGAGCCGCAAGTCTCACCTCGTGAAAGTGCTCGCCGCACCACTCTGCGGCATGTTTGCCCGCATGTCCATCAAACACGGCAAAGTAGCCCTGACCTCGGATCCCCGCAAAATCGTAGATGAAGGAGTGCGCGCTGTTGGGGACAGATCGGACGTTCAAGGTCAGTCGGTCTCCTGAGACTTGAACGGGCCGAGAGTCGGCAGGCTCACTCTTCCATACTCCGACGGCACTTCTTATTTCGGTCGACGCTGACCCCGACCTTGAAGTCCGTTTCTTGGGCTCGCGGTTCGGGGTGTTGGTTTAGGGCCTGTACCAAACAAGAGGATCCCGTGTGTCAGACGCTAGGTCCGGTCGGGCGTCACCTGACCCCCACACACGGTCACAGATCGCGGCGCGCTGCATCGGTGCCCAAGTGAACGACTGACCCCAAAGGTTTCAGCCCCTTTGGCCTGCGTCTCTTCCCGTGTCTTTGCATCTGGTACGGTCATGCCGGGTTTGGGTGCCCTCGCGTTCACGGCCGCAATATCGAGTGAGAGGTTCGGCGGTGAGGGGGACGAGGTCGAAGCTTGGGCCGTGTCGGGGCTATCAGAAACGGGTTCCGGGTTTCCTGTGCAGCCGTATGAATGAGACTGGTCAGCTGCGCCCATTCGGAATCGTGCGCGGTCGAGGCGTGGTCGGGCAAGAGCATAGAGGGTTGAGGAGGCTCGTAGGACGACGCCCGCTCCCGGGTCCAGACGAGCAGCTTGGTGCCCGGGGTCGAGCAGGCGTCTCAGGCCTCGATGGTTCGAGAACAAAGCGATTCCAATTGAGCTCGAATCAGCTAAGCAGCATGCGTAGAGCGAGGCTGGTGATGGCGGATTGGGCGAGGCGAGTGATGAATGACGTCGACGGCCATTCAAGTGCATCCCGGTGCGGTCGCGTGACGGACGGGAAACAACGATCTGCAATCGAGGACGATAGCGCGGACGAGGAGCAACAATGCAACCCACCTGGTTGACTCATCAATTGTGAGTCGATGCACGTCGAGTTGACGAGTGGCTTGGTTGCGGTACTGGAGCGGTCGGATGACGAATCGCGTTGGGCTGAGCGTACACTGTACAGTGTGGAGCTGCTGACACGGGCCCGGACACAAAAGACATGGCAAGATGTGATGATGGGGTCAGCGACTGCAACTCGATCGGTCTGACCTAATGCTGACGGCTACCGACCTTGCTGCGTGATGTGCCAGTAAGCGAGGAAGGACTCGGATGTGGTCCGAATGAAGGCAGCACCCCGAGGCCCAAGCCCGGTCCACATCAGATCGGACTCGCGCCGTGCAAAGGCCGTGCAGCACCGGCGTGACGTATCGCGAAGCTATTATATAATCGTGCTTTCCGCTGATCATCTTCTTTCACGTTGAACAATAGTGGTCTTGTGTTTTCTCAACATGCAATCTCTCACCCTACCCTTAAGACTTGCTACATATGAGCGATGGGGGTCCGGCGTGTGCTTTGTTTTGCCCCTGCTATACAACGACGTCATCGAGCGACAATAGATTCTCACTTCCAGCCAGCTCCATGATCGGCTGATGAAGTGCCCGCCCCCAACGCCTCCTGACTCTGAGTCTATGCCGACCGCTCGGCTTGGCAGTTCTCAGCAGACTAGCAATGTGGCGACTATGAAGTGGGATTCCGACCCACTCCTTGCCTTCAATTTCGAGTATATATTGTCATGTTCGCAACCTACACCCGAAAGACAGTCGGCAATAGCGGCCTTCTCAGTAGTTTTGAACTCTTCACCGGCCTTCAGGTGACGGAACGCCACGCAAGCAGCCTATTGGGGCTTCGGGCATGCTGCCGCTCTGGATCGGTGGAGTACGACCAATGTACCTTATCTTAGATCTCTCTCGCTCTGGACCGCATCTCACGACTGCCCGAGACCTGCGTGCCTTAGAAGGAAAGCGCAAAGGCAGGCCACACAAATCTGCAAGAGGAACGGTGTTGGATTTAAAAGCATCTGAATGATCCTGAATCGAAAATGAAAAGAAAAAAATAAACATGGTGAACTGTCGCCTTGAGGATGGACTAGCCTTCCGGCCCACCGGATCACACTCTTGTGTCGACCGCGCATGTTCTGCAGTGACCACTTCCGACCAGATAATCTCGCTGCCATTCGATTAGTCTTTGGTTGAAGTCGGTGTGAACCCCGGCTGAGCTACCCCACGTCACCCGATGGATACTCTGGGTAAGAAGGATTACCAAGTAATCCGATGTTCCCCTGGAATGCCTGAGAGCGGCAGCCCAAGTATCAGATGGGCCGGCGGCGGCGACGGAAACGCACGAACTAACGCGATGGCGAAGGCTGCTATGTCTGCTGATGCCTGCTCGCCGAGTTAGACTTCGCAGACGCATACATAGCTCAAAACCTCCCGAGTTAGGTGTCTGACCTTTACTCCTTTATGTGTCTGATGCTCGGGGCGCAGGGGTCCCTGATCAAGCTTCGGTCATGTTTGCTGCGCAGCCGGCGCGCTTGAGCGACGACCATAGGGACGTGAAGACATCACAGGAGGCGCAAATTGTGATGAACAATTGCTTGGAAGTGTTTCGTGCAACCTGAGATACCACCCGGTTTGGAGCGAGCATATGTCAAGACACAGATAAATAATTGCAGACAGTCCAAGGCAAACACCAGTACCCTGTCAAACTATGACCACACCGGATATCATAAGATAAACACCCGTAATACATATCGTAACTTATGCACCGTATTTCACAAAATGTAGATGAAGTCGAGGTTCTCCCTGTCGGTCATGTCGAGGAGTGCGTCCTCGAGACGATCGTCGATTTTCATCAGAAGGGGAGTTGAAACGGAATTGAATAGTAGTGGGGCGCGTTGTTGAACTTGAATCCGATCCGAACGGGAATGTTGCCGATGGCAGCGGAGGTAGTGAATGAAGTGAAGCCGTACGAGTGAAAGGGAAAGGGACCCGCCCTTGACGAGGGAAAAGGAACGGCCTTGACGAGACAGTAGTCAGGGCTTCGACCTGGTGGCCGCACCGAGAAGTAAAGCTCACGTACTTCGCACACGCCTTGGTTTCGTCTGCAGTGTTGGAGCTCACCCAGCTGCTGAGCAATGAATTTCGTCAAAAACGAATTTCGTCAAGAGATGATGTAGTTAGACAACATGGTGAGCAGATCGGTGCTCCTCGGTGTGAAGGAGCGTATATAATGGCGTGCAGCTGATGAAGATTGGGACTATGAACCCAGTAATGATGACAGACTTCATCTCGAAGCCGACGCTAACCACGAGACAAGCAGGCGACACTCCTTACTGCTCCACTTCCTGCAAGACAGGGGCCGCAGACGGCGCGACTCCGTCGATGCCGGTCATCTGCCAATACTTTCAATCGGATACGTCCCTGGATAGGGGTCTTGTGCAGTGTCACGTGGGAGTAAATATGTTGCTACCCGCGATGATGTTCCTTGGGACTAGCTGCATTACTCCAAGAAGAGGAGTCGTGGCGGTCGGCACTCTCCCGGCTGCGGCTAGTACGGCGTCAGGGGCCGCTTTCACTCGCCGTCTCGCATCAGCGGCTCTGCGAGTATGAATCGCCTGAAGCTCATCTTTGCCCTTCTCTCCCTCCGTCCCATTGCATCTGTCAATCACTTGTCCAGATCCACTGCTCCTACCTCAATGCACTTCAAGAACCTCGCCGTCCTCGTCTCCTCCCTGGTCGCCTTGGGTATGGGGGTACCCACCCGCCTTGGTGAAAATAGGGGAGTGGTGTCTCTCGACAGTCACAAATGACAGCGTGGCCCTCTGAACTGCACATGTTGCTCTCACAGTCTGGCGGATCCCTTGACCAAACATTCTCACATCAAAGAAAGCCATCATCGAGTCAAGTGCCAGTCAGTCAGAATACATCTCGATCGAGTCTGGTACGCTGTAGTGGAAGGAAGATACTGACGTACTATTGCTGGAGTACGTTTCTCAGAACATGCCTCGTCAGATGTGATAAGAATGGATGGGGGTGAGCGCCTGAGCACACGCTGTGTGCTCGAGTGCTACTTGCTACTTCGCAAAAATAATGTTCGTTAAACACCGCACAGACCCATTGTCTGCAAAATTTACTGCCACCTCAAGCACTGCCGGAAGCATTGACGCGCAAGGTTCAAACCGGTTCAATATTCTTGCGGTTTCACGTGGAAACCATGCCTATCTAAGATCCCGCACGCTTCCGTGCTCGACCCCAGCTTTGAGCGACGAGTAAACCTCTGTAGTCGTGTGGGGTAAGCGCTTGCTTGCCCCTTCCCCAGCCCCCCCACCCCCCATCCCCTCTCTAGATATATTAGATGTTGAATAGAGGTTGACATCAAATTGAAATGCAGAAACTTCGGTCATCGTGCCTACAGCGCCATTGGCGAAATGACACCCTCAGGAATTCGCGGTTTTCCGCTTAATCATGGTAACCGTCCTTCTGGGCGGTTCGATACGCAATCTACGAATTCTTTCTCCCGCAAATGTGCTTCATTAAGGCAAAAAATCAAGAGACCGGGTTGTATGGTTCAGGTTTTTACCTACGTATGCGCGGAAGAGTGCTGTGCGACCGTTGGGCGCCGAGCCATTGGCTTCAGCACAGCCTCCTGACTGGACTCGAACGAGACCTATCACGCGCCAGCACTTGGCCAATGGTTGCAGCCCTTCTGCTTGCTTGTTGAATGAAGGGTTTCAACCCACCTGCATACGTACCCACAAGTAGATAAGTAGGTAAACGATCTCGTCCGAGTCGAAGCCACACGAGGTCTTGAACGTCATTCTCGAAGCTTGACAAAACCGCTCGCCTCCCAATCCAAAAAGACGTGCGAAGCAACCCAGGTGCGGAATCGGAATCAAGAGGGGAACGGCCTGCGGTAACTTGGTCCGCAGGTTGCTACGCCTTCTACATATTAAGTGGATCAGTCGTCTGCGAAATGTGGTACTCGGGATCCCGTCGTGTGCAGCAAAGTCGGAAATGAGATGGGACTCCTGATCTTGTCGGCTGCATTAGGGTACTCGGGTCACGCGGGCGTCGGCTAATTCGGTGGTCTTGGAAATCGGGCTGGAGTCGCTTAGTCGGGAAGCGCAGATTCGGCTGACTCGGCCTAGCGTCACATGAGCGGATAAAAGTTCAGAGCAAGGGACCGTGTGACAGGAGCAAGGAATGGCGTGATCAGGACGAAGTATGGCGTGATCAGAAGGCCAAGTGTCGGAAAAGAGGAGGAAGCTGGCCGGAGGGATTGGAGTGTCCTGGCGTTGGAGGGAAGACTCGCTTCTTGTTCGGAGATAGACCACTAGACTAGACACGACTCAGACCGACTTTGGAGGGAGGCGACTTTCGGAGGGGAGGACCACTTGGAAGAGGACATTTCTGCGAATCTATCATTCTCGGTTTCATTATCTGCGTGTTTCTCGGTTTCGGCATCTCGGTCTCTGCGCTTCGATAGCAATCGCCCCCCCCTTTCTCTGATCGTCCGCTCACTATTACCATAGAAAGACACCTCGGATGAGCCAGAGCAGATACCCTTTTTGGAGGGCGCCAACTGTGCCGCCACTTCCAACGTTCAGGTGACAGTTCGGTAGCGTCGATTGTGCTTTTGATCACTTCGATGAGGGACAGTCAGGAAAAATGGTTGTATCGTCCTTCACCTGATTATCGTTCCTATTATTGTACTTGGGATTGAGCCTAGCGGCGTGTCATTCACTCCTTAGTCACTTAATCTCCCTACTTTACTAACAACGTCACGACCCAGGGCCCCACTCCCATGGACGTCGACGCCACGACCACTCGCAGGGCTCCTCTCACCCCTCAAGAACGCGAACAACGCCTCAAGAACAACCTCTGCCTTTACTGCGGTGAAGGTGGCCACCAGGTCAGCTCTTGCCCCGCCGCTCCAAGGAAGTATCCAGGACGTCGTGCTGGCAACGCCACTTTCTCCATCACAGATGCCGCTGCCACCTCTAGCAATTCGAAAAACTAGAGCGTCCTCTGCCCTCGTGTACGCATGAGGACATCACACACGCGAACGGCATCACTCGGTCACCTCCTTTACCGGTCTACACCACTCTGGCATCCACACTCGACACACAACCTTTCGATCATCTCGTCCTACCCCTCGACTTCTGCCTGGAATCTCCGGTCTCGGGCTCGGCCCTCATCGACTCGGGTGCGACCTCGTTGTTCATTGACGACTCTTTCGTGTCTCGTCATGGCCTCGTCCGCCGCCCCTACTCGACTCCGATCCCACTCTTTGTCATCGACGGCCGCCCCATCGCGTCCGGCCACGTCACCCACTTCGTTCGCCTCACGATCACGCTCGGAGGACACTCTCAAGTCATTTGTCATGGTCACCAAATTGTTCAATACCCTTCAAGTCCTCCATCCCCCGGTCATTCTTCTTCGATCTTCACCCATCGCTCCCGTGCGCCCTTTCTCTCGTGCACGCGCCTTTCTTCCCGCACGCGCCGTCAAGACTTCGCGCTCGGACCTCCAAGGCGCCTCGGGTCAAAGGGACGGTTCCCCTTCAACGCGACCTCCGGTCTTCCCATCGGCATTGGCACGACTTCCCCTTCGGACCCCTTGTAGTTCCTACACTGGGCTTCCCTCATCCGGCATACACTACATTGCCTTAGCCACTTCTCAACAAAGGAATGGCTCTCCAATAAGGCACAGCCTTTGTTGCGCACGGTACCGCCTTCGGGCAATGGATTCTCCTCTGGTTGTGGTAGACTAGCTCTCTGGTAGATTCTCTCTCTCTCTCTCTTCTTCTTCTTCTTCAGTTGTAATATTCGATCGACAGTGTTCCTACACCTTGTCCGAATCCCATCCTTCCGACGCTCTTCTCGCGCCCTCGCTTCCGAACTCCGCTTCCGAACCGACCTCCTCGTGATCACCTCCTATCATCTCACGCACCAGGCATACAAGTGCTATTGACGTAATACCTTTCACGGTGTGACGTTGGATAGATCTTCGTTACCTCCACTCCTATCATCGTCTCTTCCTCTTCGGACTTGACCCTGACATCATTCAGGCCGATGTCACGCAGTTGGGTACCTACTGGAGCAGAAGGTTCTGACGGCACTGCACACAATTCTCACCGGAAGGGAGGAGATGAGATGAGATGAGATTTAATGCAAGAGAAGGTCAAAGTCTAAGCTACAAAGACTAGAATGGGTTTCACAACGGGCGCGCCGCAGGCGCGGCGCACGGCGGAGGCGCTCTGGGCTTCCTGACCCAGAACACCCCCCAAATGAAAAAGGAGCTCTGGCGACGAGATCTAAGAATAGCCAGGAGATGTGGTGAATTTGTGGTCGTATAATGAGTGTGATTTTTTTGATCAGGACCTGCGTTGGACGCAGTGTCTGGGGGCCAGGTCAGTTCGCGCCGTTGCCTGAGCAGCGCTCTCGATTCCCGTCCTCATCCTCGGTGTCGGTGTCGTCGTCCAAGACATCCCCTGGTAGGTCTTCATTTTGGGTACGAGGGGGTTGTCTTTTAGGTCGCTGTGCTGCATGAAACTCGTCCAGGGTCATTGGTTCTGTCGTTGGGAGCGGGAAGTTGTGCGGTGGGTGAAATAGCTTGAGCCGGTTAGCGTGAAAGCGTCCGGCTACCGGCGAGCTGTCCCCCAGCGACTCGAGCCAGAACGTCACGTGCTCGTCACTGGGGTTCTCCGCGTCGTCCGTGCGTGTAGCAGGAGCCACCACACTGTACGGTCCCAGCCAGTGTGCCTGAAGTTTCCCTCCAATTCGACTTGCCTCAAGCCAAGAGGCATGAACAAGGACGAGGTCGCCTCTCCTGAATGGGCGGTCCCTTTGGTCTTTCGGAATGGCTTTGTTCCAACGTTGGAGTTGGCGGTCCTTGGCCTCCTTCCGGCGTGCTTGGGCGTCCAACATGGTCTGGTACGCAGTCGAGACACGTCCCTCTGCGTCCGCGACCATGCATGCTACCCTCAGTGTCAGGTCGGCCCACGACGTGAGCGCGTGCGCGAGGATCTCGATTGCTTGCTCTTCAGGGGGTGCCCCTTCGGAAGGCATCGACCTCGCGAAGGTGAACATCAGATCCGCTGGTCGATATCCCGTGGCAGGGATGATCCTATTGTTCATCGCGTACACCACCGCTTCAAGTGACTGACACCAGGGTGAGAAGGTAGTGGCGTCGACCGATCCAACTGTGGCACGGGAAATCGCTTGCAGAATGCGTTTGTTGGCTCCTTCCACGGCCCCGTTGGTATGCGGTGCATAGGGCGGGGTAGTGATGCGGAGTATGCCCTTGTCTGCGCAGAACGCCTTGACATTTGCATTCTTGAAATGGGTTCCACCGTCGCTCATCAGGATCCGTGGCGTTCCAAAGGTCTTGATGATCTCAACCAATCCTTCGATGGTGCGTTTTGCTGTGCCTTCTCCTTTGAATTTGAAGGCCCATACATAGCGAGAGAAGAGATCTGTGACCACCAGGACTGATTTGTACTTGTTGGGGCTCACGGGTAAGGAGAAGTAATCCATTGCCAGAAGGTCCATTGGTGCTAGCACCGTGATCGGCCATAACTTGGACCGGATGACTCGTTTCCCGAATTGTTGGCATCGTTCGCAAGTGACAATTACTGGAGCGACCGATTGTGCCATGCCGGGCCAGTAAAACCGTTTAGAGAGGTGTACCACCATTAGATCTCTGCCTGCGTGATTCAGCGCTGTGTGCGTGTCTTCAATCAACTGCTGTCGTTCATGGAGGGGGATGCACTCCCTGGTCTTTTTACCTTGCTTGAAGAGCAGGACATCAGGGGCCCGGATTGCGTAGCGCCTAGCCAGCTGGCGGAGGCGGCCCTTCTCCGAGTGTGATGCCCCGGTGGGGAATTGGAATGTTGTCAAGAATGTCACCAATGGTTGAAACAGGGGGTCGTCCTTGTATCGGGCGTCCAGTGCGGTCAATGCCGTTGCCTGTTCAAGGAACATGACTGGCACGAGGTAGGGAGGCGTACTTGTACATCACCTCATCGCCGGCGGGCAACGCCGATAAGGGTACCTCGCCTTCGATGAAAAGACTAGAGCGTACGATGAGACGTCCGTCGTGATTGGTGTCGAGGTCGCTGGCTGCATAAATCGGTAGGTCCCCCAATCCTCGAATGCGACACGGCGAGCTGTGTCATTGTGTGCGTCCTCGACGTTGTCCTCGGCTTTGTCTTCCTCGTTGTGGGCTTGAATCGCTGACAGAGCTCCCGCTGATGACTGGCGGCGGAGTCGGTACGACTGCAGATTCTTCGTCCAGTATCGAGATCCGTAGCTAGCGATGTAGTCGGCCGGACGAGACGAGCCTAGAGCGTGCGCGAAGACACTGGCAGGATGCAGGTCTGCATCTGCAAGCGACTCGATGCTGAGCTCGACACCTAATGGAAACTTGTCGATTTGACTCTCCCAGAAGTTGAGGGCTGCGGGATCGAGTAACTGGGTCTCGATCTCCGTTTTAATGAGCAGAGCATCCGCCTCCGTGAGGCCATCGTCTGCGTCGCTCCATACTTCCGCAATTCGCAATAGCGCCTTCTCCGTCTGGTGGCCGGAGGTAGGGATCGAGTGCGCGGCGTCCCAGACGGGCGGAACGTAGTCGTCGCTGAAAGGATCGACCGTCATGATGAAGATGGGGTCGCAGCGAAGCGGAGCGAAGGTATGACCTTGAATAGCTCAAAAAAAGGACGCTTTGCTCGGAAAGCGTGGATCCTATTAGTACTCAGAATACTGCAAAGACTGGGAGGCTTGGCATACCTTTGCTTGGAAAGCGTGACACTCGTAATAAGGAGAGCGACCCTGAACGCTGGCACGTTGGGTGGCGAGTGTAGTCTGTTGCGCAAGGTAGCCAAGTAAGCCAACATGCCTAACAAGGACAGTTGTGAGCAGGAGTACCAAAAAGTAGAGACTGATGCGGGGGAGTGATGTACCTTAGCTCTGGGAGCGTGACTCGGTACTTGAGACTCAGCAAGCACCGAACCCTCTCGAGACGTCCTAGTGATTCCGCTGTCTCAATGCCTCAATGCACCTATGCGGGTCAAAATAAGCCTAACAAATATACTACCCCGCGCGCGGCGAGTTTAGGGAGCTTTTTCGAGATTTGGCCCAGGAAAACGTTGGTACAGGGTAGGTGCACCATTCCCCTGCCAACCCCCAGCCCCCGGAGGCAAAACTGGTCACTAATTCGGGCACTTGCTACTTATCCCCGCTAATGGTCCATCTGCCTCAGCACCACGAGTTCCCCCCACTTCCCTCCACCCAAGGCCTTGCAAGCTTGCACCCATCGCTTCAAGCATGGACATCTTACCACACACACCACCACCTCTACAACCTAGCTCAGCATCAAAACGCACTGACAAGACCAAGCGCAAGAAGAGCACGACCGTGAGGAGGAGGAGGAAGAAGGTGACCTGCAGCAACAAGGACACGATCGAGAATGGGGCCACGACGTCGGTGGGAACGGAGGAGGAGGCGAAGACGAAGAAGAAGAGGAGGAGATTATGGACCAAGCGAGTACGGAAAAGGGAGCCATCGTTGTCCCCCGATAGCGAGCTGTTCGACAAGACGTTCGGCTTCAATTTCGGTATTTTCCGCTCTCCAACGAAGAGGCGTCCGAAACGGCAGCCGAGCCCTCCCCCATCACCATCGGTCCAGAGGTCAACGCGTCGTCGGAAGGAGAAGGAGCATTCGAAGAAATCCATTGCCGGCCTCCACAAATCATCGTCCGAGCCTTGGACTGACATTGCCGATGGCGCAACGGCGTGGCCTCTAGACACCGAGACCGGCGGTTTCGAGCACGACTTCGAGCCTAACAGCGCGCCCGGCTTTGAGCCCGACTTTGAGCCCGACTACGACTTCGGTCGCGATTTCGGTGGTGGATACTCATCTGGACCGGAGCATTCGCCATTCCACCCAGACGGTGCTTCTCAAGACCAAGCGCCCTCTTCACTTAAGCGATCGCGGATCGAGAGGAACGCCAAGAAGCAGCGCAATCGTCGCCGGACTGCGAGGGCCGAAGCTAAGACTAGGGCGTCAAAATGACCTGAACTTTTCCAGGCGTACCTATTGATGAAGAAAAAGGCCAAAGAAGTGCTTCGACAGAGCGGGTTTGTCCCTTCCCCGGACGACGAGGAGTGGTGCGACGCATGTCATGAACGCCGAGTCACCAGAAAGGTCCGGGTTGTCGACCTGTTCTTTGCAGGTAGGTGCTTCTGTTGCACATCTTTTGTCAACCACCCCTACGCTATCGTCTTGGACTGATTTGATATCCCCCAACCATGAGCAGGCATGCGAGAACTACGATACTGCCCATGCTATTCCGAGATCCAAACCCTGGCAGCTCACGGTCTTCTCCCGACGTCGTCATCTTCAAACCGAAAAAGAGAAGGCATCACCGCATTCACCTTTCGCACGATCGAATATCTCGACACCTACTGGGGGGTAGATCCTTTTGGTATCTATGGCATGTCCGAAGCGCTCATTCTCTTTTGGTCCTCTGAATTATCCTCGGAGGATCCTTTTAACAAGGTGGGCTCTGGACAGGGACAGGCCGGAAACATTCATTGTTTCTTACAGAATATATTGGAAGCTTCCCAGGGTCCAACCGTGCGTCAGCATCTTCAAGCCGCAATGGATGAATATTGATTTATGCAACAGCTGCAGGCAACTTTGACCGCCGAAATTCTCGGCCTCTCCCCGCGCGAGCGTCTGGCCGACGTTTGTCCGGCATGTTTTGGGCCTCGGATCGATGAAGCCGGCAAGAGCGAGAATGACCTCGATGTCATCATTGCTGTCGACGGCAATTTTCAGCATCGACGATTCGCGCGGGCAAATGCTGATCCTCTCAAGTCACGTCCAGCGTTATTCCTGCCACCAGACAAGATTCGAAACGAGCAAGCTTTGATCGATGGATCGACTGAAGCGGGCGAGAAGGTACCTTGGTGCTGCTGGTGTCGGGTCACCCGAACCCAATAATGAGTTGACCCGACTGTCTGTGATTGCTAAACGAGCTATTCTCCTATACAGGATGAATGCACAGCCAACTGGAAGGCCGCAGATGGTGGTGTGACCTCCGCTTCGTCAAATGTAGTGGCCGACACAGGCCTCGTTGCTGCAGTGTGCCGTCATGATCATTGCCTGCGACTTTACAACCTTCATCAATCAGGTGAAAAGTATGTGTGGACTGGCCATCTGTGACTCCAGGCAAGGACACTAATAAGCTAGTTTGGTCTACCGCAGGTTAGTATATCCGGTGTCGCTGTTGAAATGGATTCTCGAAGAAGTTGAGGTCGGAGAAACGGATTGTACTACGGGGCCTGCGCATACCAGTGACGCTACAAACGTCGGATCCAGCTCGGGATCGGACTCCCACCAAAGTTCGAGTCAGGATCGAAGTCGCGTCGGAGTCGCGTATGATATCGCCTGCAACTTATCGTCGCACTTACGCCGAGTGAGTTTGTTCGTGACACTCAGCCTGAGCATTGGCTTAGTCCGTAGCTGAGCAGCTCATCTCTCCCCGGTGTCGCAGCGCAATCTTCTGGCAGACCACTTACCGCGTCTAGAATTTGCTCTCTCGTCGATGCATGCCTATGCGCACAAGTGGTCCTGCCAGGTTGACTTTGATCCGCGCTTTCTACCCAATTTTGGTTTGACTGATGGCGAGGGAACTGAGCGCTTGTGGTCGCAGCTTCGAGGCATGATACCCATGAATCGATCATCGAGTGCCTCCCATCGGCTGGAGAACATCAATCGTCGAGCGTCTGCTTATAACAAGCAGCATCTGGCCGATCTTGGTTCGCCTAAGCTTCCAGTCTTTCATGCACTACCTTACCATGTCGCTGATATTTGGCGTATCGATCATGCCCAGTGACCAAACTTAATTCTCGACTCAAAAACGCAATCAAGCTCAAGGCCGAAGCCGACAGAGTCATTACTGAGGTCGTTAATCGCTCCGAATGGACGGTCGCTACCCTCCTTGAACAATGGCACGCGCAACGTGCAGCGTCCAAGCAGATCCCTCTGAAAGAACAGCGCAAAGAGGTAGCCGAGATGCGCAACGTCATGTTCAAGCTTGAGCTGGTTAACAGAGATATCGCAGCATGCCGGTGGGTCTGAGCTATCGTCGTCGTTTGGGAGTGAGACACGAACCGGTGACCTAACTTCGGTATTCCTTTTTCGATTGCTACAGAGAAGAACTAGCCTGCGTGAACACCATAAACACGAACAAGCTTATAGAACAGTCGACTAAACTTCAACAGCTGGTCAAACAACGGCAGGTTCTTGATGATCGACTAAACTCCTTACGCACATCGGAAATGAACATCAGTGTCCTGGACCCTGGTACGTCACTCCCTTCTTGCATTCTGACCCTCCGGTGTGATCCCCTTTGTCCTCGCTTAAATATGTCAACACCTTTGATTGGCACAGACTATGAATTTGCCTGCACATTGATGGTCGCATCTCGCTCACTGTGGGACTTGGTCGTACAATATCGACAGGGAGCTGAGAGGCTGCGGCTCCCACGCCTAGGCGGTAAAGCCCTCGGTAGGAAATTCATGGTACGAGTCTTCTGCGCCGGCAGAAGGAACGCTGATGTGTAGCAATGCCTGCTGATAGGTACGAAAGCGGCTGGTCTCTTGGTCAAGAATCTTAATTATTTGCGTCCCAGGCTCATGAAGGCAGTGGCGATGTATAACGACGAGGTGAAAAAGTATGCTGCCATCCTCGCCAATTCTCAGAATTCCCATTCGATCTTGAGAACCCGAAGGGTACCGCCATCAGCCCCAGAGGATCTCAACGAACTGCTCAAACTCGACATCTTGACGCCGCTCTGGAACAACGGATTATATAGTCATCCCACTGAGCCGTGGGCCTACGATGATGATGTTCGTGTCGGCATTCCAGCAGTATTGTCTCGCGCAAGATGCCAGCAAGAAATCAAGCGACTTGGATGGGAAGTACGTCGCATTGGACGGTGGCTGATAAGCCGTCGCAAGAGGTTTCAGCAAGTTCGCCAGCAATTACTACAACTAGATGAGCAGGATGACTCTGCGATGATGCTGCTCGAGCGAGAAGAAGAGCGTCTTAGAACTATTGCGCGACGATGGTTCTCGAAAGGCGGCCTAGATCACCTGTGGGAATGCACCCGGCAAAGCGGCGAACCGCAAACGGAGGAGTGGGTCGAGCTCCGAATGTGGTGCACCGACGACGTTGAGGTTTTTCAACGAACCACAGCGGGTGGCTTGCCGGATCACACATGGCCAGACTGCATCATTGATGGGATGGTCGGAGAGTCGGACGACATCACCACGGATCATGACGCCCTTCTTGACATCAGTGATCATTCGAGCGATGATCTGAGTCATCATTCCGTCGACACTACCGATTACGGCGCCTTCAGTGACGAGATCAACGAGAACTTTGATGAAGACGATGGCGATGTTTTTGGGGAATTTGATATTGATCATATATAGTTGCAGTCTTTTGCCCAGTTGCTACTTGCAATAGTAAAGAGATCAATGATGCGTTCATTTTGCTAGTAGTTCTACACGTTATACGACGCTTTGCTAGGAAGTACAACAAGAGCGATCAGACATCCAAGACCCGGCATCGCTAAATCGCTCGAT